AAAAAAAATTGGATAAGGAAGGGTGCCGGGTTGGGGGGGGGGGGGGGTGGGCGGTTCTATTGGTTATGTTTGGTATGTATATGTCGTATTTGATTGATGATTACCTGGTTGGCTATGTATGGGGTAGATGTGAATCTAAGGAGAGGAATGCAATGAGTGTGCGTATGACTAGGGTTGAATGGTTGAGGTGTGTTCATTATTCAAGTAAATTAGCCCTATTTGTGTATCCTTCTGGTATCTGTCTGATTGTTTTTCTTTTGTACTTTGGAGGAGGAATGACCGCCTGCGGCTTGTCTAGTATACACTTCCTCTGATGCTTTGGTCATGACGTCTTTCGGCTTCGAGAGTGTCGTCGTCTTCGTTGTAGTCCTCGTCGTGATGGTGGTGTTCGCATGTATCGTTATGATCATGATCGTCATCATATTGATCGTCTTCATGGTCATGGGCCGGATCGTATTCGTCCACTTGGCCGGATTTGTTCTCTGCTTTCGGAGCTGATGGGTCAGTCGGGATAGGTTCATCTGATCCGTCCTGGTTGGTGAGAACGTTGGCCACGCGCTTGGTGAGGGTTCGGCGTCCCGGCCCCGGGAGATGGCGATGGTGGTTGTGGGATCGGGTGCGTCGGAGTCGTGCTCCCTGCTTGCTGCTGCTTTCGTCATCGCCGTCATTGTCTAGATCTTGGGATGGTCGGGGCTGGTGGGAGGTGGAGGTGGATCTGGGCCGGGTGCGCGCTTGTGTATGGCTATGAGTGTAGATGTGTGTGTTGGGGTGAGATTTTTCGTCACGCTCGTCTTCGGATGGGGCGAGGCTGTTCGCACCGCTGAGGGAACCGCCACCGTCCCGGCCGGCGAGGTGGATATAGGCGTAGTTGTAGTGTGGGGGATGAAGGAGGTGGTCTTCGCTGTCGCGGTGAAGATGCGCGAGGCCGGGACGGCGGGGAACCGCACTTGGGTTTGGGGTTGAGGTTGGGAGATGTCGGTGTGGGACATTGGTTCTGCTGTTGGATGTGTCGGGTGTTGTCTGGGCGAAATGGGAGGTGGCCTCTAGCTGGACGCCTTGAAATTCATACTGCGGAGCTGGGGAGGGCACGGTTCTATCCAAAGGCCGTGCATCGATTGAGCGGTCTCCTAGAGCAGGCTCTGGAGCTCGAAGCATTTGTTGGTCAACCTGGGTGGTTGTCGCTGTTACTTTTGTGGAGGCGGGGGGTAGGTTGTTTTGTTTCTCTTGAGAATTGTGATTGTGGGCGACGTCGTTGGTGAGCTTTTTGGAAAGGGAATCATGGGGATGTTTTGTGTGGTCTGCTGTGTTTCCACGAGGCGCACGCAGGGAGCTTCGTCTTCGAACGCCGTGATCGCACCCATCTGGACAGCCGCCCCATTTGCGTCGAATAGGGACGGATGTCTCCGACGGTGCTGGTTGCGCTGGACCCAGCCCCTTGGCTGCTCGCTCATGCTGCCGCTCTTTCTCCTTTTCCTTTCGCAGGTCAGACCATGTGCGTAGCTGGTTCTGAAGGACGTATTTTCCGTTATCCGGATTCAGTTTCATAATGACGAATTCACAGTGGTTGATGTTCCGGAGATCTTCAAAGTACTCCACGCTCCAGTGGTACCATTTCATGAGGAACACCCGGGTCATCAATCCATGCGTGACGAGTACACAAACACTGGCAAAGTCATCCTCTCCAAACAGACGCCACAGCGACTCGTTAAACCCACTAACGCGGTCATAGGCATCGGCGGCAGATTCCCCGTTGGGGATTCGGTAGAAGAAGTGGCCGTAGTCTGCCCTCTCGAGCCACATTCGCTCCATCTCGGCGGAACATGGCTGGAAGTTGCCAAAATCTTGCTCTCGCAGCCGGGGTTCTTCGTAGACCTTGATTGTATGTCTCGGGAATGGGGACGGGGCCGGGGAGTCTGAGGTCAGGGACTGGAGAATCCCCTCGGTGGTCTCCCGCGTACGACGGTACGGAGAGGTGAAGAAATGGATAGTGTCATCGGGTCGTAGAAGCGCCCTTAGCTGAGAGCCCGCTTCCTGTGCCTGACGGTGTCCTTCGGGCGTGAGGTTGACGCGGTGGTCGGGGATGGTCTGGTGAATTTCGCGGTTCTTATTTCCTTCAGACTGGGCATGGCGGATCAAGATGATCATCTGCTAAGGTGAGACAGTGTGCCCCCGGATAGGGATGTATCCCGATGGAGGAGCACTCACCCGCGGTTTGCCCATGATTACTGTTGCATGCAGTAGTACAACGGACGTATTTGGGTTGGAGTGGGGTTGAGGGGAAAGTACAAGCACTAGATCGGACAACAATGCTAAGGCGCAGAAAGACAGATCCACCGTGCGAACCACGTTGTCTGGATAAAGGGTATGTCGTCGAGAGATGAAAATGCTCGACGAGCAGGACCCAGAGGCAGGAAGATGGCGCGTCAAGGGGGAGGAGGAGCGACGAGACGATGGAGAACCACCGAGTGGGATTTGCAATGCCGCCCGGCCATTGGCCGATGGACCTGGGGTTGACCTGATCGGGTTAGCGCGTCAGATGATGTCAGTCGCGCGGGTCTCAGATGGATTCCACGATGTATCCAATATTTATCTACAGTATGCTGTCTCGAGATCCATGCGGTAGGTAATGAACTTGATGGACATCAAGAATGGAGTCTATAAATATTAGCTCCCTCACTCCAGAGGTGACTGTATTCCTAGTATCCGTAATACCAACAAGGCATCGCAGCGCCGGCAAGCCGACTTCGCCAGTTGCCGCAACGGCCGCCGTAGCCATCGCGAACCCGCAACCAATCTGGCTTGTTTCCTCCTCCGCACCCTGACCGGCCATTCCATTCTCTTCCCCTCCACTGTCCCGGCTCCCAGCAAAGAAGCAGGCCCCGCCAACAATGGCCGACTATCTATATGACCTCCTTGCCCCTCATCTGGCCGCGACCAAGGCCTCTGCCGCCCTCTGCGACCCCGATCACGATACCACCACGGCTCAATACCTCAACCGACTTCCTACCCTCTCCCTCCAAGCCTTACAGTCCACGGAATCCCAGTCCTTGACGCAGTCATCTCATTCCACCCTCCTGTCACTTCAAGCTCTGTCCAATCGCTCACACAAGGCCTTTGTCACGTCCGCCGATCGCCTGTCCAACCTCCGCGCGTCCATCCCCCAGTTGACCCGGGACGCACAGCAACTCCGAGATGCGGTCCCGAAACTCGACGAAGAGGCGGTCCAGTTCTCGTCCAAATACAGCAGAGCAGCCGAAAATGTAGCCCTCGAACAACGAAAGAAGGTTATGCAGCTGGCTCGAAATGTCGATCGGCTGTCTGACATCTTGGAGCTACCCACACTGCTCTCCACGGCCGTCTCCTCCGCAGCTGCCAGTTCAGGCACGACAGGGACCTCGGTTTCAACGACCTATTCCACGGCATTGGACCTGTACGCGCACATCAAGCGGCTGCAGACATTATACCCCGACTCCCCGCTCATCAAAGACGTGGTTTCCCAGGCCGAGGACGCGATGAAGGATATGACATCAAATCTGATTGCGGGTCTCCGGGCGCAGAACCTGCGATTAGCGGCTGCAATGAGAACGGTAGGCTGGCTGCGAAGAGTGGCACCGGAGCTGGATAACCTGCACAACGACGGCTCCCCCGGGTCGGGAGAAGGTGCCTTGGGGGCCATCTTCCTGATCTGTAGGCTGGCGAACTTGATTACTATGCTGGAAGCTTTGGATCCTCTACGAGAGCTAGCCGATCAAGAGACGCACCGCAGGGCCCCGACGATGGACAAAAAGAATGGTGCGACGGGCGCATGGTCGGAAGGGCACCAGACAGAGAAGTACCTGAAACGCTATGTCGAGATTTTCCGCGAGCAGAGTTTTGCAATCGTCTCTCTGTACAAGAACATCTTTACTCCGGACCAGTCCGAATCAGAGCTAGCAGTGGCCGGTTTACGAGGAATCGATGCGCGAATCAAAGCGGCCGCATCGCGACCGGCTCGCAAAGAAGATCCGTTACAGTGCCTGCCACCTGCGCTGGCCACCTTTCCCATGCACCTGGTCCAACTACTGACGGACACCTTGGGCACGTATCTCCCCAACGTCCGGGATAAGAGCTCGCGGGAGAGTCTCCTAACTCAGGTGCTGTACTGCGCGGCCAGCCTGGGTCGGCTTGGAGGGGATTTTGGCATGATCCTGACCGAGCTGGGTGATGCCACGGATGACACCGATGAAGAGGAGGATGACTTGGCCTATGAGTGGGAGGAGGTGACACGGAAACACCGAGCCTTGGCAGGGCGACTAGAGCAGCTGACGGGGGGTGGTGGTGGTGGTGGTGGTGGTGCAACGACAGGGTCCTCGGTCAAAGGAACCTTGCGGGTGGCCTCACCCGTGTAAGGGAATCCTGGATGGATGGGAGGAGGGGTATACTCCTCCTTGTCTATGACACTACTACTACTATCTAGTTACTATTCTTGGGGATTGTGGCAGTAAAGATGGACGCCTTTGTGCCTCGAAAGGGGAAGTCATGACACCCGGGGGCACTAACCGGATGGGGGATGGCCTCCGCCGTCGCTGTCGAGGCCTCTTCCTAGCCGGGGACCGGCCATCATCTCTCCTCAGCGCCGCCCTCTCGCCCTGCTTGCTACTCTTCCACTCCCTTCTCCACATCCCACTCACCCACCCCCCTGTGAGAATTCGGGCCTCGAATCTCGAAGGACCTATACAGCTTCTACTAATCTTTCATCTCTTCCAACTATATAGCCGCTGCTTCATGACCGGTGCTGGTTCTCCGGTCGCTCTGGCCCCTTCCACTGCCGCCGCTGTGTGACATTCTCCCTTGCGTGCTGGGCCTGTTGGCGGATAGACCTTCAAGCAATGAAAATTTCTCCCTGACCGTGTGCACCAAGGCCATATACAGCATAGCAGACGTTCTCCTTGACCTACACCACCCCTGCCCCTAACCTTGTCTGATGGCGGCCCCCGCTTTGTCGACCGGCGGATTGATCGATCCGACCAAACAAGCCGAGTACCCGGTCGTTCTGGGCGACAGATTGGCCGGCAAAAGTGGCTCGTCACAGTCGAGACTGGTCAATATCCAATATAACTACAAAACAAAATCTGCAACTGCGCAGCAACGCATCACCCGATCCCGGCAGTCCCGAGATCGCTACAATCTTACGATTACCGATAAAGCCCCGAACGCCGACAATGTCCTGACGTACTCCTATCAAGGCAGTGTGGACCCGGCACAGGCGGTGTCGGACTCGGGGGAGCACAGTTTGGTCCTCGTCTTCGACGCGGCGCGGAAAGTGTTTGTCCTAGAGCCGGTCGCAACGCAGCTACACTTCAACCTCCGGTCCGCCCCTGCCAAATCCCAGAAGCAGGTACTGGAGCAGTACGAGCAGTTACGCACATTGCAGGAGGATGACCATGGATCGGGCGATGACCGGGCCTCTGACAATGCCGGCGGGAATGACGACGGCCCGGCCGACGACGATAACCCTTACGACTACCGCCATTTCCTTCCCAAGGAGAATGCGGACGATGACAAGTCGGGGTCGGATAAATCTCCGGAACCGCCCTCCTACACCAGCAGGAATGACACTCCCTTGATGATCGCGGCCAGACCCGCCCCTAGTCCCCGACCTCCTCCGCAGAGCCGGCCGAACCCGCTACACTCGAAGAAGAAGTCAGATGGGGGTAAACCTCCCAAGCCCGCGGCCGTCAGGGCACGGCCTAAATCTCCAAGCCGTCCTCCGCAGAGAAGTGAGGGGAGGAGGGCGGTCATCGAAGAAGAGCCTCCGACGGAGCCGTCCAAGTTCTCGCCTTCCGACACTGGGCTGGGTGCCGTATCTTCGCAGAAGACTGTTCCTTCCCCGGGGTCGAATATCATCATCGATGGCGATCTGATCATCGATATGGGGTCGCCGCCACCATCCCGTCCCTTCCGGGTCAACCCCGCCCACTTTTCTTCGAACAACACCCCGGCCGACGAGGATGATAATGAGGACGATGAGGACATTGAGGACCTGCGCCTGCCATCTCCGGCTGGCCACGGAGGGGCGCCCATGGCATCATCGGGAGGCGTGGACCTTGAGCCGGGGGCCGGCGGGGACGAGGACGAGCTCGAGGATGACGATGCATTAGCGGCCGAGATGGAGGCCGCCTTTGAGGAAAGCGCGCGGGAAGAAGAAGAGGCCCGAAGCCAGCAATCCCAGACCCATGCGCCGTCCCACCAGTATCATATGGCTAGTGAGGACGAGAGCGAAGTCAGTGAGGAGGAATAATCCGGGGTTCTGGTCGTTTCTGCTGCGGGGTGTCGCGAGTCAGGTTGTCCTAAAATCTTGTGTTCTTTCCCAGTATCCATGTACATACAAGCAAGGCGCCGTTGGGAGTTTTGGCAATAGGAAGCAATGAGACGCAGATGGTGCGCTGGAAGCTAAGTAGAATGGGCGAGTGAAGGAAGTTCGCTACGAACCGGATGCGGGCGCTGATCGGCCGGGGCGGAACAACCCCCGGATCCGAAGGCGGATCGTCATTGGGCGGCTCGAAATCCCCAAAAAACGAGGGCTGGAAAGGAGCAGCTCCCAGTCTCGGTCTCTTCACCAACCAACTCTCCCCAGTCCCTCGATTCCCGCGCGCCTTTCACGCCGTGGGCCAGTCATTCCGATCCGGGCCTGGACGAAATCCCCCAGTCGCTCCCCGCAGACCTCCGATGCGTTGAGCTTCCCGAACGACCTCCGATGCGATGCAGGGCCTCTTCCGCAATGATTAACACTTGATCGATGCCGCACAGGAATCCGCCGAAGAAGACCACCACGCTGCGATTTTAAAAGAGCATTCTCCCCAAATTGCGACCAGATTTGAGAACCCCTCGGCCTTTCCAGAAAGCCCCCGCCACGTTGCTACATTTCGATTTGAAGACACCGGGTGCTCGGTAGTGAAAGTAGGACAGACCAGCAGAAGGGCCGCTTCACTTCGCGCGCGATCCGTCAGGCTGGGCGACTCGCGAGATTCCTCCCTCACTTGCCGCATCGCCTGTCTGACACTTTGATTGTCTCGGCTTCTCCACTACGAGTCCTCGATACTCCGACCGATCACTACCACCGCAACAGCATTACCCCCCTCGTTCGTTTCCATCGTCCTCGATGGCGTCTTCCGCAAGCCATTCCGAAGTCCCCCCGGTTCCTGCGCCGTCGAACCCGGTCCTCCTTAAAACACAGGCGCATTGGTACTTCACCGATGACGAGCTCACACGCACGCCCTCGCAGCTGGATGGCATGGCCATGGAGGCAGAGCATATGAGCCGCAGCAAGGGCGTCAACTTCATCAGCCAGGTGGGTATCATGCTGAAGCTACCGCAACTCACGCTCGCGACCGCCGCCGTTTATTTCCACCGGTTCTATATGCGACACAGCATGGTCGACCTGCCGCAACGACCTGGCATCCATCCCTACACGACTGCGGCGGCCGCGCTGTTTTTGGCTACGAAAGTGGAGGAAAATGTGCGGAGGATGAAAGAGCTGGTGGTGGCTTGCTGCCGGGTGGGACAGAAGCAGCCCAACATGGTCGTGGACGAGCAGTCCAAGGAGTTCTGGCGATGGCGCGATACCATCCTGGTTCATGAAGACATTGTCCTGGAAGCGCTCTGTTTCGATCTGCAGCTCGAGCAACCGTACCGCATCCTCTACGACTTCATCTGCTTCCTTTCCATGCAAGATAACAAGCCGCTCCGCAACGCCGCATGGGCCTTTGTCAACGATTCTGGATACACCGTCCTGTGTTTACAGTTCACCGCCCGCACCATTGCGGCCGCTGCTCTTTACGCTGCCGCGCAGCACTGTGACGTCGGGTTCGAGGACGATGTGCTCGGGCGGCCGTGGTGGGAGCAGCTCGATGTGGAACTGCCCCAGGTGCGTCGCGCATGCATGCGCATGGCCAAGCTATATGAGAACAATGCCGCGAATCGACATACCCTGTACTACTTGACCAACCCCATCAGCACAGACGAGGGTACTGAGAAGACCAGGATCCCGCGCGCAGGCGGCCCAACAGACACGACGCGTGCGGCCGATGCCGTGCGTGAGAGCGACGCCGTCAACGGTCGGAAGCGCTCGAGGGAACCCGACACGGCGGTTCCTCTGGCCCCGACAACCGACTCGACACAGCCGCCAGACCCCGGCCCGACGACGCAGAACGGCGGACGATCCCCCAAGCGGCCACGGACGGATTCGGAGGGCACGTCTATCGGGAGGGTTCCGTCGTCGCGCATTCCTAAGGCGCCGGTCCAGGACCGCCAGCCCGCGAACGGCCACGGTCCTGCGGCTCCGTATTCGCACGCCTACCCAACATCGTCTCGCCCCCCGCATCCCTTACCACCGCCCCCGCGGCCCTTCGCCCGCCGGGACAGTACGAGCAGCCGGCCGGGAGGAGGGAACCCGGGGGTGCCCGTCGATCCGATCCAGCAACGGATCGACGAGATTGTGCAACAGAACATGCCTTCGCAGAGCGGGCCCGGCCGGGCGGACCGGCGACCCCAGGAACGACCCCGGAGCGACTGGCCTCAGGAGCCCGACCCGGCGCGACGACGACGGCCGTCTGGCTCCACGGGTGGCCGGCCACCGCCGCCGGATGAACCACAGCCTTCGCTATCCCTACCATCGCCCCCTCCGCCGCCGCCTCCGGAAGAGCAGCCGGAGCCGCCCCAGGCGCCCGAACCGGAGGACGACGGGGGTGGCAGCGAGGAGGGCGAGCTCTGATCGACCCCGTATATACTAGAGCCGTGTGGACGAACGAGATGGAGCATGAATGACCGACTGATACCTACATACATACCTTGGGCCGCGCAGGCGTTGGAGGAGTCCACACATTCCCCATTATCCTCCGATGGGACCTGGCAGCGGGCCGGACTCCGAGGACGGGCGACTACGTAAGGTGGGAAGACGAGGGAATGAGATGCAGCACCTGTATTTACCTATATATTTCTCTTTCTACTGTTGAATTAGAGCGCGTCAGCATTCCATCCGCCAGCCATTGAGCCATTCATCCGGATCCGTGGGGAAAAGCGTTGAATTGATCTCGATTGGCAGCGCCATGGCTGCCTGGTCAACTGCCGAGGGTGACAGGAGAGGCCAACCATGGATGCCGACGACCCCTTGCAGCTGGGCTGGCCGTCACGGTCTTCATTGGGGGACGAGAGAGGGAAAAGAATCCCACTAGGGGCGCGAGGGTGTCACGGCGACAACCTTGATTGCCTGGTGGAACTGGACGGATTCTAGACCTGGGAGGCTGGCAGGGGCTGGCAGGCATCCACTGGTACATACCGCCGGGATTCTTTTCTCCGCCATGGCTGGCTGACACCATCTTCAAACCACCACTGCAGCTGGCAGAAGAATGTTGCTTCCGAGAAACAAGAAACAAAACCATCCGCGCTGCCATGGCCGTCAATCCTGCTGGACCAGCCGATGGCCCCCCCGTTATGGAAACAGCGCCTGGAAATCCACGCCAACATGGACCCGGCTCCCCTCACGGACCGGCGACGCAGCTGTCGTTTCTGTCGCAGTCGCAAGCTGCGCTGTTCCGGCACCAGTGTCTGCAGCGCCTGCAAGGACCGTCAGATCGAATGCCTTTATGACCAAGGCGGGCCCAAAGGCCGCCCTCGCGCCTCGGCCGCCCGTGCCAGCAGTCGTCTGGTCGCCGGCCAGCCGGGGTCCGAGCCTGCGATGAAGCAGGCCTCGTGGAAGTCGCCCCCGAGTCCGTCGGGGCAGGTCTTCTCCCCGCGCCTCAAGAGCGTTGCGGAGGCCTTGGGGGAGGTGTCAGCCGAGGTCCAGGAAAAGCTGCAGGGGCGGAGTGTGGAGGACCTGGCCCGGAGTCAAGCTGGATCTCCCCGTCGCGCGCCCAAGCTTGGCTGTCGCGAGCTGCTCATGGTGCTCACCCAAGACCTCGTCGATGCCACGGTGGCCCGCTTCAGCGGTCTCGACTGCCTCTCGTTCTTCCCCGACCAGGGCCATTGCTTCCGACAGGGCTGGACCGGCAGCTCCAATGGCGCGCCCCAAGCCTTGGAGCCGGCGCCCCTCGCCGGGTACAACAGCTACCGGATCACGCAGCTCATCGACGTGTGGTTCGGCGCCCATCCCCTGTCCATGGTGCTCTCCAAGACGCTGCTGCTGCGGGACGTGCGCAGCAACGCCTACGACCCTCTCCTCCTGGCCGTCCTGCTGGGGAGCGCGCTGCTCGAGTTGGAGGATGCCGAGGCCCGGGTGGAATCCGAACAGCTGCTGCAGTGGGCCTCATCCCGATTACAATATGTCTCCACCGCTTCGGCCGACCTCTCGACCGCACAGGCGCTGGGCTTGCTGGCGTGGCATGAGACGTGTCAGGGCAACATCTTGCCCGCGATGGCCTACAGCATCTACGCGAATCGCACGGTGACCCGGCTGACGATGGACACCTTGGCGCGGTCCTCGCGGGACGTCCGTCAGATCAACGGCATCAACCTGGTGCAGATCGAGCTGGAGATGATGCACATTCTCGGGTGGATGACGCTCGCCTTGATGGTCTGGTCCTTCACGCACCTGGACATTGTCGACGACACCCTCCCGGCGCTGGCGCTGATGCACGAGCACCCCCCCATGAACAAGGACGCCTCGTTGGTGCTCCGGCTCGACCGGGCGGCGGACAACCTGTCGACGCTACCGCATCAGTGGGCCTGGATCCAGGAGATCTGGACCATCAGCCACATCACGTCGGCGGCCGTGCATCTCAACGCGATCTATCCCCGGCCGTCCAGCGGCCCGGCCTCGCCCGCTCCCTTGTCCCAGCACCACTCCTGGCAGACGCAGCTGCATCAGCAACTGCGCAACATCCAGCTATACAAGGTCGACATCGGCAACCTCTGCAGCGAGGCCCGTGCCGTGCTGGCGCGCAACGTCCAGATCATCGAAGCCAACATGGAGGACCAGGTCGCGCAGACCTGGATCCTGACCGCGTACCGGACCTTGCTCATCCATCTGCTCTTCCCGCGCATGGCGCCCCTGAGTGTCACCGCCGATCTGGTCCAGCACCTCGCCGACTGCCTCCTGTTCTTCGCCCGCAGCTTTCCGGTTCTCGTCAGCGTGTCGACCACCCAGGCGCTGCCGCGCGCGAGCACCCAATCCTGCATCCGATCGTACATGGCGGGCCTGGCGGCGTGCAGCAGCGCCATCGACGCGCTTTTCCTTGTGTCCCACAAGCAGCTGCCCTGCTGGGAACCGGGGGTCCTCCAGGGGCTCGGGCGGCTGCTGGAGCAGACGACGCGGTTGGATTCGCTGTTCACGAACGACACGTTGCTGACGGATTGGCGATGGCGGACCGTGCAAGAGCGGTTTCATCGGCTGTCCAAGTACAAGACGGAGCTGAGCGCGACCGAGCCGGGGGGCATGATGCCGATGTATACGGCGGCTGAGCTGCCCTATGTACCGGGGTACATTTCGATCGAGCCGCCGACGTTTCATGAGATATAGAGACACCGGACTGGATATAGATAGAATTGCCTAATTATCATACCTTTCAATTGCTGCCTAGTGGAGATGGCCTTGATGAAGCGGTCCTCCATACCCTGTGAATCCCATTCCCTCCTCTGCTGACCCCCCCCCCCCCCTCAAACCGCCCAACCCAACCAATTCGACCTGATCCATAAATTAGTCAACCAACCTTAGATGATCCCCTGCCCTAGTTGAGCCATATTCCAAGTTCATATACAGTGATTCCTTCTCCACACCATACACCTAATAATTTAGAACTGCCTCTCCCAAGTCAGATTCCATCATATCGGCACTAAACCGGGTAAACTTCTCCAAAACCATCCGGATGAATCGAAGACAATAATCCTCTATCTCAAGACTGTCAACCTAATCATTCCTTCGAAACAACGACACCGATACCGATACCATCAATCTCGTGGCATGACCTGTCCCGGTAAGCTAGCTATATTTAGATTTGGATCTACCTAAGAAACGCGCGATGAGACGGTTATCATTATGAACGGGGTCTGATTGATAGGTAGTATTTGAGTTGAAGTAGGAGGGCGGTGAGGTTGGTGGTGTATGGTAGATGGCGATATATGGGGTTGGAGTATGGAGTAGTCCCTGGTGGTATGGTATGGTATGGGATGAGTGGGATTGGAGATGCACTGACTACTCCACAATACTAGTACTAGCAGCACTCTTCTACCAATATTCATCTATCTTCCTAGATAGGTATATAGGAAGACTCATGATTAGGATTGAAGGTACTCAGTAAGCCTGAGAATTGTATAAAGTGTGACGGGGAGTATCAGAGTCTGGAAGACCTAGCATCAGGCAGATAGGAGCATACATGCACAACCAGCCCAACATTATACCCTGTTATGTTAAGAAAGATAAAAATAACCTTACCCTCGACAAGGATATAATAAAGAACTGAATCTCACTTATTAAGATCTACATAAGAACATGCCCGTCGGCAGGGTCCCAGCCACACCCAGACAAAGAAATCGAGTATAGAGTTAGAGATCACCACTCAGCAACCACCACTAAAGTAGTTTATCCTATCAGGTTGTTTCGGGATGTTATAGGGGTAACTCGACTAAATAGAACCTGTCTGTCTCCTATGGATCATATAAGAGTCGCGATGGAGACTGAAGTCTCTAGATAGACCAAATCATATTTCACATAACACAGCACATCAACCAACATGTCCCTACTTCCATTCAGTCTCTTCATCTACCTCTACACCACCGGCTCCCTCTTCTATGACACCATCCATTACATCCTCCACCAAGGGACCAACTCCCCATGGCGTCTCCTCCGCTTCCTCTCCACCTGTCACCAATACCACCACTTCCACTACAACCAATCCTTGAACTTCAATGACCGGTACCTCAAACGAAACATCTTCATCGCGTTACCCCTCGAACTCCTCTGCCAGATGCTAGGCAGCGTTGTCGGTCGAATCATCGCGCAACCATACCTCCATCCCACCAACATACCCATCCTGAACCAATGTCTGTCCTTGACCTTACTGATTCAGATCACACGAACCCTCCTCGTCATGACCATGAGCGGCCGAGACTCGAACCACATCATCACCTTCGACACTGTCCCCAAAGACACGAACTGGGTGTTCGTGGGGCCTCACTTCCACGCTCTGCATCATATCCATCCCGATCGATACATGGGATCGATGATTAAATTGGTTGATTGGGTTGCTGGAACGGCGTATTCATTCCGCCATAAACGGGTAATTTTGACCGGGGGGACAGGGGCGTTTGGTTCTGCGTTGGAGAAACAGCTTCTTTGTGAGGGAGTGAGGGGGATCACAAAGCTGAGATATGGTCGTGACTGGACGCATGGGGATTTCACCCGTGTGGGATGCATTCTGCGCGAGGCGGATATTCTCATTTTGGCGCATGGGTCGAAAGACGTCGATGCTATGGCTGCCAACTGTCACTCAAGTATCCAACTCATCGAAACCTTTCTGGAAGAAAAGGAGAAATACAAGACAAGGGGCAAGAAACCCACCCCAATGCCCGAAATCTGGTACATCGGCAGCGAAATCGAACTGCATCCCGCATGGGGCATTCCCGAACTCCAACGGTATTCAGCCTCCAAGCGCGCGTTTGTGCCATATGCGCGGGGGTTATATCAGAATCCGAAGGTATTATATCGACATATTGTCCCCGCGGCGTTTCAGTCGTCCATGGGGAAGGCGATCGTGTCGGCGGATTGGGCGGCCAGCGTGACCATGTGGTGGATTCATCGCGGGGCGTGGTATGTGCCGGTGACGTATACGGGATTGGCGGTGGTGAATTATTTCAAGTTTCGGTTTGGGAGGGGCTGTTAGGATATGTTGTTGGTGGGATTGTGGCTAGTTTGGATTATATCAGATTGATAGATGTATAGCATTGTCTGGCGGTGTGTCGATTCTTGTAAAGTCTTCGTTCATAGATCATAGACGTGAATGTATGTATAGCACGACTTTGGGGATTCGTGGAGATAGGAAATATAGGGGTCGTTGGAGGGGTATTGTTACTGCATGGTGCTGAGTAGTGTGGTATCGTGTGCCTTGATTATGATGTGTCAAGAACCACGTAGGCCAACAGGAATAGATCCCTTCTTAGCCTCGGGCATAGAAGGAAGAAATATGGCATGTCTCAACAGGATGTGAGTGGATGATGGAAAAGGGACAAAGAGTATCAGTCACCATTTTGCTCGATTATGGGGTTATGCTTATCTTTAGTGCTTACGGGTGTAGTACGTGTCTTGCTCTCTTAACCTTTATTAACATTCGTGTACTAACATTCTGATTCGAGCTCTAGCGCTTATAGCTATAGTGATGACGATGATATTGGCAATATGGTCATCACTACGGTCATAATCACTATGAACCATATTGAACGGTAAGTTGATAAGCACCGTAAGCGGTTGAACCCTATAAGCCCTATAAACCGTAAGCAGTAAGCAGTAAGCAGTAAGCAGTAAGCAGTAAGCAGTAAGAAGTAAGCATAAGCATAAGCATAAGCATAAGCACTACGGGAGCAACACTGGCGATTCTCTCTGATTATGCAGTTGAACCCTGAACATTCGCATGTTGCTGAACCGAATACCAGAGCATTACTCTTCCCCGATTGTGTTTTAGCTGTTGCCGTAATCAAAATGCTGGTGGCTCTAATACAGCAACAAAGATAAGCATCACGAGACTGCAAACCCTGTCTACAGAGGCAATCTCAACAACGGTACAATATCACACCCCATAATCACAAGCTTGTGCAAGGTAACAAGCTTAAACACCAGTCACACGAGCGCGCCAAACACCGACTCCACTGGCAGCATATAAGGCTGCAGCCAAGAGAAACGGCAGGCCGATGGCCATGCCACCCATCTGGATGCCGATCGCCAACATATATGCCATCAAGGGGGCAGCTGCCAGAGAGCCCAAGGCATCCAACACGGTGATGGAGGTATACAGCAATGGAATGTTCTCCGGCGAAACAGTCCCAGTCACGTACGATTGCACGGATTGGTAGAATCCGGTTCCCATGATGAATATCAAGAGGCCTAGATCAATACAAAGTTGATGAACATCACGTTTGAGCGAGTGAATGGGTTGAGGGATACTGACCCAAAATTAACCCCCCGGGATGAGAGGCAAGACCCATGATCAGCGGTCCTACAATATGAAACACGACACTTCCTTTTGCCATGAGCAGATCGGCGCGTGCCGCGTTGCGGCCCGATCTTGTCAGTAAGCATCTATGAGCCCATGGTAAGACGGCACAGGCCAAGATGATATGCATGGCGGTTTCCAAGGATAGCAAATAACCACTCTGTATAGGTCAGTTGACGATGGCTTACTGGTAGTGGAGGATTCGCACCTGTGCGACTGTCCAGTCGAATCGAACCGTCATGTACTGGACGATAATCTCTTCGATCTGCCGACTGATTTTGTTGACCATGAATGCCAACAGAAGAGGGAGGAGGCCAGTGGGAGAGAGGAGAAAGGCGAAGACTTCTCTTGGATGCGCCGCTTTACGTTTTGGGACCAAGCCTCGTTGGGCTTCATTCTCGTCGCTCGCGTTGAAGTTGCCAGGATTAGATGAAGGTTCCGGGTTGGGTAAAAGGTACAGACACAAATACCCTACTAATTCGAACGGAACCCCCAGGAGGTAGGGAACATCAGGCCCAGATCGCGACAGGAGCAACGAACTCAGCGGTGTAGATAGGAGTCCGGAAGCCATCTGTGAAACAGCCATGTAGAAGAAGACCCGTGTGCTAACCACCATCAGTATGACACTACGAGTATAGCTGACAAGAGAAAAGATACCGATTGTGTGAAGATGCAAACGACGAGGCTAATGCAATCAACATGGTCGAAATGACAGGAGATCCTCCCCCAATGAGCCGAATGCTAGCAGATACGGCGATAGCCAAGCTGGAGAACCGTTGCAGGTAGTGACCTACATCGAACATTAGCGACAGAGATGAACAGCAATATTGGTCTTACAAGCAACCCAGATCCAGAGATTAGCTATGATCCCCCCAGTGAGCCCCAAGGTCGCCACCAGCTTTCGCCCATATCGTTGAGCCAGAAGCCCATAGGGAATGGCGAGGAGTAATCCTGATCCAGTCAGGGCTAGAAGTATAGAGGGAAAGCAGGGATTGGCATACCCGGGAGTGCCTCCGCAAGCCCTAACCAACCCCTCAAAACCGCCACTTCTCGTTGGATCGCATGTACCTTGCAACTCTTGCCCAGGATGGTCCCATCAGGTGCGATAGTTATAGGATCAATGGAACGATAATAAGATCGACACACGGACAATTCCAGTAGCTGATTAGTAGGCGCAATGCGCAATTCCGAAGCAAAGTCGACGACGAAGATAAATGCGGCACAGATCACTAGGGCGCGGATATTAGGACCGCCGCTCTTTTGGTGCCGGGGATCATCCGGACTGGTGTTCCCCAGGAGTGGAGTAGCTGGAGAGGGTTCTCCATTACGTGATGTGGCTTCGTCTCGCGACATGTTGATAACAGTGGGTGAGAAAGAACCACTTGCCGCAGCAATGGGGTGACTCTTAAGCCCAAGGATAGCATACACATCAACGAACGGGACCACGAGCTATACAGGGATCTGACGGACTCCGTCGGTAAACTGGCTCATCCATCCAATCGGATCATGAGCGGGCTTATCTCTTAGGCCTGGTTTTACGGTCAGTGGTTGGTCTTCTAGCATGCAGCGATGCATGTTAGGGGCGCTAGGTTACATGGCAACAGACCATGGCCCCAGTCAGAATCCCCGATCGAAGTGGGGGATCTGACACCATGTGTCGTGGAAAAATGCCGTATGGCAAGATTAACCATCCCTTGCACCTCTTACTACCTCTTTTCTTTTCCTTTTCTTTTCTTTTCTTTCCTCTTGTGGGGATACGAAGACGTGGGTACCGTGGAGACATGAATTAGTAGGTTATAGCTTCGATGGCTCACATATTATAAGTCTCACTGGCAGAACTAGGATGACCTGTATTCATCACCGTTAGAATGTTCTCGACACCTATCACAGTATATCATTATGCGATTTGGAATTATTTCAGTTGGGGAGGCGGCGGAGGGAACGGCCAGGCTACCACCATCGCTTTAGTGCCTTATGATTCATGAGGCTCGAGGCCGTTTGATTTATGCCTGGAGCCTTAACCAATCCTTAAGGCTGCTGGATTACAAGTACCACATAGTAGGCTTCCTACTTGAGAAGACGGAGATATGATTGGTATAACTGCGGCGCACAACGAGCAAGGTATGCCGGCATGGCGGGTGATTACTGCTCATCCCATAACTGCTTAAACAGACTCGGCCTCCCGAGCAGCTCTGCCGGCCCTCCAGTTTCCACAACACACCCGTCCTGCATGATCAGAATCTTATCGAAATCCCGAATACATCTCAGTCGATGGGTCACAGCAATCACAGTGGCATGCCTGAATTGGTCCCGGATAATCTGGAACATTAACCGCTCCGTGGCAATATCGACGTTACCGCTGATTTCGTCGAGCACCAGGATCTTAGTTTGACTTTGGCGGAGGAGAGCTCTCGCTAGACTCAACAATTGACATTGGCCGCGTGAAAACGTCGCATCGCTCACCGGGAGGTCGAGAGAATAGGGTCGTCCGGTACTGGGATCCTCTCCTAAGCCTACCGTGGCCAGAGCGGAGAGCATCGCGTCGTCGGAGAACTGTCCGCTAGCATCGAGGTTGAATCGTAGCGTTCCGGGTAGTATAAAAGGGTCTTGAGGAATCACAGTAAGACGGGATCGGAGGATGTCGCAGGGAATCTCCCGCAGATTGGTCTCGTCAATGACTACCGAGCCAGATGTGGCATCAAGAAGCCGAAAAAGAAGAAGGATGAGGGAGCTTTTGCCACTCCCGCTCCGGCCACAAATGGCTACTTTCTCTCCCGGATGAATCGTCAGGGTAATGTCGCGGAGTATGCATTGATGAGGACTTGGTCGTTCCTCGTAGCTTGCGTAGACGTGATCGAGCCTGATCGAGCCACGAGACGGCCAGTCCTCGGAAGGCGGCCGAAAAATCTCCATATTTGGGGCATCTTCTCTGGGAAGCGTATCCTCATAGGTTTTGATGCGAGCAATGGCGCCAAGAGTAGTCTCCAGCTGTGTCCATGAGGTGATGAGATACGATAGGCTGCTGCTGAAGCCCAGAATGTTCAACAGCGAAACGGCAATCGCACCTGTATCGACTGAGGAGCCTAACGCCACCGCCACGGTGACCACAACAATAGCCAATCCAGCGGCCATAAGATCCAGAACGAGATTCAACCAACGTTGAATGCAGAAGAATGTATAATATGGCTGGATCGCCCGGTCGACCAACTGGCGACACCTTGTCGCCCATGTGGCGTGCCAGCCAAACGTACGGATGGTGTCCGCACCCGAAGCGGTTTCTAAAAAGTGGGTATAGAGAGGGCTCTGCGCTTCTAATTCCATGAGGCGGAGCTGACGCGAGGTGCGCAGATAAAAGTTCTGCAAGGCGTAGAACATGGTGATCACAAATGGCACCGTAATCGCGATATACTTGTTTCCCGCAGCAATAAGCATGACCTCGGCGATCAACATGCCTGCACCAAGAACCGTCATGAGAAACGCGCCAGACAATTGGTTATCGATCTGAGAGAGGTCTTGACTGAATCTGTTCAGGATCGTCCCACTGTCGTGCATGGTGAAAAATGAAAATGGCGCATTCATCGTAGCGGTCAACAACTGCCCATGCAAACGGCGGGAGCTTTTTGCGACCAGAAAGATGATGAGGTAGGTAATACTGAAGATGGTTCCAAATAGCTGAATCACAGCACAAGCGCCATACACGCCCAGATACACGCCGAGGGAATAGTTGAAGTCACGGTCCGACCAGTACTGGAGCCACAGAGTAGGAAATTTGGTGCCGAATATCTGCACGATTATCAGACCCACTAAGCCGGCAGAGGATTTCCAACCCATTGCTTTGAAGTAGTATTGGTAGACTGAGAAGTCACCAAGTCGACGTGGTAAGTCCTGACGTGACTCGATCAGTTTGCTCTTCGTTCCTGTAGTCGCAGGATGACGTGTTTCAGTAGCACTAGCGTCAGTGTCACCAGATATAGAAACGATTGTTTCAAAAGCGATTTCAGACGGGCTTCCAGATGTGGCTGTGCCATCTTGAAGCGCTATAACAACATCAGATGAGGAAATGCGCTCAGGATCACTGCATGCAAGAATAACAGCCACATGGTGAGTTTTGCATAGACCTCGCGGACCAAACGCGCGATCAAAGACATTTTTAGCCGTAATGATATCTAAGGCACTGAGTACGTCGTCCAGAACCAAGAGCTTTCTGCGCGAGTAAATGGCCCGCGCCATTGCTAGTCGTTGTTTTTGACCACCACTTAGGGTAGTGCCTCCGGAGCCAATGCAGGCCTTGTCCCCTTCGGAAAAAGTAGAAATGTCTTCGTCGAGTGCACAGGCATGAAGAACCGCGTTATACCATGCTTCATCATAGTAAGAAGGACCAAGAACGAGTTCCCGAACAGAGACATTGGGTAGCCAGGGATCTTGTGCACAGTAAGCCATAGCCACGGATTTTTGGTAAGAACCAGAAACGCAGGGAACTGCTCCTATGAGTCCCTTGAGTAGCGACGATTTTCCAGAACCGGTCGGCCCGGTGACGATTGTCAATGTAGAGGGGTGTATCTCGATGTTGACTTTGGTCAAAATCGGTGTGGTAGCGTCTGCATATTTGAAGCTGGCATTGTGTACTGACAGACACTTGCCTTTCATGGGAAGGACTTCAAGCTCGAACACACTACTAGGAACCACTTTCGCCGTCGTATGATCGTCACTATTGTAAGTGGTATTACCGGTCTCGACTTCTGGTAAGAGAAGATAGTCCTGGATTCGCTTGATGCAACCTAGAGCAACGCCTATTTGGGTGATTCCATGAACAAATACTTGGATGGGCTGGACGACTAGAGCAATCAGGGCGAGAACGGTAAACGAGTTTGTCGATGTAATCGCATCACTTCCCGAGATCCTTGTGAAAATCGTAAAAGTCAAAATCGGACCAGCGATTTGCGGTATATTCGCTACAGGTACGATCAGTAAGGACTATCAGAAAAATGGGTAGGAGATGTACCAACAACGTTTCTCCACATCATAAGCATCCGGGCTCCCCGAGCGCGATCAAGCTCCGTATTGCGGAGGTCACGTATCCGTCGTGCCACAAAAGAAGATATACCGAGCATCTTAATGCTTCTGATGGAACCGAGAACCGACACAGTAGTTGCAATGCGCTCCTGGACAGCCTGGTTCCATATCCTCTGACGTGGAGGTGACCGGGCGGCCACAACATAGCTGAGGGAGACTGCTACCAGGGCAGATCCAACCGATGCCAGGCATGCCCATTTTACCTGTCTCTCAAGGAAGAATATGGCAAGACCGACCTCGATTGGAGAGGCAAATAGAGCGTCTAGACGCATCAAATTGTTACAGATGCTTTCGGTATCGGTGCTCATCAATGTTAGCGCAGCTGAGTTGCTCACCGTAGCAGTATCCAGACGTTGCGTCTTTTCATAGAGGGCAGTCACCAGCATGCTTCGTATCATGGTAATGACGCGATTGAGTCCATGCATATAAAGCGATGTCGTAACCTGGACATCCTCGTCAGCTTCTTTATCCTATGATAGGTCATGAAATTTGGCTTGAAGCATACCGCCGTGCCCACATAGATCAGGACTGTGGCTCCAACAAGTGCCCCTCCAACAGCATTGTCTTTAGAGGCAGCCGAGAGATATTGGATCACACGATTCAGTAGCAGTGGCTGGGCAATCTTGAATCCAATTAGGCCGATTCGAGGGATGGCTGTCCATATTAGAGTCTGTCGAACACAAGACAGTATTGCTAGCAGTAGCTCATGTTGACCTTGGCGATCCTTTCGTGCTGCATAGAATGACTTAGCTTATACCTTAGATCTGGAAAGGATGCAACGCACCTGTGTACCATTTCGCTTTGAACTTGGTCTGCACAGCCTCGGCCGAGAGGTTGGAGTCAATAGGAAAGAGATGGCTGGGACTTAGCAAGCCGCGTGCCCCGTGAGCCAACAGGGGGTTCAACCACCAGAAGACGACGCGATTCACCATGCCCCCCTTCATCTCTGGAGGATAAGCAGCAAATGGAAGTTTCAGATACTTTTGCTTTTCTTGTAGCTCTGCGATGAGCATCAGCAAACGGATGCTCAGCGCTGCAGTGAAAGCCCCAGCAATCGTAGAAGGATCCCGTAGCCATAATGTCCGGGCTTGTACACCATCGAACAACGTGCTGAACAGAAGATAGAAGCATAGTAGATTGGAGGGAGAGACGGATCGCAAATGCTCGTTCCAGGAAAGGACCGGAATGCTAAGGGAGCATATCAATGACAGGCAGACCGATGCAATGGTGGCATTGTTGCGATATTGCGGGGCCATTGCCCAGACAATCAGTAAGGTAAGTTGGCTGCAGATCAGGGCAAGGCTCAGGATAATTTTCACCAAAATTGAGACCTTGGAATGCTGATTCGCTGTCAATGTGATTTTCCTGGACTGCCCGAGGAGCTGTAACAGCCTCCAAGCCACGGCTGGAAGAAAACATGCTGATGGGATGATGCTAAACACCACCTGCTCGAAAAGGAGGGTAAAATCCAAGTAGTGGCAGCCATGGATGGGAGGCCCAAATGTTCGATCGGCTGCTGGGCTGCAAGAGCTTGCCATATTGGTGAAAGACAAGGTGTGTCTACCTTGTTATTCGCTCAAGGTGAGGCGGGATGCCGGTTAAGTACAATGCTCAGTCATTTAGGTGTGTGTGTACAAGACAAGCTCCACGAGCATTTGATCGGCTTATCATAGGAAAACTAGGCAGCAATATCAGGCTGGGCCTTGTTCGTAGGCTGCATTAGCTTGATGCGCCGCTTGACGCGTTCTTATCAGGACCCTGGTTCACCAGTAATACAAACGGCGCGGAAATGAAAAGGCATCATTTTAGTCCGGAAACCCGTGCTTGGTCCGGACCAGACAACAGTTTTACTAGTCTCTCCAATCTCAACAGTGAATAGTGTATAGTGGATATATGTACGGTGGGAGGTAAGAATCAAGTATAAAAAAACGGAAATCAACCCTCACTCTAACTCTATTATACTCACTGACTCTTGTCATTTCATTTCATATTCATTCATCATCAAAAATTTGGACTCGGTCCGCGTACTCCTTGATTCGAGAGACAAAGGTCTCTTCAATTTGGTCGCCTTCGCCACCTGCGACGCGGAGGATGAGGTCGTTGAGGGAGGCGCGGCCGAGGATGTCGACGTGGTCGCCTGTTAATTATCAATATGCTTGTTCTGGATGATGGGGGGAAGAGAGAAGAAGGGATTTACCTGTGTTTGGACCACCACGAGGTGAGAACCTATCCGGTTCATGAGGCATTTCAAAGACCTTGATCTTCACGCCAGCAGGATTATACCGCTTCATACGCCAGCCCTTGGCGCACATGTAGCCAGTGCTGAGAAGGTTAACGGTCCCGTCGCCTTCGCCCATATAGACGCCGTGGTCAATGCCGTCGCCGTTGGTCACGGTGGTGTCGATGCTGATGTTTAGGCTCACCAGGGGGTCGCGTTCTTCTTGGTAGAAGTAACTCCGTTCGGTGGGTTTGCCGACGCCATAAAAGCAGTAGATCTTGAGGTCCGGTGCCAGCGGGAGTCGGGCTTCGAGCGGGTTGAGCCATGTGCGAGGGTTGTTTTCGTTCTCTTCGACTTCTTTTGCGGTGTGGGCAACACCGTGCGAGTAGCTGCCCAGCACTTGGTCGCGGTACCAGGGTTCGGCCTCATCCAGGAGGTAGGAGAGACTTTCGGTGACGGTGAGGTTCTTGCTGGTGCGGGTCGAGTTGCTCTCGCGGAAGTTGAGGAGCGTGCCGTAGGACTGGTGCTGGTCGGGCAGGTTATCAGGCGCCCAAGTCGCGTTACCCCAGACGGCTTCGCCGCCCTTGGGAAGCATGCTGCTGATGCCGGGCATGGCGCGGAAGATCTCCGCGCGTTCTTCCTTGGAGAGGAACTTTTCGAGACCGTACACAGCGAAGGCGTTGAGCTGAGCAGTGTCACGCATCTCACCAGACAAGACAGCGGTAAGACCCTTGACAGCGCCGAGCATGCATCCACTGATGTTGATCCAGCTAGCGATGTGGTTGTTGACCCAGTCGCTGCCGCCGGCACCGTGGTCAGGGTGCTCAACCCATTTGAGGAAGTACATGACCACCTGAGAACCCATACTGTGCGACGCGAGGGTGACTTTCTCACCGCCGACCTGGACGGCCGTTTCGATGTAGGACTTCAGCCGGCTGAAGTACTGGTCGCGGATCTCCAGGTTGGGGTACGAAAGACGCCAGTCGTAAGCGGCGGTGAAGGCATTGGTCGGGTCGTAACCGATGGTCGCGAGGTTCTCAAGGATCTTATTCCAGATCCAGTAGCCCGTGATGAAGAAATCAGTGGCGTCGAAGCCCTGCGCCGCGCGGAGTTTGATGCCAGGGGGATCCAGGCCGGTCTCCTTGTCCAGCATGATGTGGTTCTTCCACTCGGCCTTGTCAAGGACCAACGCGCGCATCATGCTCCAACTGCCCCAGAGCCTGCGACGGAAGTACTGGCGGGAGTTTGCGTCGGTTCCCCAGCTCTCGAGACCGGTAGAAATAACTCCGGGGATCATCACAATGGGGTGTTTGGCATGGACGCCCTCAGATTGGAGGTGAAGGCCGACGGAGAACGAGTCATAGTTGACCGTGTCGCGTTCATGTTGCTGGAGACATCAGTAAATGTTCCACCTATCTAGTCAGCAAGCAATTGGGTCATACCGTGAACTCCCGCACATCCGTCAACAACCCCTGGGGCATGACATCCATCAACGACTCGAGGTTCAGGTCCATCAAGCTATCCAAACTGATCACATCCTGCTGATTGGCGAAGAGAACCGCCACGAGAACACCAAACAAACCACCCAAGACGAAAATAAGTCCATTGCGCCGTTTACTCCGAGGTTTCGTGACAAACGACTCCTTCTTAGGCTTGGAGGGCGGCGACTGCGACTTTGGTTGCGACTCGGGAACGTCGCGGACATCGGACGGAGAGTCGGACGCGCCGTCCTTGGCCAGACGACGGCGAAGCATAATTATACACTGAAGCGCATGTAAAAACCAAGCGACCAGAGAGAGATAAGAGTAGAGGAAAAAGGAGAAAGAAACGAACCCGCAACTCCCCGTTGGGAGCCAAAGGAAGACCGCGGCGAACCAAAAAAGAATCAGGCACCACCGGAAAATCACATGTGCGGGAAACGGACGTCATCAGATCGGCCGCGTGTTTTCTCTTCCACTTCACACCACCATTACTACTACCACCACCACCACAACACTCCCCAATTCCCTTCCTCGGACACCCACCTATGTCGGGTTACATCCCTCCATTATCATCCCAATGACCACAATGAATCCCACTCCCACTCCCCCTCCTTTTCCTCCCCCAGACCAATCCACCTCGACCTCCACATCCACCCCCACCACCACAACCCCCAAACCCAACAACCTCCGCTACATCCGCTACAATACGGCCCACGAAGACGCCTACGTCCCCGCCATGCGCCAATTGATCTCCAAAGACCTCTCCGAACCCTACAGCATCTACGTCTACCGCTATTTTCTCTACCAATGGGGTGATCTCTGCTTCATGGCCATGGATGATTCCCTGCCCTCGCCGATGGTCGGCGTCGTGGTCTCGAAACTGGAGCCGCATCGCGGGGGGCCGTTGCGCGGTTATATTGCCATGTTGGCGGTGCGCGAGGAATATCGCGGTCAGGGGATTGCGACGAAATTGGCGCGGATGGCTATTGATGCGATGGTGGAGAGGGAGGCGGATGAGGTGGGTTTATTTTCCCCCTCCCCTTCTCATAAGATTCGTTGACTGTGGTGTGGATGGGATGGGATGGGTGTCTATATTATTCATTCGCTGTGCATGGTCAACGAGACCAGGTTGACAAGCTGGAACAGGATCATCCTACCCTTCATCATCCAGTTAACTAACGGAAACGCACACAGATCGTCCTCGAAACCGAAACCACCAACACCGCCGCAATCAAACTCTACGAGCGTCTCGGCTTTCTCCGGAGTAAACGTCTCCATCGGTACTATCTGAACGGCAATTCGGCATACCGATTGGTACTGTATCTCAAGGAAGGGGTGGGGTCGATGAGAACGAGTATCGATGCGTATGCTCCGGGGCAGTCAGGTCCTCCTTATCCGCTGGTGGAGTCGAGGACGGAGATGTCGGGGGCGGTGACGGCGCCGGAGCCGGCTTTGTTACATGAGGAGAATGGGAGGGGGTGGTAGGTAGGTTGGTTGGTTGGTTGAGTGGTAGATTAGGGGGGTTGAGGAAGGAGGGGTTGATATGAATGACTATAATGACTATGCTATGTTATGATGAGATATCCATATTTGATTGCATTGCGGGGGATCGGGTATAGATGGAGACGATGGATGAAGTTGGGATTCTAATATTCTATTGGGGCCCAAGGTCTATATTGTATACAGAGGGTGATGCAGGCCATGGGGTCTAATATGAATAATAATGTACAGGGATGTCAGGTATATAACAGGGTCATGCAACAAGGGATTCTTTAATGGTCGGTCCAATCAACAAGGAAAGGCCGACTTTCTCACCTGCACGCGAATGGCATTATGGACCAGCCAGTGTACCGGTCGCGGCACCTTCCTCCACTCTTGATCCAAGACAAGAGCCGCCTCCAACATGATCAACAGGGGCAATTTGGGACGATGCCAGGCCCCGACCTCGATGTCGTGCTGCGCTAACGCCGATGCCACCCGGATCTGCTGCTCTCGCTCTGCTCCGGCGGGCTTGAAGCCCGAGCACAGGTACGCAATCGGGTCGGTGCGGTGCTCCTCGGGTAAGTTGTTGAGCACGTTCGTCTGGAGCGCCACGTCCGGGCGATGCAAGTCCAGGCCCACAATGACCTTGCCGGCACTCATATCCCAGATCGTGTGGATATCGCTCTCCGGCTTGCGGGGGACATTTCGGATCAAGGAGGTGACGACTGCGCGCTTCATCTTGTATGTCACATTTCCGGACATGCACGCGTACCGCCATAGGACACGGCAAATGTTGTAGTATTCGCCTTTGAAGGCGACCAGGAAGAGTCGCTCCCACGCGAGCCGTTCGAGCTTCGTTTCCGTGCCGTCCAGGCACCGAAAGAGATACCCGAGCGCGGTGGGCACATCGGCTCGGAAAAGCGACATGATCTGGCTGATGGCGGCGCTGTTGAAGGTCAGGTCCTGGTCTTTGCAGATCTTGAATAACCGGTCCATGGCCGCGAAGTCTTTCAGTCGAGCGATGACACCAAACATCTGGCTCACCAGGGATGGAGCGAAACAGCTGGCGCCGCATGACTCGGCCGTCTTTCGAATGAACGAGTCCACGCTCTGGCCGCTTTCTAGGTGCGCGCGGAACGCATTCGGCAGGATCAGGTGTAGCGCGCTCCGCATCGCACCGGTGTTGTCCAAGTACCCCTGCTGCAGCATATAAGCGACGAGATCCGTCTTCGCCTTCGTGGTGACAAGACAGTCGAGAAGGGCGAGCCACGTGTATGAGTCCGGCCGGATGCTCAATCGAGACATGGCCAGCAAGAAATGACGGAAGAAGCGAAGGTCCTGCCTCTTGGCCGCAGACTTGAGCAGGATATTAAAGGTGTCCACCGTCGCAAGGTGCTCGGACTTGAGAAAGATGGCACGGGCCGATTTCAAAAACTCATGATCGAGCAGATAGGAAATCGCGTGATTCAACGCCGCCGTCGAGATAAAGCTGGAATAGGATTCATTTCGAAACAGTTGCACAAGCGCCCTGGCCACTTGCTTCTGGTGGGAGTAGGGAATCTTCAGGTTGTATGACGGCTTCGCCCTGGTTAATTCCTCCACATGTTGAGCGAAATCCCGGACCCCGGACAAGGACTCGCCCGCAGGCAAGATCGTGTGTAGCTGCGCAGGGTTTGTTACTGCCGATCGGATGTCCCATACACCGCGAACCAGCGGGACTGGAAGATTCTGGCGCTTCATCGCCTCCACGGACGGGATCACTGGCACAATTGGTATCTGGACATCGACCAGAGGGTCTTTGAGTTCTTGAAGCCTTCTCGCCTCCGCGATCTTGCCGCTGACCACCTCAACGACGCGCTCGGAGCCAGACAGGATCACCTTGCGGAATCGACCCTGACTCTCACGCGGATGCCGCACATGAACCCGACATCCATTATGAATCGGCACACACCAAACATTCTCCTTTAGAGCCATATCCGTCACGCCGGCTAGCAGGGCAACCGTCTCCTCCGGCACCAGTATTTCCTTCTGCACGGTTCCCTTTCCTTCCCACACCTGCGTATTTTTCTGCATATCCTCGAGCATCTCGCGTATCCTGGTGAACTTGTTCCATTGTTCGTTTCGCCCCTGGCGCACCTGGGACTTGGTCAAGAACAGTCGATATCTCAACTTGCGTCGATCCCGGTGCGATAGCCGCTTCATGACTTCACCGGACACTGCCGCTGATTCCGCATTTTTCTGACTCGAGAAAGGTGGCAAAGGGTGCGTCTGTATATCGGAGAAGATGTTGAAAACGCGTCTAGCACTTTGTGCATCAATTGGCGCTCCGGTATCAATTTGTCTGTAAAGTGTCGTATCCTTTCGACTCTGTCCAACGCCCTCATTCCCTTCCTGTGCGGTGTCAAGCCGTCCATTTTCGTCTTTCAAATCCAATCCCTTCTCCCCTTCAAGCGAAGCATCCACTTGCCTCGGCTCTTCACCATCCCCACCATGTACTATCCTCGCCTGTCCTTCATTATTCCTCTCCACCACCTCAACGCCACAACCACCACTTCGACTCCGACTCTCCACCGAAACCCATCGTCTCGCCTCGCCCCCAATCGAATTGACAACCCTCGGTACCGATCTTGGTCCCGATCTCGACCTCTCAATGAACCTCCTCCCAGCAGCACAATATGAATCTCTCCTTTTCCCTGCTGTCGTCGCCGTCGAACACGAACAACAAGACGTCGTATACGTCGCCGAGGAAGCAAGTCTCCGTGAACGAACCGCCCAACGCGGATATAGAAAAAGGAGCGGCGGTTCTTCACTGACCGGAGGAGGAGCAGTCGTGACGGTGTCTAAGACGGTAGATAAACTACGTCTTTTGAGACACGGACGACCACGAGATAACATCCGGGCGTTAGATCATGGAAGTGAAGAGGGAGGGGGAGGGAGGAGGTGCCGGTGTCGGGATGTCCGCGGAGCTTTTGTTCCAAAAACTTATGGTTAGGTTGGGGGTGGTGGTGGGCGGTCAGATTTTGCCAGTCTACCTGGTATTATACTATTATACTATGTATCTATATGGCCGAGTCAAAGAGAATTATAGCAAATAGTAATATAATTAGGTAGTCACTAAGAATAACAAAACATATCTCAATACATCCACCAAACTCCAACCTCCACCTCCAACCCACCCACCACACAAAATCACGAAGAATACCGATAAATATGCCCTTCCCTGCCCACCTCCGCCCCTTCAGGAATGCCCTTAATCTCCCCCCCATCATCCATAGGCTTAAATGAGAACTTGCCCGCATATCTCGCCAATAAACTACCCTTTTTCGGGGCAGGGGTTAAATCCAACATGTCTGTTCTGGAGGCCCGGTTCTCGGTGCGGAGGACTTCCGGGCCGGTCAGATGGCGGTGGGCCGCGTCGGTGGCTTTTTGGAGATGGGTGAGTTTGCGGTGGAGGGCGGCGGGTGAGGGGGAGGATGGGGATGGGGATGAGGTTTGGTGGGAGAGGTCGGTGATGAGGTCGGTTAGGTGCGTGTAGAATTGCCATCGGGAGGCTTGGAAGACGAACATGGACATGATTTCGGGGATCTGGGGATGTTAGTCTTGAGGGGTTCAACGGGGAAGGGGTGGGAAGGTATGGTATCAACCTGCTCATCCAAATAAAACAATTCCTCACCACCCTCCTCCACAAACCGATCCAACGCATCCATCTTTTCTCGATCGACAATCGCAACCCTCAACGCATGCATCAACGCCGGGATATCCGCAATCTCTTCCACCGGCGTCTCTTCCTCCTCACCGACCTTCGTCGTCGTCCGACTCAAACTCCCATTCGTATACCCCGCCGACGCAGTCGTCAAGCCCGCCTCACTCGCCGCCCGCCGTTTATTCTTCCCCGAATGAATCGTAAAATAATCCTCATTCAACCGATGCGCCATCTCCAGTCCCGTCCGGCCCCGTCGATCCACTAACCGCTTCGTCCGTACCCGTACCCATCTGCGCCGGCGCACGAAGGAATGGAACCACGGATGCGACCCATGCCAGGCCGACGACGTAAACGAGAACGAGTACTGCCAGCCCTGATCGTCCACGTCCCCGGACATGTCGACGTACCAGGACCGCCAGGCCCAGACCCAGCTGGGGTCCGGGACCTGCGCGTTCGTGATGTCCACGGGACTGTCGCGGAGGTCGGCGGTCGTCCAGGCAGAGGGGTCAAAGTTAAGGAGAGAGCTGTGCGAGTAGAGGGGAATGCCGAAGAAGAACCATCCGCGTTGGTTCTCGTAGAGAATGTCCAGCTCTGTGTTGGGCTTGAGACCTTTCAGTTTCTTCGGCTGTTCGCTTGCGGTGTGGCTAGGTTCTAGCGCAAAGTCCGTGACGCCGACATCTTGAGATGGGGGTGTAGGTTGTTGGCTAGGGCTTCTTCTGGATGGGGTATTGGTAGTGGCTGTCTCGGTTGCAGAGAGGTCTCGTCCGTCTGAAGGACGTCTGCTCGCTTCTGCACCGTCACCATTATCATCGTCATCATTGTCCGTGACACCCAGTCGATCTGGTTGCCATTTAGCGTATTTGCGCTTTGCGAGCTCGCTGCGAATAGACACTCGAGTCCATTTTCGGGAGACGTGGCCGCCGGCGGTTGTGGTAGGGGTATCGGATTGACGACGCGGCGCGGTATTATCGATGAGGGCAATATTACCCGCATTCGAATCCATTATGAGAGCCTTCCAGGGCTAGATATATAACACTGCTGCGAAAGAAACTAGTATAGGGATCAAGACGAAGATCATTGCAGCAGGAAGGGGGCCATTCTGCAAGACACAGCAGCGAGTATTGATCCAGGAGCACCAGACCCCAATTGAACAGTGGAAAAAGAGATTAAATGTAACGGGCCACAGCTATGGCTATATAACGAAAAGAGCGACTAAAGCACCAATCTGCACATTGTGCGACAACTCACCAGGAGATCACCTTGCTGAAGAAAAGAGGGAGGCCTGGCAAGCAAGGCAAACTTCCCGATCGATGACATCGTTTGCGGGGCGATCGACGCGCCCTGCCGGCTGCCTGAGGCGCAGAGCCCCATACCACCACCACCTCCTCCTCCTTTCTCTGCCTCAGGCAAGAACATGCTATCTCGTATCTCCGGAGAACACCGCAAACAGAGGATCTACTCCGACGCGTCCCCCTCATCTACCTCCCCAACCAAAGCAAAAAGGAAAAGAAGAACCAGCAAAATGTCCACCGACCACCACCGCAAAATCGAACTCCAATCCGCCGCCGACTTCACCTACCTATACGCCAACACGGTCGCGCTCTCGCGCCAAAAACTCGATCTGCATCTTCCCCCCTCCACGAATCCCAATGATGGACCGGATCCGATGCGCGAGCGTGTGAGGGAGTTAGTTGATGAGGTTTGTTTTGCTCCCATAGCTTTCCCTCTTCATAATCCTAGATCCCATCCCCACCAAACAAACAAACAAAAACAACCTCACTAACACTCAATCTAAAAAAAAAAACACAGTACATCCACCACACATTCACAACCGCCTCCTCCTCAATCAGCATCAACGGCCTAGATTCCACATCCCCCGAGTTTCCCTTCCCGGGGGCCTTCACCGCCCCCACGGAACAAGTCGAGTTCGAGGCATATGACGGGAAACTAGCGGCGCGGGTGACGTCGTTATATGCGCAGTTGGAGTCGTTGACCACGACGGTGGCGCAGTTGAGACGCGATGCCCCGGGTCGCGCGGCTAGGTTGTATGCGGAGCAGTTGAGGAGGGCGATTTTGGAGGATGAGGATGAGGATGAGGAGGGGCAAGATGAGGAGGTGGAGGAGGGATTGAAGGAGGAGAGTGAGCAGAGTGCGGAGGGTGAGGGCGGGGAGGGGAGGGATACGGAGATGCCTGATGCGGATGTCAATGGGAATACGAATGGGAATGCGAATACGGAGGAAAAGAAGACGGAGAAGAAGACGGAGACAAGGAGAAGACCGATGACGAGGGCCCGGGCAAAGTTGGAGCTTTCGCTGGGATCGGAGCATGAGGCGGAGCGTTGGCGGAGTGGTGAGATGGCAGAGGTGTATGAGGACGCGTTGCGGACGTTGTTGCGGCTTCAAGGAGAGGGCGTGCCCGGCCAGGAGCTGTCTAGTGCTGAAGGACCGGACGGGAATGCCCTGGCTTCGACGCTGGGCAAGGCCGAGCGAGCTGGACGGGCTGTCGAGGTGGTGGAGAAGAAGAAATGAGCATTCCTGGGTTTATATTTACATCGGATTTTGTTACTGGTACGGGTCGGCGTGGAGGTCTTGGATGATACCATGGGTTTACGAGGATTTACAATAATGAACAACTGCTATCAGGGTTCGGATCACGATCTATAACGCTGTATGAGTATATACCCTGATCTACCCAGAGCATGCGGTCCACATAACACTTTTTATCATCTGCCCCATTACTGCTCCCGCTCCATTTCTATAAAAGCACACCCCGCGCCGCTCATATGGTGTTTGATATCTGACTTCAAAAAGCACGACCAAAAGCAATGACAAATGACAATGACAGGCTCGCCGGAAAGGCCCTACAGCAACCGCCCCAGGCCTCCTGCGCGTGCCTCGAAAAAGAACAGAGAAAACATCCTTTCATGGATCCCCCAGCAAGACAGTTCTAGAAAACAAAAGAAGGGATATAGATTGGCAAGATAGTGCCCGAAGCTTTTACCATATTGATCCAAAATGTAGAACGAGAAAACCGACGATGGATGAAGTAATGCCTCTATGCGGTGGGCTGGTCGGCCTGAGCCTCAATCTCCTTCTCCACAGCGGCCTCTTCGGTCTTGGTCACCTCCTTCGGGGCAGCCCACTTGGGGTCCTTGGCCCACTCAGCCTCCTGCCACGGGCCCATGTCGCTGAGCTCGCAGCCTCCAGCGCACGAGCAGCTACCGCCGAACTCAGTGGGGAGGTTCTCAGCGGGAACCTGAGCCAGCAGCTCCTTCTTGTAGTTGGAGCCGAGGACGTGGATCTTGTTCACGGTCACGGGGTCCAGGAAGCCCTTGACCACGCTGAACACGCTGCTGAAACCCCAGGGGGCGTTGATCAGGTACAGCTTGCCCAGACGCTCAGGGTAGTAGTTCTGAGAGATGACAGACGCCTGCTTGACGTATCCGTACACGGACGGGACGCTGGTGATACCGACGCCCTTGAGGTCCATGATAGTGCAGCAAGTCTCGAGCAACTTACCCGCCTTGCGCGAGCAGGCGGGCAGACGGGGGTCGGCAAGCTTCTCATACTCGGTCACGAGATTCTGCAGCATGCGCTCGCCGGTGGTGATCTTGTACATAGCGTTGAGATCGATCTTGCCCAACTTCTCGATGTAGACGGGTCTGCCATCCTATTTGATCCCCGATCGTTAGCGTCTCGACCAATCTAGCGGTGGAGAAAGAGCGGTCTGTCGGCATTATACACACCTTGTCCGTCTTGTGGTAGTACTGGGGGTAGTATTGGAAGACTTGGGCCTTCTCGTTGTATTCGAAAGTGCGGGCCAGCTCGTCCGTGCCGAAATCTTTCCGCCACTTCTCACACTCGACGAACCTTAATCCCGAGGAGTGGATGTTAGCGCGCGTCTGCAGGATTCAAGTCTCATAAAAAAGGAGATATCGAACGGAAGAATCATGAAACGGAGGCCAGAGCAGAGACTGCATCTCCAACATTCACAGCACTCGCATGGCACAAATTCCAGCCAACGATGTCAGACGCAGAACGAGGCAAAACGTACATGGTCTTAGCAGCAGCCACATCGAACTTGCGGGCTCTGAGGAAACGCAACAGCGTCAAGGTATCCAGTCTCTCGGTGTAGCCAAGCTGTTCCAGCTCGGACCGGAGCTGCTGCACCTTCGCATCCTGCTCGGGAGTAGTGTGACCAGGGTGGCCGGGCTGGGCTTCCGGCGCGGTGGTCGGGAAGTCGTAGTCGTCGTACTTGGACTGGGGAGCGGCCATTGTGACGGTGATGAGGGATGAAGAGGTGTGAGGGAGGGGAAGAGGGAGGGTTTAAGAACAGTCAAGAGGCCCGTGGACGGGAAGGTTTGCAGTTCAGGAGGGATGAGGAGAGAGGAGAAATTAGGCGGTGCAGGGGGGGGTAGGGGGAGTGGGGAGGGACAATTAAGCGGGATGTCGCAGATAGCGTTAAGGGGAAGGAGGAGAGGAGGAGGAAGACTTCCCAGACGATCGGAACTGGAAATCAACCAAGAGGCGGAGGGAAAGGAAGAAAATCGAGAGGAGGAGACCAGCAAGAAGAGGGAAAGTCGAGAAGGCGGACAGAACCAGCAGGCTAGACGGAATCAGAGTTACTTTGGAACCGCCGGGCACGTCCTCATACAACGACTCTCACCTCACCTACGATGACTACGACGACGACTACGACGGAGTGACTGCAGAGTACAGACTGACTGACTGCCGACTGAGGGGGTGCCGGCCTGAATTCGTTGCCTGAGATCGGAGGGGCGACACCTGGGAACAATTCTCAAGGCTTACTTCTCGCCCAGAGATCCCGGATTGATTGGCGGATTTTAGCGCCCAGGTCGACACCCTCCTCCTAGGCTCCTTCATTGTCATCATCTGCTCTGAAAGCCACCGGTGCGACCCCTGAGAATCCATACGGGTGGGGGGCTCTTCGCCGGTCGCCATCGACGCCCCAGCCGGCAGTGACGTAGGTGTCCTCGTCTCTCGCTGGTTGCCGGGCAAGTTGGCCGAACATCACCCGCCATCAAACACATTCCCCTCCCGAGATCCATCAGATACGACTAGTAGCTGCACGGCAGTTACATAGTACTAACAAAGATAGCTCAGGTCGATCACATCATGTCCAGGAGCAAACATATTGAAATGGCCGGGGTTGCAGACTGCTCGCGGTCCAGCCACCACCGAGCATCCTCATTAAAGCCATGTATATTCGGCGAAACCACACGCTAAATCCAAAACATATAGGTACATATAAACACAGTGCGGCATGACCGGCGGCCCCTATCGAACCTATGAAACAACGCACGCACCCAATCTCATCAAACTGCACTGGCATTGGCCAAACTCAAGCGCAAATCATTCAACGGGGTATAGCCGTCGCAAGGACAAACGAAAAGCAACACTGGCCATGGCCACTCGCCCCCCGAGCCAGCGAGGAAAGAGTCCGGGGCCACGCCCGGGATCGACAAGCCGGCCGGCCCACCAGATTACCGCCCCGCATAGGAGACCTATCTCGACATAAAACCAAAAGGAACTGAAACAAAAACAACTCATCTTATGCATCCATGGTCGGCTCCCATCCCTTGGGGCGCCGCGTCGGTGAAGTATACAATCAATCGTCCATCTCCAGGTCATAACGTAAGATGGAGGATTCAACAGACCACACTGCCCAGGTCTTCTGTGCATGTTGGCATTCCCAGTGCCAACTGTCGTTCATCAAACCGGCGGCTCGAGAGCAAAGGCTTGGGGCTGGGACCCGACCTTGAAGCTTGCCGGTGACTATTCGCTCCGTTTCATAGACATCGTGATAGAGTGAGGTGGAGATGTCCTAAAGGGTTCTCTTTACCACCCTTTCTTTCGTGCAAATCGTTTGTTCAGCAGCAAGAGCACCTTCGAGACGTTGAACTGGACGTATTCCAGATCCAAGTCTTCCTGGTTGTCTTTTTGCATCTCGAGGAGATCATCGAGCTTGAGATCTAGCTCCAGAAGGCCACGGGCACGCCCTATGCATTCCAAATTAGCAACAGATTACAGTCGTGGGGTTATCATGGGCCTACCTTTGTAATGCAGGCTAATCACAAAAGTGCCTGGCAAAGGACTCTTGAACATGAAGTAGATGTTTGCTCGTCGGTTTTCTGGAACGTTACTCTTTCGAATGACGCCTTCTTTTTCAAGCTGCTGGTGCGTGAACTTGTACGGCCCAAGCTCCTGGTGCTTTTGTTGTTTCCGCTGCTTTCCCTCTGACTGGCTGCGAACATTGTGTAGATACGATTTGTACGTTTCCAGCTGGCCCACCAAGTACGCATTGTGGTCGCGTATGGTCGCAAAGACTTCTTCCAACTTTTTCGTCTCCTCCAAGACTTTCTCTTTGAGAGAGCCCAGGTGCACCAATTCTTGCTCCACCTCGTCACGCAGGAGACTGAAGTCATCGGAACGGTCAATGACTCCCATCTCTTGCAGTTGACTCAGAAGCTCCATGGTGCGAATGCCTTTCCGGACCATCACCGCGTCGTTTTTCAGGGTTGCGGCCGTCTCGGCAATGCGATACAGCCGGAGCGGACGACGGGCTACCAAGGAGTTCGGAGGCAGCGACCGTAGAATTTGGACGAAAGTGGACTTGGCTTCCATGAAGAAGACCTCTTCTTGGGTGATATCGAGAGCTGCAGTCAAATCATCCAGGGAGGTTTCCCATCGGCTAAACAATGGTACTGTGATGGTCCTGTTTTCCTTGCGCGGGACCTGTGGTGGCGCGGAACCGAGCTCCTGCAAGAGCTCGTTGAGATGGGAGTGCTGGTCCTGGGCCAAAGCCAAGCTGTGCTTCTCCAACAATGCATGGGTGGCATACATCTCATTGAGGGTGATCTGCAACTCCAGGTCGCGCTTCGAGAGCGCTACGTAGTTGTCCATCTCCAAACTTTCGTAGAAATCCTGCACCTCACACAGATCAAGCATAAACTTGTTCACGCGCTCTTTGTTCTGTTGAATGAAAGGCTGCAGCTTCGCCATATACGGCTCCTTTGCGTAAGAGGGTTTGTTGGCCAGGTTTTGAAGCATCTTCGCGATCAGAGTCAACGTGCGGCGAGGTTTCTCCGTGGGCGTCGACTCGATCAGCATATACGATCGGGGAGTGACAATAGCGGGGTTAATGAAGCGAAGGAAGAAGAATCCTCCGATCAGGGTACAGATGGTCTGGTCTTGCGCGTCCGGGTACTTGCGCCGCGACAAGCTTCTAATCTGCTTGCAGATCCACCGAATACCGTACGGGGTCTCGTCTACGGAGTCGATGATGGTGGTCAAGAAGCGGTTGGCATGGTCGGTAAGCATCTTCAAACGCGGCTCGATGATGGCCTGCACCTGCGCGTTTTCTGCTGCAGCTTCCGCCGTAACGGATCTGGCAAGATGCTCCGGCAACGATCCTTGTTCCTCTTCGATCTGTTTGACCATCGTTTCGTACACCTTGAGCGGGTTAATCTCCAAGTCCACATCGCGCAACTCGATCAGGGCGTTGATCTGGTTGGCAAGGACTTGTTTCAGGTAGCTCTGACCAGGACCACGCCGGGTGTAGGTGGTCATCATGCGGGAAACCGGGGTATTCTGGCGCAATAGCGACGAGTACTCCGGAGTGTTGTCGAACTGGTAGGTGAGCACAGACTGAAACATGGTGAGAAGCAGGTGTTCTTCGCGACTCTCGTACTGGTTTCCGTAGATGGTGAACATTACAGTCTGCAGGAGGGAGTCGATCTCGGACATGGAGACTAGGCGGCACAGGTGGGCGATATGGCGGGGTTCGGACTGAAGCAGAAACAGAAGGTTACCGTACTTTTGCGTCCTCTCGTCGTTGGGAAAGAATCCCTCCTGGGGATCTATCGCCTCGTCAAGGTGGCTGGCAACTTCGTTTTGCTAGAACCTCGTTAAAAGCCACACACACACTGGGTAGAGATAGCGATTCTTACTTCTTCCAAGGCCATACGGTTCTGAATCAACAGGGCTATCCGTGAATCCAGATACCGAACATCTTTTTCCAGAACGAAATTCTTCTTGGATTGGGATGAAATCTTCGACTTCAATTCGCGCAGATATATTTGAGCTGTCGCAGACAAGTTAGCACTCGCATACTCAACAATTCCCTGAATGCAGACTGACCTCTCGCCAAGTCATCTGATATTTCCAAGTCTCTGTCCTTGGCATTCATCGACATGTACAGCGCAGTGACTGACAGCCGCTTCGACTGGCGGAGGGATCGAGTATCGTGGGAAGACATGGTGTTTTGACGTGTGACAGGCTGGAACGAAGAAGATGAAGACGTCGAAGCTCTCGAGGCAGGTTGTAGCATCGTAGCAACGGACATTATGTGTGAAAAAGGAGCGTGGGGATGTCTGCCGGAATCGAGCAGCACACAATTAAGCGTTCAGCGCGATTATGCGGATGAACACCAGCCACGAGATTCCACACCTCCGATATAGCAATTGTGACAGTCTGAGCACCGGTCGCAGGATCCAAGTGTTAGAGCCTGCTGGTCATCTGGAACGAGACAATCGATGCGGCGACGTTACGCAACAGGCGAGTTGAAACCCCTTATCGCACGCGTGGAGCAAGTGTAGCCGGGAGGCGAACGAGGTAGAATGAGCGATCGAGTCGAATTGTCGAAATAATTGACGAGTGTGGTGGTGACAACGTCTGAATCGTAGGCGCCGCTAGTCGCGAAGGAAAGGGAGCAAAAATAGGATGGAGAAAAAAGCAAAAGGCGATCGGGATGGAGGATTAACGAGAAGCGGAGCGCGATGGATGCGATCAACAGGAGGCGTCTCAGATACTCTCCGGGCGGTTATTATAAGGGTGGACTGGAGGCAACGAGATGGGCGCTGCGAATAATTCCGCGTCGAGAGGAGGGAGGAGATGAACGGGTGATTAAAGATCTGGGAGCGGTATGGAAGAGGAAATTTCCACGGCCGAAGAAGGAAGGAGGCGCAAGGCAAGGATGGCGAGGATTAATTAATGGATCAATGGAGAGAGTCTGGAGGGGGCAGGAGGAAAGACGCCGGTCGGATGCAGAGGAAAATCAATCAGGCCGCCTCCAAGGGGAATTGGAATGAGGACAGTGAATAAACGGTAAAGTAAGTTAAAAAAAAAAAAAAAAGGAGAGCGCACGGGGACAATCCAAATCAACTTGAAGAATGGAAGAGGATATCAAAGGACGAGGATAGACGATGACGACGACGACCAGACAAAGATTGTACGTCGTAGAAGTAGAAGAAGAATAGGATTGAGCGGGTGCTCCAGCAGCAGGAGAGAGGGGAAAAGACACAGATGGTTCGCGAGTGGCCAGGGAGGGGAGAAATAAATCCGTTAGGGGTGGAGTTGGTTTCCGTGACTTGCAGCGGACGGGATGGAAGCAGGTACCAGGAGTTGCTGGGAGCAATTAATTCGTCAGGTTCAGTGCAGAGTATCGAGCTGGTATATAGATTGGCATCTACAGCCATCTCAAGTTTGCTTGTTATTTTATTATCAAAAAGTTTGTCTCTCTGTCTACTGACAAATGACCTGTGCGTGGTTTCTTTTCTTCACCCTTTCTTTTGCCATGCGCGTAAAACCGTGGTGCAGGCTTGCAGCAGACACTAAATCCATCCATTGCATGAGAATTGAGAACGGAGGGGACCGAGGGAGGGAGGAGGGGGGCACACCGAAGGGAACGGAGCACAGGGTGGTCCAACGGTAGAACAGATTACCTGATGGCCTCTCCACCAGGCAGCCCCAGAGACCCAGCGAACAATTCCTGTTCCTGAATTTGGTCCCTACGACTGACTCAATTTCCCCCTCCAGCCAGCCCTTCAGTCCAAGACGGATTGGTTAATAAACCATCATCCGCAACCAGCTGACAGACCAACGAGGTTGAATTAATCAATGCGTCATGACTGTCAATCCCAGACAAAGAATTCAGAGACATTCTCAGGTCCGATGTTTTGGATATAATACTATGTCAACTGCCAGCTGCCAACTGCCAACTAGCACCTAGCCATGACGGGGTAATAATTTAGCGTTCGTTCCATTCCATTTACCCTTTTGGGTCTCTCCCTAAACCTTGCGAGCGACCGACTCAAATTCTCCCGGATGGTCGCTAATGACATGGTTGAATCATCATATTGATAATACTAACTATCTACTCCGTACTCCGTATGTACCCTCATCTTCAGATCAGTCCATTCTCATCCCGGATCTACTCCGTACTCCGTCCCTCAAATGATGATATCCGGATGATCGTCTCCCGAGCACTGGCAGTCCTCGACCGTCGGATGGTCCCCATGCAAGACGACGCAAGGGGAACGCAGCGGAGCCCACCTCATCTACCGCTTGCACGTACCGGCCAGATACAGATAGATACTAGATACTCCATAGTCAAGCGTAGACTCGGGGCTAAGAACCCGACCCTAGATTAGAGGCATTGCACCGCTCGCATGGCACATTCCAAGGTTTGCAGGAAATTTTTAGTTTCGCATCGAGTCCGTCCCCTTTTCCCCATCCGTCCGTCTTACCCCTGGCCCAATGCTCCTCCGTCCACGGGTACCTGAGTCTTTCCTAGTGTCTAGTCTGTAGTCTAGTGTCGGTCGGTCGGAACAGGCGAGGAGAAGCGAGCGAGCGCGAGCGATCTGCTGGCCGCGACCAGTGACCGACCACTGACCATTGACCACTGACCAGGACCACACGGCACTAGTTCGGGTCTACTGCTGCACACGCAACCGTGCAGTATGAAGTGGAGGAAGGTAGGAGAAACTGGCAAATCTTAAATAGGTCGATCAGTCCTCTTCCGTAGTTCTTAATTTCACCTGGAGTGGTGCCCGAGCATCTGTCAGCGTATTCCGTAGTTATCTGCTGGTGTGTGCTGTGTACTAATTCCGGGGAGGGGCAAATTGCGCTGGTACCTGCAGAAAAACCACTGCAGTGAACTAGAATCTAACTTTAGCCACCTGCCAGTCACCAGTGTCGACGGTCGGTACCACCGGTTCACAGGAATAAGATTCACGTAGGACAGACAAATGCCGGGGGGCGGAGGGGAGAGGGGGAGGGGAAGAGGGAGCGGAGTTAATTGACTGAATCTTAAAAAGGACCAAGTTTCAGATTTTGTGTCCACGAGACTTCCAGTTATCCATGGATGGAAACCGAGGAGGGTTTATGATTTGACGCCCGGGTTTGTTGGCTCGCGGATTTGAACTCTCGTGTGCTGGGATGGTGGCCTATCATTGGTGTGTCTGTAGGGTATCTGAATCAGCCACGGTTACTTAACTAGTTAGTAGTATTCGTAGTGACTTGGCTTGTCAGTCCCTGCTTCAGGTATTTTTAACTGTCAAACTGTCAAACTGCCTAGTCACGGGGAGGTCGCTTTGGCCCACCGTTCTTCCGGTTTCTTTATTTTTATCAGCTAGGATGTATGCATGATCAGTGAATACGAGAGATTGGAGCATGTATCCCATGAGCAGCAAGCAAGGCTACCTCATACATAACCTTACAGCATTACATGCGAGACATTTAAGAGGCACAGGTACAGGCACAAGTGGATAAGCCATGCGAGTCAGTACCCCCATAAGCGGGGTCCAAACACATACAGTAGTATCTACTCCGTACAATCGCCCTTATCAGGATCATCTATCTCGCAACACTTACATACCGGAGTTTCTTGCCTCTATCTAACAGACACCGCATAATGAGTCGCCACCGCAAACTCTACACCATATCCTAAACACTGACCTCTTGGTCATGACACCTACAATAAACAAACGCAGCACCTACCCGTAATGAATGCCCTTGTAGCTCCCTACGTAAGTTCTTGGTATCTTGGCCTTCAGATAGATGTAGATCAACCAGGGGGTCATCATTCTCAGACCGTGCCTAGGCTTGGCGGTCTATTCCATTCCATCCTCATCCACGCATACAATCCACTAGAATACGCAGTATCTTTATGAAAGTAATAAAAAAAGAAATCTGGTCGAGATACAGTGGATTACTGGAGCTGAGCTGAGGTCGCGCACGAGTCATGAAGCGAGGTGAATTGAAACACTAGCATGATACGGCCCGCGGTGTATGCGATAGTATGGAAGCTTATCCAAAATCTATACAGATTACGGAGTACAGAGGGCATGGCTTTCCCCATATCCTGCACCATATCAAAAGCAAAGATAAAGGATCGACGCTTCTCGCTTCGCAGTAGCAATGACCAGCATCATCCTCAGCTCCACATTACCATCCACACATGCTTCATTTTGCAAGCACATCTAACCTACTCCGTACACTAGCACAAACACAAAAACCCACAAACCAAAATATTAAAAGCAAATACAAAAGGTCCCTCCCAACCTGCACAATAACCTCCAACTTTAATATAGTCAAGTTCAATAGTACGTACAGCACGCAGCTGTCAAAAGCAGGTATATCCCTATCATGCAAGCCCACCCGCAGGTTGATGTCATGGGACCTTTAGATGTCAGCATTAGACGGGAGAGAGAGGGATGCAGCTGAGGTGAGAACAAGCGTGTACCACCTGGAGAGGTGAGGTGGGGACAGGCTGCACCAGCACAGTGACACATGCATGTACCTGCATCTGCATCTGCATCTGCATCTACATCTGAATCTGCATCCCAAATTTCGATGCGCGAGCCCGTCACCGGAGTGATATTGGACGATTAGGCAGAGGTAAGATGGCTTGGACTCTACTATGTGGTACTGGGGTCGGTCTAACTTGTTCGAGGGGTAGTCAACTCTGGATATAGCCATGAGCTGACAGAGAGGGTTCATGTGTGAATCACCTCTGAAGCCATACTCGGCAGGAGAGACCATCTTGCTCCTGGCCCGGGCAGGTACAAGATATTCTCGGGGCATTGTTGAGGTGACCTTGTTGATTGGGAGGATCATGGAGTGATGTGGGAAGTGGTGTGTCTGGATGATGATATGCACAGCAGGCATAGCACCCAGCACTCCGGTTCAACGGACTGTCAGGGTGGGTCTGTGCACGTCCAGGAAATCTCATTGATCATTCGGATTATTCCGAGGAAGAAACCCTGCATTCCTGCATGAACCCTCATACATCTAAAGCTTAAACCGGGATTCTAGACATTGACACAATGAATTGTCCCTACAAGAGCCGCCTCATAAACCCAGTAAAATATCCCAATTCCACCCTATTCTGTAGCTTCATTCCAAATAAAAAGTAGCCGCAATCACATGCAAATCCAAACCAGCCGGCCTCCCCACTCAATTTCTCCAATATTTCAATTCATTTCAATTCAACTCAATCTAACCATCCCCCAAACATCTCCCCATACCTCCAATCCCACCCATCAGACCACCCGCAAGCAAACATGCCCTCCCTCAAAACATCCTACCTCCTAACCTACAACACCATCAACACCCTCCTCTGGCTCCACATCCTCACTCCCATTCTGCTCTCCCCCCTCCAACCCCCGCAAACCACCTACACCACCCTCGAACCCTGGACCCGATGGACCCAAACCCTCGCCATTCTCGAAATCCTGCACGCAGCAACCGGCAAGTTGTCCTCACCCAACATACGAACATACCAACATACTAACCAAAGAAAAAGGCCTCACCCGCTCCCCCATCTTCACAACCTTCACGCAAATCTTCGCCCGCAGCGTCCAAGTCTGGGCCATTAACTACGCCTTTCCCTCAGTGACCAGTCTCGCCCCGGCGTACAAGTACATGCTCTTCGCGTGGTCCGTGGCAGATACCATCCGGTATTTGTATTTCGTGGTGCTGATTTCGGGGGTGCAGGTGCCGGGGGGGTTGAGGTGGTTGAGGTGTGTTTCTTTTTTTCCCTCCCCTTCCTATTTCTTTATGGTGATGGGGGGTGTTGGTTGCTTCTATATACGTACATACACGCTTAGATTGTGATATGTGAAAGGGGATGTGCAACTCAAGAGTAATAAAAAACTGAAACTGATTGAATATGGTGTATAGATACTCCCTCTTCCTCATCCTCTACCCCATCGGCATCGGAAGTGAATGGTGGTTGATGTTCAAGGCCACCGTGGATACAGAGTCTTGGGCTGTTAAGGCGCTGTTTGTTTTCTTTTTGGGACTTTATGGGCCTGGTATGTTACTCCCCTTTCTCCTTGGTGTTTGGTGGGTTTGTGTCTTGGGTTGGGCTAATGGGGATAGGATCCGTGATGATGTACAAGTATATGGTTAAGCAGCGGGGGAAGACTTTGGGTCGAGCTTAGGTTTAGGTCTGGGTCTGAGGTTTGAGGGGATGGGGGGGGGGAGCTGGTCGTGGCTGCAATTTGTGGTAGGTATGAGTGGGAGTGTGAAAGTATATCACGATGCATTAAACCGGGTATCGCTATGCATTTACAAACTATGTCCAGCCCATGCTTTGCGCACCAATCCATTGACCAGACAAAGAACCAACCAATCCAACCAAGTTAACATCACCAAACATCACCGGAAGGTCATCGCCTTGCCTGCCATCTCGCGTTTCTGCTTGCGCACCCCCGACGGCGCCTCCAGCGCCTTGGCGTACGGGTTGTAACGACGCTTGGGCGGCAGTCCCGAGGCGGCCTGGCCGGGCTTGGCGTTAAATACGGACGCTGCGGACTCGTAGTTGAACGGAGCTTCTTCTTCCTTGGCGGATTGCTCGGGCTGTGGTGTTTCAGAGGCCGACTTGTTCTTCTTGTCCTTCCGGCGCTGTTTCTTGGACGGCTTCTCTTCAATATCGAACGACGAACTGGCATCTGTAGTAGGTGCCTCGATTTCGGAGGACGCCGACTGCTCAACGGGCGTCACCTTGCGCTTGCGGGGTCCACCAAGTTCCTTGACGGTGAAGTACTTGTTCTCGTCCTTCTTTTCTTCTTCAACCGGAGCAGGAGCAGCGGGCTTCGAGGGTGCAGGGGCGGGAGCAAGTTTCTCGCGGGCTTCGGACACGGTTCGGGGCATAGGCGGCAGAGGGAGGGAGAGGCGGAGAGCTTCGGCGGACGCAACAGCGGAGTATGCGGGTGTCGCCGGCGGTTCTTGCGAGTCGAGCACAGAACCCCAGAATTGAGAGACTTCGAAGCGCGCGGCAGTGGGGAAGTCGGTCTCCTCCGAAGTGGGAGTCGAAGGACCAGCCTCTGTCGCTGGCGTGGCCGGAGTGCTCTTGGTCGGCTTGACGTACACGTCACGCCACTCCGGGCCATCAGCACCTTCGAGCTTCGCATTCTTGATCACTTCAAGGAGGTCCGCGGCACGTTGCTGAACAATTGGCGTCACAGGCGACAATGTCCGGAATAGGGTGCCGAGGTCGAGGGGCATGGCGTGGGCAACCCGGAAAAGAACGTGCTTCGGGAACACACATTGTACACCCTCGTCCTCTTCTCTAGCAACCTCGTCGCGCCACTGGTGTACCGCCTTGAACACCGCAAACTGTTCCCTGTTGACAACAACCGAATTTCGCGACAGAAGGTCGTACCAGCCGCCGGGCCCTTGTCCAGTGGCGGAATCGTAGACGGGACGCTCATAAATCTGCAGAGCCTCCTTCTTGGACTGATCGGAAACGTAGTCGACGAGGTTGTTGTCCGGAACGGAGTTTTCGACAAGCTCGTTGCGCAAGTGGTCGTAGATATGGAGGAGGTAATGAGTATCCGAGCGAGCATAGTCAAACATGCCTTCCGGAATCGGCCGAATGCGCCAGTCGGCCATCTGGTATCTCTTGTCGGCTTCAAAGTTGATAAACTTCTGCAACAGGTACTTCAAACTGCGCTTCGGGTAGTTCAACGCGCAAGCAGCATGATAAGTGTCGAACATGCCAACGACGTACAGGCCCAAGTCGCGCTGGAGCCAGATAATATCCATCGAGGAACCGTGAAGCACCTTGAGAATGTTCGGGTCCGCAAACACTTCATTGAGAACCTGAAGCTCCTCCCTCCAGGGCTTGAGCGTGTCGACAACCCAATCCTTATCCCGGGTGCTAATCTGCATCAAGGAAACCAGACCCTGATATGAGTGCACGTCGTGATGTTCCAAATCGATAGCAACCTCCTTCGCCTTCTTCAACTCCTCCAACATCTCCTGCACACCCTCCGGAGTATCCACAAAAGTCGCCTTTGTCGACTCCCACGGCTGATAATCGACAGCAGGCGACACACTGTACGAAGAAGCGGGGAATTTCGCCGCACGAATCTCAGTCTCGTAAGGGTTCACATACCCAACCGCGGAGTCAGCCAACTTTAGCGAATCCTTCAACGGAACCATCGCATGCGGCTTCGTCTTCAACAAGGGCTTGAACGGCGACGTATCGGTATTATCGGCGGGGCGCTCAAACTGCAACTGCGGCTTAGGGATCTTCGACGGACCATAATCGTAAACGGTGGGAAACTTCGCAGGGGTCTTCTTCGTAGCCTTGGCCGCAGCCTGTTCCTGTTGCGAGGGGCTCAATTTCTTAATCACCCCGGTGAATTCATCCAAGCACGCGTCGGCCTTTTCCAACAGCGCATCGATCACATCCACCACGCCGCGCCAGTTATCTTCGAGGGCATCTTCGTCGTCCAATGTCGGTGCAGATACATCCGTACCAGCGGTGGCGGCCTTCAGGATCGAGGAAGTGAGAGAGAGCAGTCGATTGCTCTGCTCATCCAGGGAATCCGAAACCTCTGCGTTCGAGGAGCGATGGAAATCGAGATCTTCGGCGGACAGTTGACCGGCGCTGCGCGTCACCTGCATCAGGGACGACTGCACGCGTTGCTGGAGCGGACCGAAATCTGCCGCGGAATCCATGGTGAGAAACAGACCTGACAGACCCGTTGGATTCAACTGATCTGACAGTAGCAATGGTAACTGAACTTCCAGGATAAGAAAAAAAAGCACCCGGAGGTGGAGAAATCGTCGCGCCGGCGTGGTGACCGCCTGCCTAACATGGACTAGTGATCATCACGAGTGATTTCAAAGATGGATTACATAAGAACGATGAAGATGATCTCAACAGCCAGACAGATTCATAGTCATTGAAAGACGCTGATATAGACGAGACAGAGATTCATCTATCTTATACCTTTCACCTTTGAGAAACACATCACCAGATTCCTCCAACCCAAAATGTCCGCCTCAATCGCCCCCGAGTGCAACGATATCAAAGAGTACGAGTCACCAGAGTACCTGATCCTCTATCACAGCACCCCACTAACCAAAAGCTTAGAAAATACGACACATGTTTCCTGAAATGGTACAGTGAAAGTAAGTCCATCACATCATTCAAACATCAACCACAGCCAAGACATCTGCTAACCACACCGACGCAGAATACCTCCGTGGCAACACCACTTCCAATGAATGCGAGGAGCTCTTTACCAAGTACAAGGCTTGTTTGAATGTATGCCCACAGTTTAATCCCTAATGGTAGTATCAATGTGCTAATCTATTCCAGCTCGCTCTAAAAGAAAAAGGCATCGACAGCATGCTCGACGATGCCCGGAAGAGTATGAAGGATAGCGAGGCCGGGAAAAGCTGATTCGGCTGTTTTCGCTTCTATCCTTTCTTGCATCGTCTCTCCTCTCTTGCAAATATTCTATCTAAGGGATGAGGTCCATCTCCGCTCCCACTAACGGTGCCAACGAGGCCCAGAATCCCGCCCTAAGCATCTATCTCATCTGTCTGAGCCGCGGGGACTGTTGATTTGCCACCCGAGCAAAGAACGGATTTATGCGAGTGTACGATATGTCATTTTGGCGTTATGGCAGCATCGGTTTAGATGCTCGCTTTTGTGGTGGGAGTTGTGGCATTGAGCAATATGGCTCATTTTGGGTCAACGCAAGCTGTCTGTATACGATGGGATATTGGTTACTCTCATCTCCGCACATTCTATATATTGCATCTAGCGCTCTATGTATCGTGTATCAACATTATTTACTATATTATGTAATACGCATCAATCATGTACTATCGATGGCCTCGCCGTCTCAGGTCACCCTGTCCGAAGGCCCCTGGAACCTTGAGAATCCCGTTCGCTGCAGTGCCGATTCCGCCACCCATGGATGAGGAGCTGCTGCTGCTGCCACTGCTTGTCTTGCGGGGCTGTGTTAACAATGACCACACCTCGGTCATTGTCGCCCGGCGTGCGGGGAGCATGCTGTACTGCATACCGTATAGGTTGCGACGGTGGATAGGAGGTACGAAGCGGCCAGTCACGAGGCAGAAGATGACCTGGGGAGCGAGGTAGTGTTTGCGCAGACGGTGGCCCAGTTGGAAGTATTGATCGAACATGGCCCGAAGAGTAAGAGGAATGGACTGTTCGAGTTAATAACTGCCAGCTTAACAGGAATAGATCACTTACCTCGAGGTGAATATAAGGTACACTAACGCTCGACTTGCTTGTTGGGCATTTATGGTACTCCTCACGAAGCTCAAAATGGATTCCACCTAGTCACAATTAGCGGAGTATCTTTGGATGGGATGGTCAACATACCTGGTAATCTCCGTGAGTCCTTCACCCGCAGCATTAGAGCAAAAAGCGGGAAATGGTTCAAGAAAGCTAGGCACGTATCAAGCGCCGCTTTAAGCGAGATGATCAACATCCGCGCGCTCGCAAAGGCGAGATAGAAGACAATAACGGTGGGTAAGAGGAAGAAGAGAACGGTGAACAAGATGGTTCCAAGAAGGAGTTGGTCAAGGTCGTAATCGCATGAGTCTATACGGTTGCGAAGCACATTTCGCTTCTTACCGCGGAAAAGATGGAAAAGAGAGATGATGATAGTAAGTTGCCAGTTGAAAATCCGTGCAGATGCGATGTAGAAAGAGTAAATGTGCACTGTCAAGATCGACACGAGGTCAGAGAAAAGGGCAATCGGCATGCTTGCCCCGGCGAAGCTGGAACAACCAACAACGTATATGACGTGTGGCAGATACGGTTGAAGATTTGCGATACAAGCTTGTATGCCGTCAGTCAAAAATTCCAAAACAAAACGAGAGTCCTCAAACCTACCTGCCCAATTTTCTATGACCCACAGGAAGAGATCACCCAGGAATGCAGCAAGCTCGTTGTTGAGCTTCAAACCAGCCGGCCAGTCCATCAGCCAGGAAATGGTACGCTGCAACCCTTCCACAGTCCAGCCCGTCAAGACAGAATTGATTTGAAAGGCCACCCAGTTGGCGTTGTCGATGATGTATGACCCTAATGCAATGCCGATAATCACATCGTTGGCGACGAGCCACAAGCTGTTATAGAATCGAATGTAGTCCGGATGGCTAGTAGTCACACTCTCCCAGTTATCCTTCCTCTGACGTAGTTTCACATACTGAATAGGCCAGTAGCAGAACTGTTGGAGTCGGATATCCACCTGCTGAGCTGTCGCAGATATGTCTTTCAGCGCAGCAGCATCCGGACGGGCACGCCACTCCAGAATTTGCAGGACTATCTCCGCAATTGTACGATGGAAAACAAGCCCAACGATGAATATGCGGGTAATTACAGGCCAGATCCATTGCCAAAAGACATAAGAAACCCCGAGAACGACGAGATCCCACAACGTAGTGGCGGACTCTACAACCCGTTCACCAACACTCATGCTTCTTTTGACACGGATCCCTACCAGGTGGCTATTCTTCTCCATCAGCTTCCCCATTTCATATGCACAGTTGACCTGGTTGATAATAAGGGGAAGTGCTTGTTCTTTCGATGAGGGAACGTGTTTGACGACCGTGTGAAGCTTCAGCTTTTCAACCAGCTTTACAGCCTGACTCTTGCCCCGCTCCTCTTCGGTATTGATCTGATCAGACACATCATCGGATTTTTCCGCAAAGACTTTGTCACCCAATGCCAGCGAAATCGGCTCCAGAGACATATACTCCATCCTAGTCGGATGAGGCCGATGAAACATGATGACCTGGACCGAAAGATTCGTTTCTGGCGGACAGTAGATTCGAGGGACCTTGCCCGACGAGTTTGTGGTGACATAGAGATGCGACGGATTGAAAGCCGTTGGCGGCTCTGGCGAATTGGTCGAGCCTAAAACATGCATAGCTGATCGTCCACATAAAGCGAATATGCGCACAATAGGATGGGGGCTGTTGCGGAAGAGGATCCCCGCCCGTAAGGCGTTGTCGACATTTCGAGGCTATACAATGTTAGCTGCGACACCAGCAACCTCTAGCATGAATGCCAAAGCCAGCTCACCTCCACATCCTCCAGCACTGTCAGCACGAACAAATCCAACTCCGAGTTCCGCCATCCAACAATCACCCCCGGCGATGACGATCGAGGAAGATCGTATGGCCAAAATACCCGTAGCAACCCATCGCTCATGAGCATATTGACATCCTCCACCGCGATCAAAAGGAGCCTCGACGGCGGAGTTGTTCACGAGCGGAAACGCCCAGGTGCACGTATCGGGGATGCTAATCAACCATCAGCCTCTTCCGACTTAGAAGCAGTGTCTTCCCCGCGGCAAGTGTAATGCATACCAATTCACCCTCAGTCGCAGCAAGATGATTGATCGGAAGGACAAGGAGGAAGAAAAAGACCGATAAAAGGAGGAAACCCTTGGCTGTTCGTGTCTGGTGTCGAAAGATGAGTTAGTCTACCACAGATGAATGTAACTGCGCGTGAACCAGACATACCACAACGCCGTGATCCCACGCAAATATAGCCAGTTCGTACAGGCGAGTAACAAGATCCCACCTCGCGGTGATGTAGCCCGCTACGAAGATACCGAGAGTGAGGATGGAAAAGGGGTGCATGAATCAAGCTGGCCAGCGGAGGTCGCTTCAGTTTGCGCGCATTGCTGAGACTAGAGAGCTGGAGCGGGAACGGGAATTGCCGAAGGAGTGACGATCGCAAAACAAGCTGGCCGGTCTTCTAAAAGAATCGAGAACAACGAATACGAAGAGCATCGACGAAGTTGTGTCTCAAGCACGGAGTCGGCGATGGGAAGATGCGGACCGCAACCTTGAGCGTCTAGACCTCCGCGGCTCCACGTGACTTGGTATACATCTATGCGCTGAGCTGTTGAACTGTACAGGCATTCTCACATTGGGCGCCCTAACTAAGTGACTTTATCTATCCGTACCCATGATCCATCGTAGCATACAAACAATTCCTACCGAACTCCCAGCCGCTATCAACCGAAATGACAAACCCATACCCATACCTACAAGGCTTGAATGCCCTGGAACACTTTGTTGGCCTGCAACTTCGGATCACTGTTGACAAGATCGCGCATGATCTGACGCTTCTCTTCAACCGAGAGGTCCTTTCCGGGTGCTTCGATCGCTTCCTTCCACTTCAGCAACATCTCCTTAAGGAGAGCACTGCCCTCTTCCACTTCTTCTTGGGAGTACTTGTCAAGCGACATGTTCGACTCTTGTCCCTGTGCTCCGGAAGAGGTAAAGTCTTCAAGCTCGTCTGCCTTTTGCCGCGCCATGTTGACCACCTTCTCCGGGAAGCGGACCAATTCGGCGACGTGAATACCGAAAGATTGATCGCAGATGCCTGGTTCGACACGGTACAACAGAGTAACCTGGTCACGCTTCGAGTCTCTACTTTCAGCTCCATTGCTTGTGCCATCACCGATAAAGGCCACCACATGGAGGTTCTTGGCGGATTTGGGATACCGATCAGCCAGGGCTGTCAATTCGTGGAAGTGAGTTGCAAACAGGCCGAAACAGCGGATCTCGGTAACGATGTGCTCCGAGATAGCCCATGCCAAACCAAAGCCGTCGTACGTGCTGGTTCCACGGCCAAGTTCGTCGATGATGATCAGGGACTCTGACGTTGCCGACTTGAGGATGTTAGAGGTTTCAAGCATCTCGGCCATGAAAGTCGACACTCCCTTGAGCTGCGAATCGCTCGCACCGACACGGGCAAGAATGCAGTCGAAAATCGTCAGTTCCGCCTCGGAGCAAGGCACGAAGCAGCCCGTCTGAGCCATCAGCGCAATGACGCCAATTTGCCGGATATAGGTCGATTTACCACCCATGTTGGGACCAGTGATGATCAGGAAAGACGAATCATCCCGAATAAGAGACACATCGTTGGTGATAAAGGAGATGTCGTCCTGCATCTCCATACATGGGTGTCGCGCCTCCTTCAGGATCGTATTTCCGGTACCCCGTGGGTGAATCTTTGGACGGACATATGGCGTAGGAGCATGCACGGCGGAATGCGCAAAACTCACAACCACATCCAGATGAGCCAGAACACCGGCAAGCTGCTCCAGGACAGGACAGTAGGAGGCAGCCACATTGACCACCTCGCTCACCAGACCCGTCTGAGTGCGGTTATAGTTGGACGACAGCTGATCATGCTCGCGACGAAGCGCCTGCATTGTCGATGTCGTGAAATAGACGCCGTTCTTCTGGGTCGAGCACTCCTGGTACTCTCTCTTGTTGCGAATGCAGCCGGCCTCGTTGCGAGTCAGTCGGAAGCACCAGCCATGCACACGGTGGTTCTCCATGAACAGCTTCTTGTCCACCTCCTGGTCTAGGTCCCGACCAACCCGGCGGTGTTCCGTGTCCATATCATGGCGCAACTTGTCCAGCTTCTTGCGGATGACGCGCAAGCTCTCATCAAATTCCGGCTTGATGATGAATTCGTGGTTCTCCAACGCATCAAGATCCACCGTCGTCTCGACCATCTCCTCCAGCTTCGCCAAGCTATCCGAGTGACTGCGCAGCTTAGACGTATACTCCTGCTCCAGGGGCGTCTGATACTGCTCATCCATCACGTTCTCCAGCGACGCCACGAAACCCGGCAGGCGAATGGCAACCTGATACACACGGACGACATCCTCCAGCGTCGCCTGCTTTCTCTGGAACCGCTTCGCCAGCCGATATAAGTCCGGAATGGAGCGCAGATGCTCCTCCTGCATCGTCTGCCGGAGCTCCGTATCCACCACAAAAGCCTCGACCAGCTGCTGTCTTTTCTCAATCTCCGCCAAATCCATCAGCGGCTGCTTCAACCACTGTGCCAGCAGCCTGCTGCCAACCGGCGTCTTGCAATGATTCAGCAGCCCAAACAGACTCATCGTCTTCGATCCGTCCCGCGGACCCGGCATCAGATTCAGCGCCCTCAGGGCCGACGAATCTAACTTCATGAACTGCGACAAATCATGCTGATACAGCTGATACTGTCCAAAGTTAGACGAATCCGCCATAACCCCAAGATACTTGATCAACGCCGCCGCCGCCCCCATCGCCAACTTCAACTCCGTCTGCGGCAACGTCCCGGCGGACCTCTCATCCCTCAACAACCTCGTCAAATCCTGCTCAATATCCCTAACCCCAAAATCCCCCGACTGTCTCTCGGAAACCGCAATCCCACAACTATCCGCAATATTGCGCACCTTGGCCAACTCCACATCCTTCCTCCCCACATCCATCTGCACCAAACACTCCTTCACTCCCAGCTGAATGACCAACGACTCCAGATTCGAATACACATCATTATCCAAAAACTCACTCACCCCCAACTCCCTTACACTCGCATCCGCAAAACAAACCCCCACACTCCTCGCCTCCCCCGCCTTCGCCGAAATCTTCACCGCCAGAATAATCGGCGCCCCCGCCTCCAAACTCAACCCCCCCACACTCCCCAGTTCCTCCTCCACATCCTGCAAATTCCCCGGACTCGCCTGCTTGACCATCTTCCACTGCCCACCCCGTCCCGTCCCACTACTCGATCCCCAGATCTCCACCCGCTTATTGAGTCGAAATAACGCCTCGCGCAGAAAGTTGCGAAACACCGTCACGCTCATGGTCACGGACGGTAGACCGCCGGTTTCGCTCCGTCCCAGGTTCCGTAGCACAGAGGTCGTTTTGTATACCGTGCGGGCGATGAATTCGGCTTCGCTGCCGTGGGCGGAGTACCAGTCTCCGCGGTCGAAGATTCGGATTGTCTCGTTGTTGTTGTTGCCATTATCGTTGTCATTGTTGTTGGTGATGGAGCGATAGAAGCGGATGAAGCCGACTTCGTCGTCGACCTGTAGAGATTCAAATGTGGTTAGTATGCGTAAAGGGGGAAGGGGATAGTGGGATGGTTACTCGGAGGTCTGGTCGTGAGGACATTGTGCTCTGAGTCTGTCTTTCTTCTCCAACTGGGAAAAAGACTGGGGAGCCAGCTTGTCGGGTTGGAGAGTGCTGCGGAGGACGGGTGATAGATGATAGTTGATAGGTATGGACGACGCGCCGGCGGGAACGCGGTCACGTGGATACGCGTTCGCGCGCGGGTTAATTAAGTCGTCATTTACGGAGTGCACACCTTAGTGACTAGGACGCTTAACATACCAATAGTAAGGGAAATTAATGTATGATCATTGTTTAACTATTATACATAAATATGCTAATGCTACATACGCTGACAATGCAATCATAATGCCGGAGCATACCAGGCCACCGGATGAGGTATCAAACAGAACATCCATCCAAAAGAAAGACATGTACCCAACGTAGACATCATACAGAAGACACCGTCGTGGACGCATCAGCTCCCTCCCATCCTATCTTCAATTGGGCCACCTTGGCCCCGATCTCCTTGGGCTGGACATCAGCGCAAGACTTGAGCACCACAGACCGCATATGATTCACCGTGACGAGATTCACCCACCCCCCAGCAACATCCTCCCGGGCCAGAATCTCCACAGAGATTTCCACCTCCTGCAGCGAAATGGGACTCCGCACGGAGTCCCGCACATTCTGCGCAATCATCTCCATACGAAACGGCGTCCGCTGCGCCGTCATGACAGCCTTCGCCCCTGTGCCAACATACCCCGCCGGTCTCAGCAACGCCAACACCCCGGCAACCTCCTCCACTCGCTCCGCGGCCGCCCTCCGCAGCAGCATCTCCTTCGACGGCGGCGGCGGCAACTTGGCCTGACGCAGCTGCTTATCCTTGATGCGATCCAGCAGGCCCTTCCGGCGCGTACTCGTCGCATCGACCGGCTTCTCCGGCGCCTCCTCCTTCGCATCAGCGCGCAGCCTCTCCGTCTTCAAGCGAATCACCCCACCCTTCAAATCCTGCAACCGTTGCTGTCCCTTGCGAAACGTCGTAAACGGCGTCAACGACTCATGGATGATGGCCACGCCCAGCGATCCAACGAAATCCACTCTCGTCTCATCGCCATCTACCGCATCCAGCGCCTTCTCCCAGAGCAAATCCACACTCTGCTCAAACCGCTCCTGCAAATCACTCTCACTCATCCGCTCCTCGCCGTCCCGCAACACCCGTTCCAAACACACCCTGCCCAACCCGTAGTTCGCAATCCGATACCCCGGGAATGTCATCGCTTCCGACTCCTGCTCCAATACCCAAAGCAACCGCTGCAGATCCTTAACCACCACCTTCCTCTTCTTCCACAGTCGCTCAATAGTAGGGAGCAGTTCTCGCAAGTCGGCAGGGGCAGTAACACCATTATGCATCGCATGAAGCGCCACAGCCTTAAGGAACGCCGAATGCAAATTCACGAGATCATCAACACATGCTGAACGGCGTTTCACGGGAAGAACCGAACCCGACGATGATACATTCTTCGTAACTCTGCGCTTGGAGGGCGAAGTCGGCGGACTCCCACAACCAGTACCAGTCGTATTCCGAACCGACGACCGCACATAATGCCCACTCCTCGGCGTATCAAGAACCAATTCACCCAACCGAAGGGTCTTCGACGGCGTGACTGCCTCCGTGGGCGTACTTTCCTCCTTGATGTGCTCTGGGCCGCGACAATCGACATTCTCAAGCTCATGCAGCTTGCGTTTCTTGGAAGGCGAGACCGGGAGACTTGTCGTCGTCGTCGTCGTCGTCGTCGTCGTCGTCGTCGTCGTCGAGGGCTTCTTGATCTCCGCGAGAGCTTGTCGGGTAACTACCCCAGGCTTGGTCGTTCTTGCGAAACTCTGAATCCCGGGCTGCCCTCGAGGCAGGGGGGCCTGCCGTGTGGAAGTGCGCGGCATCGCGATTTCCCTAAAATAAAATGCTTTTAAGAAAATAGATTCCTATGTCCTATTGGTGTATCATAGACAATTGGAATAGGAAAGGAGAGAATCCCCGTATGGTATGGAGACACTAAATAGGATTATGGGTCTGCGGTCTGGGGAAGGAGTAAATGTGGTTGCTAGAGGGAGAGAAAGAAATCGATTAATCTTAGGGGGTTCTGGGCGGGTAGCGTAGCGTAGCGTGGGTTTTTTTGGTGGAGCGCGTCGCGGTCGCGTCGTGGCCGGATGGGGTAAGATTAGGTGCGGGTCATGATCCGTTGACTTGACCGATGCTGTAAATGAATGCGATGGGTACTGGATATTCAATGTGGGATTATTTGATGGGAAGGCAAAAGGGGGAATAGCTTACTATTAAAGATATTGAATATTCTTGATAATGGCATGCCATCACTACAGTGATTGTCGGGAATGTAGCATGCTTGAAGCTTTCCCCGCAGATAAGTGTGCAGAATGCAGTATGCTCTAGAACATCCACTCCATGCTCTCTACTACAACCTTCTATGGAGTAGATACGGTACCTCTCCACTCCTAATGCTACTACAACTATAGTCCAACCTACAACTCCAATACAGAGTACGGAGTACACCCACCAAAACCACCAATCTCAAAAAAAAGAAACAAATGCATAATTCATTACGGAGTACCCCTCCAGACCACATCCATCCCCACGGACGTTATCCATAAGACATGCTCATCCTATAATATGTAGGACTAAAGCCCAGCCCAGCTAAGCTCCATTTTCAACATGCACTCCCTCCCTCTCCTTTCCCTCAATGGAATAGAGTATGATGTAGGTGGTTTATTTCTTCCCCCACCACCCCGAAATCGACCCCTTCGCCTCGGCCGCCTTCTCCTCCACTTTTCCCTCGATTTTCTCCGCCCCGGATTTCAACTCGGCTGTTGTGTCGCGAGTGATCTTTTCCAATCGGTTGAGGTTGTTTTTTGCTTCGTGGCGGGATGTGTCGATCTATGTCTCATATCATTAACATCTCTCATGTGACAAGAAGTGAAGTAAAGTAAAGCAAAGCTAGCAAAGCAACAGAAACAAGAAGCTTCAGGGTTTGGAGCAACCTACCGCCTCATCAACATTCAACCTCGTCTCAAAGGCCGCCTTTTCACCTGCCTTCTCGGCTTGATCGCCTGTCGGGGCATTGAGGCGCGCGCGGGTGGCGTCGTCTATATCATCCCACATACCCACATTAGCCATATACATAAACCCAGAAAGTAAAAAATAAAAAAAGAGGATGGGAGCATACGCCTCATCTCCTCCTTCGCAGCCTTGGGATCACCTCCGGCGCGATACATATAGTACCCTCCGGCGCCGAGGGCGGCGATACCGAGGTAGAGGGCGGTAGGGTTCTTGGACATGTTGACGGTGTATAATCGATTCTCGATGTCTTGAGCTTTGCAGTAGTAGACGGTAGATGATCTGTGAGTAGACTATTTGATTCGATTCACGGACAAGGGGTATTTATGTGAGAGAAGAGGAGGTGAAGTTGGCTAACTGGGTGGGCACGATATTGTACTGGGTTGTGTCACAGGGTATGACGTCGTTCGGCCGGTAAGCTCACGAACTAACAGGAGCGACAGGCTGGGCCCTCGGGTTCGGGCCTTTTACATACATCTGGGTGGTACATCCGGTTCGATCAGATGCTGGGTTAGTCTAGTTTGGATTCGTGTCCAGCAGGGTTCAGTATATACATCTATCTAGGTACATTGCTTCGTTTTGTGGTTATGGATTCAGAACTCGGTTGAGGACATACTGTGCTGTAGAGGGATCGGCACGTCGGCTGTCGGAGCCATGGCGAATACGTCACTGCGTGGTCATCGGGCCCGACGCTTCCATGTTCCATGTTCCATGGGGTTCAAGCGAAGAACTGCGGAGTCGACGTTGCTGGGGAACGAGGTTGCTATCGAATCAACCACGTCATGATGCTGGATGCACGAGTCTACATTTATGGCATTGGCATTGGCATCATCTCTGACATTGATCACTGACCCGCAACTAAGTGCTAATTGAACCCACGTCAAAACTTCCACATCGGACACCAAAGAGCGAGAATATAGACAAGCCGAACACACAATCGAAGCCACACCACGACCAGAGTAGGAAACTCCTTCCACAACCTCGTAGCTGAGCTCGAGATCAAGGCCGGGGGTATCTTCATGCACTATGGACAGCAGACCGCAGGGAAACGCCAAAACATGCAAGCCGGACAAAACACGAAGAAAACAAAAAAAAAAAAAAAAACACCCGAACGAAACTGCAATTGTCAGAGAAGCCCATATATTGATCCATCCCACTGATGCATTATTCGTCAGTCATCACATCATAAAGATTCCCGCAGCCGAGCGGTGGTGTGCAGCTCCGAGTAACGAGAGGCTAAGGATCTAGCAATCCGCAGTTATATCCATAACAAAGAAAACGTAGAGGAACCCCAAGGAAAAGGCCGGGCGCCCATACTATACAACTCCGGCTCGAAACAAAAGGAAATGGCAGGAGAACCGAGAAAGATCGACTTCGGAATTAATCACTCTGCTTCGCCAAGCAGTTATACACCCTTCCATGCCCCAAGCAAAGCTTTAGAGGAACAGCTTGGCAGCGCCTTTATTCTCACTCGTAGCAACAGCAACCAGCGCCTCTAGTCGACCCATTCCAGGTTCTCGTGCAGAGTGCGGGAGGAATTCGGACCGTGGGTCATGTTTGCCGTGGTAACTATCGGACGGAGGAGGAAGAGGGGGGCAAGCCTGCAGTTCAATCAGTGAGTTGGCCCTCATCGATACTCCGGGTAACGGGTGCGTACTGCATGAGATGTATCGGAGGAAAATGGGGGGTGATGCGGCTCCACGTATCCGTTGTTGTGCACAATGGCCGGATGGTACTCGAGAGATGCCGTGGAGGGGGTGTGAACCCCTTCGCTGCTACTGGAGTCCTCAGGCGAAGTCCGCGTCGCCTGAGAGCTCGAGGTAGCGTTGCTGTACGAGGGAGCGTGTCCATGCCCTCGGTATTCTTGGAACTGTTGCTGATAAGAGGACGACGGGCGAGAACCCACATTGTGAAGCTCGGCGATGGTTTGCTGGCTCCAGTTCGATGCGTCCCGCTGCGCCGGCTTATCTCGGATGTGCAGTCCGGTGAGGTTGGTGTGCAATGACATGTCCCACGAGACGTGGCCTCGTCGATGCCCAGGACCAGAGATCGGCGGTGCCGGTCGTTTAGCAGGCTGGGTATAGTTGAATCCCCCCCCGAAGTTATAATTCGGAGGCGGCTTGTTAGGGTTGTCGATTTGCATCGGACTCGACCGGCGAACTGGAGGAGTCAAGGGTCGCTGGGCCACCACCTTGTCGAAGCTCTCAATGCCTGGCAGCCGCGGCGGCTGCTCGGCCGATCCGTTGCTAAACGACGGCTTGAACACCTCAGGTGTCTGATAGTTGCTAAGGCCACTCGTAGCAGGCCGAGGCACCGTAGACCAGGTTGAAGGATGCCACGTTCGTCTCCGAAGATCGGCATCGGTAGCACTGTGACTGGTTTCGTCGCGGGCGAGTGAGTGGGATGAGGCGACAGGGCTCGCGTAGACGCTGCCATGGGGAGGGTATGCTTGGGTCGCGACGTAGCCAGGAGGATAGACGTTGACATGCTGCGACGCGAACGGGTTCGCACCCGTGGGAACCGATAGACGGCGGGCGGCAGTCTTGCCTTCCCAGAAGCCCGAGGCCTGCGACGCGGTGGAGATAGGCGACGCTACGTGCGGACTGCCGTTGCCACCGGCCGAGAAGATATGATGGGACGGCGTATAGGGAGATCCACCCGCTGTCGGACCAGGGAGCCCCCGAGCTGGGGGAGTGCTAGGGGCGTCCATCGTGTCCATCAGACGCGCTCTATCGTTTGCCATCATCAAGGGTGCAGGTCGACGGCGCAACTCCTGGGGCTGACTAAATGTAGAAGCAGTTGACGTGATACTGGACGCGGACAAGTTTCGACTGTGACCTCTGCTATGGGTTCCCTGGCTGCCTGCGGTGCCTGCTCGGGCTCGACCCTGGGGGCGCACACGGTCGGTCCGGATTTGGCGCTGAAAGCGTGTCCCAGTGGCCGCGAGAGAGTCGCCAGGAATCTCCTCATTGACATGTACAGTCTGAGCATGCTGTCGGAGGTTATCGAGTCGAGAGAAGCGACGTGAGCAGTGGCACTGAAACGGGCGTTCCCCCGTGTGCTTGCGAATATGTCGTGCGAGATGTTCACTTCGGGTAAAGCTCAGGTTACATGGCGGAAAGTCCGTGCAGTAGAACCGTTGTCCCTTTTTCTTCTTCGAGGGTGGTGCACCTCCCTTATTTTCCGCCTCATGGTCGGAGCCTTCGTCCGAGTCACCGTGCACGGGATCCTCTGAGGTTAGCGATGCGCTCCCCTGGGAGTCGGCATGGTGAGAATCGTCGATGCTAACATTCCGGGGCGTAGGCTCGTCATGGGCGGCGCCCATGGATTGTATGGTGTCAGGCTTGGGATGGGGGCGAGGGGTGGAAGACGTCGTCGCTTCCTCCATGACGCGGTCTGGTGGCGATGAGATATTATTCACAGGTAAGAATGAAGACATATTGACAACGAGGACGACCCTCGATCCCACCGAACAATCTATGTACTAAATCGATGACAGGGCCGCCGAGCGATCGTCGGGACGTAAGCTCGATCGGTTTCAAGGGAGAGGGATGGAGGTTTCAAAATGTCAAAAACGCGGTGTCGATCGCACGATGCTGACTACTGAATAGGTTTGCGCAGCCAAGTAAGCAGGTGAACCATCGCATGTCTCACATTTTTTGTCATGAATTTTTTTACCACCTCCAAAGGATGTAAACAAGGATCTCGTGGAGGGGGACAAGATTTTTTTTTTCGTGGTGGTCAAAAAAAAGTTTTGAAACTTACAAAGGAGGGGACGTGATTCAGATGTTTTGAAATCCGAGCGAGGGGTTGAAGATTGAGGAATGTTGGAGATGGATGGCGATGACCTGTTTAGCCGAATGCCCGACGGAGATGGCGAAGCAAGGGTAGCCAGGTTGTACACGATCGATGGAAGGGAACGACCATTAGGTGTGAGGACGCATCGCTCACGGATCGACCAGGCCGAGTGTAGGTAGGGACAGCTGGTTGATCGGCCGAAAGATAAGACTGGAGAGGAGGGTGAAGCGGCAGAGGGATAGGATGACGGAGAGGAGGTGAGGTAAGGTAGGCAGGTTAAGTTGGTGGTGATCAGAAGAAGCGGGCGGCGTCGGCGGCGGAGGAGGAGGAGGAGGAGGAGCAGGTGGTAGTGGTGGTAATGGCCGTGGTGGTGGTGGTTGAGGTTGGCGGACTCGAATGAGTTTCCCGCTCGGCGTCGAGTCCTGGTTGTGGGTATGACAGTCAGGACACCGACCCAGCCAAGACCTGAACTAATGGCAATAAAAATAGGTGTATCGTGAACCGATCGGGCCCCTGGTTTACGGATCGTCCGGGGAGAAACAAGGAATGCGCGACGGAAACAGTAAAACGAGGACAGGAAAATAAAATAGGAAGAGAAAGGGAAATCCAAGCAAAGCCAATAAAATATGATATGATGAAAGACGTACCCAAAAGAAAATAAGATGAAATATAAATAGATAGGGGGAAAATATCCAGGTCCAAGCTGGGCACTAGGAAATGATGTACAGGCACCAGGGCCACGAGGGGGGTTATTGCTGGAGAGAAGAGGGAGGGGGGGGTGGAAGAAAGAAGGATGAATGGAAGAAAGGGAAGAAGAATGGTGAGAGGTGAGACGGAAGTAGGCGATGAGGAAGAAACAACAAGAGTCGCTGATGGATCCAAACTTAGATTGGAGGAAAAGAAGGGCGAGCGTCCATACAAGTAGGCTGTAACCGGGGTGTGGATGACGGCAACCCACCCACCCCAAACTGGTGAATGGTGACGACGATAGTAGAGGAGGATAGGAGCTGGAGGCTTATCGGAAACAACGGTCGTTCGGCAGCAGGCGGCGAAACGAGGGGCAGACAGGGAAGGGTGACTGGACTGGTAGGACTGGTAGGACTGGGTTGAGGGAGAAGAGAAAGAATCACTAGCCAGCAGAGAGGGGGAAAAGAAGAACGAGACGGCGTGGAGGAAAAGGCTTGGAGAGGATGTACTCCTACGACTCTTGTGCCTACTCGTAGATACTGGGGGTAGTGGTACACGGCAATTACCTACGACCGGCTCAACCACAAGGCTGAGTACCTCCGGTCGGGGGTACAGGGTACTTAGATAGAGGCGGCGACTTGGCCAGTCACCGCTGCGATGCTACGTATGCTCCCGAGGGTTTACAGTTTGATCAGCATGCTGGTGGTGACGATGCGGATTTGTCTGCTACTATTAAGTTCGGGCGAATGAACTCACCGGGGGGTGAAACTGAAGGTTGATAGGTAAACTCTTTTAGCCCCAGGTACTGACGACTTGGTCCGGACCGACCGACACGAATCATCGACGGCCAGGCCGGTGGAGAGGCTCCAGCTGGATGAATTCATGGGCCCTTCTCTTGGCGAGGGTGAGCCTTGGATGGCGAATCCGTTTCATCGAGTCAATCAACCGGCTTGCTCCAGAGTCCCAGCGATCGATACGGAGTCGGGAGGAGGGAAGTAGAGGATACCCCGATATCGCGAGATTAGAGGTATCGCAAAAAGCGTGCCGGCGGGTGAATCGCATACTTTGCCGTACGCGCCGGTATGGCGGCGGTATCAGGAACCCAGCGCTTAGCAATCGCCATCCTCACGGGGCGGGTGGCTCAGACAAGAGGGAAGGGTAACAAAAGGGATGCGCGAGGGGATTCCACTGGTAGACGCTCGGGAATCACCCGGGTGAATGGGCTTCTTCGATTGCTCGGTAAGGCTAGCGAACACACAGAGGACAGAGAGAGAGTCTCGGCCCCCAGGCCTTCTGACACGGTGCCATGGGCGAGTCCATCAAGGGTCCTGTCGACAGTTCATAAACGGGGATTGAGGCACCAGGCACTGCGGCCAGTGGGGCGGCGCAGAGGGGACCGATCGGCTACTTTCTCCAGGTCCCAGGGCTGCCTGTCGAATGGATGCATGACTGGTTGATGATTCATGAATCGTTCTTAGCCGGCTGAGGGCCAGGTGCTGACCAGAAAACCCCCGCGGCTGGTCCACGGGCGGCGACCCTCGGTGACGTTAACCACTCAACGCTTCCAGGACCCTTTGTCCGGTAGGTTTGACGGTGTCAACCCCCAGGCCAGATCTTCCCATCGCCTTTGGTCTGTTGGAAGGCCCGAGCCAAAAAAAAAAAAAAAAAGCTGCAGCACCTATGCGTGGCGTGGCACAGAACAGACCCAGCAATCAGCATACTACCGACTCCGAGATCTAGGCTGCCATGCTGCATGAAAGGCGACACAGGAGTGCAACGACTGCGTAAGCCGGCCAACGCCTGACTGGACTACCAAACGGCCCAAGCCAGCAGGATTCAGCATGGAATACGAACGGAATGTCGCACAATGGGTTCCGGGACTTCCACACCTGCAGTCAGGTGGAATTCTCCGGGCCGAACTCTGCAGTACCTTACATCGGCGTCGTTACGGCCCTTACTCAGGTTTTCGACAGGCCAGCAAGCCAGTAGGCTAGCACTCTATTTGCAACGCCCATCCCGTTCGATTCCCCACCGTGATCATCCACATCATGATGTGGTCAGCGTCAAGGCCTCCGATATAACGTCAGGCCGACCTGATGGACGGCAAAGCTTGTTCCTGATTCACGAAGAGGGCAGTCCGAACCTCCAGCAGGATCCTTCATCGCCGCGTTCAGGACCCTGATAAGGTTCCTGCACGAACTCAGTGGCTGCGGGACAATAGTAATTCAAATCAATTAGACTCTTTGACAACCTGGAGCAAAGTCAAAGCCGGATAGCCTGCGTCTGCACTTTACCCCCCCCCTCAACTGCAAACGGCACGGGGAACGATGGAAGCTTCTTCATCACGTCGATGACATCTGGTTGATGCGGGACAAAGAGGAGCCCATCTGAGGCACGCGGACAGTTAAACGCCACATGTTGGAGTGATGATGTGCTCCCGCGATGGAGAAGCGCGCCGATTGACGCCGACTGCCTGGTGTTCCCCATGCGTGGGGGATCGTTAGTTTGAAGCATGGAAGCGATACCCAAGCAAGAACTGGAGTATATGCGCCCTAAGATTCCTCTGGTTAGGCACTGCTGTGAACAATGCATTAGTGTCCCGCACTGACATTATTGATCGGATCGTGGGGGGGTAGCCTTCCTGGCAGTCTGGCTAGCCCAGTCAGTCTAGTAGTCACTTCCAGTTGGTTTCGCAACACGCAATCCAGGCTCTCCAGGCTCTCCATCTGGAGCTATTCGTCGACATATGTCAGTATGAAGCAACCAACACATCCTGGCTGGCCTGCAACAACCACCGACCAAACTACCGGCCGGAAGTGGCGGCAACTCCAGCAAGATCAGTGTGCACGTCCGATGTCGCCTCCCGGGTCAGGACGGGGTACTCATCTCGTAACATGGGCGGGTAAGTTTACCTTTTTTCTCCTCCTTCATCGCAGAAGATCCGGTCTGGGTGATCGACGTGGCACTGCCAGCCTAGTCGTCCACCAATGATCGGTCCCGATAGCAGGTAAGGCACAGGAGCACGGGCTCCAGCACAGGTAAAGGTACCATGTCTCCCGACCACAGGGCTCCTTCGAGCTAAGAAATGCAGCACAGTAATCATTCGCACCACCGATTGATTGACTAATTGCTAGACTTCCTGCCCCTCATTCCCAAACCTGAAAAGCGTCCCCGGCACGCGCGCGCCACTGAGGGGCAACAGAGTCAATCAGGTTTACTTCCCCTTGTGCCAAGATCGTCTTTCATCAAGGGGGGGCGTTGCTAAGGGACCCGTAAAACTGACAGGTGACACGGGTCTGTCCCATCCCTGCTCTATCTGAAACATGGACATTGGAAGTTGAGGAGGGTGGCCTCCCCTCTTCCGTCGGGTCCTTATCAATGGGAAGCGGGGTCGATAAGTTAGTCCGAATGGATTGACGATGATTTGAATGGTTCTGGGGCCGAGCGAGGAGGAGGGGTGCGTGCACGCTGCTCCTACTCCTGTGTAAGCTAGCCTGCCTTTTCAACTAGACTGTCTGTGCTACCGATGGGTATGGAGTACAAAGCAGGTACCTGCGTTGTGTACCTGGTGACTTACACTCCACCACCAGCTTTCCATTGATCTACCCTTAACAGTCATATCACCCACCTACTCGTACATAGTAGATAGGTATAGGAATAGTATATATTCTACCCATCACATCATACACCTACACACAGTTAATAACACTCTATGATAGTAATCGCTTACGTAGAACCAATCCACAGCGGATCCACATCCACGCTGACGTCTTGCATTATGTATTGTTTTTTCCTTCCCTCCGGAGCGGCAAAACAGCCACCTCAGCTGTTAGTTACAGAGACCCCTGCTGACAATAGGAACATCTTCCACCTAGTTCCATTTACTGAGTCGTTCGTTCATTCCATTCGTTTATTCCGGGCTGTTACTTTTTTCCACTCCCTGTCTGGTATCTAGCTGCCTAGGTATGGAGTACCAACAATTATATTCTAGTATAAAGAACGGCACTTAGATAATTACACAGATGATGGATGGATTGACCAACAGCTAACCAACCAACCAACCAACCAACCAACCAACCAATTACCCAAGATACTGGTAGGGAGGAGTGGCAGTGGCAAAAACCAAACCCTACCGCAAATCCAGCGATCAAAGAGATATATACTCACAAAGCAATACAACAAGTAATATGGTAAGCCAACAAGAAGGGATAAAGTGAGGCAAAACCCCTTCCCTCAAAACAAGATTTCAATCAAAGGGATGAATGGGATGATAGGTGTGTAGTACGACAACTTACCCAGAGGCCGTACCTACATCTATTGCTTATGTGTGAGAATGGATGAAACAGGATGGTGAAGGGGAGGGGGGGCGGATAAAAGGAAGGCGAGTAGGGGCGTAGGTGGATTGTCAGCTGATGAGGGTGATGCATGGGGGATGCAGGTATGGATGTGGTGCATATGTGGATTGTGTATGGGTGGGATGGGTGAGGGGAATGTACTATGTACTATGTATGTGAGGTGTACCTGGTGGGTACCGTACTTATTACATGGAAAATGGGTAGATGGGTGTTGTTTTGTATGGGTAATTATCGTGGACTATTTATAGGGATAATTGGGTATTTTACTACATGACGCTGGTATATTATTGTCGGTCCAGTACACTGGCAATGGAACTGACCATCACCGCTGCTTCACGCTCCCAGTTCCTCTCCGTCCCTGACTCCACGCCCAGTCGCTTCTCGGTTCCTAGGACGGACGTCGGGAGCTGTGACCCTCGCAGGACGCAGTCTTTGATCTCCTTCTTGATTCGGTCCCGGTTCGAGCGCAGTGTCCGGGCAGAGACGCCGCCGCGGTTGATTATCTCCTGCACGCGGGCTGTCAGGTAGGATGCAAGTGACCGCCAGAAATAGGACGGGAGGGATGATGTGTCGAGGGCACTGAGAAGTGGCTGCAGCAGATTGTTCTTGCCAGGGGCTTGGGCTTGTGGTTCGGTCTGCTCCCCGGTGCGGGTGGTAGCATTAGGGAAAAGGGGATGGGACGGTGGTCGCAGGTTGCTGAGAATGGCTTCCAAGGCAAAGATATCCTGGCAGCGGGCAGACAGGTCGGAGAGGGTGCGCTCGAGCGTGGGCAGCATGGACAGCGCGCGAGTGAGGTTACTCAGGGACGATGAGATGGCCGTGTGCATGTACCCTTGCAGGGTAGAGAGGAGCAAATCCGGTTGGAAGGTCGCAGAGCTCACATTCTTCGGAACCGGTGATAATAGGTACAGGATGTTGACGGCAGAGACGAGGCGTGCGCGGGCATCGCGCGCCTGTTTGTAGCTCATTTGCGACTGGGAGCCGGCCCCGGCGCTTGCGATCGTCGACATGGTGAATCGACCAATGGCTTGCTGCGCTCTCGTCTTGACCATGTTCTCCGCCGGGATGACAAGCTCGCCGCGCAGCGTTCGGATGACCTTGACGCGGTCCAGGCCGTGGCCTTCCTCGCCGACTGCCGTCTCAGAGAACATGCGACGTAGACTCACAATGGTGGAGGCTGCCCGCTCCAGCGTTCGGTAATCATCCTTTGCAGGGGCTGTAGCATCCAGCCCCCCGATTTCCGCGAGCTGGCTCTCGAGCTGTCTGCCGAGAGAAAGACAGCGCGCAACCGCTCGTGCGAGTCGCACAGTGGCCAGCGACTTCTCCGCAGCCACCCTGGCTTCATCGGCAGCCTCCCATTTGCGGAGGACCTCCCTTTCCAGCCGTTCATACCCCTGCGTTACCGAAGAGATCTGCTCTTCGGCTTCTTTGAGGATGCGGCCGGCGGCGGCGGTCTGGTCGCGCGTATGTGTCAGTAACGGCAGGGCTGATTTGGTGGTCAGCGCATGAATGTGGGTGTCGATCTCCTGGAGGTCGAAGAGTACCCGAGAAAGCGGGGTTGAGAGGTCCAGCGGTGTGTCTGTGGCATTGTTGGTGGCTACAACCAGGGAATTGGCGAACGAGGCGGGTGAAAAGTCCGGGTCTAGGAAGGCCTCATAGTCTATGTATGAGGGCTCGCCGTCCGCCATGGCGTGTGGCGGTCAATTGGGAGACAAGCAGGGAAGAAGTGAGAAAAGGGTCAAAGCCAGAGGAGCAGCAGAAGATTGGAGAGATGGAACTAAAACTCAAAGAGGCTTGGGTATCACCGTATCGAACAAAGCGGAGGGATTACAGGTCAACCGGGGGGGTCTCGAAGGATGGCCGCTTGACCGTAGGACAATCAAAGCTTAATGTGGCAGAATTACCCATGTGATAGAGACGGGAGATTGAGAATGCTGGGGCCAGCAGCCATCGTCAGCGCCTTGCTTGTGAAGACGATGACAGCAGCAATGGTTGCTGTTCGGATGCCATGTGGCTGCGACGTCGCTCGTGGCTTAGTCAGCTGCATAGCTGTGCACCGTTAGTTATCCACATCCGTTTGCACCACATGTATCGATATGCCCTTATTCCCAGGTTTTGTGGTAGTGATGTTGAGGGTTCTTAGAAACTTGCTTGGAAGGGACTTGCGGAAGTTTATTATTGTCAGGCATATCTCATGACAATTTACAGGTAGAAGTTACTAACTAGACAGTGAGATCCTATCACTCCCGAGCAACCATCACATTGATAGACTGGCATTTAGTGCTTATGCCGGTCGGCTCACGATCGACTACTCCGTACACACAATGCAGAAAAAAGATACACATCACCGAGCATCATCTCGGCCCAATTTGGACAACCTTGCATTCTTCTATACTAGTGCAGTTCGATCTCCAAGCACGGTGACTATCCACATGCTACTCAGCAACCACCTTCCTGAGTCTCCCAAGGGTTCTGGGCATCATGGACGCCTTCTCCCCTTCATATCTCAACTCAACGACCTCCCAGTCGGCCGACTTCAACAGAATGTCCCTCATGTTACGATCCAGGTAGCATCCTCCTTTGATGGTGGGCCAGAACAGTGTCCAGAATTCTGGCTCGATCAGCATGTGTCGCCATAGTATCAGACCACATCAAGGCTACTTACTCTGCGCCAACAACGTGAATGGATCCGAGCTCGCGCCATGCTCCCAAAAGACCAATTCGCCGCCTGGCTTCAACAGCTTCCAGATTTGGGCAACTACCGCTGTCGGGTCCGGCGTGCAGCACAGAACCTGGAAAGAAGTCACGCAGTCGATGCTATTTTCCACGATGCCATGTCTCTCGAGAGCATTTGCATCCAGAATGTCACAGAACACGGGGGTGTAAATGTCTTCCAGATTGTTTTCGCGGACCTTAGCGTGCAGTACCTCGGCAAACTCCAGATTGTATTCAACCCCGTAGACGCGGGTGATGGCGCTGGACTTAAAGTATGAGAGTTGGTTGCCTGTTCCCGGTCCGAGCTCCAGGACGGTACCCTGCACCGCGGGGGTGACAGATGTCAATGAAGAGGTGCTCTCATACGCGATGAAGCGTGGTGCTTCCATTGTCAGTGGAGTTTGGGAGACGGGGAAGGGTGTTCATACAAACTGCTTCATACCACTGCGCGAAGGCCCGATCTTGGATGGAGGCCGCGGCTCCCTGGCGTGATTTGAAAGCAAGCCAGATGTCTGTCGGGGTAAGCTACCGGGCCTGATGTGTGGGGGATGGTGGGTAGGAACATACACTTCAAAGAGTCGAGCAGGGATTTGTACGGCTCGGTATAGCTGATCAACCGCTGCTTGAGAGTGACTTCCATGACTGTGGCAGGGGATTTTAGCTGATGGTTTATCTCACGGATGACCGGGTCAGGCCCGGCTTTTATACGTGGACATGGGCAGGCTAGACGATATCAGGCGCAGGGTGGTAGTAGTATCATTTATTCCAGCCCGGGATTGTGGGGTGAATGCTGCCTCCTGTCCAATCGATGAGAGGCATGATGCCATGGGGCACTTCAATATTAGCGATGGTTCAGATAGCATGGTTGAGTAATCTCATTGGATAGCAGAGGCGTTGGTCTCCCCTGGTCTTTGCATGCGAGTAGAGGGAGATGTTGAATAACCAGGGCGGAAGGGGGATATAAGTGTCCCGGCAACGAGAGAGGGCTATCGCCGGGCCTCCGGTAAGTGACCAAAGAGAACCATTGGATCCTGAGGAGCCCCACCCACAGCGAAATTGGGAGACCCTCAAGTTTGGGCTGTAGCAAACAAATGTGGGCGAGGAGTTACAGACCCAAACCAGAATATATCCGGGATATAGTGGTAGAAAGTGCAATCAGGCTATATAGCTTAAAAATAGAGACAATTCATCAATCAAGGCAAGATGGCCGAGTTGGTCCAAGGCGTCAGGTTAAGGTCCACCTTAATATTCAGCTTCACAGCTTCCTGATCATCGTTTGATGGCGTGGGTTCGAATCCCACTCTTGTCATATCTTTTGTTTTTGTTGATTGGACATCAACTGCCTATTTTTTTGCCTCCAGCTCTTTCCAATCAGTATGATTTAGCAGTAGATATGCCCATCTATAGATACTAGTGATCCATTCAAGTACACCAATCTCTAACCACCGATAGTTCCCCCACATCAGGACACCATGTATCCCATCTACCTGTCTAGCAATAACACCCCAAACTATCCACATCACTAATATCAACCTCCAAGCACCCTACCGCATAGCACCGGCCATATCTGCCTACAGACTAGCGGACCTCAACCTGCCTAGATAATCCATCCAAACCACCACCTCCACCGGCTGACAAATAAACAATCCTCCCCATCTACCTAACCAACTAGCTAACTCCCACAACAATCACTCCAACCATCTATCGCACCCCCAAACTCATCCCCCCCTTTGCCCCCAAGCCACCATCAACGATGACCCCCCAATTCAAACCCAAAGCCCTAATCTTCGACCTAATGGGCACCTGCACAAACTGGCACCCAACCATCCAAACCGCCCTCTCGACCACCCCGTCCCTAACACATCTCGCACCGGAAGTCCACGCCCAGATCGCATCATCCTGGCGAGAGGGCTTCTTTCAGGAGATTCATCGTCGGTTTCGTGCGGGTCTGGGGACGGAGAGTATTGATGTGACGCATCGGAGGGTGTTGGATGGGGTGTTGGATGGGGTGGATAGTGTTGCTGGTGGTGGTGAGGGTATTGTGGGGGAGGAGGAGAGGGAGAGGTTGGTTCACGCGTGGCATTTTCAGGATGGTATGTACTAGGTTCTTTACGCTTGTTGGGTTTGAGGGAGGGGATGGGGGGATGTGTTGAGGCTAACATATATTGAAAATGGGATATAGCATGGCCGGATTCTATTGATGCGATAATGCGGTTGAAGGAGGAGTATATGGTGTCAGTTCATCCCTCCTATCCATCTCCCACATCCAGTAAATCAACAGCCAATATGTATGGCAGGCAGGTAAATATACCCACTAACAACTATTTCCCCCCGGCCCAAACAGAGTCGTCCTCGCCAACGGGACCACACGACTTCAACTCGACTTGATCCAATCATCTAGAATACCCTTCCACACGCTATTCTCTTCCCAATTGCTGGGATTGACCAAGGTCTGTTTACACCACCATTTCTTTAGTGTATACTATCTACTGGTGATATGTGCTGATATTGATTGCAAGCCCGATCCCGCTATATACCGCAAAGCATTGGACTTGATGCAGGTTGAGCCCGAGGAGGCGGTGATGGTTGCGGCTCATGCGTATGATCTTAGGGCTGCGAAGGGGGTGTATGTTTCCTTTCTTTCCTTTCTTTCTTTTAGATGGGAGTAGGGGCAGTGGGCTAACGTGGTGTAGGGGCATGAGGACGGTGTATATTTATCGGCGTACGGAGGATTTGGATGAGGATATGGAGGCTGTTCGGCGGGATGTGGATGTTTTTCTGGATGGGGAGGGGCCGTTGGGGCAGCTTGCGGAGATGCTTTGTGGGGAGTGAATGATGTGTGGTGTAGAAGTTACATGTTAGGCCAGTGTACTCCGTAGGGACTGATACTCAAGGTGGAAGCGGAGGGGAGTGATAATGCAGACTATATACTTTTAATGACACCAAATCTACTGCAGAACTCTTCCATTGGTCTCCTCGACAATCAACTCAAACTCGGGCTGGAACTCGGTATAAAAGTTATGCTATATGTCGTCAGTATCCGGTATTATCTCATGCGTGAAAAAACTCACATGGTTCTGTGCCACATTGGCAGTATATTGCGCTACCTCATCCGTGATAACCCGCTTCGGGATACCATTTGCAGCCGCAGCCTCAGCCATCAACTGTACCTGGCAGGCATTGTCCAGGCTGGAGTAGAGAAAGGCCGCCTCGTCGACCGTGCGACCCACCGTAAGGAGACTATCTCGTCAGTACATGCCGAAACCATGCAAGGAATGACTGCTCACCCATGGTTTTGCAAGATGCAGGCAATATTATCCTGGCCCAGAGCACGAGCAATCTGCTCTCCCTCCTCCTGCGCAAGGGCAATACCGCCGTGGTCCTCGTAGACACTCACCTTTCCATACAGGTTACATGCATCTGTACAGCTTAGCTATCGATCAAGCAACAATAGCGAAAATACGAACCCTGAGTGAGCATCTCAATCGGCTTGCCAAACGCACTCCAGGCCTTTCCATGAACGGAATGCGTATGCGCCGCTGCAATGACATCCGGCCGGGCCTTGTGGATTTCCGAATGGATCATGAATCCGGCCTCGTTGATAGGCAGTTGGGCACCCCCTTCGGTGACGTACCCTTCAGCATCGACCAGAACGAGATCCGATGCCTTGATGGAGGAGAAGTGTTTGGCGAAGGGGTTCATCCAGAAGTGGTCCTTCAGAATGGGATCTAACCGGTCAGTATCGATGCTTCCTGGCCGATGGGAACATGTTCACCTCGCATGGAAATATGCCCCGAGATACCTTCTCCGTATCCCTTCTTGCCAAAGTAGCGAAACGCAGCAGCCATGTGCTCCTTCATCCACTGGCGCTTGGCCACGGGGTCAGTGAAGGTGGGGATGCCCCGGAGCTTGAGGGTGCCGCTGCGATTTCCCCGCGCCACGGACTGGAAGTTCTTATCGTTGGCGGCATCATCGGGGTTGGCGTCGGCCACGACAACAGGGACGGGCTGAGTGGCGGTTTCGGTGAGAGTTGCAGACATGATGCTAAACTTCTGTAGATATGAACAGGGCTACCCAGGAGAGAAGATGCAGCGGGTAAGCATGGAAGTATAAGAGGGGCAGTTTTATCTGCTATCACTGATACAATTACCCCGGCTTATCGGCCGCCCCCCGGTTTCCCCCTGTCATAGGCGCATATCGCCGAACCCACCGCCTCTGATTGGCGCTATCTCGATAAGCATTCTTGCGCCTTCTCGCAACATCCAGCAGATCAAGCATACTGCTAACTCACACAGATGTGAATACCATGGCTGATGAAATGCCATTAACTCCAGGCTCCTCGGCCAGCAGCACCACTCGCAACGGCCTTCTACAGATGCGGAGTAACTGAGACAAAAACAGACCTGACCGCCGCCATCTGTGCTCCTGTAATAGCTCAGGAGCTTTAAAAAGACGGCACAAGATGCCTTACTTGAAATCGACCAACTGGTCAAGAACCTAACCGTAACGTGGTCATTTGGCGAACGGCGCGATGAGAATGAGACTGTCCATCCCCCGTTCTATACGACTGGGTTATCGACAGCCAGCATCCGCTCACTTAAGTCTGCATGTCTGCGTATGTAGGGCGTTAGGTGAACTCTATGCCAGGGAGTATCATACGTATGAACGTAGCTCCTTCTTGGCAGTGCCACGGCGTGTGGATAGCCCGGCAATTGGCTTCGGTCCTGGTAGTGGTTCTCTGGCTGTAGTGTGGATGAGTGTTGTCTTGTGGATGATATTGTAGTTGCATCGCGAATTTATAGCGAGATCATTCATAGGGCTTAATGACATGATGCGCTATGGACATCTTTCATCATGTATTATCTCTAATGAAACCTTATGAACATGAACATTATATCTTGTCTTTAGATACAAGCACATTTCCACCCATAGGCACAACCACTCATAGTATCAGCATCATGATATATCCCATCTCACAAAGATGATACACCGAGAAAACGACACAAATGACAACGCCATCAATGCAACTAGGGTATACATAAGAAAAGAAAACAAGACAAACAAGCATACATGCACCCCCCACAATTCACATCCACCCCCAATAAAGAAAACAAAGAAGGAAAGATCTATACCGCCCCCTCCCCCTTCATATCCACCATCTCATACTCATCCCCCCCACCACTACTCCCACCAGCACCACCACCATTCCCACCACTCCCACTCCCCAACACCAAGCCCCGTCCCCTTCCCCTCCCCTTAGACAACGAAAACGAAAACGACTCTTCCCCACCACTCACACCACTCTGCGTCTCCCCGGCAGCACCACCAGCAGCAGCACCACCACTCCCCGAAGTCCCAGAACCCCCCCCAAAATTAATCGGCTGCAACTCCCTCCATCGACACGCCCAAATCCCCAGGAAGGTCATAAACGCCGCACTCGCACCCTGCAATCCCCACCAGAGCCAATTCGCGGGCACGGAATGCGAATACAGGGTTGTGGCGATGAGATGGAGGAAGTGTAATGTGAGGGCGAAATCGGGGATGAGTTTGGAGCGCGAGACGAGGAGGAGGAGGAATATTGCCCTATCGTTCATTTCATATTGGTCAGATGGAGTTGCTTGTGATGTTATGTTATGTTGGGATAGTTTGGGGGCAGATATGCAACTCACCCAATCCCACTACTCAGTATCCAAACCAACCCCAACATCCATCCGATAGTGGTATCTCCGCGAACGGCATTCCAGCTAAACACGAGGTCCAGGGAGAACGGGGTGCCGTAAACGACCGTCGTGAAGAGGATTAGGACCGTCGCGGTGACATAGTAGGCGAGTTGGAGGAGGAGGATTTTTCGGACGATTTTGAGGGGAGGGAGTTCGGTTCGTGAGCCCCCTCTTGGGGGGCGGCGGCGGGGGGGCATGAATTGTTATTGTAGCAGTGTATTTATGGGTTCGTTGTATAGTTGGTATGGATGGTGGTCGATGTGCGGAGGCTGGGGCGAGATAGGTAGGTAGTTGTTGAGGATTGCACTAGATGTGCGGTTGTGTGAAGAACGCAGGTTCCTGAATAACGCTGATCCCCGAGAAAGAATCTTCCAGGACAGAATACCTCAGAATGTATGACGTGTGCTGCACGGCTGATTGATCGATAATGTCCAGACCGCAGCGTCGGCGATGTTGGAGCCAACTTGACCGGACGGGCTTAGCGCACATGACCGACTTGCGGCGGCGCGGCGGGAGCGGAGCGGAGCAATGCATCATTTCATTTCCTGACCTTCTTGACATCATTCTACCCTCTCCTCAATCACAGACCATATACGCAAACATACACAATGGGTTGGTTTTCCTGGTCCTCCGACACCAACACCGCCTCCGACGGCGGCCGCATCGCCCCCGATCGAACCTCGCGCGAACAATGCTACCAAGGCCGCGACATGTTCTTTTCCTGCCTGGACCGAAATGATATCCTGGATGCGATCAAGGATGACAAGGAGGCGCGACGCAAGTGCGGCAAGGAGATTGCAGAGTTCGAGACGGCTTGTTCGAGAGCTTGGGTATGTTCTTCCCTTGCGTGTTGGGTGTTGTTTAAGCGACGGGCTACGGCTTTGGCAGATTGGATGGTTATGAGTTGGACGATGGCTAATTCATGATTACTATAGGTCAAATATTTCAAGGAGAAGCGCGTCATGGAATACAACCGGGATAAGACCATTGAGCGGATCAAGAAGGAAGATGCGGCTCAGGTTCAAGATTTGAAGGCACAAGGGTGGAGTTCTCGGTAAAGGACAAGGAACAATGAAGCGAAAGGATTGAAGTTGGAGGCTAAGACTGTGGCCTTGCTGAGGCACTGTACTATATCAATTACCGTTCTAATGACTACCGGACGGCAATTGGCAGCGCGAGACGCTCTCCACTACACTTGAACCTTGGACGTGGCTATTAGAATTACCATGTGCTCGCATTCAGCCAGGCTAATCACAGTATGGCCCTATCATCGCAAGAATCCGTGATGAATGTAGATACAATAGCTCCGCAACAAATCCCGACATCGCGGCCAGATGTCTAACCCTGTACCTCAAACCCAACTGACCATTGCACTCCGATAACGTGTACTCGCTGATTCAACCGACGCAAAAGAAATCAACCCAACAACCGAGCCGTCACAACCCTTACCGACGGTAACGTTCCATATCCGATTCTCAAATCGATCAATCAGTCAACGCCCGACTCCTCGAGATGTCGCCAACGACGGTGAAGTCAGAGAAGAGAAGGAGAAGAAAAAACACAAGAGAGACAAAGAATGTCGTCAATCATTGCTTCCATTTGCCTAGCTGGTTCATGATGTTTTGCACCTGGGGGCCTACGGCAGCCTGGTTCTGAGGCTGTTGCCCCCCCAAGCCCTTGGCAAGCAATGATATCAAGTTGGGGTCGGAGACCACCGGTGCATTGGGCGTTTGGAGAGGGAAGGGCTGCGGAGGCAGTGCCTGTTGCGGGTTCGCAGCAACTGGCTGGCGAGTGGCAGCATTCAGCAAGCTCGCGAGATCTGCGGCACCATGCGGGGTGCTAGTAGCAGGGAATGGCTGCGGCGCGGTTGGTACAGCCGGCGGTCGTTGCTGGAGAACGCCCAACAAGGATTGCAGTGTGGGCCCGTCGAGAGAAGTAATCAGGTTGGCAATGTTGGGCTGGTTGGCGATGGGCAAAGGCGCCTGAGGCACCGGAGGCACCGACGCGGCGGGGACGGGCAGCGGCGGCACCCCAAACGTCGCCGGGCTGGGAGTGAAAGGCGCAGGCGGTGCGCCACGCTGCATCGATTGGGCATGAAACACGATCTCGGCGGCGATACTGGGTTCGACATCGGGATATTCTGCAAACGCATTAGCGGGCAAGTCGCGCTGCTGCACTGACAAAGATGACGGCTCACCGTTTGAGCGAAAGTTGTCTGGGCCCCCGCTTCGATCGAACAGTTGTAACGGGATCTTCCGCGAGAACTGGCTCGGCCGTGACAGTCTCACCACGGCCAGGACGCCTTCCTGGACCTGTCGCTGAACAGCAGCGTTCAAGGGAATCCGAGGTCCAAGGACCAGCACATCAACCCGGAGACCCCGGTTGCGGAAAGCATTCTCCACGTGGAAAATGAAATTGCTGAGAAGCATTAGATGACCAGCCAACAGAAAGGCAGGACTGCATCACTCACCGATCCACTTCCTCGAGGACAAGAATCTGCACTTCGGGGACATCTCTCGGAGCTCGTCGAGGGACAGGAAGTTCCACGTCGCCTTCATATGCCCCACGGCCCCGCGGGCTTGGACTGCGATACCTCCGATCCCTCGTATAGGGCGACCGAGAACGTCGTCGATCACGTCGATCATACCGCTCCGGAGTCCTATCCCGAGACCGATACCCATCCCTCCCGCGGAAGGCACGAGGAGACGGAGAGCGAGGAGGCGGGGGTGGTCGATAGTCGTCACGTCGACGGTGGCCCGGCTCATCCCTAAAGTCGCTGAATGGCACGCGGCCCGATTCGTATGATCGATCATAACGATCCGCCGGAGCTCTTGTGTTGCGGCCGCCCGAAGGCCCACTTCTACTGAATTCTGGAGACCTCGAACGTCTCGGTGGAGGGGCACGAGAAGGTTCCGCCGGGGCGGCCCCGGGTCTGGTACTCCTCTGTGGCTTCGAGATTTCAAGGTCTGGTGCCACCGGATCAGTCTCGAGCCATCAAGTCCGACCTAGATTGAGTGCACTTACGGACTTTCCGTCCTCGAACGACGGCTCCTTGCTCAGCATCGAGTGCCTGTTTACAGGCGGACGAATCGAGGAACTGAATAAACCCGTAGGCTTGTTTGATAGATATCTGGGCCAATTTCCCGAATTTGTGGAAGATGTGGAACAAATCTCGCTTCGTCACTCGTTCGGTGGGCAGATTGCCTGCGATATCAGTCAGAGGACTGTTGAGACCCTTCCATGCCCAGTAGGGAAGTACTAACCAACAAACAATCTGGACCCCGGCGGGAAACGATCCCACAGGCCTTCGGTTACGTAGATTCTCTCATCATGGAGAAACTCATCGTACTTCTTCTGGACATCCGGACCCCAAGGAGTATCTTCATCGGCACTCTTGGGCTGCCGGGCTGCCGGTCGTTCATTGCGACCATTCTTGTTATTCGCGGGTACTGGCGGGTCTGAAGATTCCGTCGCAGTCGGTGAAGACTGCTGGAAACTCGGAACAGGGGGAGGGGGCAAAGCGCTGGCACCCGAGGAGGTTCCCGGAGCGCCAGCCGCAGCCAATGATGGGAGCCCCAGACCGGACTGGTAATTACTTTGCTGGGCGGAATAGGAGGCGGGGGGAGAGGGTTGGGTGGTGGACGTGTTAGGGGGGAGCTGGTGGTATGACCGGATGTCATCACTGGCATTGTAGTTGGGGTGGATGGAAGGCTTTGCCTGGGGAGGGGGGCGAGGGGGAAGTCCCAGGGCAGACTGGAGCGCATCCTCGTCCGTTCCTGCTGGGGGATTGGCAGAAACGTCCGTGGACAAAGGCGCCGTCTCCGAGACCGCGGGGGCAGAGGGTGCGGTGGACGAAGGGGGCAGATTATCGAGGAGGTTCTGGAAGTCGACACCATCCTCACCAGTGTTATCATCAGATTTGCTCTGGGAGTCTAGGCGATTCGACGGCGCGGACGGGGTCGTCCAGCTGGCGACTGCGTGGTCTACCTCGCTCGCACTGGGGGTGTTCTGAGCGGCATGGGAGGAAGTGGGATGGACATCGGGAAGAGGAGGAGGAGCTAGAAGGGAGACAGGATCTGATGAAGGCAGAGTGGTTAGAGAAGAGTTTGCTGGCGCGTCCTGGACCGCGGAGGAGGGGCCGGTGGCCATGGAAGGCGCGGGCTGGTCAGATCCAAAGGACGCCTGGGCAGTGGTAGCTGTAGCAGACAGTGCGTTGGCAAATCCATTCATCGATCCATCCTCCACCTGCGAAGAACCCGAGTGGAAGCTACCTTGAGTATGTTGTGCTGGTGGTGGTTGGCGCGGTGGTGGTTGCTCCGGAACCTGCACGGCGCCAGTGGTTCCCCTCACTTCCCCGGGTCCTGCATATGGGCCACGAAAGGAGGTCGAGTCATTGGGATGCGCCGGAAAACTATGATTCTCAAAGAAAGGCTCGGACTTTTCATAAGTCGACGTGTCGTTGAAAACGGGGTCCATTTGATTCTGCAGCACCGGAATCCTGGCCGGTTCCGCGACGTGTAGCGGACGAGGACTCTCGGGAGTCAGGGTCTTGCCGCGGAAGTGAAGAGCTTCATCTGGGGAGCTGGGCGTCATGTAGACCAAGGAAAAGAGATCGATTCATCTACAAGAAGCACGGCAAAAAAAGGTCCAGCAGAACCACAACGGGTGATGGGGATTTAGGAAAATCGACAAAGCTAAGGTGGGGCTATCTTGGTAAAAGAACCGGGCCGTTGGAGCCGGGGCGGTCAAAGGGATGGCAAATTGTCCACAACTTGGAGGGGGGAAAGGCCAAGGGGAAGGGAGTGAGTGAGTCGGGTGTAAGGCGTAGGAGTGGGTGGCAGAGGGTGAGAGAAAGAGGGATGGCGAGGAGAGCCACACCACTGACTGGATCCTGCCCGAGGATAACAAGTTAACAACAGTGAAAAAAGAGGCGATAAGCGCAACTGCAGAAGTGTAGACAGGAGTAGACAGAGAAAATAAATAAATAAATAACAGGTAAGTTTCAACAGGAGAGAAGGGAAAAAAGAAATAATAGTACAGGTGGCTGCAACAAAGGGAAGAAAGAACCAACAAGGCGTATAGAAAGCTCTAGTAAGATGGAGTAGATGAAGGAGGATGATGATGGGGGAGAACCAGCACGGATTATTTCATCCCAGACCCAATGATCATTGCAAGAAATTGGGAAAAACTGGACACCCGATCAGCAGACGCAAGATTGCGATGGCGGGATGAAACGAGGTTGACCAAAAGTGGTATGGAACAGGGAACCGTCCACCAGATGGGATGGAGGGGAGGAACTGAGAGGAGAAGGTTGAGAAGATTCCCAGGTCGCCCTCGCCGCGTAAAGTTACGGAAAGGTTCGAACTCGGCGCAAGTCAGCGTTCGGGCCTGTCCAGGCGCCTTCCCCGATCGGGCCAGTCGTGGTGCTGCACCAGCGCCGGCCCTGCGGTCTGACTGGCCGGATCTCCCGCCTAGGAGCGGGTCCTCGCGCGCCGGGCTTCATCTGCTCTCCTGGTACTGTGTATCTGTTAGTCAAGCAGTCACCGCAGCTAGCTAAGAATAACCTCTCACCCCATCATCAGGTCCAGATCCTTTGCCTGGTCCGGAGTTCTTCCGTCTAGTTGACTCGGTTGGGCATGGCCGGGAGGCTCGGAGCACCTGGAAGTCAACTGACTGGTTGATCAAGTCGATTGTCGGTATCGGAACCTTCTTCACCTTTTCTGCCAGTCACATACGGAGTAGTCAACTGTCAAAGACGACCGCGACCATCGCGACCATCGACCACGGTGTGCTCGCCGAGGCCCAGACACTGAAGCATCCCCCCCCCCTACCCGCAACCCTGCCGGTCACCTACCTTAAATTACCTGATCACTGACCAGTGACCACTAGTAAACGGGTCCTTGGTAGTTGGTACCTCCGTCATACTAAACGCTACCTTGCTCTAGCTTGGCTTCTGGAAGATCCTCGTGCTTGTTACTCGTTAGCAGACCATCCTTAATTCGATGTCCCCGTTCCTACATGCATCTGCGCGGCACTCCCTCCTTCTCTCGGGCTCTCCTGCGAACATGCTCCGGGCAACTCATGTAAGCCGCGGAGTAGACTCCCTCATGGCTCATGTCCGGCTGCCCCCCCGTAATTTTCACCGCGTTCCCCTCGCTTGCTCTTTGCCTTGGAGCCCCACTATCGCGATACGAACCTTTGCGTCCAGGCGAGCCGCCGCCATCTCGAACCACCAAGGCCTAGATTCAGAGGAGGACCTGACGGCGGCTAGAGAATGGGTCGCTAAGCTCAATTCGAAGGCCATCACCATCCCGCGTGACATCTGCGAATTTTCCTTTAGTCGGTCGAGTGGCCCCGGAGGTCAGAACGTGAACAAGTCTGTTCCCGCACTGAGCCGAATCCTCTCCCGTTGATTGGTGACTAACACGTCTCGGTCAATGCGCCCACTGTGTAGGGTGAATTCCAAAGCCACATTACGAGTCTCCCTCGGCTCATTACTGCCTCTTATCCCCCAAGTGCTACATTCACCGCTGCTGGCGTCTCGCTACGTTGCCGCGAGGACCCAGAGCCTGGTCATTCAGTCGGAGGAATCACGGAGGCAGACCGCCAATTTGGAGACCTGCTACGACAAGCTCCACCAGCTACTCAAGAGCCTTGCAGAGGACAATATACCCGGAGAGACATCGCAGGAACAACGCGATCGAGTACAAAGACTGTAAGTTCCCTGGGTTCTATGATCCCGCTTTGGGACCATGCGAACCTCGGGCTGATCTAGCGCAGAAAGAAAGCTGCCAACGAAGTTCGTATCAAGTCGAAGAAAATGCACAGCAGCAAAAAGAGCAGCAGACGGGGTAGTTATGACGACTAACAAACATGCTGACTTTTCATCATCCAATAATCAAGAGGAACTTCCTTTATTCTCATTGCCCATTAAGCTTGCGATGGAAAAGTCCGGTAAACGCCTGTGAATGATTCAAATGAAATGTAAGCTCTACGCTTCCTGTACAACTCGCTCCGCGTTGCGGAGAGTGGCGACGATCGCCTTTTGGAGGGAGGCATCCAGGCCTTCGGTCTTCTCGAGTGGCTGTAGCCAGTTGACGATCTCCTTGGCGACCTTGGGGTTATTCCGGTACTCCTTGAGACGGGCAAACGACGCGCCAAACGCACGTGGGAATTCGGGCGAAGTGACCCGGATTCCAGCGGTGGGGAATTTGATGTAGCATATTTGCGTATGAGGACTGTATGGCTTCGTATTCTGCATCGTTTCGACCACATGTTGGAGGATCTGGCGTAGACAGGGCAGGTCGTCAAATTCCTCGGCCATGTCGTAGAATTCATGGCCGAAACTGTCGTCATTTTCAAAGTTCTTCATTGCCGTATCAAAAATGGCGAGAGGGATAGCACCAGTTAGGGCCGGGGTGGATGCGAGGTTTTCCAGGGCCACTTCATCCACACCACCATCCTCTCCAGCGTCGGGGTTGATGTCTTCTCCAGTGATTTTTGGTAAAGCGATCACATCAGCATCCATGTCATCCTCCTGCGCCGGCTTGGGGGCTTCGATCGGCTTGTCGAGGCCTAAAATGCGCTGCCGAGCCACGAGCTTGGCAATATAGATCAACTCCAGCTTTGCATAGTGCAGCCACAGCTTTTTGGAGCTCTTGCAGAATCTCAGTCCGCGCTGCATGTACCCTCTGGATTGTGTCATATCGGCATGTTCATCGACGGAGTATTGCGCCGCATACAACCACAAGTCGACGTTGGCAGGATGTAACCGTAAGGCGTCGGTAAGAATGGTCGAGACCTTTTTGTAGGCCTTTTGCTGTTTGGCGTATTCGAGGTACTGAACCCACAGACCTACATCGCCGTGGAATTTGCGAGTCGCACGATCAAGAATGAAGAAGATCCGCCTCTGCCCAGAGTGTCCAGCGGACCGAATCCCCAAGCGCTTCACCCTCTTCCGGCGCAGGATGTCCAGGTTCATCTCGTATTGCGCATATCGAACGAAATCAATCGGTAGAGCGCCACGCGCATTCAACTTGTGCTCGAAATCGGACCGTTTCTTGATGATTGATGTAATTTCCTCCTGGCGCCCGATAGACTGGTTAGTTGCCTGGGCGCATCGCGTGGGGAAGAGAATTCATTACCTTGGTGAAGATTTTCTTCCGCTCAAACTCCTTGAGCTCAGGCACCGACTTCTCCAAAAAGAAGCGTGCCTTGTCTGTAGCGGCCGACATAATGGGTCAGGATGGTTCAACAAGCAGCAAGCAGCACCGTCCGTTCAACTGGAACAAATCAAGAACCACCAGCAAAAAAAGTTGTCGGCATCCCGCACGATCTCCGGCCAGGGCCCTGGCCGCCTGCCGGATCGGGCTAGTGGCATTGGCCGCCCGCGTGTTGCCGAGCCTCGCTCCGAATGCCATCCCATCATCTCACCTCAGGGGAATCTCGGCCTGCTCGCTGTTGGATTCCTCGTTCGACCCGCTCTTTCCCTTCTCTTTTCCCTTTTCATTTCGTTTCTCTTTCGTCGACGCTCATTTGGTCCCCCTTATCTTGTTTCATTATTAGCTTATTCTTCTAATTGGCCTGGAGTCCGTGCTCGGTGTCTCCTGTGCTGCCATGGCCCCCAGATATAAAGATGGGGATGCCGTCGTGGCGGTTAGTGTCTCTGCACGTCGCGGTTTCTCAAGCTAATTGAACATGTCTCTTAGCTCAATGGCAAATGGATCTCGTGGACCCATACGGTAGTGGCCTACACGGCCTTCTTCAGTGCCTTGGTCGTGGGAATGTCCTTGCACTTCCGGAAGATTGTCCAGAACGAACACTACGGCTACCCTGACGAATGGTTCCCTTCCGTGTCGGCCACCATTGGTGACCGCTACCCTGAACGATCCTTCTTCCAGGTTTTCATTGCCATCACCTCCGGTCCTCGTTTCGCTCTCGTCGCCCTCTGGTACCTCCTCACTGCCCGCCCTAACTCCGCTCTACCAAAGTTGGTCGCCGGTGTGGGCTTGTTCCGGACTTTCACATGTGGAGGCTGGACCTATGTTACCTCGACTGATGATCACGACTGGCACGATATTTTCATGATCTCGTACCTGGTGGCGACCTTACCTTGGACTCTTGGCTGTCTCGCCCTCAGCCCGAACAACCGCCGCGCTGTCAAGTACCGCAAGATCTTGGCAGGCCTCTTCTTTGGTACCCTGGTGCCTTTGATCTACTATTTCATTCAACACAAAGTGCACAAAGTTGCTGGGGGTAAGCCTGCGTCAACACGGATGCTATGTATCAGATGACTGACCCTTCTAGCTTATACGAAATACGCCTTCTTCGAGTGGTCGCTCATCTTGTTTGATGTCGGATTCGATGCCGTCACTGCTCTTGACTTTGACGCATTCGAGATTGTTGTGAGGGATGTCAAGGGGGTCAGCAGAGGGTATGTACACTGGCTTCCAAAGTAAAGCAGAGAGAGAGAAAAATGTACAGTTGCCAAAAGATGGTTGTCGGTATTTGAGAGACGTGATCTAAGATCCCAAACTTCCAGGCAGTTGAAGACCACTGCGGACTCTGTCCTTGAAAAAGAGTGTGTACAATCTGTTCTCCAGACATAACCCGGGCATGGCAGTTAACTCGTAGTCAGGAAGGGCAAGCCCGTTGGAAACACCTTTGGCGAGGGCTTTTTCTGGTCCGAAATCATTGATGCGGCCGCAGAGGTCTACAATGGGGTACGCGCCGGGCTGAGACTTCCCTTTCAAGTGTCATTGCTGACGAGTTGTAGTTTGTCTTTTGGACGCTCTGCACTTCCCTTCCTGTTCTGGTCTGGTGTAAGTATGTGTCTGTTGATGCAGGATCACATGTCTAATCGCTGTAGATTTCCCTCTCTGGCACATGGGTATCTCCGGATATGAGGCTGCCATTGTCTGCTACCTCTCGCCTTTGCTCCTCGGCATCCCGGCCATCAAGTCTGCGGCCATCAAGAATCCTCGCCTGTTCCACCTGCTCTCGCTGTCCGGACTCCTGGCATACAAGGTGCAGGATCCCGCCAACCGGCTCTTTGTCACTTCCTTCGCCGTCATTTGCAGCTGTGTGACCTGGGCTGCTTCCTTGTATGCGGAGCGGGCAAACACCGTCCGTCTGGAATCGCGGATTCTCTCTTGGACCATTGGATTGATCATGTCTAGCATTGCCAAGTTCGCATGCACGACCAACAACCCTCTGTGGCCCATCATGAACGGCCAAAATGGTGGATGGAACAAGCTCGGCCTTCTTCTCGCCATCCTAGCCGTTCTTCGATCCTACAGGAGACCTGCAACGAGCGGAGGAGACTACTTACCAACGAGCGGAAAGAAGGGCTCCTGGCTCCTGGCCGGCCTGGGTCTCGGAGGTGTCATGTTTGCCATGCACTACCTTCTGTCAGACTCTAGTACGATGATGTCTTGGGTCTGGGAAGGATATCCCGTGCGAGGCCCGATCGCAGCCCCCCATGGTGCGCTCACAATCTTTGCCATGGGCGCTGGCCTCGTCTACGGTCTTTTCTTTCCCTCCGTGGCTGGAAGCTGGACGGCGTTCGGACTTGGTTCTTTGGGTGCAGCATTCCTCACCTGCTATAGCCACTGGACGGGCTACTATGGCGGTCTTGTCCTCGCATTCTACCTGCTGGCAGTGACTCCCGTCCTGGTTTCCTCGGCCGTCAGACACTCTCCCGGCGCTACTTTTGGCGTGGGCTGCCTCTTGTACATCTTCCTGATCCTGTTCCACGTCTGGGTTGTGGCTTATGCTTTCGTTCCGGGTGGATACCTTGTGAGGGAGCACACGGATTGGGTCATGATCACTATCATGTTGTCCATTGGTGCTGGTGTCTTCTCGGCTGGTGTTTCGAACGTTTCCAGCCCGAAGAGTAAGGCCATCAGTCCCAACGGCAGAAGACAGCGGTCATACTTTATTTACGTGCTTGCGGTGTTGCAACTACTCTCTGTCTCCATTGCCTATCTCCGCTTTCCCACCAACGATTATGCCCCCTACCACAAGGAAGACAAGGTTGCCACCATGGGTATTTGGACGGTGCATTTCGGGCTTGATAACGATATGTGGGCGTCTGAGCGACGCATGCGCGACGTGATCCAGGAGCTCGAGCTTGACGTGATCGGCTTGCTTGAATCGGACAACCAGCGCATCATCATGGGCAACCGTGATATCACTCAGTTCTTGGCCCAGGATCTGGGGATGTACGCCGACTTTGGACCGGGCCCCGACAAGCACACGTGGGGATCTGCCCTCCTGTCCAGGTTCCCGATCGTCAACTCCACCCACCATCTGCTCCCTTCGCCCGTTGGTGAACTTGCTCCTGCCATCCACGCCACTCTGGACATGTACGGCGAGCTGGTTGATGTTGTCGTCTTTCATTCGGGACAGGAGGAGGATCCGGAAGACCGTCGCCTGCAAACGGAATACTTGTCCAATCTGATGGGGTCCTCGTCCCGTCCGATGGTGCTGCTGAGCTACTTGGTTACCAAGCCGCTTGAAGGCAATTACAACACATACGTGAGCGACATCAGTGGCATGAAGGACATTGACCCTACGGACTGGGACCGCTGGTGCGAGTACATTCTTTACAAGAACTTGAAGAGAACTGGTTACGCGCGAGTCAGCCGTGACTCGATCACCGACACAGAAATTCAGGTATGCCCTTGACCCGCCCCTCCTTCAGTTCTTGCTGTGCTAACCAGCTATTGACAGGTCGGTAAATTTGTGATTGGAGAGCCGGAACCGGAGAATGAAATGCGTATCCCGGAGGAAATGGTCCCTGAAGGCCTTCGATTCCCCGGATTGTTCCGCGGCCAGGGTGTTCGTGGCCACCGGTACCATGTGTTTGACGAACCTAGATACTGGCAATGAGTGTCATGGTTGAAGGGGCACCATTCCAGATAGCTCCGAGCAACATCGAATGTCTTCCATATACTATTCTTGAGTATAGTTCCTGCGACGAGCATACCAGCATTGCGTGGCCGACTGCCAGCGATAGTTGTTATGATCATATATTGTGGTTTAATCGTACATAATGTCACGCATCCCTTACTGTGCTGTTCAGAGTCGATCATCGGTCACTAGGGAGAGTACTGGGCGGACTCACTTGGAGGATTGCTCCCGTTAGGTTATTAGGTTGAAGAGACAGGGAGTATCAGTAGTCGACATCCAGCGTAGGGCCGCGGGATGGATGGCTGGTGCTGAGGGGGCCAATCTCGCGGCTGGCTGACTGGCTGGCCGCTGCCCCTCATTCTGTGTCACGTAGTCTATGCCTTTACTACATCCCCGGTTGGACTGGAGCACGCTCCCAACTGGGCTGTGGAATGTGAAATCAGCCGTTCAGCATATTCTCCGGTTGATGTGACCTCAGCTATATGACAAGGTACGTGATACTGGTTCTGGCACGGAGTTGATAAGCTCATAGACCCCCATTCCTATTAGCTCAAGCAGAAGTCTGACGAGGTCTCTCAACGACCTGAGACTGCTACTCCACTCGATCAGCTGTTGACTTACGCCCAACGTTTTCCAAGGTTAGACACCTTTCCTAGACCATGCATGCATCTGAACAAGACATGATCGCCTGACTTTTTCTCGGCAAGCTATCAAGCTACCTAGTTGCATTCCAAGGATAGCAGACAGGAACAGCAAGCCATGTGAGCCCTCCATTGATTGCTTGCCGGCCATCCGGTATCAGAGCGCTAGGAATTCCCCCGAGGAATGTTCTCTTTGTTGATCTTCGTCCCAGTTTTGCCTCCCATAGGATGGGCCTATGACTGCAATCAGGCAGCACTGAAAGCAAAAAAGGTACGTAGTACTGTTCGATTAATCTTCTGGGGCGAAATTGCGATGGAAGTGGGAATACTAGGAGGGAAACGGCAGAATAGGAGGACATGACGTTATCGCTGTCTTTGCAGGTTTCGTCGCCCCAAATTGTTGGAGTTCCTCAAACTCAAGATATTAGACCTTTATATTCAACGAGACTGGCTGACTGCATACCTTTGCCTTAGACCTATCTTTTGTGAAGCGTGTGGTGGAGTTCATACCGTCGCGGTTTGACTTGGCCTAAGTATATCAGGCGTTGGGTAAGTAGTCACCCGCAATCCGCTGGCTTTGTTGCAAGCGATGCTGACGACAGACTTTGTAGTAGAAGCAGTTGAGATTGCTCTTGTCGGTGTTTCTGGACAAAGCAAATGTCAACAAAGAAAGGCAGAGTGCCGTACCACGTCCTTCTATTTTCGACCTCGGATGGTTCTTTCAATTGATAAGGGTCAAAGGGATCCTCCCACAACCTAGATTGAATTAATGGCCTGGATAGATGCAAGTCGGTCCCATATATTCAGGTGTCTCTTCGAACCCAAGGAAACGTGTGTGCTGACTCTTCGCAAGTTATCCTGAATTATCAAATTTCCACAACCTACGAATTGGAGCCCACCCAAAGCGTGTTTGTATTCCGACAAATCTGTGGTACTACACGCATCTTCAGTGCGTATTCTGACTATCCTCTCACCTCACAGCCCGCACAAGCTAACAGGCTCCCGATTTTATCGACTCAGTCTGCGATGTCTAACCGATCGCGCAAACAGCTGAAAGCTAGGGCACAGGATGCCGCCCCAGATCTCCCGGAGGTCCAGCACGTGGAAGACGCCCCTACAGAAACGCCCCCGTCAAGCCGGTTTGGAAACCTGGCCGATGCTGCTGCCGAGTTGCAACATGCCGCTGCTACGCAGCCAGTCAGTCGGACTGGCGCCCCTTCAAATCCTTCCCGGCCTAAAGCGAAAGCGAACCGGACTCTACAAGGTGCACAGCCCACGGATACCGCGGTGCTTGAAAGCCAGCCCCGGACTGGTACCCTACAGGCACCACAGATCCATTTCGGCGAAGGAGCCCCTACACCACGGTGGCTGATTGTGCCAAATGTTCGAGGAGATTCAAACCGGCAAGACCCTCCACTTCGCTGGCAATTTGAGCCCGGTCCAGCTGGTGAGAGCCTGCTACAGGGACAGCGATTGCGTAGAGTTGCCGATGAATGGCTCAGAGAGTCGCTTCGCGACCCCGCGTTCAGACAGGCTATGGGGCAATATGTGAATGAAAGGGAACATCTGTTGAAAGCTGTTACAGGAGAGGAAGACACGGTAGTGTTTGTTACTACTCCGCGCGCTTCTGCGGACCCCAAGGTGGCCGGAACAAGTGGTGTCGCAGGGTCGCAAGACCTCCACGGAAACGATACCGGGGGATGGATGCCAAAGCTTCCTACATCAAGGGAAGAACCCTACATTTATAGAGACTATTCGCGGCCGTGGTCAGTCTCGCGGCCAGCAGAGCGACAGAGTTATCCTAAACGGGTCCCAACTGAGACCGCCAACCGACTCGTGGAATCGCTGGCGAGAATGTTCAGTCCGGGCTACAATCCACCTCAACAGCCAGAGCCAGAGCCGAGCCCTATGGTACATGAACCCGAATATTCTCCAATTCCATTGGAAGCTTCAGGTAATGGTAAGTATAAATGGATTTGGTTTGTTATCGCCTTTTTGGTGTTGAGCATGTTTCTGTGTCTATTTCTGTATGTGTTTGGAATTATCAAATGATGTAATAGAAGCCCATTCACATGGACTGTTGTGATGTGTATGCTCGGTGATATTCTGCTCGGTGATAATCTGCACTTGGTCAAGATGTTCGCTCACATTCTTTATGAGCCCCTTGCATGCCACATTCTTAACCTTTCCGATGAGCTAACCCTGCCATGTGTAAGACCCCGATGACGCTAATTCGGAAGATACTGAACCATACGACTACTTCAATGAAGGAGCTGATAATAATGCTGCTGCGGTGCCTCCGTCCGTCGATATCAGTCGGTTATATTCGCAACTGCCTGGATACAAATCTCATATTAAAGAGCCAGCAGCTTCAGCAGGAGATCGTAAGGCGAATCCTTGTCTGGCAGAATCAGATCCGACAGCTAACGAGTACCAGGTCCTCAAGCAGTGCCTCAGCTACTGGTGCCTAGGCCCCCAAAGATAGCTGTGCCTGCAGCACGAGTAGGGCCAGGATGGCCTTATGTGGAACAAGGGCCGGCGCACGCAAGACCAGCACCCCAACGGCCAGCACCAGCAGGGCCGATACCAGCAGGGCCGGCCAAAAAGGGTCGACCGACAGCGCGTAAAACCGCCCAATCACGGCCCGAAGATGGTGAACCACTGCCTACCAAGGTGACACAGAGCATTAGATACCTTCAAACGAACTTGCCACTGCATTTTCCGAAACGAACGGACCGTCGGGTGAGAGCTTGGGCCGGAGAGCAAATCGATGAAAGGGAAGGCATTGGACTTCCGGGGCAGATCGACCAACTGCCTAAGTTTCCTGCGCCTCGGGGCCATGGTGATCCTGAGCAAGGGCAGCTGGCGCCAGACGAGCCAGAACAGGTCCCAAAAAGAGCCCCGAAACGAGCCCCGAAACGAGCCCCGAAACGAGCTCTCAAACAAGCCTCGAAGCAGGTTCAAGAACAGGCCTCGGAACAAGCTCCCGAAGAAGGCCAAAAGCAAGCCCCAGAAGAAGCCGCAGAAGTACTCACAGAATTGGCCCAACCAGCGAAGAAACAGTTGAAGAGAAAGAGAAAGCAGGCGACACCAGCACCAGCAGCACCGGCGGGTCGGATGCAAACGCGGTCCATGGCCAAACGTAGGAATGCAGAAGAGTAGCCTCCTCGAGACAAAACTCTAGATCAGATTGTATGTAGTCTATCCAAAATATTACACGGATTGTATGTATAGGTCTATTGTATTGAATTGTATATCTTGTCGCTGTATACTACCCGATCGGGAATCATGCAAACCAGGCAAACGGACCCGTGATGTGATTTCCCGTCCGCAATACCGACAAGCATCCTTCAATTCAATTAAGGCGTCTCAGCTGCCTATGCTTCATCGCGGTGAATTGTGATTGCCCCTGGATATGTTCCAATAATCTACACCGAACTCGCTTTTGTTCATCGTCATCTCCCGGATCGATGAGCTGAGTGAGCGCTCCGAGTCTCCGCGACAGCCTCATTGCAGCTCTCCTGGTTCGCCGCGCATGAGAACAACACAAGATGTTCACCTTTACCCCTCTCCTCGGCGCGCAGTCTGCGTCCTCCAAGGCGTCGCAATCGATTCTAGAGCTAGATGGAGGGATCAAGATTCTCGTGGACGTCGGTTGGGATGACACCTTCGATCCTCTCGACCTGCAGGAACTGGAAAAGTGAGCGGCCACTGCTCGTCTACTCCGGAGTCTTCTAACTTATGCTAGACATGTCCCAACACTATCGTTGATCCTTCTCACTCATGCTACACCCGCTCATATCGGTGCATATGCTCATTGCTGCAAGACCTTTCCTCTTTTCACCCAGATTCCCGTCTACGCAACCAGCCCCGTCATTGCGCTCGGTCGCACGCTCCTACAAGACCTGTATTCCTCCGCTCCGCTGGCAGCCACTTTCTTACCCAAAGCCTCGATCTCTGAACCCGGAGCGTCCACGTCCGCTGCATCGGCGGCTGCATCCGTGGCCGAAGGTGACGAAAGCGCCGAACCTACGCATGCCGGACGAATCCTCCTCCAACCTCCCACGGCCGAAGAGATTGCCCGCTACTTCTCCCTGATACATCCCTTAAAATACTCCCAGCCACACCAACCCCTTCCGTCGCCGTTCTCGCCGCCCCTGAACGGTCTTACGCTGACTGCCTACAATGCTGGACACACGGTTGGCGGTACGATATGGCACGTGCAACATGGCATGGAGTCAATCGTCTACGCGGTCGACTGGAACCAAGCTCGAGAGAGCGTCGTAGCGGGCGCTGCGTGGTTTGGTGGGTCGGGTGCCAGTGGAACAGAGGTTATCGAGCAGTTGCGCAAGCCCACGGCGCTGGTCTGCAGTACCCGAGGCGGCGAACGGTTCGCGCTGCCCGGAGGCCGGAAGAAGCGTGACGACTTGCTGCTGGACATGATCCGAAGCACCATCGCCAAGGGGGGGACGGTTTTGATTCCTACAGATACTAGTGCTCGTGTGCTGGAGCTGGCGTATGCGTTGGAACACGCCTGGCGCGATGCGGCGAGCCAGGGGCAAGATGATGTGTTGAAAGGAGCTGGACTATATCTGGCGGGCCGGAAGGCTAATACTACGATGCGACTTGCGCGGAGTATGCTGGAGTGGATGGATGAAAATATCGTACGAGAATTCGAGGCGGCAGAGGGTGTGGATGCAACCACCGGACAGTCCACGAATACGGATCAGCGGTCTGGTCCGAACCAGGGCAAGGCCGAAGGCAAGGGCGTTGGTCCGTTTACGTTCAAGCATCTCCGAATTCTGGAGCGGAAAAAGCGACTGGAAAAGATCCTAACCGACCAGAAGCCCAAGGTTATCCTTGCCTCCGATACGTCGCTGGATTGGGGGTTCGCAAAGGAGTCGCTCCGACTGGTGGCGGAGGGTGCCAACAACTTGCTGCTACTCACGGAGCCGCTGCACAAGGAGCGGGTCTCGGAGGCCCAGGAGGACACCCGCCGCAAGACCCTCGGCGGGATGATCTGGCAGTGGTACGAGGAACGCAAGGATGGGGTTGCTCTGGAAAAGGCGTCGGACGGCGAAATGCTAGAACAGGTGCACAGTGGGGGGCGGGAGCTCTCGTGGACGGACGTGCGGCGCGCGCCGCTGGACGCGGGCGAGCAGCTCCTCTACCAGCAGTATTTGGCCACCAAACGCCAGCTCCAAGATACGTCGCAAGCCCGCGGGCAGGAGAACCTCGACAACGCCGCCGACGCGCTTGACGACCGGTCCAGCTCTACATCGGAAGACTCGGAGACGGAGCAGCAGGGTCGCGTGCTGAACTTTTCAACTTCGTTAGCGCACGCCAACCGCAACAAGCTCGGACTCAGTGATGAAGACCTGGGCGTCAATATTCTGCTCCGGCGCAAGAACGTCTACGACTACGATGTGCGTGGCAAGAAGGGTCGTGAGCGAATGTTCCCGTATGTGGCCCCAAGAAAGAAGGGGGACGAATATGGCGAATTCATCCGGCCGGAGGAGTACCTCCGCGCGGAGGAACGTGAGGAGGCCGACATGCAGCAGCGCCGGACTGACTCCCAGACCAAGCTGGGGCAGAAACGGCGATGGGACGAGTCGGGCCCCCACGGCCGGAGATTGTCTGGCAGTGGCGCCAAACGGCACGTGCTTGGCGATGCGCCGCGAAAGGATGCCAGTACGGCCGACGAGATGAGTCTCGCGGACGATGGCGAGGGCGCAGATGCGGCGGTCTCGTCCGAGGATGAGGTGGAAGGACAGACATTCGAGGGGCCGGCGAAGGCTGTGTACGAAAAGGCGGCGCTCACGATCAATGCCCGGTTGGCCTTTGTGGACTTTACGGGACTTCACGACAAGCGCAGTCTGGAAATGCTCATCCCGCTCATCCAGCCCCGGAAGTTGATCCTGGTCGGAGGAATGAAACAGGAAACGACGGCGTTGGCGACGGAGTGCCAGAAGCTGTTGGCCGCCAAATCCGGGATGGATGTCTCGGCCGCGGATTCGGCGGTGATCTTCACGCCGGTCAATGGCGAGATGATCGATGCCAGCGTCGACACCAACGCGTGGATGGTGAAGCTGAGCAACAATCTGGTCCGGCGTTTGAAGTGGCAGCATGTGCGCAGCCTGGGGGTGGTCACTCTGACGGCGCAGCTACGGGGGCCAGAACTGGCCGCCTTGGAGGATCCCGAGAATCCCATCAAGAAAGCCAAGCTGTTGGAGGAGGACACTTCTGAGACGGCGACGAGCCCGGCGGAGGGGGCCAAACCGGACGGATACCCCTTGCTGGATGTGCTGCCGGCCAACATGGCCGCGGGAACACGGTCGATGACCCGGCCGCTCCACGTGGGCGACCTACGGCTGGCTGATTTACGGAAGATCATGCAAGGGGCCGGACACACGGCGGAGTTCCGGGGCGAGGGCACCCTGCTGATTGATGGGATGGTGGCCGTGCGGAAGTCAGCGACGGGCCGAATCGAGATTGAGGCATCGGCACAGTCGGCGGCGGCGACGAGTCTCAGCCGGGGAGGGGGGAGTTTTCTCGCGGTGAAGCAAAAGATATACGAGGGATTGGCGGTGGTGTCAGGGAGTTAGCCGTATATGCCAGTGGCTATGCAGTGACTAATATTGGTTAGTTAACTACTGTCATTATGTTGGAGTCAGCAGTACCACCATCCTATTCCTTCTCCTCCATACGGAGTACCTGGAGAACTCGTTCCTAGTAAAGAATATAATCCGACTTTGGCCCGGAAGGAATCCTTTCATCCCTGGCCCCCATTCCACCAGACATCGATGTCCGCCCGTCCGACAGGTAAAATGAAATTGGGGCTGATCTGTCACACGATTATAGATCGATAGCCCGTAGCCCTAGGAACTAGTGGTCAGCCACCGTTCCGTTCCCCCCTTTATTCCCTTCGATTCAATAGTGCGGTTCTGGAAGGGGCTGCCTCGTACCTTAATGGGATGTGGCTTTCATACTTAGATCGATAAATATAGGATGTGTCTGAGGCTAGATGCACTATTGAGTACTAGGGTTGAGATAGGTATAGTACGGAGTACTCCGTGGTATTTTAGGAATAGGAGTATCTACTGTTAAAGACGTATCCTAGCGAACGAACAATCACGAAATAGGAAAGTTGTTGGAATGATGGAAGGATGGAAGGATCTAGGAGATGATTAGGTTCGTGGATATGTAGGATGCATGTCAGATGAGATGTCAGATCCTGCCCCTTGGTGTCATTTATTATATTGCATGATGGGCTGGGGTCCTTGTCTGTTGATGCCTGAGGTGTCAATTCCCTATAGAGAATCATGATCTGAGGGTGTGTGTGTAGATTTGAGTATACCTATGTACTGTCATGTAGAATACCGTGGAAATCAAGTGATGAAGATAAGTAGTGTCACACCATCGTGCTACTCAACTGGCGAGATATCACCCCACCCAACGTAGGTGAGGCACTGTCCATCATGTGTCTCCGAAGGATCTGAGTAATCTGAGCAACTCCAACTCCAACAAGGATCACAGTATGGGGTACACTAACCCACCTGCTTCATCCCAGTCCCAAGAAACCGAGCGGCTTACAACAAGGCAGCAGTCAACGCTCCTTCGGATCCGTCGGAGCAGTCAGTCTCCTCCCACCACCACCGGTTATCTCATCCCATCTAACAAAGCAGTCCATCCATCCCCCACCTGAATCCAAATTCAAATCCAGAACACGACAAAAACAAGTGAGGGGTAACCACCACCACCACACACCACCACTACACTCCAAACTAGCTTGATAATCCAACATGAATCCAGAAGTCAGAAGAATCCTGAAACACCACCAAAACACCCCCACCACCACCACACGTCAGTCAAAAGAACCCATACCATACCAATCACCAATGATAATTCACCATGTAGCATGCCCATGATTGGACCTCAAAATCATGACAATGGACATACGTAACCCATACAGTGGGGAACCTCACACATAGGGACGATGGTGCCCAATAAATGGCCGTGAATATGATCGATCAATGGACAATGCGCGATGCGTTTACACCAATAAGAGGGCGGCATAGGGTTAAGGTTTATGACCAATCGGTGGGTTTCAACTTTCAGATTGTGGATTGTAAATTGTGGATTGGTAGGCGCAGCGCTGACTAAGTTACTTACATGGATGGATCTGGATGGCCCGACCGGCGGTAAATCGGTCGGGGTCGGGATTGCATTCTCCGGTCGTCAGTCATTGTCATCGTCATTGCTATCGTCATCGTCATCGTTGTCCAGGCATCGTTAGTTAAGAAATAAAGAAATTAAGAAAGAAAGGATCTTTGTTTCCGTTCCCGGCGGGAAGAATTATTCTTGATGGGTTGGGATGAGTCTAGATGTGCTGGTGGAGTCTTTGTTGTAGGCAAATCGGTTAACTAACTAACCTACCTCATTATTCAGATGAATAATCAATAGGTAGATTTCTGAGATGGATTACGTAGGCGCCACTCCTTCTTTTCTTTTCTTCTTTTTCTTCCTATTTAAATTTAAATTCGGGGGAGGAGGATGTTTTCCTCCGTACTTCCATGGAGTGGTGAACTTAATCATACTCACGAACCGAGATCGGACGATGTATCTAATGGATAGGTAGAGGATCGATCGGTTGAGACGTGGGTGGAAGTATGCTGTAGGTTGTAGGTGGTAAACTGGGTTATTGTATCCACCACATGGAGGGATGTTAACCCCGCTACTCCGTACACCCTCTACCATTATCTATCACCTACTTAAGCCATATGAATACTATGTATGACGTTGCGGTGTAGAAATGAAGAATACATGTGTACGAAGTACACACATGCTCTATCTAATTTCCAATCCATCCAACAATCTCAGAACCATCCTCGGTGAGGCCCCCTCGTCCCTCAGCAAAACAGAAAGGCAGCAGCAACAGCCCGGCCCAGCCAATCCCCACCTCCCTAATCCAGCCCAGCCCAGCCAGCGCCCAGTCCCCACTCCCTCCGATCTGGACTGGCTGGGGCCCACTGTGGCTGACTGCCCATCCATCCATCTCCATCGCCGTCTTCGGTTTGCCGCCATCCATCCACCCACCCACCTACTATACTTTTTGAAACTACGTAGACTATTTGCGTTGCCGTTGCCGTTGCCTGCAAAGTGGAGGGTTTGCTGCCTAGGAGGAGGGAATGAGGTAGGTAAGATGTGGCTGAGTTTAGATTTTAGTTTTATGATGAGGACCTGCGTAAGGATGAGTACCTGCATATTATTGGGGGTGGAATTTGGGGGTGACTTGTCAGAACTTTACTTGGTACTATTTTACTTGGGTACTGGGTAGGGAGGAGGGGGGTTGGCTTTACCTGAATTACTCGTCGACTTTTACAGAGTACTCCGTACCCAACAGGATCAGATCAAGTAACAAGTATACTTTTTAGTCTAGCATAATTCATGTGATGTCAAATCACTACATACATAACCGCATAGCACAGCAAGCGAGATTGATTCAGGATTCATCTAATTGAATCGACAGATCAACACGAAAAGAGTGTGTATGTGCAACTCATCCAGGAGGCAAATCAAGTCAAGTCAACGAGTCTTTTCAAATTCCCGACCCAAACAAAATCCAAATCCAAATCCCACCCGATCTAAAAAGCAACGAAGGTATCAAAAGTCAAAGTATCATGGTTGTCACTCGTCCCGGAGGAAAAAAGGGGAGCAGGTTTAGCCCAAAGTGAGAGTGAACCGGGTATCGATAGGGCAGCCATGAGTAGCTTCATTGTCATCGGGCTGGTTGTACGCACCCGAGCACTCGGTCTCGCCCGCGGCACAAGTCACCGTAGGGCAGTCGGAGTTCTCCTCGGAGGGCTTCACGGTGAAGCCGTACTTGGTAAAGGCCGAGTCACTGCCCAGGTTGATGCACGACATGTCCCAGAAGATGGTGCTGCCGGACTGGGTGTACTCGAACTGTAGTACATCGGACTGACTCTCGGTGGTGGACAGCTTGATGGAGATACCACCGCCGTCGTCGTTGGTTTTCCAGGATTCGGAGTAGCTACCACCGCCCGCAGAAAGGGTATGCATGTTACTGACTCTATCAGAAACAGACCACGCGTAGACGGTAGTAGAATCCATGTTGTTCATGATGTCGACGCCGCCGGCCGAGGAGGTCTCGTTGCGACGGACGTGGAAGTTGTGAGGGAGGGCCGTGGCAGCGGTGGCCAGAGCGGCGGTGAAGATGGTCTTGAAAAGCATGATGAAGGATTGACTTGATCAAAGATTTGTCGTGGATGACTTCTTGATAATGGATATGCAATAGCAGAGCAAGCAAAGAGTAGATGAGTTGTGTGTCAAAAGACAGAAACTAAGGATTGATAGACCAAGTCTAAAAGAGAGAAGACTGGATGGTCCAAAAGAGAAGGTCTGATCTACAGACGAGATCAAAGAGAATGACAGGTCAGACAAAGCTGAACAAGAGAGTGTGATGCAGTAGATGCTGATGGGGGAGAGAGAGTCGAACAGGTAGGGTGCAGCCCACTTATATAGCCCAGTTGGCCCCAGCGGCAAGGCAAATCCACGGCTGTCCTCCACCTCCAAACTCGCTCGGTTCCTGACCGTTTCCATCCAACGAACCCGCCCGCCAGAGGCGCAGGGGTAAAAACTCTGTCCAGCATGACTCCAGCATCCGCTCCACATGGCCACTGACGTGGATTGGGCCGTCCCTGACGAGCCTTTGGGCCCGGGTGGAGATGGAGGTTCCGACGCCACGAGATGGGCGAGCGTTGGTCTGTCAAGTTTCACCGGCCTCTTGCGGTGTTGCTGCTGCTGCTGCTGCTGCTGCTGAGGAGTGCTGACACTGGCTGCATTGGCTGCATCATCTCGGACGCATCGGATTCAAGCTGTCGCTCGACTGGCCGGGTACCTAACCGGTACTTGTGTGCCCCCTCTTCCCATTGTTTCCACTGACAATCATCTTCCTTTCCCCGTCATATTGACCCCAAAAATAGGCCCTCAATAATCCCCTCCTTCTCCTTCCCCCCTCCTTCCCCTCAACGGACAGTTTCAAACAATCAGTCTGGCAGCTGGCTATCCTTTCTTTGCTGCTCCACTCGAGTCGCCTTTCCCTGGGCGTGAAAAAGTCTAATCGAGGGGCGTCGCTCGGCGGCCGTGGCAATAGAAACCCCTCGATCCCGAGTGCGTGACCGGAAGACCTCGGACTGGATCCACTGCGTGCCCCGACGGCACTCTGGAACTGGATGTGCCAAACCCTGTCAAACTCAACTCAAAGAATGGCAAATGGAAAAGAACTCATGGAGTCTCCCACGGTTCGTCTCCTCCTGGGCTCGCCGCCTCTCCGAGAGCCAGACTAATCCATTATCCGCTGCTCTTGGTGCCGTCCACTAAAGTAGCCTCCGAGCCTAGTCCGACCTTATCCTGCTCCATCGCTGGGTCGCCAGTTCTAGACTTTCGCCTCTTCATCTGCCGAAACCAACCGGAGGCCTGCGCGCCCCCCCCCCCTCTTCAAGTCTCGTCGCCGGTCTACGTTCTACGCCATTACGCGAAACCTGCCTGTTCCTGTGCCGATGCTTGCAAACTGCAAAGACCCTCTGGGTTTCTGTTCAACGCTCAACCGTGGTATACTGTAAATCTCTTCCCTTTTCCCTCCGTAGCGCCCCCCCCAAAACGTCTACCAATACGGCGCCCGCAGTCCAGCCAAGCTGGTCAACCCCCCCTCCCCCGCTGTGTCCTCGCGTTTGCGGTGCCCCGCCAGCTCCAGGTTGATTTGCCGGTGGATGTGCACCAGCCAGTCCACATAACTCTGGGCCTCGTTGTTGCGGTCTTCCACCAGCAGGCGCGCAAACTCGTATTCGGCACCATCCAGTCCCTGACGCGCCAGCTGGATCGTTACGGCCTTTGATCCCCGGATCGTCGACAGATACTGCAGTAAATTGCGCACTTGCGCGTTCAGATGTGTCTCCAGCACCGGGATCGTCGAGGTCTGGGGGCTCAGTCCCTGGAGCGACCCTTGCCCCTCGCCAAACAGGTCCTCCAGGAGGTTGGGGGACACCTGCGAGTGCAACCACAGCAGGCACTGCTGCCCGTTGTCCACCAGGTACGCCCCGCCTTCCTCAATTTTCGAGAAGCTGGCCCGCAGCGAGGGGGGCACTTGCAACTGGCCCTGCTCATTGGGGAATCCATCTGTCGGCTGCATGTTGTGGATCGGGATGATGCGGGGGTACAGGTACAGCGACAGCTCCGTGCACCCGATGGATCGCAACATCCGCATGTCGTGAATGCGCCGATCCGACGCCTCCTGGCCGCCTAGATGCCGTCAGTCCGTGTTCCTCCGATGAGTCCAAGAGCCAAGGAGCGGATTTACCTTTAACAGCCCGCGACTTGATCAGGCTGAGCATGTACATGGAAAATTCCTTTAGGTTCTCCGGTAGCACCAATTGCCCCGGAGGATGTGACCCAGAGAAGATTTTGCGGTATCCGCTGAAGATGTCTACGGTCTTCTCCGAAACGCTGGCTCGGATGTCCTTGAGGGACTTGTCTAGAGTCTTGGACGCCGCTGTAGTCATGTTAGCATCGGCCCAATCAACAGACAGAGTAGCGAACATACCCTCCTTGGCCACCATGCTGACCACGGCATCCTGGTCCACAAACTTCATCGTCTCCATGCCGCCTTCATTAACCGCGGCTACGGAGTTGATGCACCGGACCCGACGCTGGCCGTTGGCCGAAGTATACAGCAGGGCAGCCTGGAAGTGAGCATCCAGCTTCGGGTCCAGTTTGCCGTCGTAGCTGAACACCACGCCGATAGCCTTGTCGGCGTCAATCGCACCGATCTCGAGGTCGGCCCCAAACGTGTGCTGCACAAAGTTGCCATGGTAGGCTGACACTTGCAGTCCGTTCGAACAGCGGACCTTCATCAGAGCCTGATAGCCCGTCTCCCGCGTGACCGCATGCGCCAATTCCTGCGAGAGCTTGCGGATGTCGCGGGGTGCGTGGAAGTTCGGGTAGAAGAAGGTCTCACCGCCAGTTACCTCAGGGACGTGGCCTGCCAGCGTTAGCAGTAGTCAGGGATGACGCGCGAACAACTCACCGATCGTAGCAACGTCCATGTACGTTCCGCTGGGGGCCGCAATAAACATGTCGACGCCGATGCCGGCTTCAGCCAAATGGCCGGCCGTCTCGCGCCATCCCACATGCTCCGTGGTGAACAGCTTCCTCTCCGCCTCGGTCCCGTGCACCTTAGGGTCATCCCGCAGGGACAGGGCACCGGGACCCCAGGTGGGCAGGCTGGCGATCGTGCCCACGATCTTACCGCCCGTCGGCCGCAGAGCAGACAAGGCCGCGTTCAAGGCGGGCAGCAACGCAGGCTGTGGGTTCTTGACATGGGAGAAAATGGATGGGATGCGCTGCAGCAAGGAGGTGATGACATTCCTGATCCTGTTAGCCGTATACCTCAATTAAGAGCATGGGACGCACTTTGACTCGTAAGGGTCCACAAACAGTCCCTCACTGAGAGGGACAAACGGCTCTTCCAGATCGGTCATCACCATCATCTGGGCCTGGTCGAGTTGTGCCTGGGACGGTAAGCAGAGATCGGCATAGCGGCGATTCCGAACTCACACTGAGATTGTAAAAGTGCACCTCCTTATCATAGGTGACGATACCGATCTTTGCGCCTTCTGGTATGCGCCTGGCCGGGGCCTCACCCTCGGTCTCCGATGGTTCCTCGCTGTACAGCGCCTCCATGATGCCCTTGCACACACCCTTCAAGAAGCCCTTGTTCACCGATTCCTGACTGACATCAATCAGGAACAGCCATTGAAGACCAACCGGTTCCTTGTTCCAGTAATCCTTCGGAACTAGGAACTCCACGGTTCCCATCATCAGCTCCGGACGCTGCATGCGGTCGATGCGCGATCCGGATGGGTCCAGCGGGGCAAAGTATTCCGCCGGTACATCGTTGGGGAATGTACACATATTACAGACGAACTTGTTTCCTCCCGAGCGGAACGACATGAAGGGGTTGATATACGCTCGGCATCGGCGGCATCGCGGGGGCCCGGCGTCGCCGAAATCCAGCACGGGAATAGGCTGTTCGCCCGGGTCCAGGCGCGCCAGCGGCTGCAAAACCATGCCCAGGGGCAGTGCAGTCGAGGAGAGGAAGTCGGAGGTGGAGGGGATGTTGTTTAAAGTGAGACGCGCATATTTGGGGGACGAATTGCCCTGGTCGTGGGCGACGAACGGGATCGCCGCCGGAGGGGGGAGATGTCGCTCCATCGTCGGGTAAACATGGTTGAAGTAGTATTGCGCAGGCAAATCGCGAGCCCGCGGAATACTTGGGATCTGTTCTGGGTCGATCTTCCCTTGTGTCGGGACCGCACCAGCGCCGCCTCCTAGTGCTGGGTTCACGGGGGGGGGGATGCCGGCGGCGGGGGAGATGGGCCGGGGGGCTTGGTTCAAGCCGGTGTTGAGAAACTGCGAGGTTGGCTGCATGGGATCTTGAGGTGCTGTCGCGAATGGTTGCGGGGCCGAGGCCGAAGCACCGGCAATCTCGTGGTGCGCGTGTCGATGCTTCTTTTTCGTCGTCCGGTGCGCTCCTCCTTCACCTCCCATTATTCCCAATCCGCTCATCTGGGACGCCAGCCCGGCCATCCCAGGGTCGACGGGGGCACCAACCGCAGCGTGCGGTTCGGTCTGGTATGCGAATTGTGCCGGTGGTTGTTGTAGAGGTTGTTGTGCCGGGGGAGAGCCGTAGGCCGGCCATTGTTGATTAGGGGCAGGGGCTCCGTACGCAGCTCCGGGCTGGGGAGGAGAGGGACCGGAAGGGAAGCCAGCGGCAGGATAGCCTTGCGGAGGAACCGGAGATGCCATTCGATTGGGATCCGAGGGGTTTTCACCAGGCACCGGAGCCTGACCGTAGGAGTGATACATGTTCGGGTCGGCCATAGTGCTGCATAACGCGGGGGAAGAGAATCAACAGATGTGGACGGGGGAGACGGATCGATCGGCGGCGGAGAAAGCCCAGTCAGCCGTGGACCATTACTGGATCCTCCTCGAGGACTGCAGTCTGAGCAGAGAGGGTTTGCACCAAGAAAGGGGTATGGATGGCCGTTTATCGCAACTGACCACCTATCCAGTTCACTCTCGGAGGAGAAACCGTGGCCTTGGCCGCTTCCCTTTCTTGGCCTAGCGCGGCTTATGTCATACTTTGCGCGCGTGTCTCTCTCGCTCTCCGGACTCCTACTCCTTGCTTCGGATACTTCTTCCCGACTTCCATATTGTACATTATTGCGGTCAACATTCTACAGATCCAAGCACAAATTTCACTATGAGGTGCCCTGCATAGTCCCATTATCAGTGTCTGACTGACTTGACTGTATGTACGGATGGCGGAGAGCGTCGCAAGCATTTGGTCTCCGATCCGGATCTGCTGTGAGGAGGTAGATGATAAAGTCAACGAGCTCGGTGGGCACTGGTGGATTTGCAACAGACTGCAGCTCATCACGCAACCTGCCGACTTTGATCACTTTGCCGAATTCAGGTCCAAAGTCCATAGAAAGAAGCTGCTCAGCCAGTTCAAAATCCGGAGCATATTGATCGGTAGGAGCCCCGAGGGGACCGATAAGGGCCATGAGTTTCGCTATGCAATACGCCTCGGGATAGCCTTCAATGATCTTGTCGCTCGCTCCAAAAACATTCTTCCAGGCAGCCCATTGCGCCAGCTGTCGAATTAGCCTAGTCTGCCTAGACTTGGGACCGACTCACCATAACACCAACTGACCACACATCTGAAGAATGAAAGCAGCCATGGCCCTGCCACACCTCTGGTGCCCGGGACGGAAGGCTTTGAAGCCGCTGCTCGTTAAATCCATCCCGCAGTACTGCAACAGTAAGTTTCATTCGTGATGGCAATGTTGATACGTACCCATGCCTAAATCGCCGAGCTTGACGACGGGTGAATCCCCGCCCAGGTTGGAAATGAAAACGTTATTGATATTCACATCTTAGCGGTTAGCAGGCAGGTAAGGAAGTAATGCAAAAGGAATCTTACCAGTATGGACCATTTCTTGCGATCTCATCACCTCGAGTGCGGAAAGGACGGACTTGGATATATTCCGGGGTAGCTCGGTGTCGCGAAACTTGTTCGATGGCACCTTTCGTAGAACAGTGTCCATATATTCGAACACAAGATGTGGGGATGTGTCCGTAGAGTCAATAGGGCCAATGGCTTCATACATAGTTCGAATATATTGGTTCGATGCAAAGGCGTTGATCTGGTAGTTGCTGTATTCGCGCCTCAATGCAACCCGCTCGAGATCCCCAATGGCCGTCTTGATTACAGCCCTAAAGATGTGAGCACACATTCAACCATGTCGGGATCTTACCATTCTTTGTTAATATCGGACCCTGGCAGGATTCTGGCCTTGAAGACTGTTGCACTCTTCAGTGGCTCCATCACTTGATAACTTGCTTTCTTCCCGCAGATGACTTGGCCGATGCGCAGAGACATGGTATGGGAAGAGTGCAAGCTGGCTGCTAAGTCTTTCAGCTGTATAGAAATGGAAGAGCTAGCGGAGCAGCAAGCTGACGTTGAAGCATCCCGGCATCCCCTTAACGGCAGGCCGATCACCTGACCAATCTTCTGCTGCCTCTTCACGAATCACCTAACAACCAACGCTCTTCTTGACTTAGCACCTTGTCAGATACTATGCGAGGAGGTTTTGAGAGTATCGCTTTAGATTTCCGAGGCCCCTCCCGTGCGGGCTTTCGACCAAGAAGGCTGCAAAATTGTCGATTATACGAACCCAGAATGCTCGGAGCCTTATCTTTGAAATCCTCGGGTCTTTGCTCCATGCTGCAGCTCGGGTGTGTAACGTGCATTTCGGATGGCCTCCCTTGCTGCACTTATCAGCCCGGCCCGATAAGGCTAACCATGACCCCATTTCCCCCAGCCACTTCCTCCCTCCAGGGTCTTTTGGTGGTGAAATCTTTGGTCCTTTTCTTGTGTATCTTATTAGAGTACCTCAGTCACCTTTGTCATTTGTCACGAGTCAAAATATCACGCAGCCATTGAAAGTGCTCGCGTCGGTCCTCGCGGGGTTCCTCACCGACACTTGGACGGGATCTAGACGGGTGAGCCGCATGGACTGTCTGACTGCACGATCAACCATCTGACAACGATAGATCTACCTAGGATATCGCATTGGCGATCAGTTCCAGTTCACTCTAGCTATAGCCAGGACACAAAGATACGCTTCTGTCCAATGGCCACTATCCATGACAATGATGAGCTTCTCCTAGCCCGCATTGGCTACAAACAGGTATAGCCCGCGCCGTGTATGCTTCGTCAGGCTCTGACAGCCCAGGAATTGAAACGGGAGTTCTCCAAATGGTCCACCGTCTCCTATGCCATTTCCATTCTGGGGATATTAGGCTCCGTCCCCGCCACGTTCGGTGCTCCCCTGGCTGCAGGAGGCCCGGCCACCGCAGTATGGTGTTGGTTCGTGGGTTCTTGCATGGCCTTGTGCATTGGAAGCTCGGTGGCAGAGCTGGTCTCTGCATATCCTACCGCCGGGGGCATGTACTTTGTCACCAAGCATGTGGTCCCGGACGAACAGGTGCCCATCTTTTCCTGGGTCCAGGGATGGTGTAACCTGCTTGGACAGACGGCGGGTGTGTCAAGCGTCGCATATACCGTCAGTCAGATGCTGCTTGCTTGTGCCAGCATGAACTCGGAGCTTGTCGATGGCAAGTACTCGTATTCACCGTAGGTTGTCCCTATAGCCTGCCTACTCAGCTGACGAGTCAGTTCTGCGTCCGATACGGTGCTTTTGTCTGTGATATTGCTTTGCGTGTTGGGTGTGATCTGCTCGATGACTACCAAAGCTTTGCATCGGATATTTCTCTGGTTTGCCCCGATTAACAGTATGTCTCAGACTCGCATTGTTGAGCACGAGCTGACCAATTAGTTGCTGCGACGATCGGTATCTGCTTCGTGTTGTTATGGTTCACCCCCGACAAGCAACCGGCTACCTGGGTCTTCACCCACTTCACTGATGGATCCGGATGGGGATCCAAGGTATTCTCATTTCTGTTGGGATTCATCTCGGTTGCATGGACAATGACAGACTACGATGGAACCACACAGTGAGCCTACTTCTATACGGAATAGTTCTCCCCTGCTGACCATGTATACTCAGCATGTCCGAAGAAACTCACAATGCTGCCGCCCTAGGTCCCCTGGCCATTCAATCCGCCGTCGTCGTGTCCGGCATCCTTGGCTGGATCTTGACCGTGTCCATGTGCTTCTGTCTGACCGACTTTGAGGGTATCCTGAACACACCAACAGGTCTGCCAGCAGCGCAGATCTTCTTGAACGCCGGGGGCAGAGTCGGTGGCTCAGCTATGTGGGGATTAGCAATACTCGTCCAATTCTTCACTGGCTGTTCCGCCATGCTGGCAGATACTCGAATGGCCTATGCCTTTGCTCGTGACGAAGCCCTGCCATTTTCTTCGTACGTCGCCTATAGAACAAAAAGAGCAACCTACTAACAGCATCAAAGCTTCCTCTCCAAAATCAACCCCTACACTCAAACCCCCGTCAACGCCGTCTGGTTCGTCGTTCTCTTCAGCATCTGTCTGAACTGCATCGCCATCGGCTCGACGCAAACGGCCACGGCCATCTTCAGCATCACCGCGCCTGCGCTAGACCTCTCTTACGTGTCTGTGATTCTCGCCCACCAGATATACCGAAAACAAGTCAAATTTATCGAAGGACCATTCACCCTGGGACGATGGGGACCCTATATCAACTGGATCTCGGTGCTGTGGGTGGTTTTTATCAGTTCGGTGCTGTTCTTTCCGCCAACAGTGCCTGTGACAGTTACCAACATGTGCTTCCTACTTCTTCAGCTCCCTGTTTAGAAGCATTCACTGACTATGACTCAGGAACTACGGCATCTGCGTCGGTATCTTCATCGCTGCTTTTGCATTAGTCTGGTGGTTGGTTGCTGCGAGAGGGTGAGTACATTCCTTCTTATACACCTCACAAGTCACGCATCTAACCTGATATACAAAATGATAGAAGATACACCGGCCCCCGAACAACAGACGACATGCAGGCCGTTCCAACCGAAGAACCAGGCACCGGCTACGGAACCATGGATTAGCCAACATGTCAACAACTCAAACCTTCCCTCCCTCATCCCAAAGACTTAACGAACTATTCATCCTCCCCCCATCCTAACCCTACGCTCCTAACTTACCATACATACACTATACATAGACCAAATAGACCAAACAGCCATACCCACCAAGTACCCTTCACCCCGTCGAATCTAACCTCCCAAGAAGAAAAAAGAAACCAACCAAATTCAGCCCCTATCTTCACCTCCCCTATCCCTACCATCCCTATACCTACCGACCCAAATAGTATACACATCAAGTACATCCCCAATCCCAATCCCAATGCCTAGATATCAACCCAACCCAGCCCAACCACACCCTACCCAACCGACGATCCCGATCACCATACCACCCCGAAAAAGCAATCCTACCTACCTATCAACCTAGTACCTACCGACATACATCCCTTATCTCAGGGCTGACAGGCATCCACCCAAAAAGAAAAAAAAACGAAAAAAAGAAAAATCAGGTACCCGGACAACTACCGACGGGATTGATAGGTGTCAATCAAAAGTTAAAATGTGACATTTTTTTCGGGATTTGGGGAGGGAAGGAGGGGGCAATAGTTTTATGCAGCTAGGTATTGTTAAGGGACTGGGACGGAGTATATTTCCTTTGTATTGTATACTATTTATCATTTGGAGATAGGAGATAGGGATGGTGGTGTAATGTGATGTGGTGTGTGGGGTTGGGAGATAGGGAGAGAGAATAAAAGAGAGAGGCTAATACGATATAGAACGTGTTGTGATATGGCTCATGGCTTAGGATAATGCAATTTATACAGATAATGAATATCATCAAACTCATCAACGCGTACTCCGTCATATATAAGTACATCTCGAAATCAATTCCAACCGGCCAGTGTCCCCTTTTGTAAATGGTATACGGTACTGTGCCCCTAATCATGCCCGCTGACGCCATGCCCTTCGTCTCGCTTTTGGGGCTGCTCACCCTGGTCCTGTTGCCCTTTCGCCATTCGGCAGACAAAGAAAAGAACAGAAAGAAAGAAATACATACATCAAACGGCTCAGAGAACCAAAGAAACACACCAGGAACTGGTGATTATGCAACCGGAATGAACCAGAAAAGAAAAAAATGAAAAAAAAAAAGGATGCATCAAGCGCAGCCTAGGTAATCAGGAAATCCATGTTCATGTCGTTAATGATCTTCTCCCAGTCCCAACTCTCTTCGATTTTCGTATCCATCACATCCCACACCCGCTCCACCACCTTGAAGGCGGGCTCGATGTTGCGAAGGTTGGAGTAGGCTTTGAGAGTTTCGAAGCCCTTCTTGATCCTCTCCCGCTGGCGAGGAACGAAGGCAGAGCACCCCAGGAGGAACAGTGGCATCAGCACAATACTGTAGGCGCCTGCATCTTGGGGCAACTGGTCCAGAAACGCCAAGCCATCGTCGACCACCTGTGCGATTTTCTCGCTGGGTCGGGACGGCCGGATGGTGCGATACAGATACACCCAAGTCGACTGGCGATACAGCTGGGCCAGGTAGTAATTTGGAGTGTTGGGCGCATACGACGTTTCCCAGGCCCGGATGGCCGAGTCGATGGAGACGGCATCCCCTAAGATCTGGTAGTCGACAGCGGGCTCGTAGCCTTCATTGGACCGCTGTCGGATCCGATCCCGAATTCGCGTCACTTCGGAGATGTAGTTGAAGAGGCCATCAAACACTCCCAGGAACATCCCTGCTTGCGCATGTGGCACAAAGTCGGGCAGCCGCAGGCCCCCTTGGAGGGCTGGGCGGCGATCTAGTGACGTGATGGAGTTGGAGACATCATGGTATTGGAAAAACTCGACAATGAACTGTCGGAACTTCTCATTCCGCGGCGCCTGCGTCGTGAGCAGATACCTGGCGGCATCCATGTGTGGTCGGTATTCCCCATTCGTCTCTCCCTCGCAGATGGTGTTCAGGCTGAGAGCAATCGTGGATGCAATAATGGGGTCTTCCACGAGAGACTTCGGCTCCTCCAGAGTTCCCTGCACCACCTGCTGAGACGTTTTGATATTGTCCTTGAGGTCTCTGATGGCACGATGAAAATGGTAGTACTTTCGCTCCTTCAGCTTCGGCTCCGGGTCGAGTGCGGATAGGTGTGACCCGGAGAGACACATGAGGGAGTGCATCAAGCCCCGGTGCTGGGTGGCCATCGGAAGGAGGATCTCCTTGAACGGATTGGAGTCATCGTTGATGAGGGTCAGGACGCGACTGAAGCCGTAGACGAAGTGATCCAGGAAACGTCGGTCAATCTCGGTTTCGATGCCGTCAATCAGCAAAGGCAGGGAGCGAGTAACCATGCTCTGGGTACGAACTGCTGTGACACCAAGGAGTCAGTCAGACATGGTTTTCGGACAGAGACACGGTGATTGGATGCAACAAGAAAAAAAAAAGTAATACGCACGACAGCCACGTAGAACCAACGACGGCCCCAAGGAAAACTTACCATCCTCAAGCTTCTGTTTGCCGCTCTTCCAGATTTCTTTTGGCGGGTAGCCCTCGCACACCACGGCATTCTTCTGACAGTTCAGACACCTGCAAAGCGGAAAGAAAGTTAACCTCTGCGACCGTAGCGACACGGGATGGACCCAGTCAAAGGAGGACGGGAGCTTTACGCTGGCTTGGTCTCGTCGCATTTCTTCTTCCGCCGGCGGCAGGTGATACAACCCGTCTTGGATCGACCCTTGGTGATCTTGACCTGACCCCCGGGCGCTGGCAGCGGATGTTTGCGTGGTCGTCCACGTTTCCGTGGGACGTTGACGGGAGCAGCCGTGGAATCCGGATGGGTAGAGTTCGCATGGACCATCGGCTCCACTCCCACGGGCTTTATACTCTGCAACTCGTCCACATCGTCTAGCTCCTCAATCTTGGGCATCACCTCGCCCATGGCGGCCTCCATCCCGTGGGATGCGATCACGTTGAAGCGGAAGGTTTTGGGGGAAGCTACAGCGGCGGTAGCGAACGGATGGTGCGATCCGTCCTGGATTTTGACATCGATCTCGGCGGCGGGGGAATTATCGGAGGGCCCGTCACCATCCCAGGAGACGGGCGAGTCGTTGGAAAAGCCGTCGGTGGTGCTGATACTGTTGCGGTGGGAGAGTGACGAGTCGTCTACCAACGGGCAGTCGGCGAGAGCGGGGATGTCCGCCAGCATCACCGAGCGGGTGGAGTCGCGACGTTCCGCAGGTTGGTTGGTGGACGGCATGGTATGAGCAGGGAACACATAGGTGTGAGTCTTTTGCATGGACAACATTGGCCCATCCGCACCTCGACCGAGGTGGAGTGTAGTGGTGAAGTAGGCAGAAGACGACGAGGGGGGGAGGTGTGGAAGAGGGAGAAGGAAGGTGAGCGAACGAGAGGGAGAAGGAAGGTGAGCGAACGAGAGCGAAAGAGTTGGTTGGGGGTGGTGGTGAGGAGTGAAGGACGAGGAGGAGGGAGGGGTAGACGGCGTCGAAGGTGCCGCGACGGGGGTGTGGTGTGAAAGCCTGTGGCTTGGGGAGACGGTCGTCTGAGAGTAAGTAGTTGGGAGAGGGGAAAATGAGGGAGGGAGTGAGGATAATAGAATCTCCCTATAGAGTACTAGGTAGGAAGTAAATGGTGATTGGAGTGGGGAGCAGTCCGACTTGGCTGTGGTTTAGTGGAAGACGGATTGACCCCGAGGGCTGGCTTAGTTTGGGTCAGTGACAGTCAGATTCTTAGAGTCTCAAGGAAGCCAGAAAGACTCCGCGGACGAGGCTAAAATTGGGGATCGGGGCAGGCAGACGATTTAATAGCCTGCGACGATTCCTATTCAGAGGATTGAATCCAGGGCAGGACCGTCGGTAGTCAGAGGAATGAATAATAAGAATCAACCTGACAATCCGTATTGTACGTAAGTTAAGTTGGTATTATTCTTTGACTAGCCGCCGTCAGTACTTTCTGGCGGAGGATTATTCGATTCGGATTTCTTCCTGACGACGGGCCATGGGACAGTCCGATCACCCGATTCCACCCTCATCTATCGAATCAGTGTTCTCCTCAGGGTTCTCGTGGATTCTTTGTATGATCCTAATAATAATTCTCATCGTGATCATGATGATGATAATAATAATAATGATAATGATAATATTCCAGTCAGGAATTCTGGCAAAGTGCGCTCCCTCGGTCGGATTGGAGGCATGAAAGTGGGCCCGTCAAGAGGGCATCCAAACTAGGCAAACTTTGTGATGGAGCATCGCAATAAACCATCATCCTCGCTATTAACCGGGACAACTAAGGCATGAGTCCATGACGGGGCCAAGCCTCCCGTGCTGCCAGTCGGCCACTGCGCCGCACATACCAGCCTCGACCTGCGGATAAATGAGCAGGAGCATCGCCCCGAGCGAGGAGGAGATCCCCAAACCAACTGGGAATGAGGAGACAAGCGACAGGGTCAGTCACTCCTCAGTAGGGCATCCATCCATCCCGTCCGGCCTGCGCTTTTTTTAAACTCTAACATGGATGCGGGGGGCCAGGAATGCCAAGCCAGCCCATTCCTGCCGGCTGATTGGCCTTTCGCCAGACGGAGAAAAACGCCAGAGAAGCGAACGGAAACCCATGCTAACCTTCACTAATCACTGCACCTCGTCTGGGTCCTGATTTTCCTCCCTCCTCCCTAGTCTACTGTGTACTGACTGGCCTAGTGTCTCTGGTGGATGTGCAAAAGCAATGTGATCGAATGAGAGATTTTGGGACCCCCCCCCCCAGCTAGAGGGACCCCCTCCCTCCCCCGGCGGATGATCCTCGTTGCTCACGACTGCTGGGGCAGCTGGGCGCACCTTTCGGTTGGCGACCGGCCGGTGGGTGATTCCCCAGACCCGTCCAGAATGCAATGGGCGGCCCCTCCAGGGGCTGGCAGGGCCGGAAGAAGCGACGACGAAGCGACTAACGACTGGCTTGCGTGGAGGATCTGCTCCATCCTGTGAGGCTATTGTTAACCCCATCTCGGATTGACTGGCCACCTTCCCCCGTCGTACAGGCCGCGTCGCTACGAGATTTCGTCACCCTGACTGCGAACTGCAGGAAACCCGAATCCGTCTGATGACACACAATGCCAACGTGAAGCAGGTCCAGAAGGAGCAGACTCGCACCGGTGATGCTTGAATTGATCATGAGTCTCGTATCGGCCTAATGTCTTGGTGGAGCTGTCCTGATTGTAAATGGTCGCCAACTACTCCGTACCCAACTGGAAACAGCATCGGCTGCGATCTATCTCACTTCTCGTCTCCATCAGAGACCTTGAAGCGTTGCACCTATTGCACCCATCAGTCGCAACAGCCCTGAAAGCGGCCGATGACGGTGATGACGGGGCGTAGCGTTCTAGTCGTCTTATGTATTACTTGCATGCCGGGATGACACGGCTCGGGCTCAGCTGGACGCCACACCCCACGCTACGACAACCTTGGACGGGTGGGCTGGTCTTGGGTCTCATCAGCCGGCGTTGGACAAGTGCGGAGATGGCCAAAGGCTCGGGCAGTGACACCACAGGCCAATTTCCTCCCTGCATTCAGCATTGTGATGCGTCTGACGCCTTCAGGTCGCCCGATCGCTTTCCCCAGACTGCTGAGCTGAGAGCGGATCGGACGATAATTAGGGAGGATACCTCCGAGCAGGAATGAACGCCAGACGGCCAGAAAAGCCCTCAGTCTTACGGACAATCTGGGGAAGTGGGCCAGATCTTCTCCTGTGCGCCAGCACGGACATTCGACTGCAGAGAATCATCCATCCAGGACAACCCGGGCGTCCACAGGAGATGCTGAGATACTGTAGGTACGTTTCCCGTGATCTCGGGTGCGACGAATTTAATCTGGCAGACTGATCGTTCCCTGGCTCTGAGGCCTGAGGTCTGAGTCTGAGGTCATGCCGGTCGGTGGTCACGGGTGGTCTGTTCTTACTTCCCTGTTTCTATTCCATATTCCATATAGACCACGAGTGCTCTACTTCACGTCTAAATCCTGGTAGTACGACTGCTAGTCACCTCTGTGCAAAGCGCGACCGACGGATGGCCGTGGACTCTCCCCGAGGCCATTGTTGTTATTGGGGGGGCTTTGTTTCCGAGGGCTTGGACCTCACGGGCGACGGGGTTTGCGCCCCATCTGCCCGGCGACCAATTCGGAAGTGGAGCTGAGCTCTGAGCTCCAGCTGGAGCTCGTTTCGTTTTAGCTGGATTTATCCGGGCTAGCGATCAAGCTTGAGGATCCGGTCAGATGGTCTGACCTGCTCGCCCCGTAGGAGACTAGGAGTAACAATACGGGTTCTGAACCGGTGGCTCGCATCAGGTGAGGGCGGCTGGCAGTGGGACCTACCGTATTACCCAACCCTGGAGTTCCTTGACGAGGCCTGAGTCAAGCGGCCAGGCACTCAGGCCGGCGCTCAGGCAGGTACCGACTAGCTCCGCTAACCTCGTGCCCGGTCATCGGAAACCAGCAGCGGATGCAAATCTCATCGCTATCATCGCATTCCTCCCGGCTAGATAGCCAGCTTGGAAATAAGCATCACGATGAGCTGAGGCCCCACTCCCGGAATGCTCATCTCCCGACCGCATCAGGTATACATGCCTCTGCCATGCCTCATGCCTATCAGAGCCATTGAGCCATTGCCTAGATTCGTTAGAAACCGGTAGCACTGGCAGAGCCCAACCACTGCAGGCCAAAGCTAAAAGCGCCATCCGAATCCAGCGAGTGGAACTGACAAGTGGATCCACGGAAGGGTGTTCCCGCCGTATTCAGTGGAGAGACAAACCATTGGTTTGTATTCGACTAAAGACTTCACTCATGGAGACATGAAGATGTACTCTGTTCCAAGTGCCATGCTTGGTATGTATGTCTGTCCACGTCGTCTACCCCGCCATTCCTTGCCACTTGCATCGTATTACCTTTTGCCTACTCCGTCGATAGTTACCAGAGGTGTATACTCCGTACTCTCCGTGCGATCGTCGTGAGTTGCTCCTTGCGTAAATGCGGAGATGACACGGGGTTGCTTGCGCGTTGTCAAGCCACTACCATACCTTGAGTGACTTTCGACTCGTTTAATTACCACTCCATATGAAGTATACAATCTATTATAGTAAGGATAAGTACCAAATGAACCTGATCATCAATTCCGTATCTTCCGACCGTAGAACACCATTTACTACCACCATAGCCATCCCACATACTGATACACTGACAGGAAGAGAGCGAGCAATACACATACCGGTACATTAACCCCAGATTCATCCATCCATCCATACATACATACTATGTACCTACCACCTGACCTCCACTCCACTCCCTCACTCAAAACAGGCAAGTCACCCGAACCAGCTGCGGTAGGCAGCTACACACCTACATCTAGTGGCTAGTTGACACAGAGAACGGAGCAGCAACTATTAAATTCATCATTCCCAGCGCCTCACAATATATTACATTCCACATATCTACTCCATAGTACCAGAAAACAAGTCACAGTCCAGAAGTCGATACTTTCTATGGAGTAGTAAGAAGTAATATCGAATAAAACCCCCACAGAAAGAAATGCCCAATCCCAACTCAATGATTCGTAAAATTCAGACTGTGTAGAAGCACAAAGATATTCTATGATCTTCCACGGGATTCGATTCTACACCTCATCCGGATGGAGGTTACGGGAGTACTCTTGGAGGAAGTAAGAACAGGGAGTGGTGTGTTGGATGCCGCTAAGGTATGTTATACTTGGACTATCTAGGTTAGGTAGGTAGGTAGGTAGGTAGCATGTGCAGAGCCGGATGGGGAGTGGAAGTGGAGTGGAGACCATGTTACCTACTTACATAGTTAGTACTACTTACTTACTCAATACTATCGATGGAGTAAAATAACAAGTACCCTGAGATACATATGATCTTGTATATATATCATCTATACCAAATAACCTAGAACCAGAGCATAACCAAGCCAAGTACCTACTATGTAGGAGGGTGTATTACCGAAGTAGGAAACACTAAACCACCAGAAGCAGACTAACTAACTAACTTAGTCGTTACTGAATCCTAGCGAGCCGCTTTTCTCGATGGCCTGCATAAGGCGGGCACATTTCTAGGATCTCCACTTGAGACTACTTAGTGTTGGTTAGGGTATTTTCTTCTCAGTTTTCAAATTTTACTAGATACTAAGCGGTTGTTTTCAGTGGGATTGCTGGACAGGACAACCTGGGGGTTATCCTACTCTGCACCGTATGAAATAACCAATCATGATACCCAAACCAAACCCAGAATCTCATCCCGCGCCCGTATCCCACCCATGAACTAAGTAAACTGTAATAGTACATCCACATGCGGGGAACGCAAATTTAAACCAACTCTAGGGTACACAGCACCCACCAATCAGAAACCAGAAGTTGCCAATTGTAAGGCCTGCGAACAAGTATTCGTGACTAATGGTATGACCTGTGGGTGTGTGGGCAGTGGGTGGGTTTAGCTGTCGGAGGCACCGGTCGGCGGAGACGGAGTCGGAGTCTCCGATACGCCTGTCACTGTCAGTTAGTGTTGTGACTTGTCTACTGTTGGTATTAAGGGTTGATTGTGGGTATGGGTATGTGGGAGTGGGAGTGGGGGGTATATTATATCTATCTGATAGATGGGTATGCAGATGTGTAGCTGGTATAGATTATCCCAGTAGTAAACAGTCCAGTTAAATAAAGTATACAAATCTAAAATGTATCAACAACCCTTAGTTCCTACCTACTCAATCTACCATGGTAAGCATGGTATGACTCACCATCTAGACCCTCACGTAAGAATGCCTAATATAAGCCCCTCGACCAATCCCATTCGTCGCCACTCAGGTACGAAGTAGTACTTGGTTAAGGCGTGGCTTGGGCAGCAAGTAAATCGGGACAAAAGTACTGTACTGATGGGATTTGTGTAGAAGAGAAGAGAAGATTCTTAGTAGTTATTTTATGGTATTATGGATGGGGCTAGGCAGCGATTATTGTATCGTGGTGGTGTCACCTGATCGGACGGGATGATATACGAGGTATGAAGATGCCTAGAATTGGTTTGTTGCATTAATACCTTCAGAGTGGTTATGTTTAAGTTGACTTGAGTGGGGTTAACTGGGTATTGAGTTGTTGACCCGGTTTTGCAAGGTGAAGTGGATACTTATTGTTGCTTATGCTTTAACGGACGATTTGCATCCTGGGGAATATGGACTGATGACATTTCATATACTTGTACACCGGCATATGTTCAAAAATATCTACTTGCATAGTATAACCATGTCACACAGGATATGCACTACTTCCAATACCAAAGGAAAAGATGGACATTACAGAGATGAAGACCACTTCACTGGATTGACTGATCAATAGTACTATGACGAACAGTAAAGAATGAAAAAAGTTGGATCCTGTCATCACCACATAAAGATAAACAAGCAAGCCTATGAGTCAAACCAGTACTGGACCCAAGTGGGTTGATTAGCGAGTCTAATATCCTGAAAGAACTCCACCACCAGGGGATGAATCTGACGACGACTCTGCACAATCTCATTATCGATAGGAAAGGTATCAAATGTCGCGATGCTCACTCTTCTAATCTCCTCTCTATTATGAAACCCCTCATAGAGAGTCAAAACACCACTCTGCCATGCCCCCGCGAGCAATCGCACCGGCGTAGGCACCAACCGCAGACTCTTGATATGTTCAAAATTATCCGTTAACGCCTCTTCCAAGATACTATAATTCTCCAACGGCCCAGCCAGAAGTGTAAAACAAATATTTCTGCCAGGCATGGAACCGAAATTGTTGGGGCAAATGACAATCACTCGTTCATACTTGGTCTGGGCAGATTGCGTGAGGGGCTTCGGGCCCTCCTGAGCCAGCAAGGCCTTTTGCTCGTCGGTAAGTGTATGTTCATTCAAGTAGGTCTTTTCCTCCTCGGTTAGCTCGTTCTCGGCTAGCAAGGTCTTTTGGTCCTCGCTAAGTTCACCTCCAGTTAGCAAGATCCTGCGCGCCTTGCCAAGGTGATTCAATTCGACAGGCACGCTATGATGCACTGTGTATCGTTTATCTCTTGGGAAAAAATGCCAGAGCCAGTCATACCACCGGGGAGGGAGCTCGTGGGATACTGTGTCTGTCATTGTATTGTTTACAATTGAAGGATTTATTTGGTTTGAGGATCTCAATCGAGTGAAGAATGGGGTTATGAGAGAAGAGCAGTGGTGTACTGGATAATGAGGTATTCTTATGCATCTCCGGGGCTGTTAATGGTAGGGACCATACCTACCTTGCCAGGAGGGCTTCATTCTCTCTGTATTGGGGAGGATGTTCCTGATCTCTAGCCTATCGACGAGGAGATAGGAGACGTCTGTACTGGAAAATAGCATTGTATGTACACAATATCTAAGCAAGGAATGGTCCTTGCAGGTAATCAATTTCTATGATTTAGGAATGGACCCTGGAGTTGTACCAGAGTGTAGATATATCTACAACAGGATGCATACCTTTCATCCTCTGGTTTTCTCTGTCGAACACTCCATGCTCACAAGCTACCATGCCTATAAAGAAAAGTCACCGAACTGGCCAAGACATTTCTCATGCCTTGAAAAATAGCAACCAAAACAGGACCAGAATAAACAGTGTAGTGTTCCCATATCTCCCCATGGGTCGACCACAAGGCTGTGTTCACCAGTAATGGCCAATATGGGCAAGTTAATATTAGACACTGATCACTTTCTCTAGATGCCTCTGTAGAATTTATTGCATTTTTGTACAACAAATAGCAATGACATACCGGATATTGAATTTCGTGCTTAATGTCACTCATTCATATATATATAATGCTCTTTATATTCTAGTCTCATGCTGACCAGCCGGTAACATATGGGTACAATCAAGATTGAGAGGAACCCCAGTATTTGCACACCCTTACGATAGTAGGTTCTGGGTATACTTCCATTAGATGAATAATTCAATTAGGGGCACGTAGGTTCTTCGGTGCTCTTTCAATTAATAGCGTGTATGATACACATTGTATATTCCTTGTTCAGGTCAAGAGTCTCGCTTGTCATGATGTTCTGTATTGAAATCGAGAGACATCGGGGTAGCAATCTCACATGTCCGATTCCCTGTTGTCCTGGATGGGTTGCGAGTAAGTCGTTTGCCGCTGGCTTCACTGCATATAATATACTCATGGATATCCTAATTCGGATAACTCTGTCTTCCCACCCGGGTTTCGAGCATTAGTTGCATAGGGGTCGACTTGAAATCGACGATCAACCTAATAAGAAACTGAAAGTGTGTGGGCCGTAAGTGTGTAGCATATATTCTTCAGCTGAATGTTGAAGAACTGGGTTGATTTCCTTGTCTCTCAGGGCGTGGAATCAATTCGCTTGTTGCTTCCAATCAGCATCTAGTTCATTTAGCTTGTCCATGTGCCAACTATGCACTTGGTTCGGCTTATCCCGGTTTTCTAAGCCCGTGACACGATGATTGGGTAGGAGAGGACCTGAACGTAAATGAGGGCAAATGTCATCTAGGTCTCTGTTCAAGTGACTTGCCAGTCAAGATAAATTCTTTCTAGCTTGTCTTCTCTATTCCTTTTAGTTGTCGAATATTCATGCTCTGAGGGTTGATTTCAACTCTGGAGCACCACTCCAATTCCTGACGCGGTTCGTGTATATGTCAAGTGTCCTATAGATCAGGAATTCAGCGCGACTGACACCCATATAAAACGACGTTCTTGCCTATATCCGTATGTTCGCTCCGTTTCCCACCATTTGAAATAATAACAACGTTGGTTCGCTGCATGTCTGTGGTCGGACAGGCTACCTCATGAAAGCCACGCTTCTTTCATGCGGATACACTGTGATCATAAAAGCTACGACTGTGGAGAAGCAGCACCGCCTTCAAGCGGAAGTGGACAATTATCAACGTCTCGGGGGCTTGCAAGGTCAACATATCCCTGTCTGCCTTGGGGTCTTTAGGCCTCGCATCGCATATTGGTACCACGGCGAGTTGATGACCCAGATGATGGTCTCGAGCTGGTCTGGAACCTGGCTTCAGCATGTCATTAATGATCGGAATTCCGCCTTCTTTCACGAAGAGCGCAAGAAAGCACTGGCGGTGCTCCGGTCGCGCGGAGTTATCCACGGCGACAGTGAGTGGCGTAATATGTTGTGGGATGACCTGGGCGACCGTTTGTTTGTCATTGACTTAGAGGATGTGAAATGGTTGAAGCGCCTTCAGGCCCTTGAACCCATATCTAGCAATACACGGCGCAATCATTGCCTCAGAGCAGGGGAAAATAAACACGGCTTGGAAAGGGTGGAAATCTGGGAAAGTAAACAAGGCCATAATCAGCGTGAAAAATGTTTCCTACTGAATAGAGGGGGAGCTTGAAATACTCCGAGGTTGCCTCAACCGTGAATGTCTTTCTGACGCCCGGTGGGCCACTGGCACGAGTTAGGCTCCAAGTCATGGTATAGTATAGATACTTTCTGACATACTTTAGAAGGATGTTGAGTCCTTGGCCCTTTCCATCAATTACGTCGTCGAACGGTACCGTTGGTATCAGACCTAGGCGGGTTTTTACCATTGACATGAGCAGTGTCTTCATCTCTAAAAGGATTTGCAGGCAGTCGAATGATTCGGGTGACCAATCTATGTCCTTGAGAGCACTGACTGCACACTCTACTGGAATTAAATTAGTCGGACGCTAAACAATCATACGTTGTCTGATATATAGAACTTTTTTTCCTTAAAACTGAAACAGTATACTATTGGGCAGGTGACCAAGAAATCAGTCTCGCTCAGTTTTTGTGTATTTACACTATCTCCTCGCATCCTCTCCTTGTCTCACTCACGGTCCTCCATAGATATCACCCCAATGTTAATAATAATAATTCCATCTTTGTCCTTGACCCCTAGATCGCGGAGTGAAGGTCGGGAGTAGTTTGGTTGTATTTGATAGAAAAATACAGCGTCCACTGCTATTTGATTGTTGATATTAACTTTGATCGCCTTCTCCTTGTTTGTAAAGAATGCACTGCCTTTACAGTGCCGGATATACAATCCAGCTAAATCCTGAAATGTTTGGCCTCTCTTGACCAAGTCTTTCCGGACATGCTCGTGATTTGGATGGTGTTGGAAAGGGAAAACCTTAAGGATCTCAATCGGCTTTGATCCTCGGAACTTTGCCACATATAGGAAGATACCGGCCTTACCAAACCTAACTCTGTTATAATCAAGAAATCAGCATTCAAGATTGAACCATGTTTCATCACTTTGTGTCACCTCTTCCCCCACATCGAATATGACACATCGCGGCTCTTTTATGCCAAAGCATGTCGTGAAAACATGGGAACCTGGTTTAAAAAGCACCCAGAGAAGGTCGTAAGTAATATGACTGTGCTGCAATATTGAGTCGAGACGCTGCGAGATAGAAGCATATGCGAGCTTGAGGTGGTTGATGAGCAGGCCGAGATGCTCTGCATGTGCCGAGTCGTGGTCCGAACTGTTGTCCATGTTCTTCGCACATCTGTCGAGCTCTGGGATAAAATGGAAAAGGACGTTTTGCTCGATCTAAGTCCACGTCAGCGTCCTCTTAGAGATTCTACCCTGTCTCAATTACCGATGGCTTGTCCTCCATCAGGCTAATAGCTTTGATGTCATGCAGAACCACACGCAGGATGTCTCGTAGGCCTTCCGATTTGATGTCTATGTAGGACGTCACCTCCTCGGAATTCCGTTCTGATCATGCGATTAATATTGGGTTGGCTTCCTGCGCGAAGACATTACGTACCAATACGTTTACGGACAATGAATGCATATTCAGCATAGTCGTCTAGATTACTGCGGGTCTCCACTGGCTCTGCTATCTTGTATTTGCATGCTTCTTTGTCCCAACTATACCCATGTCAGCTAGTTTCTAAAAAGAATGGGAAGGGGAGTTGGTGGCTTATATGTTTCCACGACTGTCTTGAATTGGGGTGTCGAGGCCCACTTTTCAAACGATTTGAAATCGTCCGAGGTAGGACTGTCAAGATCAATTTCATCTGGTACCTGAACACCCTCCTCCTGTTTATTGCTTGCTGAACAAGACTGAGCAAGCTTGGTTGCCGCAGACAGTTCAGCTGAAGCACATTCATCCCGGATGAGCTTCACCAGCAACTTCTTCAGTCGAACCATGTCGGGGCCGGATGGGGACTGGTCCTGGGAGACAAGAGTGTTTGGAGGTTCCCCGCTGGTAGGATCGAGCAGCGCCTTCTCAAGAAGCACACCAAAGTGATGCTGCAGATCCTCCACGATCGTCTGAGACGTAGCTGTCCCCTTCGTTGGGCTATTTGGAGGCGTCAAGCCTTGGTGACAGGGAGAAGAAATCTCGTTCAATGCCATGTTGTGCAGCTAAATGACCGAAAAATTAGGTGTGTTATGGGAAGCTGGTACTATGAATGTACAAGAGATTGGAATGCCAATGATGAACAGAAAGGTCGACCAGAGCGCAAGGAATTGCTCCTTATATGTTCACAACCCTGGTTGTCCATCTCTGCCACACTCTCTGCTCCGGTCAAAATATCTCATCTTCCTCCCCGTGAAGATTTGTGCGTTCAACAATGTGCATGAACTTGGATGCAATATCCACAACTGGTCTCCAATTATCTCTTGTCCCGCTGTCTCGTAAGAATTGTACGCGATCTGAGGCGATCCCACAATGACTTGAACCTGGAGTTTATCTGTGCAGTTGCGTTGGAATGTGCCACATCCATCCCCGTGGGAGCAAAATATGATAAGTGGCATCTTTTTGAGAGTCATTAAATAAAGAGTATCCCGATTTTGCCCTTTCCAGGGTTGGTCCGCAGGTGCGTAAGCCGCTACACCGGTAACTATGTCTAATCACACCACTCCCTAACTCAAGCCGAAACAATATTCGTTATGGCAAATTTGACACTCATCATTGTTTGGCAATGTTTAGAAATTTTGCTTCTGTGCTCCATAAGTGACGTGGTTCCAAAAAAGGGCCGCCGTTATGCCGCCAGTACTCGCTGGCGCTCACGCCTGAGGCTTGTGAGGGGCTGTGTGAGGTAAGATCTAGAGTTGGGCTTATCATTCTTGGCCAATTGGTGATTTTTTGTGACATGTCTCAAATACCTCACATATATCATAAATGGCCTAGCTATACAGGGACGAAGCAGCCAGGCAGCTAGCTGAAATTTGGCCCTCTTGGGCCTCGGAAACCGCTTCAAATGACAGGGTTCCCCGCTCAAGGCATAGTTTACAGAGATACCGCATGATACTGCGTGCATGTCCGATCGCTAGTTACCGCGCAATTCTAACTCCGTGTTGGAGGGGGGGATTGATCATAGTCGTGCCTGCATCCTCGATTTTTTTTCTTGCCTCTCTCCACCCAATCTTCCATAACTCGTTATACATTGGATACTATCTCTTGGCATCGCGTGAGTATCGCTGCTTGATATAATCGCCGTAGCTAACACGGGCAGAACTCAGAAAAAAACATGTGTCAACGACTCATTGAAACGATCGAGCACAGATGCGGGTGTAGAATCGATTCCCCTGGCAGTGTCATTGAACTCAATGGCTGCAACAATTGCGGCATCATCAAGCGAACACAGCAAATGGGCAAGACGACTAAGAGGGACCCATGCCCTGATTGTATCACCAATGGTCTCTGGGTGAAGAGGAATGGAAAGTGGGAGAAGGCTTAGAACACTACCGATGGTGAGCAAGGATTTTTGGCAAAGGACCGAAAGCCAATTGATCAAAATCGGTTGCAATAAACTGGCCTCTCACTAGACTGTTGTGGATTTCATTTATGTATTACACTTGTGAACGTTTCCGAGTGTTATTATCTAGTTGAATTCAATGGGTAAAGGGAGAAGACATCCGTTGAGCATACTTGGGAGACGGAGGTGTCAGAATGCAGCAGGAATAGGTGGATACTCAGACAGGATATGCTATCTGTCGGGAAAGGTGGAGATCAATGTTACTAGCGTAAATGCGCTTTATTCAACATCCGTAGATTCCTGGTTCACGAGGCATCAACTGCTGAATCAGCATGCTAAAACCCCTTAGTTAGTTAGTTAGTTAGAGCCCACGAATTGTCAGCTAGTGGCCTTTCAGCAATTCAGACCTGTCATTCATCTCATTGGGACACCCGTATGATCCACTTCGCTACGTTCCGTTAGGATATCACAGAAAAGCGGAGGAGTGGATCATACAGGTGCACCAATGGAATCAATCACATGACTGATCTTGGCGGACATACAGTACTTCTTGCTCCGGGTCTCCACCCCTATCCTGCTGCATTCCAACAGGATATTCATGCTTGAAATTAAGGCACCAAGAATAATCAGTTTGGTTAACTTGCTAACCTCCAACCTTCCTTGGTCCCCTTTTCTTCTCTCTGCTCACCTCCTTCATATACTCAGTGCATTTTTTCTGCACGTCCTCTTCCAACCTGTTACATTTTGTCTCTAATATGGATATCCGGCGGCAGTTCCCTGACGTGCACTGGGTCTGGAAAGGAGGCATCTCCTTTGTTTATGAGGTCCATCCTCGCATCGTGGTCAAAGTCCCGAAATCTGGCGACTTTGAGAGGGAGCAATTTCGGAAAGAACTCAAGATCTATGAGATCTTTTCTCAACATCCGCCCTGTCCTTCCATAGTCCAGTGTTTCCTCTACTCGGACAACGGCATCTTCCTCGAATACATGCGAGGTGCGACCCTTATTGGTGTTTGACAATTGGGTCTACTAACCGCCTAATTAGATGTAACCCTCTGTTCGAGAATACAAAATAACCATACTCGCGACCAGCAAACAGCTGTGGTTACGAAAGTGGAGAAGCTGGAACCTCTATCCCTACGAAAGGAATGGATGAACGACCTCGCTCAGGCCGTTGCTTTTCTAGAATCGCTCAATCTCGCACATGGCGACCTACGACCCGAAAACATTTTACTTGATCGCAACCGATTAAAACTGTCAGATTTTGATTGTACGGCTGAAATTGGGTCAGATTTTGAAGCTTGCATGGCCCCGTATGGAAGAATACTCAACAGCGACGAGCAGGATCAAGGACGACGTGGGAGTTCTGGTTTGCTAGGTCCTCGAACCGAACAATTCGCGTTGGGCTCCCTGTACTACCTCATAAACTACGGCTTTGAGGTTTACGGAGATCGACATCTTACCGAGGATCCTAAAGAGCATGGACGCAAAGTTGTGGAGTTACTGCAGAACATGGAATTTCCGAAGTTAGATGGTGATCCGTTAATTGACGAAATCATCATCAAATGTTGGCACAACAAATATCCCACGATTGCGGAATTGGCCGCATACACAGAGACCCTCCTTCCTGGAAAACACAACTGGAGAGACACCGAAGCCGAAGAAATATCCACCCCGCAATGGCGTAGGGTTATAGGCCGTGTCATTCGCGGGTTATGGAAGGCTTTCAAATCTTCATGGGTTTTCGTGCTCTGTCTCACCAGAGAGGCAACCAAGCCTGAAAAAACTAATGGTGGAGAACCGGATTGCTATAGCGGTGGCATCAGACAACACGACTCAGCAGAGGATTTCTCTCCAAAAAAAACATTCTGCCAGAACCTGGAGAAGCGCGGACTTCTTAATATGCTTTCTTTGGGAGAGCCAGAGCAACTTGGATTCAGTATCGAGTGGTATAGACATTCCACAAGTTGAAGCAAAAGCTCAGCTACAGATTTCGACCAAGGAGAAATCCAAAGCGTTGACCAACAATCAACAAGGTGGTAAAGCATATCATGAAGATTCGCAAAATGAAGACTTGTGCACAGAGACGAAGTTGCGACTGGTCTTGGTTGGGTACAGTATTGTCTGCAGCACCCTTGGGAATTGCATTCCTCCAATTCTTAACTTCCATTTCGCACTCACGCTACTGCATTTCAAAGCCTTCCAATATGGGTGGGACTGCCTAGCGCCTCTTCATCCAATCAAGTACAGCTAAAGATGGATGTTCTGAACCGCGTCTCGCCTACACAATCATCACAGGTTATCGTATAACACGATTTCTTTTACTTGCTGCCAAGAAAACAATAAATGTCTTGTTTGGAGCCTAATGAAAGCGCCCGACGCCGAAGAGCAGTGAGCATGTCTAGGTACGTAATATCAACAGGATATTCAATGTTCCTCTTCGTAGACTTGAGAAGCGGTCTCCCCGGCATTTGATGACTCACCTGGCTTCCTGGTTATTTAATTCATGAAAATATACTGATAACAGGTAAAAAAAGTGGACTAAATAATTCGCATCACTGTCTCGCCTTAGATGTCTTTTTAGTGTAGTGGACACATCAGCTTTCCATTCTCAGGCGGGGTAGTAGGTGCAGAATAGATAGAGGAGTTCAGGGGAAACTGGGCTTCAGGTAAAGGAGATAAAGACAAGGCGGCAAGAAGATCCTACCCGAAACAAAAAGAAGAAGCGGATGAGCACCGACATACAACAGAAGGGATTCGCTGGTGGTCACCCACCCAACTACTAACCTCCCGGCGTGTGGCTTAAGTACGGCTGAGCGGACGGGAAGCCCTGTTCTCCACACCCTGTGGTCGTATGTACTAGATGATTAGATGGTAAGGGTTATATTGAACACAAGCAGATGGTTCATGGAATCGGGATGCATACAGCTGGTGGTTCTAGACAAAGAGCCTGATGCGTGAGTGCACGGCTGCACGGATTCGAGTTGACTGATCCGGATTTAACAGGTGATGGTAAGTCTCCTTATATACGGACTCAGTCACGATGTATTGCCTGGGTATGGAGTGACTTGCGGAGTTAACCCTATTGATCGGGCCATTCAATGCAGTTTGGTTGCCATACCCTTGAATCAGCCATTTGAATCTTTTGGGCTCTCTAGCCCGTTATATCTACCGGACCTGTCTAAAGGTATCTTAACTTGTCTGAAGAATCAAAAGGAAATAGATCTGACTTAATGCAGTACATTCATGCACGACATCTGAGATGCTGTTGATCGAGAGACACAACAAAGCATATGCGCAGCCTTGTATTCCCTCTTCATCATCATCATCACCATGCAATATCTGCTCTATGGGCCTGGGATATATCCCGTTGCTAGATTGTTCATCCAGTAATCTTGTGCTGCCATATCGCAGGACAGATTCTCCAGTGATACATATCTCTGTTAATTACCCTGTATTATGCCGGGACACATGAGCCGAGTTGATCCTGTGTGTTGGTCGGTATGTTTTGCGATAGTATTGAAGTCAGGATTTCATCTGGCTTCTAGCCGAATCCTGGGACTGGACGCGAGATAAGGATGGGAGTTCGAGATAAAACGTGAGACGAGGACCGATATTAAAGGTTTCGAGATGTCTTGGAGTTCCAGGAGTTAGTTATATCAATCGGTCACTAGTTGCCATCAGCTTATGAACATTGGTAACCTAGTAAAGTCCCCACGGCCGAGAAGTATTAGAACCCTAGAATCTTAAATCGAGATCCTCGTGATGTCTGTTGATACCAAACCCTGATATCTAGGTCAACATACAAGGACTGACCATTGTCCAGATGAAACTTTTATCCCGGTCAATAGGGCCTATATTCTAAATCCCTAAGTTAGATACATGCAGAAAAGAAAACCAAATGAGAAGGAACTCAACCGGGGGATATATACCCCAAACCGTGAATAATCCCTACCCTGACCCCTAGGAATCTCACCCATTCATCATAATATTTGTCAAGAACCACGTAGACCAAAAGGAATATATCCCTTCTTAGCCTCGGGCGTAGAAGGTAGAAATAGCATGTCTCAACAATATTGAATACCCCCTTCATCAACCATTGAATGTATACCCCAATCCACAACCCTACTTAAATCGTCGATTCCTTCTCCACCATGATACAGAAATTCAGCGTTGAGACCTCTTCACGCCACAAAAAAAAAAAAGCAATCCCCCTCCGCACATAACCCGAAACCCCCCAATACAAAAGCAAATCGCAAAAAGCAAAAAGTAGAAGCAAAGCAAAGCAAATCCCGTATCCCTACCCACTCTCTTACCTAATTAATGCGAGCCAAGCACATACACATCCCAAGATCATCCATCCGATCTACTCTGTATCTCCCCAACCCCCCCATCAATCCTCCTCCACCCGATCAGCAGCAGCATATCATCCCACAGACCCTCCCTCCCTACATATCTGTTCCTGATTCAAGCCCAAGAAGATACTATACATAGTACAACCCCACCCCCCCACTTCATACACCATACACATTATGATAAATCCCTCATCTGCAAGTCAGCCGATCTCTATCCACACATCCACATCCACACACGTATATATAGATACTATTTACAGAGTAGATGTATATGACAACCCCATTCCCCATTCCATGCAAGACATACATACATACATAGAAAATACAAACATCGCCACGTAAACCCTTCTTCACAAATCCTTTATCCGTGAGTAAGTACTCCATACGATACGGGATCTGCATTGATAGCGGAGTACATAGTAATACGACAGGTTACGAGGCGTATTAAGTGGTACGTACTAGTAGTAGTAATTCGTATGAGGGTACGGAGGACGTGATACATATATAGGCACAAGACAAGGAGTAGGTGCGTTAAGACTAAGATAAGAATGGTTATATTGATCAGGGTATGGGTGGTAGTAGTTCACGAGAAATAATAGTATACAGTAGGGTAACAAGATAGCAACCCTGTCCGTGCTAGGACGAGGCCCATGCCATCTGTACGGCACCAGGGTGAGGATGCGTATGCGGTGCCAGGTAAGACAGCATCTGGATACAGGCTGTTGTGTGGCGGGGACGTGGGTGGGGATGAAATCCAGGGCCCGGAAAAGGCAGAGATAAGATCAAGGCGCGAGAGAGGGTTTTACAACTGGACCGGAAGAATGGCATTCGGCCCTGGAAGACTCAACAATGCTACGTGATGCAGACGGGTTGAAATCTGATCTGTTGTATTCAGGTGTATCATCGCATCCCAACCGCCCGGCCGTGACCGATCCCAATGCAATTATCAACATCAATGCAGCACACGAAATCACAAGAAGCAGAAGGACCCCACCCATGCTGTATAGCAATGCTCCTCTTGTACAACGCCGATCCAGTTCAAGCCAGACTGGAGATAACGGATCAAATCAGGGGAATAAACAGACAATGTCGTAAACATGACCATTCCAATCTGAACAGTGGAATAAAGCAAATGCTAAATCGTATACAGTAACAGACGCAAGCAACGTGCCGGTACTGGCGTAGAATCTAACTTCATCAAGAGGAAATGGGGAAAAAAAGAAGCATATAACAGACTATGCGGTAAATACGCGGTCTAATTGCCGCAGAGCACGCATATCTTCTCCGCCAAACCCAATCTTTTCGCTGGGAATATCCCGCGGTCCTTCGGCGCGTCCTGCGGCCGGCACAGGAGGTGCGGTAATCGAAGGGAGTGAGCCAGATGGTGCGCCGTTCATCAGCGCCCCGATGCTGGGCACGGTCGTGCCGGTGCTGGCCTCCAGAGGCTTGGACACCACCGTGCTCGGCGGAGGGATGTGTATGCTCGTAGATGGCGGCTGACTGATGAGTCGCGGACTGCGCGCCATCGATGCGATTCCATTGCTGTGCGCCACCACATGTGGTTGCGTACGCGGGGACGTTCTGATAAGTTCTCCCGGCGGTCCAAGCTCTGGTGGACTCGGGCGGTGCAGAAGCTCGTGCGCGCCTGGGTGCACCCGTGGTGATCGACTTGGCAGGACCTGCACGCTCGAGGGTTGAAGAGACGGAGCCATCGTGACTTCGGCCACATGCACCGGTCGCTCATGGGGCGCCGACAGCCCCGGGGGCTGCGGAGGCGGCAAGGGCGTACCCGGTGGCACGGCAGCTTGGTGGCCATAGGGAATTTGGCCATTGGTCTGGGGAACGGACGGGAGATATGATGGATAGTGAACCGGAACGGGTGGTGTGGCCAGCGGGGTTGGGGGCCATGTATAAGTGGGCGTGTAGGAAGCTGGATGCGCGGCCGGGGAGCGACCGTATGGCGCCATCGGATGAGGAGGCACGTAGGCGGCACCGGCCATGGGCCCGCGGGTCACCACGGGGAGGTTCTGCTGATCGTTCACCGTGGACTCCGGATAGAGCCCTTTTTGAGGGCGAACATGCCGTAAATTGGGATCCGTCGACGGTTGTTGAAGGCTGGCGGCAGATGGATGCGATCTGGAGTAGTAGCTGATGAGATGGAGGTGCTGACCGGTGGATGTTGTGATGCTGAAGGATTGCTTCATCAAGCCGTCGGGCTTGTAGCGGTAGCCGTCCGGGCCTTCGTCTGCACCATCTGCACGGTCGTCATCGCTGCCGCGAGTGCTCTCCGGGGTCTTGCCAGCTCGAGTCATGGTGGACTGGGCAACGCCGGTTCCTCCCCGCTTGCCTTCCATCTCACGATATGTCAAGAAGCTTCCGGATACCCGACTGGCACTCCACGACTTGCCGTCGGTCCATCGTCGCATGCCGGCTTCCCGTTCATCCCAAACGAAGACTGACCCGGAGCGGATCAGCTGGCGTTCTTTTTCGGATAACCGTCTCTGTACGCGGGGAAGAAGGCCAATGCGACACGCTTCAAAGAGGATGATAGCGTCCGCGGGAGTGCGGACGTGGCCGTGATACGTCTCCATCCACCTTCGGTGATCTGTGTAGGGCCCCGTGATGACTGTTGGTTTCAGTGCCAGGACCGGGGGTTTCGTCGGGTGAAAAATGTTGAAAGATGGGATGGACAGATTGGTAGAATAGAAAAGGTCGCGATCAGACAACGGCTCGTCGGGGCCGTTCAGGAATCACCGTGAAGCGTGAGATACTTCCAAATAGGGAAACGGCGGCGAAGTGGTAGAAGGAGGCGAGAAGCACTGTAGAAGAACCCACCGCGGAAGATAATCTGAAGGAACACGCAGCGACATTAATTTCCCATCTATGTATATTGGATTATTGGAATGGGGGGTGTGGAGGGGAGGGAGGACAGAGGGGATGGAATGTAGAGAAACCAGGGCAGCAAGGAAGGGGAGAGCAAGCAGGGAGTGGGGAGGACTGATAGGAGAATAAAGAAGAATGCAGGCGGAGGGGGAGCGTTATACAAGCGCTGCTGAGACAAGGAGCTACGACATGCACAGGTACTTACCGTGGCGGTTGCGCGATGTCCGAAACTGGGATGTAGTGATTGTAATGATTGTAATGGACGTAGTCAGTAGTCAGTGGTAAACGTTGGGATGCTGAGTGAAGGTCGCAAGTGGCAGCAAGAGGAAAAAGAGAAGAAGAAACGAAGCAGCAGAGGGATCGGAGGAATAAGAATAGTAATAATTAGTCGCGCTCTTGCCTACTAATCGGAAACCACAGAATCAGAAATGGATAATAAAAGTAGAAATAATAAAAGGAAATAATACTCGAAGAATTAGCATCAGAGATAGGGTGGGGACCCGACTTTGAACCCCACAGGGTCAAGCAGTGTTTTATTGAAAGACCAGGTAATAATACTACGACTAATAATATTTCTGTGCTGAGTCCATGGGGTAGGTCTTTGATTAAATTTAATTTCGCCATCCGGAAAGGATTGATTACGCTGTCATTTTTGATTATTCTGATGGTTCTTATGATTCTTGTTTTTTTCTTCTGTTTTATGATTAATACTCATTGATTTTCTCGGTCAGAGGGATTGCTTGGGCCTCCTCTAGGCGCTGGCCATGCTGAAAATCAACCAGACGAACGAAACAACCCCCGAAAAGTGGGTAAATAGCAGCCGCCCGCAGCAAATGATCTCATCCGGCTGATAGTTTAGTTGCTGGATTCATCACAAACAAATAGAACCTTGTTTTTAACCTTTTCTTTTTCGCCTGAGGGTCATCCATGGTTCTGGAGAGCGAGGTTGGCTGGTGGCTCCGGTGGACCGTCGTTCTTTTTCTTTTCTTTCTTTCGTCTTTCTTTTTTGCTGGATCCTTTCATGGGGGATTAGATTACTCCGTGGTCCTCATCCTCTCATTTGCTGCGCAATCGACCACACCTCGAATCCGGTCAATCTTACCGTAAGAGGGTAATTTTGATAGCCGAGCGCCCCGTTAGAAACAAAGGAACGGATAGGCTGGTAGAACTGGACACAATGAAATATCTAATTATGAATAAAAAGGGGGGGGGGGGGCAGAGGAAATAAAGAGACTTCCGTGGTGGAGTCTAAACCAAGCTTAGCGATATGGCCGGTATGACTTTCTCCAGGATGGAGCAGGAATAGTCTGGAGTACCGCATGATACATGGCATCAATATACTACTACCCTTGGACAGATGGAGTAACTGGGAGCATACATGATGGGTAGTACAAACTCCTGCTTACAGGGCTGGAGAATTCCCACATACCAGTCTTACCAGAGAGGTTCATTCATTCCGCAGCAAGGTATGCCCGGGCAAATAATGACGACGGCCAGATGCCATGTTTGGCTTCTCCGGTGACTGACAGTCGATCGACCATCTCTTGGCCAGACGGTTTGGCGGCTTGGAGACTTCTTGGCCCAAGACCACCCCCCCATGATTCAGAAAATTGGGAAAGATGGACAGGAAGCAAATAATCAAACCGGGCAAGCCCCGGTGGTGACGGTATTACACTAGGAAGATACCAGTGGCGCTCTGATCGCTTGCTTCCAACCGGAAATTGATTAGTGCGCGACTTTCTGAAGCTTAAGCTTAATCCAACACGAGGAACCTTAAGCTCGCTTAGAGGGAGAGAGACATGGCCCCCCTCCACTGTGGCTGGGGGTCCACTTGTTCCATGGTCGCTTTTATTAGTTGTGTATGCCGGGCCTCCGTGTGCACAATTATTTTCACTAGTCGCATAGGACGCTCGGTATGGAGGAGTAATCCGAATATTAATTAAAATCAAACCTGCTCCAGTTGGCTCCAGTTCCAGCCGGCCCTGTCTCACTCCAAGTTTACTATTACACACCTGGACCCCTACGCGATCGCCCGCCCTCTGGTTGGATGGTGCGAAGCATCATCTAGAAGAACCTTAGCACAGACCTTTTGTCTATGCCCCCTCCCCGATTCGTAATGGCCATCCATCAGCCCGGAATACGGACTCGCGTTTGGATAATTCTTTAGGGTTAGACTATCCCCGGGTTACGCAGCGGTTCCGCCCGAAACTGACCCTTTCTGGTCATGGCTGACGACATAATCGTTGCCGTTTTGCCGCGTCGTTTCTTGCGACTGATTTTGGGGTGTCTGTGACATTTGCTTGACTCGTGAAATAATTCCGTGCTCTCGGATTTTCGGCTTTCTCGGCACCCACGCCATCAGCAGCGCAGCAGCCACTGTGGCGATTCGTACTCGTATCGAAGCGAGCCACCTGATCCGCTTGATTAGGCGGTTCTTTGTCACCAGCGCAAAGCGAGCCTCGAGATAGGCTCATCTGAGTCGCTCTGACTAACGACTTTCTCGGACTTAAACTCCGTCACTTGCATTGGAAACCAATCCTGGTCTCCAGCAGGGATAAGCGCCGATGAGTCTGGTTGCCTTTGAGCTGAGAATTTATCCGCTGAACCAAACCCGACGGACTTGCCAGGGAAAAGCTTGACAAATCTTATCCGGGGCGACGGTTCGCATGACATGCTGTGATAAGTATGATAGTGGGCCTGCCTTTACTCCGTAGTCCGTACGAAGTCCTCCGTACACGTTACTCTAATAGGCAGGTCTTTATCCTGATCATCATGATTATCATACGGAGTACGAAGTGGACTCTAAAGTCTAGCTTAAGCGTACTCCGTAATAACTTCAGCAGCAGATTGAGGCAAGCCATGAACCGAGTCTAGGATCAGTCAGATGCACACCAATCGGCCACGTAAGACCAGACAGAGGGGATCTGCCGCGACTTATCACACTCCAATCAGCGACGTCGCCCCTCGCTGCTGGCCGGGAAATTCGCGAGCCCCGGAGCTTATTGTCCAGTAACATTGATCAGACTCGATAAAGTTGCGGGCGCAATTCACCAGGATCGAGCTTTGTTCGTTGCTTCACCTGAATTAATTAAAACTTGTTGTCTACTTCGTATCTAGTTGTTGACAGTAACATGATGGCTTCATGCACAGCCTCCTCCAGCTTCAGCTTACTTTACTATTAATTCAGGCGATGCACCTTGGCGCCAAAGCCTAACTAACGGACTCATGATCAAGAACACCACACTAAATAATCCACGATCCGACACCAGCCGACTAGGCTACCAGATTATTAATATCAAATAAATCCCTCTTATTAGATCCAGTCAGCTAGGCATAGGATAAAAAAAATAAAACCTACTACTATGTACTACTGAATCGATCGCAGAAAGAAAGTTTCACCCACCCACTTCTTGGGTAACTGGAGATACTAGATAGGCTGTAATGTACTCCGTATGTCGCAACTACTCACTAAAGTAACTAACTACTGGAGCTATAGCGCCGCGCCGTACGACGGACTAGCGCTCAGGATAAGCGTATCGCCAACAAAGTCGGTCGAATCCTGGCCGGTTTTCTTGGCCCTCCTTGGCTGGCCCACTCTACGATGCGTAAATTAATTCGTTTAGGAGGGGGGAGGGGTCAGGAGAGTTGTGCTGACTGCTGAGTGCTGAGACCAAACCAAGCTATACTAGTTTAACTTACAGGGCTGGGTTGGGTTGCAGCTGATGTCTCACATGAGAGCAAATAGGAGATAAACCGGATGGTCTTGGAGGGTGGGTTAATTTGATTTAGATTAATGGTGCCAGGCACCGTAGTATCTCAATACCTATGGGTATGATGATTGAAACTCAACAGTTATGTGTTCCTGTACGGAGTACAATGCTTGCCAAACAGGTAGAGCAAACCGGTAGTATTCAAACGGTACAGTTGTAGCTCGACGAGTTGTGTTCAGTACTACCTACCTCCTACCGAAGTAAATTAACGGATCTATGTTCATGTTGTGGGACTCAAAACTAAGTCGTAGTGTGTGTCACTATCGACTCGATTTGATTCCGGACGTCGCGCATACCACTCTGGCGCGTATGGCGAACAATAATACATTCTATAGCACCTACATATCACTGCATCGCCTTGTTTTGCCGCTGCTGCTGCTGCTACTGCCCCCCATGTCCCAGGTAGGTATGGATGTATGTATGCAAGGCTGGAGCCACCACACCACATACAGCCTGAATAGATCGGCGTGTACATTATTCCCTTGATGTGATGCTTCGCAGCGAACAGGTCTACATTGATGTTGAACAATGATGTCAGAGGTAGATCCATATCACAATTTGCTTTATTCTCCTCGGGATTCAGTTTTTAATTTATCCATAATTTTATTCTGTCTTGTTCACATTCCTAAAGAGCGAGTCCCTTCGTACCAGTGGACCACTTCCCCTCCTCCCCCAATCTAAACTCCCCTCCGGGTAATGATAATAGTGGCGAAAGCAACTACCATAGTACCGTAGTAGTAACTAATCCAACCATCAATCCAAACCCAACGAACCAAGAATCCAATCATACCACCACAGACATATTCCATCATCCATATAGTAGGAGGTATAGAAACCGTTGTAACACCCATCAATCAAGCTTTTCATCCGCCTCCCAGACGAGGGATAATACCCGTGTGATTCACGAATCGCTAATCATTTACCTACACCAGACACGACCCCAAACCTTGTTTTTGTGCAGGTACGTACCAACCATGGTTCTCGGCGCGACGGCGTCTGAAGGAGGGAGGGGAGGGGGCGTCACGGTCACAGTCACACCTCATACTTTAAATTCGACGCAAAAGGTTGTTTTTACACAATCTTAGATGGTGGCCAATCGGGGCTTGTTACACAACTGAGAGGAGGAATGGCGGGGGGGGGGTGGTTCTAAAAGACTAGTTTATTTGATCTTCGTCTGGACTCTAGAGACTGGAGAGTGTTGAGGTCGATGGTCTGGAAATTCAGTCTGCGCTTATTTATTGTTGTGTTGTGTTTGGTTGGTGGTTGGGTGTGTGGGTTTTTAGTTACTCCGTCCGTGGGTTTAGAAAGTAAACTATCTGGGTGTGCTGTGTCTGAGCTTCTGAGGTTGAAGTTGAAGGTTTGTGGTGTTCGGGGAGGAGTGTCGAGCCTGAACGAGGGGGAGGAACCTAGTTTACTGGTAGCTTAGCTTGCTTGCTGCTTAGCTTAGCTACCTACCTACAGTAAGTTGACTTTGGTTCTGGTTCTGGCTCCCTTTCGTCAATTAATATCAAGGATGATGTGTGTCCGGGCAAATACTAATCATAACCACAACCATAAACTACCATCTGTCCCTACACTCGAGAGAATACCTATACCAAAGTAGTAAGTATGGTACAAAGCAACACTGTCCTCCCACACCACACACACCACACACATAAACTACAATCTAGTGTTTCCTTCTCCCCTGGACCTTTATTTATTTTTTACTTCATATTTATTACCTCTTCCATCATTCCCTTGCATGACTCACGTCACACGAAAACAGAACCAAGGTCTTCCTGGAATTGGTGAGTCAAGATTTTTCTATACTTAGTGCTTCTTAATCTATCAATTCATTTATTCATCACCCAGAATCAATGTATGGATAGACAGGACAGCAGCAGAGTTGGTTCATTTCCGTCATGCTCCAATGCAACCCTTGATTCTGAATGGTATTGAAGGGGGAGGGGAAACAATTGGAAGAAGAGGGGGGAAGGGAATCCTTGTGAAACGTTGCACGGGCTTATCTCCACTAGCATAATTGGTTTAAGGTAGTTTTATTTTTTATTTTATGCCCATTTTTTTTTTCTTATTTTCTTTTTAGGAATTGAACTTGATTTATGTTAGGCCATCCAGGCTTTATTATTATTCATGGTGTGTCTTGCTTTTTTGTTATCTGGTTTGGTGGGTGTGGCTGGCATTGGCGGGCTGGTTTGGGTTTGGAGATTTAATTAAGGTGTCTGTTGTTAGCGCTGGCGCTGGGGTTCCTGGTTTATATACTTGTTCGTGTTGCTGTTTGTGTTGTGTTGTGTTTGTGTCTGTGTCTGTGTAAGGCGCGGCGTGGGGGTTTGTTTCTTTTGATATGAGATTTGTCTGATCTGATGATTTTACTATGTAGCATTCTACTGATTTACTACGGAGTAAGAAGACTGTTGACTGTTGACTGTTGATTGTTGGCTACTGCCATTCTGCTCACGCAGATCTTACCCGACACAGACATTGCTGACGGATCTTCCCCTCCTTTGCATAATGATCGATCATAGTCGATGCTTTAGGTTAAGGTACGGAGAAGAATGCCTAGCACAGTCGCACTGCTAGTCTGCTAGACCCCAACTTCAGTCTCCAAGAGTGCAAAGTCTCCAGATAAGTGGAGTGCTGACTGACTTCAATAAACCAGCCAGTGTCTGGGCGCCACCGTTGCAGCCCTAGTCGGGCGACTATTGCTTAGTTAGTGGACAGCGCCCCCCCTCCATCCGCCACGCGGATGGAGATGAATTGCTCTTTTGGGCATTTCCATGACTGATTTGACTAATTGGCGTGCCTCGGTGGCAGCGTATCACACCTCCGTAGCCGAGGATCGCTATCCCTGACCAGCCCAAGCGTCAAAGCGCTGCAGAGCCAAGCCATCCCCGCTGACTACTCGTTTGGGCCAGACGTCCATGTAACACGAGTTTTCCGACTGGACCCTCGTCTGCCAGATAGCCAAGGCTTAGCCTTTAGCCTAGCGTGGTGTATTCCCCGAGCCAGTGCCCCCCCTCTCAGCAGGGCAGCAGGCGTTCATCGTCTTACCTATTACCCCTCTGGGAGTTGAAATCAGCCTGATGTGAGTGTATATTGCATTGATGCGGAGTACGGAGTCCTCCATGTCATATCAGATATGGCATGAGTCTTATGCTGCTAAGCTGCTGAGCCACCCAACTCTTAGTCTTCCCCCTGCCCCTTTCCATCGGTGCCAAAGCAAAGTCCGCGGAAGTAACGGGCCGATTATGTAATAACAGATGGGGTGCAAGAAAAGAATCAAATTCAAGCAGACCGGAGTGTACAGGTGTCCTCATCTGAGTCAAGTTGCCGAGCAGCCAGCCGATACGAGGGTCGCGTAGGCGATCCACGGTCCCAGTCTAGGCAAAGCCTTCACTCCCAGTCGGTGTCGTGCTCATGCTCCGAATAGGGCCTGCTGGGTTGGCGCCGGACAAAGGCCGAGAGAATATGCTTAACACCAGTAAGGTTGGCAACTTGGCATTTTCCCCCCCGCGTGGTATTCCTCCGCAGTCGACCTAAGGACTAATCACTAAGGAGGGAGGTCAAAGGGTACGACAGGATTCAGCCCGTCAGCCGTCTCATCCTGCTAATGCCATACGCTTACGGGTTGTTCTCCTAATTTAGGTTCTCGAACAGACCCCGACTCTTTCCCACTGTCCAGTGTCCGTCTCGTGTCGGTATAGGCGATGCGCCAATGACTTCTCCGGATGTCCTTATGAAGCTTCCGCCTGAAACCGCCCACCGTCCCTTTCCCTCGCAAAGGCGCACTCATTGTAAACGAGGTGGATCGCTGCCAACCCGATTCGGGCAACCGGCGTAGCGAGGCTCCGCCCAGACCGCAGCTTGGAGGGAATAAAGTATCCGTTCGGGGTGGAGTCGGTTAGGCCCCTCTGTTCCTGATTCCTGGGTAGCAACCTGGCGCGGTGGACGGTCTCACTTATCCGCCGCTCCCGAATCCAATCATCCGCCACGACCCTGGACGCCGGATGGGTTCATCGCCGTGACCTTCCAGAAACCGAATCGTCGACGAGAGGAGGAGGGGGGGTGGGATTTGGGAAGAAGCCGTACGGATTCCCGAGAAGCCGATAGATCTCCACTTGGGGGGCAAATATGTGCTCGGCAGCCGAGGCAGCAGGTTATCTCCCAATCCAACTGCTCCCAAGGAAGGAAGTGAGAGGTAACTTCATCTATCCGATGGGGCAAGGATTTTGGCCCCTTGGAGTCGGTCTCGGTATGGCCGTACGGTATGGTAAGATTGGCACGTGAAAGCCCGCCCGGATGACCGGCAGTATCTCACCGCTGATCCTGCCGCTCTGTGCAGCATTCACGTGCTTCCAATCATCCATACGCTACTACTACCTACACAGTACTATCGTAAAGATAGCTGGTCTGCAGCCCATTGGCTCTGGCTATAGATCTGGACACTACGGAGTAGATACTACTTCTCATCACTCAAATCTCGCGTGATCTGCTGATGTGTCACGATGGGAACTAGTGCTCCCTCACCACGCACGATATCCTTGATAACCTGAAATCACCTCGAGTCTCGAGCATCGATTTTTGGCGCTGGCTAACCTCTTACGGTGTCCGCCATCATGGATCATGTGTGACTCATGATGATGGCTAACACCATATCTACAGTAGCTACCGCAACCATGGTATTGTGGGCTCTACAAATGGACGGGCCGGCACGAAGCATGTACCAAATAGCATTGGACGTGCTGGTGCATCAGGCCAGCCATCGACCAAAAGGCTGACGCCCGTGCCCGGTTTCTACGCTCTGGAACGGTCATTTGCAAGACCTCAAGCCCCCCATGTCATCCTCCGAACCCTCCATCTTGAATGCCGAGAGACTGTTTCCTAACCAGGAAACCAGCTCGGAACGGATCGCAGCCCTATCCTTACTGGATGCCATTACGGTCAACTTCTCGGATACGTGCGCGGTTTGGCTCTTCGAACGCCCTGAGCCGAAAACCCAGTTCGATCTAGTGAACCACCTGCGTCAGTCCCTCGGGGTCACGCTGGACGCCTATCCACAGTGGTGTGGGTTAGTCAAGGCTATCAACACGGTAAACGGTCCTCCTGCCACCGGTGAGGATCAGCTGGCACCTCATGCCCGCCGCTTCGGTCGCGTGTATGTCCATTATGGCACGCGCTCCGACCCAGGCGTTGAATTCGTCACCGCACGTTCCGCTGCGACCCTCGATGAGCTTCATCCGTCCTCGCGCCCGAGTGCGCAGCCTCTCTGGAACCAGGAGGAGGTGACTTTGTCACAGTTTGTCCCTACAACTCCATTAGCGAACCCGGCCAACGTCAGCGATGTCGACATTCTCCCTCCGAACATGGCCATCCAGGTCACGGAACTGGCCTGCGGAGGGTTTGTCTTGGCGGTCAAGATCGCCCATACTCTCGCGGACGCGAGCGCAATGATCTCTTTCGTCAAGGACTGGGCGAACGTGAGTCGTTCGGTGTCACAGGGCGAGGCTCCGCCAGTCCTGAACCCCGTGTTCGAGCCCGAACGATTGGATAACGCAGCCGCAGGTGATATCAACGCCGCCTTGCCGGAAGAGTCGATCATCCAGCAGACGGAAAGCTTGCCGTTTCATCGCTATGACTGGTGGAACGTGCCAGCTGATTCTCCCAGGAAGAAGCAGATCCCTAGCATATTCCGAAACCAAGAGCTCCCCCCTGCGGGGAAGCAAATACCGTGGTCGGAATGGGACACGAACGCGCCGGTGTCCCATTACATCGTGCACCTGAGTCAGGATCAGGTCGAGGCCATCTGGAAACAAGCCAGCAACGCGTCCTCCGCGGACGCCAAAGACAGCCGACTCAGTCGGCACGATGCCGTGCTGGCCCATATATGGGCGAGCATCAACCGGGCCCGGAACATGCAGCAGGACCCCGGGCCGGTCCACTGCGACCTGACGTACGGGTGCCGACCAGCGTTTCAGCTGGGTGATGCCTTTATGGGGTCGCTTGCCGTGATGGTCAATGTGGAGATGACTGGGGCGGACGTGACGACGACGGCACAGTCGGACGGCAAGGAAACCGCCGTCCTTCCGCCCATCGCCCAGCGCATCCGCCAGACTCTCTCCCGAGTACGCGATCCGGTTCTCTTGGCGGCCCATCTCCACCGTCTGGCCTACGAAGTGTCCCCGCAGCGCATCTGGCAGGGCTTTCTCGGAAGTCGTCACGTTATGACCACAACGTGGGCGCGCGCAGGGCTGTACGAGGTGGATTTCGGATTGGGTCCGCATCCAACGGCTCGCTACGCGGACGGCATTCTGTCCAATCTCGACGGGCTCGTCTTAATTAAAGAGGCGCCGCCCGGTCGGCGATCGGAGGCCACCGGCAAAGCTTCGCCGACGTGGACGCAGCATGGCGTGGATGTACAGCTTCATGTGCGAACAGAGGATATGGAGCGGTTATTGCTAGATCCATTGCTATTACCGCATCAACATGAATAGTCCCTCTACAGAATGCATACAGCGAATAATACCCCGAAGAACCAGTTCAAAGAAGATGCAGGACGGAGTACCCCAATACAATCCCCTATAACCCCCCTACCTATACCTCAACCCCTATCTCTCTATCCCCGAACTCTCCCCCCCTAACTGCACCTATACTTATATAACTGATAACCTATAACATATACCCTATACCAATCCTACTAAGAATCCACCAAACCTAAGCTTTCCTACCCACATTTAATACACCCCAAGCAAACACAACCACCGTTTGCATAAACGAACCGTCCCATCACTATGTAAATATTCCGTACTACCCTAGTCATAGTATATACTACCTTAGCCATCTATCCGCATTCACTCCTCCGCAAGGTAGTACAAAGTACAAAGCAGCACCTCAATACATTCCCTAATCAAACCCCATGAGACACTCCTATCCCTACCTATATACTAGTAATCTACATACATAAATACACCCACTACCCCCAAATCCAAGCAAGCAAGCAAGCAAGCAACCAACCAAACACCCCATATGCAAAACACAGATAGAGATAGACAAGCAGATAGCCAAACGGCTAAACAAATACCCAACACCACACTCCCCCCACCAAACAAATTCAATGCACCCTAACACTGACCCCGACCCCGACCCCAGACACATAATAACAACCATAATAACAACCATAATTATAATAATAATAAAAGAAGTGCAAGGTATATGCACGTAATTACATCCCCAACCAATCAAACCCCCGATCGAGGACCGTGGAGTTGAGTGCTTTTGTTGAGTATCGTCCACATGACTGACTGACTGAGGCTTGGGTGATACGGGGCGAGAGGGAGGGTACGGAGTAGTTCTTTGTTTGTTTGTGAGAGGTGGGGACGAGGGGTGAGATTTTGGGCTGGGCTGGGTCTAGGTCTAGGTCTAATACTAGACAAGGGGAGCTAGGGAAGACATGGGGGTGTTTGTATTGTAGATACCTTGTATCTAATATCGAGGCTGGGTAGGGTGGATTGCGTGATGGTGGTTATTTTTGGTCGTCATGTCACGGATGACAGGTTTGGTTTGGCTGTATAGTAAAGTGAAAGGAATGGTAATATACATTTTAGTACTGTGTAGTGTACATCAGCAGTCTGCCCGACCGAAATATCTCGGGTAAGCGACAACGTCGCGAACGCTGGAGACGCCCGCCAAATAGCCTAGGAATCGATCGAAGCCTAGGCCGAATCCGCCGTGGGGTGCCGTGCCCCAGCGTCGAAGGTCGGCGTACCATTGGAGATGGCCCAGGTCTTCGCCGGGGAGGAGGTGAGGGTACAGGGATCCTTCGTCGGGGGCTGTGCCCTCGTCACCTGATGCGCGCTTGATCAGGCCGTGCTCGCGCATGTTCTGGATAAGCTCCGGGAGGCGATGCTCGCGCAGAGAGCCGCCCGCCACTTCGCTGACCTCCGGCAGGAGGAGGTCGAAGCAGGCGACAGTTTCGCCCGGCGTGGTGGTCGCCGAGGCGTCGGACGGGATCATGTAGAAGGGCTTGATTGGCTTCGGGTAGTCGGTTACGAAGACTGGGTGGCCGTCGTTGAGCACGTCCACGATATACTTCTCGTGTTCGAGTTGGAGTCCGCCCGTCCACGTTGGAGGGTACTCGAACGAGGCGCAGTCCTTGGTGACGGCGTCCTGGAGCAACTCGATGGCCTCGGTGTAGGTCATGCGCCGCCATTTGGGTCCGTCAATCATATCCTGCCAACGCTGGCGCAGGTCAGCTGGGGCTGCCGATTCTTCCGGACTGGATTCGCCCGGGCGTTTCGCACTGAGAATCTCCTGTCCCACGGGGGTGTCGTAGAGGCGGCGGGTGAGGTCGCGGAGGAGGTACTCGACGAGGTCGGTGAGGGAGTCTAGGTTGTCCATGAAGTTGGCCTCAGCTTCCAACATGTAGAATTCGCTCAGATGGCGCGGTGTGTCGCTCTTCTCGGCCCGGAACATGGGTGACATCGTCCAGACATTTCCGAGTTCGGCGGCGTAGGCCTCCAGGTGCAGTTGCGATGATACCGTGAGGTACTTTGGTGTCCGGAAGAAGTGCTCGCCATCCGCGGGGGTTGTCCCAACTGCCTCACGCGGCATCACTGTGAAGGTCTCGCCAGCGCCCTCGCAATCCGACGAGGTAATGAGCGGCGGGTGCACCTGGACGAAGCCGCCATTTGGAGCATGCCGAAACACGTTCCCGAGCTGGTATAGACATTCGGATCGGAACCGCGAGAGGAGGGAGTTGAAGGGCGTCCGAACGCGGAGATGGGGGATCTGACGGAGGAATTCGGGACTGTGGTATTTCTTTTGAATTGGGTAGCTCTGGAGTGGTGATGGCGCGTTAGCATGGGTCTGCTGTTGTAGCTAAACAACCTACCTCGGGGTCAGTTTTGCCCACGATATTGACGGCGGTGGCCTGGAGCTCATGGGTTTGCTCCTTGCCCGGTGGGCATGCCTTCCAAAGGCCGGATATTTCGACAGCGGTGCCGGTGGATAGTCTAGCGATCGTGTAGTAATGTCAGTATAACCAAATGCCTCGTCATATAATGAGTGACGGATTGAGCAAGACGCTCCGCGGGAAACGTACTCGGCGGCCTGCGACGGATTCAAAATCGCTTGCAAAGGCTTGACCGTCGAGCCATCGGAGATCTCGGCAAAGGCAAAGCGCTTCTGCTTGCGAACCGAGCGGATGAATCCGTTCAACTTGATCTCCTGGTCTTCCCAGCTGGATCCCTTCTGACTCTCGAGGAGCTGCGCGCAGCGGAGAAGCGTGGACCCGGCGGGCCTTGCTGCTGGCCTATGATTCAGTCGCGCAACCGACGTGGCGAATGTCCGCCGCCATGTCTGCATCTCTTGGGATTGTTGAGGTCGCACGAGCAAAAAGAGGTGGATTGGGAGCAGGAAACGCGGGTGCGCATCGGCTGCAAAGAACGGCGCCGCCGATCGATGATTCAGCGCGCTCCGCACTCGCGCCTACTGGAGCTGGAATACCGAGTAATTTGCTCCACAACGGGGTATAGCATAATAAGAAGTACATACAACTACAGCGGAGAATTTACACTGGAAATGTTTTGAGTAGGGATATGGAAATAAGCACGGCATGCCAGCACTATCAGTCTCGAAGCACACCAGTTCACAGCCCGCCAGAACACAACGAAATTAGGTCATATCGAGTTGCAAAAGTATTACTAGCAAGGTTGTCATCACATCGTCGTTCCCTGTTGTTCGTAGGCCTTTCGTTCTTCCTCAATCATCTCAATCGCATCCCCCACCTTGCCATCCGCAGCCGCAGCATACACCGCGATTCTCTGATGTCCGCCGTCGCTTGCCCCACCATATCCCAAGCTAACCAGGGTGGACACGCACTCGTCAATGCTGCGTTGTCTCGCATCCGGATGAACATTTTGGGTCTCGGACAACGGGCTCTCGAAGCTGTTGCGACGTCCTCCGCGGTGACGGTGGCGGCCTTCCGGTCTCCAGCCGGACATGCTGCGCGGGCTGTCCCTTCCCAAGTATCCAGAAAGACCAGAATCTCCCCAAGAAGAACGGGGTGACCGCTGGGTCTTTGAGCGTCGAACGTGACGGCGAGGCCCGAAAGCTCCCTCGTCAGGCATGTCATACAACTGACGATTTTCTGAGAATCGTTCCGGCTGTGCTGACGAGCCCTCGCGGCCTTCGTACGGGAACGTACCGGGGAGTCCCTGCAGCATAGCATCACTGCTCGCACTCTGCCCCTCGGTGTTACCCTCGGGTGCTTTGCCTTGAGATCTTGCCTGTGCAGGAGATGACTCCGCTTCTGGATTCTGCTCAGCTAGGAAGTGTGCTTCACGCTGCGATACTGGAGGAAAGCGACATTCCTCCAACTCACGGGTGAGATCGGGAATAGGGTCAAACGCGGAATTGGGCTCCGGGGGTGCCGGTCCTAGGACACTTTCAGGCTGGAGAGACGGGTAGAGTGAATTGAGCCGTTCAGAATCCTCCAGGGACGACCCTTCCGGGCCGTTTGCGGCAGATATTGCGTTGCCCAGGTTGCGGTTCTCGTTGGAACATAGGTCCGCTACGGTTAGCGGCACGGAACGTTTACCACTTGGCGATGTAGACCCATTTTCTTCGGCACTTTCTTTCGAGGAGGCCTTCTCTGACCCGGCGAGCGTGGCTGTTGAGCCTTGAAGCTCAGATGGCCTTGATTTATGGTCACTAACAGCAGGCACTGGTCCGCTCAATTCAGCTTGGAGTCGGGATTCCTCAGAACGCAGCCTCGCAATTGGGCTCTGGTCACTGAATTCCAAATTGATTGCGTGTCCGTCGATATGTGTGCCCTGCAGTGCTTCCAAGGCCGCCTTTGCTGCAGGGACGGACGGGAAAGACAGGTAGCCAAACCCAGCGTGCTTGTCGGTCCCGACGTCCAGGGGCAGATGAACATCCACCAAGAATCCCCTAGAGGCGAAAACGTCGCGAATCATCTTCTCACTGACATTGAATCCCACATTTCCGATGAACAATGATGTGTCCGTGGCGAGCTGTGCCTCAGAGGCCGCAGCGCCATCTCGTTCAGCCGACACTACATCATTCCTGGGTATTCCACGTGTTTCGTGATGAGTATGCTGGTGAAATGGGGATGGGCCCCAACCCCTGTGCCGACGCCGGTGTGCATGTGGGTGTGCATGGGTATGCGTTAGATGCGAGGGAGAGGGGATATGTGGATAATGAGGTGTATATGGAGGCCCAGCAGGGAAGGTCTGTGCCCGGGCTAAATGGTTGAAACCCTCGGGTATCGGCCATTGACCAGGTGGACCTGGGGGTGGTGGAGGGAAGTGGTGAGGTGGTGGGCCGAAGAAAGGATGAGGGGGGTGAGGGTGATAGGGATGAGAATGCGGAAACGGAGGTGGTGGTGGGGGAGGACGACAGTTTCGGTGGGAGAAACCACCGTGATATCCCCGATGAGGAGGTTGGAAAGGGTGTGAGTTTGGCTGGCCACGGCCGCCTGGTTGACCGGAACTGCTAGCCTCCCAAGGTTGATCTGAGCTGTCTTCGAAGCCAGAATCTTTCGTTCGTTCTTTCACTTTGGGCTCAGTCTTGTCCCTCCCCAAGTCTTGATTTTGAGACGGTTGGTCTCTTGAAGCGGGGGTTGCATCATTAGCCGGGACGGCGTCAGACGGTCTGGGGGTTTCCACGTGGTCGGGGTGGAGCACACCGTGATGCTCCTCAGGGGAAGCCTGGGGCTGACCGCTAGTTCGATTGCACCCAAACTCCGACTCGAACGCCTCGAACAAGGTATGTCCTACATTGCCAAGTTCCGATGCCATTGCGCGCAGACTGTCCACGGTGTCGGCGGCTGTGGGAAGCTCACCTCGAAGGATATTCCCTGTCGGTATACCAGCAACCGTCGAGTTATTGATCGAGGTGGTCAGCTGCCTCATCTGGGCTTCCAGAGCCGTGAGAGCACCTTGTACCGAGGCCCCAACATTTTCAGGAAGGGCCCTTTGGGCATTCTGCATATGCCGCTCAATCTCGGGGATACTTGACCTCACCCCAGAACTGAGCATTTCAGCCCCGTTGAGCAGATTCTGTATCGCATGCGTAAACGCATCGGTGGGGTTTGGAGGCCTAGAGGATTCGGTCCCCGTGGCCCCCTGGGCGGAGATTGAAGGTCCTTCCGATGGGTTGCCATCATTCACAGCCCTGGAAGCATCCAGGATCTTGGCCAATTCGGCCTCGAAAGCGGCCAAGAGAGGCGCCGTCTCATCATTACTGGTAGGTTCGACATGCTCATGCTCCGCCCCTGATTGCACCTCTGCTGGGGCGCTGGCAGCTGGGACATCCGCAGATGTTGACCCGGCCTGGACATTATCCGCATCCTGAGAGGCCTTCACTTCCTGCTTGAATTCAAACTTCTTCCACAATTCAGTTATCGAATTTGACCGTCGAATATCGAAAAGGTGCATCGGTTCAGGGATGGCAGCTTGCGGTATCGGGACAGGGTCGGTTGCAGGGTCAACGGGTTCATCGAGGCGTTGAGAGAGTTCAAGAGATGATCCAACCTATGAACATCCATCAGTATTGAAGTGACAAAGGATCGATCATGAGACATACTGTGATAAGCTCGCCATCATCGTCGTCAACGTAAGTTAGCCGTGCCCGGGGATGATTCGATGCTAGATTGTCGTACTCGGAAGCAGACAGCTGCACGATGCCCCGACGAGACCTAGGCGATGCCAGTTCACTTGGCAAGGGCAGGGAAGACGTCAGGGACTCTGCTGCAGAGGTATGTGATGGAGATCCATGAAGATCTCTGATCTGGAAAGGTTTCAACATCTTCGGCGATAAAGCACGGTCGCGGAAGAGCAAAGTCCCGCTTCCAGACCGTTAAGAGGCGAAATGAAGCCGACGAATGGATAACCAAGCAGCACACTGGTGATGTTGGTAGTACACGGCCAGGAAGATGAAAAGGGAGGGGGCTGCAGGCGATCAGAAAGAAAGAAAAGGGATCAAGCTTGACTGGAAGGAATCTAGGCCGTAGGATAAGGGTCTGAAACCCGGGGGGCGATAAGGAGGAGACAAAGGCTGGCAGTGGTCGTCGTCACTATTGCTGCTGCCTATGGGCGCCAGCGCGGTTGATTAGCTCGCCGTGGGATCGTCTTTGCCTCAGCTCAGACAACAGGATTCATCGTCATACGAAGGTCAGCTGCGGTGTAACAAGAAGGGAAGGCGCTGGACGGCACTCGAGGATCCAGGCAACCAGATGAGCAGCCTGGAGTTTAGAGTTGTTGAAGGATGAAGAAAGTGGAAAGGAAGAAGCAGTTGGTTGATGACCAGCGGTCTCCGATCGTATCTTTCCACTGACTGCGACTGAAGTAACTCGTTCCAGTCAAGCTTGCCTTTTCCCCCGCGCGGCTGGCAGCTGATTGGACGGCGGGGGATCAACTGACCCGTCAGTCTTGCTGCTAGTGTCCGGAGTACGTTGATTGAGGTTGTACGGAGTACATGGTACGTACTGCTGCTATCGTGCTCGTTCTAGCTGCAGCTGCGGTTCTGCATGAAGTAGAAGCACTGCTTCCCGGTGCTTAGATAGCTGAGAGCTGCACCATGGGGAAAGCAAGCTGCCTTCCCGGCTGCTTTAGGCTGACCCCCCCAGCACCTCCGCAACAACGATAGCATCTCTACATATCATTGATGAGGGGACCACCCGCGAATTTACATTATTGTTGATCCGCGTATTCTTCTCTAAGGTGGCTCCAAGTGGCCCTAAATTGCATGCTGAATGGCCTACCGAGTGTCTAATAAAGCACATCGTACTCGGTAAACTTTTCTTGTCCTGGTACGGAGTACTAATTTAGCTATCCGGTCAATCTCATCAGGAAAGACAGAGATAGGTTATACACCTGTTGTTACTAGTGCATCCCCTATTTGTATGACAGCCACGCCTAGGTGAGTAGGTGCAAGGCTTGCTAGCGTTGCCCTCCTGTTCTCTCATGAATTCTATCGTCCCGTTCCTGCATTGGGAAATAGTGTCGTGCATATATGTACCTGTCTGCACACTAGTACTGACCGTATAGAGCACCAGCCATGAATCAATCACCATCCGCCAGGATAATTAACTTCAATCGCAATTCGATTATATAATATAGCCAATCAATCCTGGATACCAATGTCCCATGCCAATATGACCGTTCGCCTACTAAAAGTCTCATAACTTTCAATACCACACTATCCCGTCGCCGAGCAGGAACTAGTAATCCCGAGACTTGCGGGCTTTCCTAGTCCAATTTACGCAACCCTTCCAATAAACAGAATTTCTATTGCATGCGAGGGACGCCTGAATCCTGGAGCTAGCGGTCAGACACGGCCGTTGCAACCAAATTACTCCGCATGTACTCCGTATGGGTTGGGTATATCCTGCTGCCTACTCTTTTACTTTCATAGACCTGGGTCTAGTGCTACTGCGTCACTTAGGCAGCGGTGACCCATGCGGTATCATGGTTCGATAGATTGCCACGCTATTGGTAGTGGATCAAGGTGATCGTATTGATTAGGATATGTCGGGGTAGTATTAGCATGGTTTCCGTATTGGTTGAGTACAATTTTTGACATAGAATGTTTTTTCTAAACCAGTAGTCCAGATATGAGGGCATCTGATGTTCTTTACATAACAGCCACATTACTCATCCATGCCGCCAGGTCCACCTTGCCGGCCCATTTGTCTGGCCTTCAGCAGTTCATCACAGAGCAGGAGGTTCGAGGCAATACCCGTGCTGGACGCGATGCAGTTGCGCAGCACGCGGAAGGAATCGAACACACCCTCCTGGATGGGGTCCATGGGCTCGCCGGTGGTCAGGTCCAAGCCAACGGTGTTGCCGTTCGACTGCTCGTCTTGCAAAGCCGCCAATGAGTCCTGGACATCGTGGCCCGAGTTAGCCGCAAGGGTCTTGGGAATGATCAGAAGAGCATCGGCGAAGGCCTGGACGCCCCACTTGGCCTTGCCCTTGACCGACTTGCGGAAGGCCTCGGAAGAAAGGTGAGCAGCGCAGGCCACCTGGAAACCACCGGCACCGGGGATGACACAGCCATCAACGATGGTGTTGTATACGGACCGCAGACCGTCGCGGACAGCATCCTTGACCTGTGCGATGGTGTGCTGGTTGGGTCCCTTGATGAGGATAGTGACGGACTTGGGGTCCTTGACTTCCTCAACGAAAGTGAACTTCTCTTCGCCAAGCTGGTGCTCGTAAACGAGGCCAGCCCATCCGAGAACATCGGGCGTCAGGTCCTCAACGCTGTTCTGTGCAGTACCGCCACAGATAAGCTGGAGACGCTCCATGTTCCTCCGCTTAGCTCTCCGGAGAGCCAGGATACCGTTCTTAACCAGGACATCCAAGCTCAGGGGGTCAATTCCCTTCTGGTTGATGACAACGAAGTTCTTGTTCGGGTCAGTGCCGCAAACATGCTGCTTGAGCTCCACGATCTTCTTCAGCTTGGCATCCACGAACTTGCGCTCACTCTCCACCAACTTGTCCCTCTGCTCGGCAGAAGAGTAGTAGAAACCGGAGTTGATTTCCGATTTCTCGTACTCCAGACTCACGTTCAATGTCAGGATGAACGCGTTCTCCACACGCTTGGGCATGTCAGGGTGTCTGGCACCGTGGTCGAGGGCGAGACCACGGATGAGTCTAGTGTCGGAAGACGTCCGATGTTGCATGGTCATGATCTCAATCATGTGCAGATCCGGCTTCTCGGGAGCTCTGTGGATGGCGAGAACTGCATCGACGATATCAGGGGTAAGTTTCTCGGCGAGGGCACTGTTCAACTTCGTGCTAAGGGACGTCCGGGCAACGGAAAGCAAAAGTTCGCGGTCAATGGGCCGTTCAAGCTTGAACTGATCAAGGAACTATGTACCACCACGATTTAGTATTGTAGAAATGTAGTCGTAAGCCTCAGAATACTGACCTTCAGGGCTTCATTCTTGGCGATCTCATAACCATCCGTGATGACACGAGGGTGCAAGCCCTCGGAGATGTGTCGGTTTGCCTGCTTCAGAAGCTCACCCACCAACAAGACAACGGATGTCGTTCCATCACCGGTGATATCATCCTGTGCCGTTGCAGCTCTGGCAATCATAACCTTTCGGGTGTATTAGAAAAGGGCGGTTCGGAGAGGATGAGGAAGAAGACCGCTTACAGCCGTGGGGTTTTGGATTTGCTATAACAATTAGCCTTAGTTCCTATAGTTCTTCTGGAAATAGTTCCTACTCACCATCTCACGCAGCAGAACATTGCCATCCTTGGTCAATTTGATCTGTTTGCACCTCGGTCAGAAGAATCCTAGATAGCCATCTTTGAGGGAAGATTTCATACTCCGCCTGCACCATCCACCAACCTGAGATTGGTCAGCTCTGCATCAGTCCGATATTGTCTAGAAAAGAAACATACATCTTCAGTGTCCCCGAGGGGCCAAGGTTAGACTTCAGAACATCCTGAAGACCCTCACCAGCGCTGATGTTGACCTTCAAGGCCTCCGCTCTCCGCTGCGAATTGTTAGTCTCTGCTGGACCACTGAGGGGCTAAAGGTCGGGGGGGAAAGTGGGAGGCAGAATGTAGGTGCATACATACCCTCGACTCGGCCTTGGGATTGAGTAACTGCGTTGCAGACATTTCTGCAGCACGAATGAGCGACAAGCAACAAAGCCCAACGAAAGAACCGGGAACAGGATCGGCTGGCTGGTGCTGGAGGCCCCTAAGACGATGCCCGCGCGGTCACAAACCTGGTGGTGTTTGCCGTCGAATGCGGTGAGCCGTAGTTTTGGCAAAAAGCCCACATTCGGTGTTCGCACTAGCGCCGCCGCGAAAAAAAAGAGCTCCGACGGCTCCAACTCTGCAATTCTCTACCCTCCAGGCTTTTCTTCAACTCCACGTCGGTCCCACGGCAGGTCTACGGTCGCATTTCCCCGGCAAATTGAGAAGCGGGCTCCATCGCTCGCACGTAAAGGACCGTTTTGTCTGATTTTTTAGGGCCTTTCCCTCAATTTCGCAATGGCCGACTTTCTTCTGTTCGAGAGCCCTATGGGCTACTCGCTTTTCAAGGTCGCCCACCAGGGTGACAGCGTTGGCAACCGCTTGAAGGAGGTTCAGGAAGGTGTGAACGACTTGGCTACCTTTGGTAAGATGGTCGAACTCGCCAGTTTCCTGCCTTTCGAGTATGTGGTTCAATTTTTCTCCCCATGGATTTCCCCCCCAGGTTCCTGACACTTTACAGGAACAACAAGCAGGCCCTTGGTGAAATCAACGATGTCTCGGAAGGTGTCGCTTCGGACACCCTGATCTCTTTCCTCGAATTGAACCTGCCCAAGCCCAACAAGAAGAAGAAGGTTATTCTGGGACTTTCCGACAAGGCTCTGGCCGGAAGTATCAAGTCCGCCTTCTCTTTCGTTGACTGCGAAACCGGTGACACCAGCGAGGTTGTCCAGGACATGCTCCGTGGAGTTAGACTGCACGCCACCAAGCTGCTGAAGCAGCTGCGCGAGGGTGATATGGACACCGCTCAGCTTGGTCTGGGTCACGCCTACTCCCGCGCCAAGGTCAAGTTCTCCGTCCAGCGCGATGACAACCACATCATCCAGGCCATTGCTATCCTCGACCAGCTCGACAAGGCCATCAACACCTTCTCCATGAGAGTGAGAGAATGGTACTCTTGGCACTTCCCTGAACTCTACAAGATCGTCTCCGAGAACCAACGCTACGCCCAGGTTGCCCTGTTCGTCCAGGATAAGAAGAACTTGACCGACGACAAGTTGCACGACCTTGCTGCCCTTGTGGAGGACGATGAGGGTGTCGCCCAGAGCATTATCGACGCTGCTAAGCACAGTATGGGTCAGGAGATCTCCGAGACTGACATGGAGAACGTTATCTCTTTCGCCCAACGAGTTGTCAGCCTGTCCAAGTACCGCAAGTCTCTCCACCAATACTTGATTTCCAAGATGAGCGTTGTCGCCCCCAACCTTGCTGCCCTGATTGGAGAGATCGTTGGTGCTCGTTTGATCTCGCACGCCGGAAGCTTGACCAACCTGTCCAAGTACCCCGCTTCTACGGTTCAGATCCTTGGTGCGGAGAAGGCCCTTTTCAGAGCCCTGAAGACCAAGGGTAACACCCCCAAGTACGGTCTTCTGTACCACTCTTCTTTCATTGGAAGAGCTGGCCCCAAGAACAAGGGCCGCATCTCGCGCTTCCTCGCCAACAAGTGCTCCATCGCTTCCAGAATCGACAATTTCTCCGAGGAGCCGTCGACCAAGTTCGGAGAAGCCCTTAAGCAGCAGGTTGAGGAGCGTCTGGAGTTCTACGCTACCGGCGCTGCCCCCACCAAGAATGAAGTCGCCATGGTAAGTAAATGACTAATCTTTTTAATATGCTACGGATCTCGATATTCTATTGAAACCAAAATGCTGATCGTTCTGCAGAAAAATGCCATGGATGCTGTCCTTGCCGACATTGACATTGACGGTGGCGAGAGCGACGAGGAAATGAAGGATGCCGATGCCGAGGAGTCCGAGAAGAAGGACAAGAAGGAGAAGAAGGAAAAGAAGGACAAGAAGGAGAAGAAGGAGAAGAGCGAGAAGAGCGAGAAGAAGGAGAAGAAGGAGAAGGGTGACAAGGAAGAGAAGAAGAAGAAGCGCAAGTCCGACGTCGGCGAGGGCGAGTCCGACAAGAAGAAGCGGAAGCACGATAGCGATGCTGAGCCGTCCAAAAAGAAGAAGAAGGTTTAAAAGCACCGAGTCTTGGGACAGGAGGGCGTCATTGTCGCGGCGTTGTTGGGTTTTCTTATTCTTGCCATCCACGTTCTGTTTTCTCCTTGACGACTTGATGGGCTGGGTTTTTGTAAATTATTCGATTGAGGCCTGTGTCGTGCCAAAATTTGTGTGTAGTTCTTGCTGCCAATCCGATATGGCTTTTCTTGGTTTAGAATCAGGGCCTTGACGCTACTAACTGACCATGCATGCAGCTCTGGATACTCCGGAGTCCGTTTAGATAGTGTAACGAGGGATGCACTCGACTGCTTATTCACCCGTCGGGCGAGGGCCGACGACAACCCAGACCTCCTCCCCTTCCCCTCTCCAGGGTGATCCAACCCCATTGCGCCTCCCCTTCTTTCAGTCATGATGATGATGGCCCGAGCACCAGGGCTCTCCACCGTTATCTAGTTATGATGGATTCGTTTACTGCTTCCGGTCTGGATCGTTAGAAGCTAACCGACCATTGAAGCGCCCACATCCTAGCTCCTTTGACACACCCGGTCTGTTCAATGTGATGCCCCCACATCGCATTCAATCCCAGCCCCGCGATGATGCAAACAACCTGGCCGACGATGCCCTTGGAATCGCCCAAACGCAAACGCGCATCATCCGAAGAATTGGACTACTGCAGTCCTCCTGCCTCCCCGACGTCGAGCGTTTCTCTTCCCAGCCTTCAGGAAACTAGGGTCCGGGAAGCAGAAGACTGGGGAAGATACAGCCCGCGAGCAGTAGTGGCTAGTCGCCTAGGACAATTGGCCATCCGCGGGGATCAATTCTCTACGTCTCCCATTCCGTATGGAGCAGATCCTTCTGCGCAGTCGGGGAACTGGCTTAGCGCATACGATGAACCCCAAGGCACTCACGACGTACCCGAAACGAACCCTTCGATGGAGGGCAGTCCCAGCCCAGGTGGAATAGCAGAGATTGCAGAGAGCATTCGACCTCGCGACGGTGACAAAAGATCTCCGGCGTTACCCAGCAAGAAACGGTCCACGCCAAGCCCTCGCAAGAAAAGAATCCCCTCGACTACCTCTAAGATGCGCACCGGCAGAGCATCACCCCCTCTCACGGGCAAGACAGCTGAGGACCCCCTTACCTGGCATGACTCAGAGATTACCGGTCATAATCCGACTGACCCGACTGATGATGGATACGGCATGAATGGTATCGGATTCAAGCCGACTGCAGCTATGGCTTGGGCTCGGTCACAGAGGAGACAGAAACAGGTTGCAGAATGGAAAAACCGCGAGGCAAGAGAAGCGCGCGAACGGCGACGGGAACGCCGCGATGGCGCTGATTTTGATAAGATACGGACCATCCAATCGGGCGCTATTCAGAAAAAGGTCAAATTTGACGTCTAAATGCCGCTACCAGGAAGTCTTATATGAGCCTCTTTTCTATAAAATGGGGTATTTTTGCGAAATTTTAACCTCTTGGAGTTCTTTGGTTCGGGATAATATGAAATGGGCGTTGGTCGTTCGGTTGGATGAGTGACATCGCCGACAAGGTTGGATAGGGCCGCGGCCCATAACACAAGTAGAGGAATATGTACTTGGAACCCAACCTACTATACACAGTACTATACAATGAGATCCCTCAAACTCCAGTACTCCATGCAATGCGCAAACCGCCTACCAGAACTTGTAGTTCGATAGGTTGGTCCAGCTCTTCCGCTTCCTTTCTTCCTCGGCCAAGCGTGCGGCCTCCTCAATCTTCTGTTCCTTCTCTCGTTGTCTCTTAAGCTTGAGCTCCTTCATCAATTCGACTGCCTGCTTCATGCCGTCCAATTCCTCCACCCGACGCCGCTGGCAGAACTCGTGCGCTGCGAGGGCTGTAATAGCGAAGGCACCGACCGCCCAGTTACAAGCGGTCCACACGGAGCGCAGTCCTACATTAAATTATTCCATCAGCTACCATATACTGCATCAAGGTGCCAGCTGGTGACTCCTACCTCCAACCACACCCCTCACACCACCAACACCGAACCCTGCGCCGATTCCGAGAAGTAGCGAGTCGCGCGCACAGGGTGCCTTGTGAAATGATGTGACATTTTCGAGGGACATTGACTTCATGGCTTCGGTGACGGTGATATCCTTGGTCGTTCTTCCAGACTTGGTGCCCGCTGATGGCAGCATATTCACGGGCTCTTCAGGATTTCCGAAAGCCTCCCACAGCTTCCCGACTTGCGACTTGGGAAACTCATGTTTCGGCTTCCGTTCTTGCGGGCTGACCTGTTGTTCAGGCTCCTTCACTTCCGGAGTGGGTGCAGTCGCTCCCCGCGCATCATCGGCCATGATGAGAGGTCTAATTGTGGATTCCAGATGCCTCGTCAATGCTATACCTCCAATTACGGCGAGCGTTTTCTTGACCAGGAAACAATGCGGGCGGTCGGAGAAACCTGTGCTCCGGACCTTTCCCCGGTAGAGGAAGCAGAAGAGGATAGTTTCGCCGAGCGGCCCACGATCGGCCAATGGCACGCGTAAAGTAGAAAACGCGAACGCGTCGGAATGGCGTAGGGCAAATCTGGGCTCCGCAGCCATTGCAAGTGGATCAACTACTAAATCAGTTACATTGAAGCGCTCAATCGAGTCCGCCAGCAGCATACCTCTTGGACAAAAAGAAGCTAGTCTTCGCGAAATCAGCTATGCGCAGCTCTGTCCTGTGTTAAGATATCATTGCTTTCCATGTTTTACCCAACGTCTCATCTTGCCCTGCAGTGATCTTCAGCCCCGGCCAGTGGGCGCGTCGTCGCGATGCCTTCAAGAAAACCCAGCAAGTTCGGCAACAAGTTTCGGTCCAGTGCAGCTTCTTTTAACCCCAAGCGAACAAAAACAATCGAGTTCTCGTCCCTTCGGTCCACAGAAGCAACCTCTCAAGATGAGAAATTCGAGTCGATCCGGCTGGCTAACAGCATCGATGAATCCTTGGGGTTCCCGCGCTTTGAGTCCGGCGAAAAGCGAGTGGGATGGCTTATCAACATGCACAGCACGTCCATAGAAGATCCGAATGTCCCCGGAGGACGCGCCGGCGTGGATTACTATTTCCTCGAGGATGGCGGCGGAAGTTTCAAGGCGACTGTCGAATACGACCCATACTTCTTAATTGCCGTGAAAAAGGGCCGTGAGACCGAGGTCGAGGAATGGTGCCGGAGGACGTTCGAAGGGCTTATCAAGAAGGTGTCGCGGGTTGAGAAGGAAGATCTCCAGCTGCCAAATCATTTGCTTGGGTATAAACGCAACTTTCTTCAACTCAACTTTGCAAATGTGAGCCATCTATTGGAAGTCCGCAAGACACTGCTTCCTCTCGCAGAAAAGAACAAGAAGAATGTAAATATGATGGATACGTATATGGAGATTTCCAGGTAGGTTCAAGCATCTGGGTTTCGTTGTTGAAGTTAAGGCTGACTAGGATAGCGCAAATGCTGGCTTTGACCTTTTTGATGATGAACTTGTTAACGAATCACGATCTAATGGCACTATGAACGCGAGCGATTTCATTCTCGACATTCGAGAATATGATGTTCCTTATCATGTTCGAGTCTCTATTGACAAAGGTCTGCAAACTTCGCTAGATCTGGCATCTGTTTGCTAACCTCGTCAAGACATCCGTATAGGGAAATGGTATACAGTGGAGGCAAAACACGGTGTCATCACTTTGAAATGTATAGAAGAGCGACTCACACGAGCCGACCCGGTCATTCTAGCGTTCGATATTGAGACAACCAAGCTACCGCTGAAATTTCCCGACTCCGTGATTGATCAAATCATGATGATATCCTATATGATCGATGGACAAGGATTCTTAATCACCAACCGTGAGATCGTATCCGAAGACATCAATGATTTCGAATACACGCCAAAGGCAGAGTACCATGGTCCATTCATGATTTTCAACGAACCCGACGAACGAGCTGTCTTGGAGCGGTTTTTCGAACATATCAAGGAAGCGAAACCAACTGTCATTGCGACATACAACGGTGACTTTTTCGATTGGCCTTTCGTGGAAGCCAGGGCGAGCGTTCTGGGAATCGACATGTATAGAGAGATCGGTTTCCGCAAGAATAGCGAGGATATCTACCAGAGCGACCACTGCGTCCACATGGACTGCTTCGCTTGGGTGAACCGTGATAGTTATCTGCCTCAGGGAAGTCGTGGCTTGAAAGCTGTGACTGTCGCAAAGCTTGGATACGATCCTGATGAGCTTGATCCGGAGCTGATGACTCCGTATGCGAGCGAGCGGCCCCAAACTTTGGCCGAATACTCCGTCTCCGATGCGGTCGCGACCTACTACCTGTATATGAAATACGTTCACCCCTTCATCTTCTCGCTTTGTACAATTCTCCCTCTCAATCCCGATGACACGCTGAGAAAGGGAACCGGAACTCTATGCGAGATGCTTCTAATGGTGCAAGCGTACCAAGGAAACATCGTCCTGCCGAACAAACACAAAGACCCGCCCGAGTCCTTCTACGAGGGGCACCTGCTCGAATCAGAAACTTACGTTGGAGGACACGTCGAAAGTATTGAGGCAGGTGTATTTCGAAGTGATATCCCCGTCACCTTCAACGTGGAACCTGCTGCCATAGACGAGCTTCTTCGGGATTTGGACGCGGCATTGAAATTCAGTATCGAGGTGGAAGAGAAAAAGTCATTGGATGATGTCACGAACTACGAGGAGGTCAAGAAGCAGATTGCGGACAAGTTGAAGGACCTGAAAGAGAAGCCACATCGGGATGATGTGCCTCTCATTTACCACTTGGACGTTGCCTCCATGTATCCGAACATCATGATCACCAATCGACTACAACCAGACTCAATGATCCAGGAGTCTAATTGTGCCGCTTGCGACTTCAACCGGCCTGGAAAGACATGCGATAGGCGACTACCATGGGCATGGCGAGGTGAATTTCTTCCCGCCAAGCGCGACGAATACAATATGATTCGCCAGGCAGTTGCAAATGAAAGGTTCCCTGGAAAGTACAAGAATAGCCCAATGAGATCGTTCGGTGACATGGGCATTGAAGAACAAGCCGCCATCATCAAGAAGCGGCTCCAGGATTACAGCAAGAAGATCTACCACAAGATTCACGACAGCAAGACCATGGTCCGAGAGGCCATCATCTGTCAGCGAGAGAACCCATTCTATGTGGACACTGTCCGCAGCTTTCGAGACCGAAGATACGATTTTAAGGGGAAACAGAAGGTCTGGAAGGGTAAGATCGAGTCTCTGAAATCTTCGGGGGCGTCAGCCGCGGAGATTGAAGAGGCGAAAAAGATGATTATTCTCTACGACTCCTTGCAGCTTGCCCATAAAGTCATTTTGAACAGTTTCTACGGTTATGTCATGAGAAAAGGTTCTCGGTGGTATTCGATGGAGATGGCTGGTGTGACTTGTCTGACAGGCGCTCGGATCATTCAGATGGCAAGAGAGCTGGTTGAACGCATCGGTCGCCCCCTGGAGCTCGACACTGATGGTATCTGGTGTATGCTGCCAGGTACATTCCCAGAAGATTTCTCGTTCGCTTTGAAGAACGGCAAGAAGCTCGGTATCTCATACCCTTGTGTCATGTTGAACCACCTCGTTCACGGAAGTTATACGAACCACCAGTATCAGACACTTGTCGACCCCGCCACATTCAAGTACGAGACGCACAGTGACAATTCGATCTTTTTCGAAGTCGATGGGCCCTACAGAGCGATGATCTTGCCAACCTCAAAGGAGGAAGACAAGAACCTGAAGAAACGTTATGCAGTGTTTAACCATGACGGCTCGCTGGCCGAACTGAAAGGTTTCGAGGTCAAACGTCGTGGAGAGTTGAAACTGATCAAAATTTTCCAAACACAAATCTTCCGGTTCTTCCTGGAAGGTTCGACTCTCACGGATACCTATGCTGCAGTGGCCAAGGTAGCTGACCGGTGGCTGGATGTACTTTACGAACACGGTGCAACTTTGGCCGACGAGGAACTGATTGAGCTCATTTCGGAGAACAGGAGTATGACGAAGACCCTGGAAGAATATGGAAATCAGAAATCGACATCGATCACGACTGCACGGCGTTTAGCAGAATTCCTGGGCGAGCAGATGGTAAAAGACAAGGGCTTGAACTGCAAATACATTATATCTTCAAAGCCACGGAACACGCCTGTCACTGAGCGAGCCATTCCAGTGGCGATCTTCTCAGCCGAGGAAAGCGTAAAACGATTCTTTTTGCGCAAGTGGCTGAAAGATGACCCTGGGGATATGGATCCGCGTACAGTGATTGACTGGGATTACTATCTGGAGCGGTTGGGTTCCGTTGTGCAGAAGCTCATCACCATCCCAGCTGCGTTGCAAAAGATTCGTAACCCGGTTCCCCGAGTTGCTCACCCGGACTGGCTGCAAAAGCGGATCAACACCAAGGATGACAGATTCAAGCAGACCAAGATGACAGATATGTTTACGAAGTCGGAGAAGAATCCATTGACAGATATCTCGACGAACATTCTCGACCATCGTGTTCAGCATGCCGGCGATTTGGATGAAGTGATAGCGAGCTCAACCCAGAAGCTGAAGTCATCACCCGATGGCAAGGTCTCGCAAAAGCGGAAACATCCCGAGGGCCTGTCAAAAACGTCGCTCGATCCTTTTGCCACCCTTCCCGCGAAGATGCCATCGCCGACAAGTGATTATGTTGGGTTCCTAAAGTACCAGAAGCAGAAATGGAAGATTCAGAAACAAGCCCGAATTCGTCGCCGTCAGCTCTTTGGAGAAAGGGCCAACGCAGGCGGCGACTCGCTAAGCAATCTCTTCAGGAATCAGGCCGAGTTATTGTACATCAAAACTTGGCAGATTCTGCAGCTTTCTGAGACGACAAGGCCTGGAATCGTGCGTGCGTTCGTTCTGATCGACCGAAAGATCCACGCTCTCACAGTCAAGGTTCCCCGTCAGCTTTACGTGAATCTCAAGCAGGACTCGCTTCCTGATGTTGATGTGCCAGATTGCGAGGTTGAGAAGGTCAACCATACGTTGCCCAACGGGCATCCTTCAGTCCATTTGTTCAAGTTGACATTGTCCGAAGAAACATACCTTCGCGAGGCGGAAAAGATCGATGTCCTTTTCCAACACCCTAGTGTTGAGGGCGTCTATGAAAAGAACATCCCTCTCAACGTCCGAGCAGTGCTCAGACTGGGTAGCATATGCACATTCGATGAGGAGCAACGAGGTGTCCTCGGAGAAGGGTTGGACCGCGGCTTTGACCTCTCAACTCTATGCCGTACAACCACCGAGCAGCCATATCTCCTAGACTCCTCCATGGCCTACCATTATCTCTACCATGTCGCATCTGGAGACAGGCAGATCTTTGCCCTTTTCTCGAGTACAAAGAACGAGGCACATGTTGTGATCCTAAACCGCACGAGGGATGTTCAGGGTCTCCCAAACCTCGACAAGATCTACTCTGAACTTCTCGCGCGTAGGATGCAGAACCTGGAAGGGGATCAGCTGCAGGCTGCCTTTGAATACCAGGAGAAGATTCATTTCAAGACCACACAAGTAACTACCAGGAGAAAAGCTCACCTGGAAGTTGGAGACTTGGTTAAGAAGTTCAAATCCGAGGAGACCCAACCAGCCATTATGGTCATCCAATCGCAGCAAAGGAAGCGTCTATGTCACGATATTCCGATCTTGCGAGAATACCCTATTCTCCCAGTCAAACCCGAAGTGTCAGATATGGACCTCCCACCTTTGGGTTGGCAATCTTTCGTTGCCAGGCGATTGGTCACTCACTACCTGTATCTCTCTGCTTGGGTTCAGCACTTGACCTTGCTCGCCAGATATGGTGATGTTCCCCTTTGCAACTTGGAGAACGATGACCCCCGCTTCCTCATTGATATTTCGTACGCCAGACGGCTTCAACAGAACAACGTGGTCCTCTGGTGGTCCTCGAACCCTCGGCCCGACCATGCAGGATACGAGAAGGATGATATCTCGGGACCTCTCGAAAAGGTTGCTATGCCATCGGTGAACGTCCCCAGCGCGTATACCACGGTATGCATCGAGCTGGAAGTCCGCAATCTGGCCATCAACACCATCCTGACCTCGTCCATTATCAACGAGATGGAGGGTGCAGATACTCTTCTGGCTTCTTCCGGACAATCCGCAGACGCAAACGGAGGGGTCTTGTATTCCGAAAAGGCGTTCGCTTCGGCCGGTGCCGTTGTGTTGCGTGAAATGGTCAAGCATTGGTGGACGGAGGCTTGCGAAGGAAACAGCATGGCCGATATCATGGTGCAGCATCTGATTCGATGGGTCGAGAGCCCAGTCTCGTGTCTCTACGATCGTTCCTTGCATCACTATGTACGGATGCTGTCAAGGAAATCCTTCCAGCGGCTAATGGCCGAGTTCAGGCGTGTTGGGTCAAATGTCATCTTTGCCAGCTCCACGCGTCTGCTGCTTCAGACCTCCAAAACGGAAGTGGGCAATGCCTATGCCTACAGCCAGTACGTGCTCAAGTCCATCCGAGCCAATCCGTCGTTCCATTTCATCGACCTTGAGATCAAGGAATATTGGGACTACCTCCTTTGGTACGATGAGTACAACTACGGTGGCAAGGGTTGCCAAGAAGTCACCGAGTCGGATGAACAGGAATTGGAAACCGTCATGCATTGGCAGCTCAATCGATTTTTGCCCACGCCCATGCAGACTATTTTCCACGACTGGGTTGTGGAGTATATCGAACTGATGCACGGTCTCAAGCGGCCGGATACAAACGATTCCTCTACACCTCGAATGACGCAGATTCCTATTGGACGTCCTAATGACGAGGACAGCGAGGAGGTCTCGGCTATCCTCGCCGAGAAATTCTCGAAACCGCTGAAGAAACAACTCACGGGTCTCATCCGCCGGCAGCGTGACGAACTTTTACACCCAGAGCTCGCATCCGATTACGCCTTCCCCGTGCTCCCCGGTGTGCTGTCGGACCCCAATGAAGAGAAGCGCAACCCTGTGTTAGAGCTGGTGAAATTGCTTATGCAGGTTCTCAGTCTGTCAAAGACCACTACGATGGAAACGCGGTTGCTGCGTCGTGAATTGCTAGCACTGTTCGAGGTGAGAGAATTTAGCAAAGAAGGGCGCTTCGAAAACCCGGGCACCAGCCTGAAACTTCCGGAGCTCACCTGCGGCGCTTGCTGCTTGATCCGGGACCTGGACTTGTGTCGAGACGAGGATGTTCTCCCCGAACCCGGTGTGGACGCGGGCAAAGCCTCAACCAAGCCATGGCGCTGTCCCTTCTGCCAGACCGAGTATGACCGGTTGGCGCAGGAAGAGATGCTGATCGGTCAGGTGCAAGGGTACATTGTCGGATGGCAAACCCAGGACCTGAAGTGCTCGAAATGCGGCAACCTCAAGATCAGTGACTTTATGGAGCATTGCTCTTGTAGTGGAGTGTGGGTGGAAACGATGGATCGGAAGGAGATTGAGAAGCGGCTGCACATCCTGAACAGCGTGGCCAAATTCCACGGACTCAAGTTGTTGGAGAGCGTTGTGGGGGAGGTTCTGGAGCAGATGTAACCCTGTTTGACCTTGCATTGCTTGTTGTTTGAGCGTTGTTGGAGGCTATACCCGCGGGAACTATACATTTCTTCGGTTCGAGATATACATCGTCGGGGACCACATTGATCGGCGTTGCGGAGGGAATGATTATTGATTGACCATACGGAGCAGATAGATAGATAACATATCACTGCTCGTCATTAATCCAATACATGGCATGACGCATGCATAATGAGTTGACTCGTGCAGCATGATCACCATTGTGTAGGGAAACTATTGAAGCGCGAAAAAGAAAGGGTGCAGACAGAAGAAAGACTAGCGAAAGATAAGCGCCTCCCTCTGTGTAGGAAGCCTGTGATCCATGGATCGAGGCCTTGGCACGTGGGTGGCAGTCGCACCGCAATCTGTCAGCCAACAAACGATCTATCACTTCTGCCGATCCATCCCTCCAGCGACTTCCACCTTCAGAGAGCAGCGCAGGGACAAATTTCCCATTCTGTTCGGCATCCTACGGTTATAGCATTCATCGCTGCTGGTCCGGTCCCCTCCAGGCAGCGTCCCTCCGGCGAGTCCACCGCAAACCCCGCAGTCGGACTCCACCACATCGTCCGATTGCGACAGGACGACGGTCCCCATCCTGTCTATCACCCTTGCTCGTTTTAAATACTGGTGAGTCCGCAAGCTTTCTGCATGCGCTCAAGTGATTTCTGATTGGGCCCGGCGTGATTAAGATCCGCCATCTTCTTTATCCATCTGCTGACCGCGGGGCCGCCAGACGCAGGCTTTCACCAAACCACCCCTGTCCGTCCATACGAGCATCAACCGTCACTCCCTTACTCCTTTTCTACCTCCTCTCTCCGCCCTATTATCTACTTCTCTGATCATTGCAAAATGGCGTCACAACCGCAAGCAGGCCAGCGACCCAAGGTCCAGCCCTGCCGATACAAGACCGGAAAGACCCTAGGAGCCGGCTCCTACTCGGTCGTCAAGGAATGCGTGCACATCGACACAGGCCGGTACTATGCAGCGAAGGTGATCAACAAGCGCCTGATGGCAGGGCGTGAGCACATGGTATATCTCCACCCAAGCCAATCAGCCCGGTTGGCGATCATCCAGACATAACGCAGGAGGGCTAATGATAAGGAATGTTGGTATATTGATAGGTCCGGAATGAGATCGCGGTGCTGAAAAAGGTGTCTATGGGTCACCAAAACATCTTGACCCTGGTCGATTACTTTGAAACAATGAACAACTGTACGTGCCCCTTGCTACGGACATGAGCAGACTTGCGAAACAGGACCAACCATCTGCATTTTGACAGTGTATCTGGTCACCGACCTTGCGCTTGGTGGTGAGCTTTTCGATCGAATTTGCCGTAAAGGCAGCTACTACGAATCCGACGCTGCGGACCTCATCCGTGCGATTCTGTCTGCCGTGGCGTACTTGCACGACCATGGAATCGTGCATCGGGATTTGAAGCCGGAGAACCTTCTATTCCGCACTCCAGAGGACAATGCGGATCTTCTGATTGCGGACTTTGGTTTGTCCAGAATCATGGATGAGGAGCAGTTCCACGTCCTTACCACGACGTGCGGCACGCCAGGATACATGGCCCCCGAGATCTTTAAGAAGAGCGGTCACGGAAAACCAGTGTACGTTGCTTTTTCATCTTATTTTTTTGGTGCAAATCTGAGACTTATACCTAACTATTCTGCAGAGACATCTGGGCCATCGGTGTTATCACCTACTTCTTGCTATGCGGTTACACCCCCTTCGACCGCGAGTCTAACCTGGAAGAGATGCAGGCCATCCTTGCAGCAGACTACTCCTTTACCCCTATTGAGTACTGGCGCGGCGTTTCCCCCGACGCACGGGACTTTATCAAGCGGTGCCTAACCATCGACCCTAACGCTCGCATGACGGCCCACGAGGCCCTTCAACACGCCTGGGTCAACCCGCCCTACGACACTTCCGCCGACAAACTCGGCTCCGGCGCAGATCTCCTCCCCACTGTCAAGAAGAACTTCAACGCTCGTCGCACCCTCCACAAGGCCATCGACACTGTGCGCGCCATCAACAAGCTTCGCGAAGGTGGCGGCCTGATGATGGACGGGATGATGAGCGTCGACCCGAAGCCGGAACGAGTCAACGGCAACGACGTCATCGAAGAACGTCGCGACCACGACGGACACATGGAGATCGACGGCCGTTCCAACGCCCGTGGTCAGACGGAAGAGCAGATTCGCGCTCAAGAGCGGAAAGTCCAGGAAATGGTCGCTGGGTTGTGGAGTCGGACCGTGAGGAAATAAGATCATTATCAATGCCACTATCTGTTTCTTTCAGTGGACTTGATACCTTCTTCTCCTTCCCTCGGCTGTCACTCGCTTCTTAGTCTATATTTTCTCTCGCTTCCCTCACTTACCCTTGATGGGGATGACATTCTGGTTCTCTTGGAAAAATTTCGGTCTTGGTTCGTTACAGCATTCTTCCGTCATATTATACTCTACTTTACTTAGTTACTTAACATGGGAATCGATATTGGGTCCAATTCTATCATAAAAATCAGTGTTCTACAGATTATGTTCAGTATGTATTATTTTGGGAGGTAAGATGAATTCCAGAGGTGGTATGTAGGCCGGATGGCTAGATAATGTTCATTAGAGGAGTGATGAGACCTACATAGATCATGTATGTTAAATCGATATATGTAGTAGATGTGTCCCGTGTATGTAATAGCCAACCGAGAAGAAAAGAAAAAAGAGAAGCAAACGCCATCATCCATCTCATTGACGCCATCATATCATGAAGTAGCTCGTTCAATTAGTTTCGTCGATGGCGAATCAACTCAGGAGCTGTTCGCTCCCGTCATCCAACGAGAGAACCCACTGGCGCCATGCTTGCCAGTCCTCGTAACTGCTGCTGGCTTTGAGGCCCTGGTATTTGACAGCCCGAAAGTCGGAGACTTGCTCCCATGGCTTGGTGGTAGACTGGCTGGTACTGTTGCTGCCTCGCAGGAACCGTCTCGCCATGCTCTCGCTCGGCCCGTCCCAGCCTGCTTTGTGCATCAGGCTAATGACGGTCTCTTCTTTGGTCCAGCCCTGCTCTACGGCGACGTCGGGGAGATAGGTGGCTCCGTAACGTCTCCCGCGGTGGATGAAGGAGATGCGGAGACCATGCACTCCGAGGATCCAGTCCATGGCGTTGGTACATGGCTCGAAGGACCCGAGGAGGGTCAATGAGCATGAGAGAGAGGGGAGAAGAGACTCGGGGATCGGGGAGAACCGAGTATCATCAAATGCGCTGTGGGCGGTTAGCACGCGCGAGCCTTACCAAGGTGTATGTATGGAAGGCCCGTTCTTGTGAAAAGTGAGGGGATACGTACGATGTGAGAGCGTAGGACTTTAGGCCCTCAGCCAGTTCTTGCGCCTCAAAGGTGCCAATGCATCCGCGGAGTGATTTGTGGCCGTGCTTCGAGACCGTGTTCCATGTAACGAACAGGGGGTATTTCTCTTCTCTCGGCTTGCGGCTTGCCGTGTCAGACTGTGCTGACAGGGAGCTGGGTGTTGTGACCGTGGTGGAGCTCGATAGGATCGACTGCGATGAGTTGGCGGAGGTGATAGAGGGTGTTGTAGACGAGCTTGAGCCAGACTGGAGTCGGCTGACCCCGGGGACTTTGATTTTCTGAGAGCGACTGTTGTTCCCAGCGGGTCCTCCGGTTATTTCGTCGTCTTCTACAAATTGAGGATCGCCCTCCTCGTCCAACGCGGCGAGCTTTTTATACTGTTCATGGCGTTCCCAAAGCTCTTCGGCAGACGCAAGGCTGATGGGTTCACTGCGCTTATAAGAGGCAGCCAGGGTCTCGAAACAGTAGTAGCATTGAGCTGGAGTGGCCATCTCGATTAATATGTGTACGATGACTCGGAGAGGATCAGGTTGCCAAATCTCTAGGAAGTTGGGTGTCAAGGCAGCGATGGTGAGGTATTAGACTGTGCAAAGGCGTGTCTGCTTGTGCCAGCCAGGTGATTCGGTCACCAGGCAACAACACGGCTGCTGCTGGGCTAGAAGGCTACTTGCAGCAGGTCCAGGGTGAAATTGAGCAGAGTTGGACCAGGGAATGACCAAAGAAGCCCGCAGCATACAGTCCAGAGCCTGGCAGTCCGCGGAAGGCAGGAGAGGGGCAACGAGGGGAAGAAGAGGGGAGAAGAAGCCCCGAGGGGGGCCAGGCGGCGATAAAGGCCGGCCACGTGATGCGCCTGCAAATCCCGTATCGGGATTATCGCGGAGATTCATTAGACTTCATGATGAACCAACAATCAGTGACTGGTGCCTCAGCCCCCTCCCGCAATCTGTTATGACATCAAGTTCAAAACAGTTCGCATCCAGAACCAGGAGCCTCATAAAGTCTAACCCGTTTGGCGTGTTGCATGTGAACCATATCCCCGCCAATGAGAGCCTGCGCCGGACATCTATATCTACCTGGTATGAGAAGTCCGTTTCTCAATCGCCGCTTGGGCTTCGGGAATAGCAGCTGGCAGGAAGCTCACAGCTTGCTATCAAGACATCAAATCGAGCCTCTTCCCCCTATTTCACATGACGTCATAGGAGAATTGCAGAAGGTCCTGTCTTGAATATTGGATCTGGTACTGGCAGATAATTCAAGGGAAGGTTGTCCCCGGGATTATCCGTAACTTTATTCCATCGGCTCGACATACAGCAGAGTGCTACATCGGAAGCTGCCAGTTACGCCACAAGACCCGGCATGGTTGCTTTAGACTCTCGCTATTAGTCTCCAGAGTCACTTATCTTTCTCATTCTGATCGGAAGTGATGTGACCCAGTATTCGGCAAGCAAACGAGCCTAACTTGGCTCTTCGCAGGAGAGCGTGCATTCTTGGCGCCTGGACGCGGTGAACTATAGCACTTGATACAGTCACGCAAAAGTGGCAAAAAGACGCTGTTGGCCGACGCAGGTGATGTCCAATAATCTGGCTCCCGTGCCATGCCATGCCATTGAGTACTTGTAATCTGCTGTGTGCGCAGAACAAGTCTATTGCCTGCCAAGTTGAGGTAGTGCTGCAAACAACATCACCATAGTTAGCATCATCGGTGGCGATCGTCCTTGGGCATGGACAAGTTCATCATTGAAAGCATGTTTCCGGCTGGGCCTGCGGTACCAGCCTGCCCCTGAAGACTCTCGAGAAGATTTTTCGCGAAATTGATGTCAATGTCTTCCTCCTCAAGCTCAGGCATATCCCCGTCCTCCTCTTCGCCCGACTTTCCATCGCCTAAAGCCTGCTTGTCACCAAATGCCTTAGGCTTGCGATTGAGATCGAGAACACCCGTGCCTTTCAACTCCGCCTCCATTTGCTTCGACAGCTCCTGGATCTGCTCCGTGTCATCCTCGGATTCGCTATCCAATTCCTCCACTCGACTACGCGACGCTGAAGGGCGAGACGGTCCCTGAAGACCGGCCTCGGAAGGCATTCCCATCATCTCTTTCATCATCCTGGAGAGCTCCTCTTCATCGAAAGAGGCCTCTTTATCCTCACCGTCGCTGCTCATATCCTCCTCGTCCGTGTCCGATTCATAGTCGTCAATGAATTCCGCTCCCTCGAAACCGGCCGAGTCATCGTTCAAGAATTTCTCGAATTGAGCCACGATACGCTGCAGGTTCTCTTGCGCGTTCGCATCCCCAAAGGCCCCCTCAACGAGGGGTTCGCCATCTTTGCCTTTTCCTTTCCCCTTGAGTTCCCGATCCAAATCCTCGAAGCTTATGTCCAACCACTTCTCGTCATCTTCGCGCTTATCCCAGGTTTCTATGTCCTGGTCTGTAGGCAGTTGTTCATCACCGGTGTCCAGGTCTTCCAGAATGAGATTCATTTCTCTGACGGCTGCCTTGTCTTGATTCTGAGGATCTGTGAGAAGCATCTCAAATCCGCAAGCCAGCTTCATGCCCATCTCCGCCCGATCATATACCTTCTGATCGTCTGTTGAGGGTAATTTATCGTTCCATGACTTCGGAATCGGGAAATCCTGACTCTTAAGTTGTGCATATCCGACCCGAGTGAAGCGGACGCTCACGGTGACAAAATCCTCAGGCTTGAAGATGAAGTTGTCGGTGTCCTTCGTTCGAAGTGGTCGCAGTGCAATAGGGTCTCGTAGGTAAAAGGCTTCGACAGCGGCGGAGATGTAGGCTGGCTTCTGGTGGAGCAGAAAAGCGACTTTGCGGGGGATGGTCACGAGCGCAGAATGAAGGTTTTCGTTGATTTGTTTCGGATAATTGCGCAAGCGATAGAACGCCTCCTCCTGGATCATGGTGGAACGCATAAGGCGTCCAGGCTCCTCCGCGATGATCTTCCTTGCCTCCGATAGTGATATTTTCTCCGTCACTCGATCTTTCTTATCCCCCTTCGGCTTAATAATGACCAGTTGGCCTTGATTGATCCACACCTGAAGCAATGTTAGTGGACAAGGTATATACCGATGATATTCGGACTGACCCTGTTGTCTGCTACATCAGGTTCCAACCAAGCTGGTAACGTGGCGGCAGCCTCCACGAGCAGGAACTGGCCATCCCCGTCGACAGCTTTCGCCCAAATATTATTGTGCTTCTTGGTCAACTCGCGCAACAGGTACACGATCACCCATTCGTCCTCGATCGAATCTCCGAAGTTGGTGCGTCCATGCAACGAGGTGACTCCTAGGCATCGATCAGTGACCCAAACGACCAATGGTATGGGGTGAGCTCCGCACCATCGTCTTTGGTGATCTCCAGCCGAAAGCTTTCACGCTGCCAGATATAGTCCTTCAGCAGATCCTTCACCAGTTCCGCAGAAGTGCGTTGCACATCTACCAATCGTGCCCGCGTTTCTGCGACTTCATCGACAATGGCGGGGGCGGGGCTGGAAGGGATATAGTAGAGAGAATAATCGACGCTATCGTCGGGGAGCTCCGGCTTGGGAATGGGGCGAAAAGTGGACTTGAACCACTCAAGGTCCTCCTCCGACATGGGCGCCATCATGTGAAATTCGACAGCAAGCAAGCGTTCAGACTGATGGTGGGTTGGCTGCCCGCGCAAAAAAGAAAAATAAATTGCGGCATGACTTCATACGGACGAGACGCGGCGGCGGCTTGGCCCCAGCCCCGTGACTCGATGCTAGGCTGAATTGGGCTAGATGTCAACAAGAACGAGGGCTTGCCGTCTCACCGCCCAAAACACGTCCCAGCCCGTATCGCATCGCATCGGATACTACCTTAAAGTACCTTCCGCCGCGTCCCCCCATTTCTCTGTGGCGTTGTCGGCGATGGTCACCCGTTGAATGGCCTTCGCACCTTCCCCCAGAACGCTTTTGCCAGTCCCCAATTCACTGACTCCCGTATCCCTTGGCGACCATGGCGTACCCGTACATCGACACGCCGCGCACCGAAATTGACGGAAACGCGACTTACCTGACCGGCTATCGCAGCGTGGGACGACCCAACTTGACGGCCCTCGACTCGGTGGAAAACTCATTTGCTACGCCATCCAAGGATGATGACGTTCTCAAGGGGTTTGGTGAGGGTCGAAGGCGTACTTCTGGGAGTTTCAAGATCAACACGCCGCGTGCTGGGTCCGGTCCTAAATCGACGAGGAGCGCGTTAAATAGTCGACATCAACTTCCCACGGCAGCACTTGCAAAAGGCGAATTCACGCCACTCATGAGGAGTGCAACGAAGAATAACTTCTTGAAAAACATGTCTACGACGCGCGGACCGAAGACCCCGGGGCATATAGGGAGGAGTTATCTGAGCAATGGCAACACGCCGGGTTTGCCGGCGATGGAAATGACCGATATTGATGAGGAGGATGCAACGGATGATCAACCCACCCCTGTCCCGCAGGTTGCAAGCAGCAGTGTGCAGAGTACGCCACTTCCAGGGTTATCCAGGAGTGGCGGTGTTCTCAACGAGGGCAATAATATGACTTTGAAGGAACAAGAGAAGGTATTATTCTCTTCATGTGGTGTGGTTCACAAAAGGTTGCTGACGACAGTAGATGATCGATCAATTGGACAAGGATAACTTTGGTCTTAAATTGAAGATTCACTTCTTGCAGGAGCAACTCGAGAAAGCCGGCCCCGCCTACAATCAAGCAGCGCTTAAGGAGAATACGGAGCTAAAGGTTTCAAAATTGACGATGCAACGCGACATCTCACGCTACAAGAAGAGCCTCCAGCAGGCCGAACGCGACCTCGAATCCTATCGCATACAATTCCAAGAGCTCAGGGAGAAAACGCGAGGAAGACCGACCGATGATACCATACAGCGGGAGATGGACTTGATGCGGGATGAAATGGATGCGAGAGACAATCAGATCCGGGAGCTCCAGGAGGAATTGAGAGACGCCAAGGACAGTCAATCGCAAAAGATTGAGAAACTTCGAGACGAAATCGAAGACCTCGAGGCATCAGTGAGGGAGCGCGATCGGTCCCTCGAGGAACGCGACGAGGAGATCGAGGAGCTGAAGGACCGGGACGGCAAAGAACGCGATGCACTCACTGAGCTGGAATCAGAATTGCAACGTGCGAAGGAACAAATGGAAGAGCTACAAGAGTCGCTTGATCAGGCCAAGTCGGACGCAAGAGAAGCGAGGGACGCCGCAGGCCATGCGATAATGGAGAAGGATCAGGCTCAAAAAGATCTCCAGGAGTTGCACGATGAGATGGCGAACAAGTCTATCAGTACCAGTGGACTGACTCGTCAGCTAGAAGAAAAAGCCACGAAGCTGGAGGAAGAACTTCGTGAGCTCCAGCAAGAGAACAGTGCGTTGAAGAAAGATCTCGAGGCACGATCTCGTGACGAAAGCCGGCTGGAGGAGCGACACCAGGAATCTCAGCACAAAATGGAGGAGAGGGAGCGAAAGCTCCTCGACGATGTTGCCCAAGCACGACGTGAGCGAGATCTGGCTCGACAGGAATATGAGAAGACATCCGCCCAGTTACAGGAAGCGCTTGATGAAGTCCAACGCAAAGCCGACGAGAAAGAACTTTTGCAGACCCGGCACCATGCGCTGACGGATGAGTCTGGTGGTCTACAGCACGAGCTGGCCAGGGCACAGTCCAAGATTAAGGAGCTGCAGCAGACAATCGAGGAAGAAAAGCACCATGCCCTCGATAGTGCAAATACGGTTCGTTCTCACTATAAGGAAGAGCTCGAGAGACTGCAGGAAGAGATTGAATCTCTCCATCACGAAATCGAAGACAAGGAGGGCCAATTCGCTCTCGAGCAAGACAGGTGGGAGAGCACCAGACGTGCCCTACAACTCCAGAAGGACAGAGCGGAAGACCAAGCAGCTGGGTTCAAGCGCACCATTGAGAAACTTGAACAAGTAGAACATACTCTGTCAGGCAAGGAGATGAAATTACAAGAGGTCATTGATAGCGAAAAAACACGACACTTCAACTCGGAGGCTGTTCTAAGCCGGCAGGTCAAAGAATTGAACGATGATCTGACCTCGAAGCGGGAGATTATCGATGAGCAGCGGAATGAGGTCCTCTCCCTGAAGGAAGATTTGAGGCTTGTCAGACGCTCCGAAGCGGCTCAGAGAGAAAAAATCCAGGCTCTGGAGGATGAGCTGGTCGTCTTACAATCGAGCTTGGAGGAGGAACAAGAATACACCAAGGGTCGAACGCAAAAGGGATCCGCCGAACACGACGGTCAAATTCAGAAGCTTATCACGGAGAAGCAGAGACTCCGTGACCAGCTTGCTAATGCCCATGTTGAATTGCACGATCTACGGACGTCTGCTGCTGAGATTGAGGCTGAACGTGACGAGCTTCAAGCCCAACTTGATCAAATGCAAAACCAAGTTGACGACACGACGCGGTTCGACAAGGAGAAGGTTGAGCTCCGTAAATCTGCCCTGCGGCTCGAAGGTGAGGTCAGGCGGCTCAAGGACGACAAGTCATCTCTGCTGGAAGCAAAGGAGACCCTTGAGAAGCAACTCAGCACCGAGATCGAGCGGGCTACCCTGGAAGAAAATCGTCTGTCGGCCGAGATTGATCAGCTACAAGATAAACTACATACATCTTCAGGTGGAAGAGATCGCGAGCTGGCATTGTCCAAGAGCAAGATTCAACGCCTCGAAAGACGTATACAGGAGCTCGAAACCCTTCTCCATCAGCAGCCACATACCGAGATCGAGCACTCGACCGCAGATCTTTCAGTGCTCCGTCATAGCTTAGACGAGGCGCGGAAGCGCGAGAAGGCGTTGCTTCAGCGCGAAGCCGACCAGAAGTCGTCCGTCCGCACCTCCAAGGCACGGATCGCCGAACTAGAGAGAGAACTACACGATGCCATGATGACCAAATACGAATCCCGCTCCCCCTCATCATCCCCCTCTAACAAACTCCATGATGAGCTCCGGAGCTTGCGGAAGCAGCTGTCCGACGCACACCGGACGCTACAGGAAGTAAAATCGAAGAACCGGGATCTTGAGCGAGCCGCGATGAGAGAAGAAGATCAGCGAGACCTTCACGAGCTACTCAAATCATCCACCCTTGAGGCGGAATCCCTGGCACTTAAGGTATCTGAACGAGATGCCCGAATGAGCGAGCTGAAGGCCCAAATGCGCAGGATCCGCGACGAGCGTTCATTCTGTGCAAGGAAGGCTGAGTCAGCACTCAAGGAGCTCGAAGCTCTCCAAGAACGGTATGATCATCTTGTCGAGAAGATGGGGGCCAGAACAGAGAACAACAAGACCAGGCACGAAAAGGAAATTCTGGGTCTAGGCAAGGAGATCATCTGGCTTCGTGCGCGAATGAAGCGCGAGGAGAAATTCCGCCGTGACCTTGCTTGGAGTAAGGGCTTAATGGAACTGGGCGAGCGTGTCCGAGTTGCTTGGTTTGTTGCCCTCCTCATTTCTATTCTCAACACATTTCACTAACATTTTCTCAACAGCAACGAAGCGGACCTGCGCATGATCACCGACATGGGCGTCAAACCCCGTGATCGCAACAAGCTCCGCACCCCCCAAGCGAAGCTCAAGACCGCCGTCTCCATGGTGAAAGCCATCGTCCGAATGCAGCGAATGTCCCAAGAGTGGAAGAAGACCAAGAAACTTGGCGAGGGTCTGAGACGAGCAAAGAATGAAGTGATGAAGCGGAGAGACGCTTCGCACAGTAAGAACTGATCCATCTAGACTCTTATATTGAGCCCTCTCCCTCTCTGGGCTGTTGGAGGCTCCTTTACCTTTCAATGATCTTGCATTTCCTTTTGGGTTTGTTAAGAAGATTCCCCGGCGTTTTGATGGAAAGTCTTTGGGCGTTGTCCTCGGGTTGGATCAGATGGAGTGTTGGTACTGTACCTACTACTACTTGCTTATGTAGTCGAGTCATGGGAGTCTGATCCCTCACACACACACATACCTTTATCCGTGTTATGGCTTGGATGGTTAGATTGAATGGGTTAATGAGATATGTCTGTGTCTACGTGTTGGCGTTAGTTTTGGTTCTATTGCTCTGCTGTATTAGTTCTGTTACGTCATTCACCTGCAGTAAAGATCCAATGCTATAGATACGCATCCGTCATACATACAAAACTCTAGAGGTAGTAAATTAAATTCAACTGACATTCACACCAGGTCATGTAGTAAACAGAAACTTGTAACGCCTCGCCTTGCCGCATAATGATAACGTTCCTGACACCGGGGTGAGGGTGAAAGGGGGAGGGAGAGAGAGAAAGAAGGGAAGAGGAGGAAAGTGTAGATGAGTGGGAGGGAGTAGGGGGTGTATGTATGTATAGATTGCAAGAAGAAGAAGAAGTAGAAGTAGAAGCAGCGCGGGGTCGTTCCTTTCGTTCGTCCAATTCGACAGCCGGTCATAGGCTGAGACCAACCAAGATGAGATCATGAGGTTCAGGTTTAGCTGTAGCTTGACTCTATTGGGTTGTGGGTTCGGGTTGGTGTTCTGATTCGTGGCGAGGTGTAGGGGTCTCTTTCTAGTAGGGCTGTTTAGGCACCCTCGCTGCCGAATTCCTTGGTCCATTCCGAGTTCCGTTGCAGATCTTCTTGGCTGACGGTTGGGCGGGAGTTGCGGACAGCCTTGATGAAGTCCTTCAGAATGAGTGGGGGCTCCAGGAGTTGTTCGGCTTCAACAGCCGTCCATGTCATTTCCATGGCGCCCTCGTCACCCGGCGAGCAGGGGGTCAATTTTTCGACACCCTCCAAGATGACCTGGTCTGGTTAGGCAAAGTTTCTTCAGGCGTGAGGTATGGGCGGCTCACCTTCTTGTAGTGTGTTGCTGTTTGGATCTTGCGAATTGGTTGCATTAGTGCGTCCTGGACAGCAATGCTGATATCGCTGCCGGAGTAGCCTTCGCTCATCTCTGCCAGGGTTCGGTAGTCGGCTTGTGTCAATTCGCACGGTGTCGAGCCGACTGCCAACATGAACATCTTCATTCGTGCGTTGATATCGGGGAGACTGATGTGGACTCTCCGTTGGAATCGGCGACGAATGGCGGCATCCAGCTGCCAAGGAATGTTTGTTGCGCCGAGGATGAGAACGCCCTTTGAGTCTTTGCCAACACCGTCCATCTGCACGAGAAGCTCCGTCTTGATACGACGAGATGCCTCCGATTCACCCTCTCCACGAGGGCCGCAGAGGGCATCGACTTCATCAATGAAGATAATTGCCGGCTTGTTTTCTCGAGCCATGTTGAAGAGCTGTTTCACGAGCCTGCAGATATGTTAGCTCTGGAAACCCATGCCGATAAGCATAGCAAGGAGTACCTTTCACTCTCACCCATCCACTTCGACACCAAGTCACTACTGCTAACACTGAAGAATGTGCTGTTTGCTTCCGTCGCAACGGCCTTGGCGAGATATGACTTTCCGGTACCCGGAGGTCCATACAGCAAGATACCCTTCCACGGTTGACGTTTCCCCGTAAAAAGGTGTGGGAACTTGATGGGTAGAATGACCGCTTCTTTCAATGCCTCCTTTGCGCTCTCCAGACCGGCGACATCCTCCCACTGCACGTTGGGTTTGTCCGACAAGATAGCCCCAGCAAGGGCGGATCGTAGCTTCTTGGATTCGGCATCCTCACCATCATCTTCCTGATTCCTACATCACCAAAACATCAGTACACAATGCCATTTCTCGACAAGCAATTGCAAGATAAGCAGATCGGCAACCTACCCTCCCTTTCCACTTCCCTGCGCCACCTTGCCATTAGCGCCAACCGCACTGGGCTTTTTTCGATTATCGAGAGAGGCTAAATGATTCTTGAGTTTCTCCGCGCGATCCATATACTCGCCCGCCTTTGCGCGGATCATCTCCTTGGACTTGGGATTCTTCTCCCATTTGAGGGCAAGCATGAACAACTCCAGTGAGGAGTAGTACAGCTGATAAGCCTTCTCGTACTCGCCCTCATTGTCATGCTCGATGGCCTTCTTGACCGTGTCAATCGCCCTCCCCAGGAAGTCGGTATTGCTCATGATGGCAGGGTTTGACTCGTCACGGACCGATCGCCAGGACAGGACGCACGGATGCAGGGTACGAAGGCAAGAATGAGGATCAAGGCGGGGAGCGAATGACGACGGACGGATATGCCAGGGTCGTCTGGGGCGTGGGGAGTAGGCTCGGGTGCGGAGGGTAAGACTCGGCGGTCGCAACACAATGCAGCAAGACAATTCAGCGAAGCGAGGCTCTTTCGAAGGGAAATTCGGCTTTCTAGACTGGCGCGAGACTTGAATGGGGAGGAATGGGAATGGGGAAGGCCGAGAGGCACCAAAGGCGGGCGGCGGCCTTGTTTACCGTCTTTGGTTTTCTGCCGCTCCGCTCCATTTTGCCCCTCCGATAGTCCATTTCCCCGACGACCACGGCATCACCTCCCCCAATCCCACGGCACCATGGCGGACGCACAGAAGCAGATGCAGGCTCTTACTGAGGAGTTTCAGGCGTTGCAGACTGGTATGTGGTTTTGAGTTTGACAACAGTCCCATGCGAGCTGCAGCATCATCGACCTACCTAGCTCGGCACTATGCGCACCATGGAAGCACCTAAGTACTGACGTATGTTCTATCAGAGCTCGATGGCCTTGTCGAAGCGCGCCAGAAGCTGGAATCGCAGCAGCAGGAAAACCTGGGCGTGCAGAAGGAATTCGATTCCCTGGATGATGAAGCGAACATCTACAAGCTGATCGGACCGGTTCTGTTGAAGCAAGACAAGAACGAGGCCCTGATGGCCGTCAAGGGGCGTCTCGAGTTCATTGAGAAGGAGATGTGCGCATATGTTCCCCTCTTGAGTGTTAAAGGGGAGCAACAGCTGATGTCATGTGTAGCAAGCGGATTGAGGGGCAGATCCAGGAGAATCAGGACAAGGCTGATAGCAAGCGCAGTGAGGTGAGATGAAGCCATCAACTGAAGTACCGTGGGATTCCACTTTGACCGTTTGATCAGATCGTCCAGTTCCAGAGTCAGCTCCAGCAAGCGGCGGCTTCTGCTTGAACATAGACACATTATCCCACACCAGTATATTTGTGAATGACGGTGCCTATCTTTCCTCGAGCTAGGATCACCTGGAAGATGTACTAGGTGCCAGTGAAGTTAAACACAGCGAACGTGCCCGATGGGTCCTAGGCGATGATAGACGTCACCTTGGAGGTCATACGAAAAGAGTCACCGAGAAGGGCTCACCAGTGGCGGTGCTACTTTGTGCGATAGACCAACGCAACAGGGTTAGGAGGCTTGAGGTACCCTTACTAGTGGCTGACTGTCGCGAACATTCAGATGACTTTACGGACCTTGCGTAGTTACTTGGACTGTCTGATGACCTAGCATGGTCCCTACAATGTGACGATCGAAATACCATTGAATACAATAGCTCTGAAAGAGCTCTGACACCATAAGTGCCCTATTATATGAAATTGGAACCATCGACTAAACTAATATGTTCTATATCGCTTCAAAACCACCCCACTATACACAGCGTAATTATTCATTTCTTCATAAATGGAACCGTATCCAGACAACGCATGACATCTACTCTATACGCTAAATCTATGCCTTGACCAAAAGACTGCGTCCGGACATCTCCTCGGGCTGCTCGATGCCCATGGCAGCCAGAACAGTGGGAGCAACATCTCCGAGAACACCCTCCTCCTTCTTGAGGCTCCAGCCCTCGGGGGCGTTGGCCATAACGAAAGGAACCTTGTTGGTGGTGTGGGAGGTCTTGGGGGTGCCCTTCTCAGTAAGCATCTCCTCGGCGTTTCTGTAAAAAGAAACAATGTTAGCGAGCGCCCCCGTGCATGATCAAGTTAGGAGTTGAACTTACCCGTGGTCAGCGGTGATGAACAAAGTGTAGCCGTGCTTCTTGCAGGCCTCGTAGATGACGCCAATTGCCTTGTCTGTGGCAGCAACACCCTGGATGGCAGCCTCGTAGACACCAGTGTGGCCAACCATGTCAGGGGGGGCGAAGTTGTTCATGACGAACTCGAAGTTGTTCTCGGCAATGCGCTCGGCCGTCTTGTCGCCCACAGCCGCAGCGCTCATCTTAGGGTCCAGGTCGTAGGTGGCGACCTTGGGGGATGGGATCATATCGCGGACTTCGCCGGGGAACTGCTTCTCGATACCACCGTTGAAGAAGAAAGTGACGTGGGCGTACTTTTCAGTCTCAGCAACGTGGCACTGCTTAACCTCCTTCTTGCCCAGCCACTCGGCGAGCACGTTACCCATGTGCTGAGGGGGGAAGGCAACGGGGAAGGTGTAGTCGGTCTTGTACTGGGTCATGGTAGTGATGTGGATGTTCTTGGGGTAAGGGAAGTCGGCCTTGGGGGAGCGGTCGTAGTCACCCAGGAGTTGAGTGATCTCACGAACACGGTCGGAACGGTAGTTGAAGAAGAAGAGGGTGTCGTCATCTATTCTGGTAAGTAACCACTTTCAAAAGAAAAGAGACGGGGACAACATACCCTGCACACGCCTGTCCTTGCCACCAACAATGATGGGCTTCAGGAACTCGTCGGTCTCCTTGTTCTCATAGCGTTCGTTGATGGTCTTGACGGGGTCAGAGCTCTCCTCGCCCTCTCCGGTAACGATACCCTTCATGGCGATCTCAACCCGGTCCCAGCGCTTGTCACGGTCCATGGCCCAGTAACGTCCGACAACGGTGGCGATCTCACCAATGCCAATTTCCTTGGTGTGGTCGAGCAGTTGCTGCATGTACTTGGTAGCACTCTTGGGTTCGGTATCACGGCCATCACCGAAAAAGTGGATGAAGACCTGAGGGATCTCCATCTCCTTGGCGACCTTCAGCAGACCGACCAGGTGGGTGATGTTGGAGTGGACACCACCGTCGGAGACCAGACCCAGAAGGTGCAGACGGCCATTGCCCTCCTTGGCACGCTTGAAAGATGCGACAATGCTGTCGACCTTGCCCATCTCGCCCTTCTTGAGGGTCTGGTCAATGCGAACACTGTCCTGCCAGACGACACGACCGGCACCGATGTTCAAGTGGCCGACCTCACTGTTTCCCATGAGACCCTCCGGCAGTCCAACAGCGAGCGACGAGGCATCGAGTTCAGTGTAGCCCTGAGCGGTCTTCGAGTTGGCTTCGGCAAAGCCGGACATGTAGGGGGTCTCGGCGGCAGCGATGGCATCACCGTCAGCGCGGGAGTTAGGGCCCGCGACACCCCAGCCATCGATGACGACTAGACAAAAGGAGATCAGTAAAAGTGAGCAGGTGGAAGCATTGATGGGTGTGGCTTACTGAGAACGACTTTCTGGTCGACCTTGGTCATTGTTGCAAGATACTGCGTTTGTTGGACAGCCGGTTAGCAGGTCAATTGCGGGGCCGCAAGTAGTCCAACTATATATATACAAGCCAAAAGGGAACGGATAGGACTCACCAAGGATGGGAGATTACGAATAAACAGACGATGGATGGAGAGAAAGGAAGAGAAAGAGAGAAAAGAGAGAAGACGACCAGGCCGTAGTAGAAGACTGACAGGTGGAGAACGAAAAGGCTGGCCGGTGAAGACACTCGCGGTGGGCTTTGGGGGAGGGGGAGGGGCTCCGGTTGCCTTTGCTCGGTTTGGTCGGTTTGCTGCTTTTTTTCCCGGTGACGCTTTGGGACTTGTTTTCTTTCGCTCCGCCCGACGTCACCCTTCTTTTCTGCCCTTCCCGTTCTCGTCCGTTTCCCCCCGGATCTTCCCTAAACAATTACCCAGTGGCCCGATCGAAGTGATTGTCCCACCCTCCCTACTACCCTCTTCCACTCCCGTCTGCAGTTTCGCAATGGCGTCCAGGTCCCCCACGGCTGCCACTCCCTTACCAAAACCATCCGCCGCGCCCGAGACGCCTATGGTGAAGGACGCGCCCGCAGCCCCCCAAGCCGTCCCTTTCCCTTCTCCGCAGACATTTGATATTGTCCCGCCATTGCATGGCCTCCTTCTCCGACTCCTGTCACCGCCAACAAATGCTGCCGGTGTCTCGAATGGCGTGAGGTCTGCCGATGACCCCAACGGAGCTGCAGCCCCTACCAGCGCGCCAGGTCAAGCGCAACAGCAACCCCTTTCGTCCGGAACCGAGAACAACAACACCGTGGTGCTTGCAACAGTCCCTCCGGCCGGTCCAGGCCCCGTTGCGGCCAGCGCTGAAATCGCCGCCTTGGGCTCGAACGCTCCTCCACCGCTTAATATCAAAGACCTTCCGACAGAGGTCAGCTCGATCAAGATCCGAATCCAAAAAGCGCATACAGTGGTGGAAAGCTTGCCAGATGTGGACCGATCGGTTGCTGAGCAAGAGGAGGAAATAAGGGAACTTGAGGATCGGATTGCAAAGCTCAAATCAGTCATCTCCGACTTTGGCAAAAGGGCAAGCCCCGAAAGTGCAAGGAAGACAAGATCTCAGGGACCTTGAGGGTGTGGACGGCAAAAGATGTGATGTGCATGCGACTGTTGGTGTGAATTGCTCGCCGAGCACGTTGAGTTCATGAAAAGGATCTTAACGTAGCCCTTTACGCCGCAATCCTGAAAGGCGCAAACCACATCAGATTCGAACGGAATAACATGGAGGTTCTTGTCGGGGATGGAGTCTAGAGGGACAAATCCTCACACACGAGACCAGTTGAGAAGCCACTGGCTTCGCCCAGCTCGTCTTTACTCAGGTTGCAGATGGCCATGTAGTCAACGCCTGGGATCTCATTGAGGGGGAATAAATCCGACACACTGCTGCTCTTACAGGAATTGTCTTGCTGGGATTATTACCATGAGATCAGTGCCATAGGTTATGGCTTGCCCAGAAGAGATGAATCGGACATTTCTCTGTCGTTCAAGCGGAATCCTTCAGGGCGGGTTCGCTCTGACCCCCTCCAGAGCCACCACGGTCCCCAATGCGAGATGCGGCGTCTTGGGAGCTGCATTTGCTGTTGAGGTAGCCATGGTGGGGCTGACTGATTCCAGGTTGATGATATGGATCTGCGATCTAGAAGCTACTAAGTCCTAGTGAAGTGGATGCGATGACTCATTGATCATTGAAGCAGTTGCTCGTACAGGACTCTTTTTGACTGAGTACAATATCTTTTCGCCTGGGACAACGAGGATCTATAAGCTCGAACAACCTCAGACGCGTATTTAGCTTACACGGTTTTTAAAGATTTTTCCGTAGGCAGAAGAACTCTAAGCTGGAAGAGCCGGTGGGAGAGCAACGTCTGGTTCATGTTCATGGGTGCCATTTCTGATCAGCAGACCACCAATCGGAGTGGCTCTGGTAAGCCAGCTGAATTGACTTTTTCATCTTCCCTCAGCCACCGTATAGTGAGTAATCTGGGATTGTTTCATCTTTCCGTGAGACATGATTTGCGTAATGGGTGAGCAGCCATGATCCTGCTGGGGATCAATTATCAGGGTGTGAGTAATAGACACCACTAAGTAAAAGTATTTCCCCGAGCCGGTGGGCTCCGATGTCGTCCCCCGGGCCCCGAAGCGGTCAAGGCGGGCATTCCCCGTGACCGCCGCCAAACTCAGTCGGGGACTAGTCCTGTCCCAGCGGGGTTCTGCTTTGCCATTCCGTCCTGAGGCAATCTTTTCCCTCCCCCACTTTATCCCTAGCTTTTCCCTCTTAATCCCTCCTTCTTTCCTCTCTTCTCCCTCCCCTGCTTCTTTTTTTTATCCTCAACTTCATTCCCCTCCTTCTTTCCTCCTCCCACATCCCCCTCATACACTCTCACAATGGCCACCTACGCTCTCTCCCCCGCCCACCGGAACGTAAGTCTACTGCTCCGTCGCACAGGTTTCTTGCATTCACCACTGACTCATCGGTTCAGCAAATGGAGGTGTCCCTCGTGGACAGCGATCCTGAGATCGCCCAGATCATGGTACGTTCAGCACAATGCTCATGATTTCTCGGTCACTGGCAGTATAATTCTAACCCCCTCTACAGGAGAAGGAAATCCAACGTCAGCGTGAATCCATCGTCCTGATCGCTTCGGAGAACTTCACCTCCCACGCTGTCTTCGATGCCTTGGGCTCCCCCATGTGCAACAAGTACTCCGAGGGTTACCCCGGTGCTCGCTACTACGGTGGCAACCAGCACATCGATGCCGTTGAGCTTACCTGCCAGGCTCGTGCCCTCAAGGCCTTCAACCTGGACCCCGCCAAGTGGGGTGTCAACGTGCAGTGCCTCAGTGGTAGCCCTGCCAACCTGCAGGTCTACCAGGCCCTCATGCGCCCTCATGACCGCCTCATGGGTCTTGACCTTCCTCACGGTGGCCATCTGAGCCACGGTTACCAGACTCCCGCCAAGAAGTAAGCTGCTTTGGTCTGATCCATAGCTTAGAAACATAGCTGACTCAAGCAGGATCTCCGCTGTCTCTACTTACTTCGAGACCCTCCCCTACCGTGTCAACCTCGAGACCGGCATCATTGACTACGATACCCTGGAGGCCAACGCTGAGCTGTACCGCCCCAAGTGCTTGGTTGCTGGTACCTCTGCCTACTGCCGCCTGATCGACTACGCTCGTATGCGTAAGATCGCTGACAAGGTTGGCGCCTACCTCATTGTCGACATGGCTCACATCTCCGGTCTGATTGCTGCCGGTGTCATCCCCTCCCCCTTCGAGTACGCCGACGTTGTCACCACCACCACCCACAAGTCCCTCCGTGGTCCCCGTGGTGCCATGATCTTCTTCCGCAAGGGTGTCCGCAGCACCGACCCCAAGACTGGCAAGGACATCCTGTATGACCTTGAGAACCCCATCAACTTCTCCGTCTTCCCTGGTCACCAGGGTGGTCCCCACAACCACACCATCACCGCTCTTGCCGTTGCCCTCAAGCAGGCTGCTTCCCCCGAGTTCAAGCAGTACCAGGAGCAGGTCATCAAGAACGCCAAGGCCCTCGAGAACGAGTTCAAGGCTCTCGGCCACAAGCTCGTCTCCGACGGCACTGACAGCCACATGGTCCTCGTCGACCTTCGCCCCAAGAGCTTGGACGGCGCTCGTGTCGAGGCTGTCCTCGAGCAGATCAACATTGCTTGCAACAAGAACTCCATCCCCGGTGACAAGTCTGCTCTGACCCCCTGCGGTATCCGTATTGGTGCCCCCGCCATGACCACCCGTGGTATGGGTGAGGAGGACTTCAAGCGCATTGCCCGCTACATCGACCAGTCCATCGACCTCTGCAAGAAGGTCCAGAGCGAGCTCCCCAAGGAGGCCAACAAGCTCAAGGACTTCAAGGCCAAGGTCGCCTCGGAGACTGTCTCTGAGATCCTCGCCCTCCGCAAGGAGGTTGCTGAGTGGGCCAGCACCTTCCCTCTCCCCGTCTAAATTTTCAATATGATACCATAACATTGTTTCGTCTTTTTGTTTGTATTTTTGATCACGAGTTCAACATCATTGCGTGCAAAAAAGGATTGCCGGTCGGTGCGTTCTAAGGGGTTTATACAGGTCTGCTTTTTCAACCTTACGCGGGTCATGGGATATGGATATGCATGAGCATGTGAATGAACAATAGCACTGGGATGGGCTTCTTCAACACTTCTTCAACAGGGCAGGAAAAGTTCGTGGTTGCATGAGGCTTATGCCTGGTTGTCTGTTACCTACCTATAGGTACTATGAACTAAAATAGAAAGATAATAATTCCTGAGACAGTGCCTTGTAATTGTATATATTGTGGTTGGATGTTCCCTCGTAACAATTTAGACAATGTGTTATACCCTATTAATTATATCCGTATACCATGTCATCATGCCATGACTATTATGCTCCGAAGGGTAGACCCGCACATTTTCCACCCCTCCGTTCACAGTTCAATTCTCTCCTTGCCATGGAACGAATGCGCCGAGCTCTCCTTCCGATTCTCATTCTGGGCCTGCCAGTCTTGAGACATCAATGCAGCTACATTCCTGCCCATCAAGGCGCTTGTTTCCATTGTCGAAATGAAGCTCTCAATCCCGCCCGTGTACCAGATGTGAGGGGCAAGAAGCGGGTCTTCGAACGTGACTCGAGGGTAGACGAATGGGTACGGACGCCAGATTTTCTCGTGGAACCAGCTTACATCACACTTGGACAGATCGCCAATGGTGGCGTTACGGTTGGGTGTCTGCTCGTGTTCGAGGCCGAGAATAGATTGTATGAACTCGGCGGTGAGCCGTTCCGGGGAGAAGACCTTGTAGACATAGTGCGTTCCTTCAGGGGAGTCTGGAGCAATGACCGTCCGAAGCGTACTGATGCTCCAGAAGCCGGCTGGTCCAACGCCTGCTTCGTTTTGGCCTAGGTCGGTCCCGCGAGGCAGTGTGGTGAGAATGGTCTCTGGAGCGTGGGCGTCAGGCTCGGTTAGGCCAAACCGTTTGGGTGAAAGGCGATGGGGCGAGGAGAAGAGGGTAACGTGAAGTGTTACAAATGGGATCTCATCAGGGGTCTTCTCAAGGGGCGGAGTGACGGTGATATCGGAGAATTGCCAGGGACCGGCGACGACGACCTCGTCAAACTCGAGCGTCTCTTCTGGCTTGTTATCTTTGTTGAAGGTTAGCGTTGAGGGGCCGTTGGCATTCCAGTCGATTGATGTAACTGTGTGGTTTAGACGAATGTCAGCATGGGAGGATTTGAGCATTCCATCAAAGATGAGCCAGTTTCCTCCTTCAACGGACATTGCACCCTCGGTTGCCATGCAGACCATTGTCTCGAGGCCGTGGATTAGACCCAGGTTCTGTCCGTAGTTGACACGAGTGCTTGCTTGGATGACTTCACGAGAGAAGTCTGCTGATATGAGGTTCTTCTCAAGGAAATTCTCTCCAGAGACAGCGGTTGTGTTCAGCAGCCCCACTGCTTCCGTAGCCAAAGTGAGGGATTGGAAGGGGAACATGGGCTCGTCGTAGAGTTGGAGAAACTTGTTGACGGTTGATTTCATCAGGCGATAGGTTCGGACTGGTGACCATCCGTACCTCCAAATCAGCTTGGCAACATTCCACCAGGTAGAGGCCTCCTTCAGCACAAATACAAACTGCTCCCCGTCCCAGACGCCGAGCGTGTCTTCTGTTTCTTGGGGTCGGGCACGGTTGGCGCCGCTAACGTGAAGGCCAAGTTCTCTGGATGCGTTAACAAGGTGGTGGTTGACTTTTACGAAGATCGATGCCCCGAGCTCGACTGGAGTTGCTGGGTTGTCGAGAACATTGACTGTGGTTGAGCGACCGCCGACATGGGAAGAGCGTTCGAAGACGGTGATGTTGACGGGTAGCTGCAACGCATCTGCATACTTGCGCAGTGAATACGCCGTGCTGGACCCTGCAGCTCCAGCTCCTTTCAAGAGGTTAATCTTGAGTCCTAAGACCGGAGGGGTGTCTCACCGATTATCGCGACCCTCTTGGGTGGCGTGATCGCTCCGGAGCTCAGAGGATGCTGTTCGGCGGCATTGTTGAGAGGGAAGAAGCACAAGAGTATCAGATAATACACTACATGGACACGAAGCGATGACAAAAGGTACTTGGAGCTAGGAAAGAGATCCATGGATGATGTTTGTTTGCTTTTCAGTTATCAGCGCTAGTGGGTGATCCTATCGACAGATGCAGGAACTCGAAACTGCTGCTTGCTCATGCTATGAAGGTTCAATGCAAAGACACCATTGCTCGATTGCCTCTTACGTAGATGGCTGAGCTGATAAAGGTCTAGAATTGAGCGAGGAGAGGATGTCTAGGAGAGAAGAGGTGCCGATGGATGAGAGACTGTGAGAGACCCTCGTATCGATACCGCCATACCGCTCTAGTCCATATCAGGGCTAGTGGATTCTGGGGCGTATCGCAATTCGCATTTCATCTTTTTTTCCGCTTCCCCTCCATCGCATTCCCCGCTGCTCCTGGTACACGCCTCGTTATCCTTCACTTCTCGTGATTGATCAATCTCGCGCCTCACCATGGATCCCTATGACAGTGACTCCTCCGGCTTTGACGATGACGGAGACTTTACCGAGACCGGCGTGCTGCTGGGCTACGCAGCAGACGAGATTGTAGAGGATACCATCAGCCATCTGGGAGGCTGGCCTGTACGTGCGACTTCAATCCCTCCATTCTCCCACGCCAAACCCACTGACCATTTCAGACCTGGCTCGACAACGCTACCCCGCCCCCCGGCGACTTTGCCAAATGCAAAGTCTGCAGCCAACCCATGCTCCTCCTCCTCGAACTCCACGGCGACCTTCCCAATGACTTCCCCCACGACGAGCGGCGCCTCTACATTTTCTCGTGCCCCAGAAAGCCCTGCAACCGCAAGCCCGGCAGTGTCCGGGCTCTTCGCGCCACCAGAAAGCTGAAGATTGAGCAGCCGCCTCAACCCAAGAAGGAGGAAAAGCCAGAGCCCACAGAAGAGAAGAAAACCGACCCCCCGGCTCCCAAGCAGGATCTTGGAGCCAGTCTGTTCGGCTCTTCCTCTCTCACCGGCAGTGTCTCCGCCAGCGCAAACCCCTTCTCCTCCGGTGCCTCCTCCGGCCTTCCCAGCAACCCATTTGCTGCCCCGGCCCCCTCCCCGGGTCTCTCATCGCAGCCCGCCAAACCCGCACAGACAACCCCTTCATCCACCAAAACACTTTCCGAATCCTTCGCCGACAAGGTCCGAGTCTCCTCCCCACCCCCGACGACCCAGCCCCCCGAAGCCTCCGGCCCGAGTGCGCCCTGGCCCTCGCAGTCCGAGTTCCCGGCGCCCTACACCCAGTTTTACCTGGATGCCGAGTACGAGACCATGTCGCGGCCATCCACTCCCACGATCCCCGCCAACGTCACAATCGATAACACGGAGGAGGAAGGTGCCGGGGGCTCCGGAGAGTTGAAGGATGCCTTTGAATCCGAATTGGACAAGGCATTCATCCGCTTCTCCACCCGACTGGGCCACAACCCTGAGCAGGTCCTGCGCTATGAGTTCCGTGGAACCCCGCTGCTTTATTCCCACGCCGACGCCGTTGGAAAGCGTCTCCATGATCCGAAAAACCCCAGCCCTGGTGCTCGGGTGACCACCGTTGCTGCTTCAAACCGTATTCCCCGGTGCGAGTACTGCGGTAGTGAGCGAGTGTTTGAGTTTCAGCTCGTGCCTCATGCGATCAGCGTGCTGGAGGAGGGAAGAGACGTCGGTCTCGGCCCCAAGGATGATGCCGGTATGGAATGGGGTACCATCATCCTGGGTGTCTGCAGTAAGGACTGCGGTCCCAAGGAAGTGGGTGTGGTCGGATACCGCGAGGAATGGGCCGGCGTGCAGTGGGAGGAACCCACAAAATAGATGATGGCTTACGCTTTACCATAATGTTGACGTTGATGACCATATGCATATAGACATGCGTTGAGCTTTTCTTTCGAATCAAAAGTATATCCTACTCTTCTTTCACCTATTCGGGATCATCAAGTAGGTTTGGTTTCTTCTGTATACGGACAGTGGATATCTTGGTGAAATTATTTTCACGGAGAGAGAAAGAAAAATGAGGAAAATGGAGGAAGAGGAAGACGATGATGATAAACAACCTAGTCATGCAGAAGCAAAACTCAAAACGCCAATTGCGCCAGGTCCGGACTTCCCAACCCTCCCCATGCTGGTCTATCCCCCGTCATCATCATCTTTTTTGGGCTCCGAGCTCGTGTCATGGGTGGAACAATAATGCTACGTCCCGTTTGCTTTTAGCGGTCGTTTTCTTCTTCCAACAAAGACAGGCCTGGGGTGTTGTAACCACCCAGAGTCATCTTCGAGGTAAAATATTAGCAAGAATAGAATAGGGAATCAAGAACGGGTTGCAGTGGGCGGATATTTCTATCTCGCTCATGCAGCCTGCTCGAAACCCCGGCGGATGACACGGCCGAACATCTCGGCGTCGACGCGCTCGCTCTTGACCTCGCTGCGGGCCTCGTTCTCCTTGTTGGTGGGCACCTTGATGACGGTGCCGTTGGGACCGGCCTGGTCAACCTCCCAGCTGCAGACCTCGGCGACGAACTTCTCGAGAGCCTCGCGGCTGCGCAGGTCGAGCCACTGCTCGAGAACCTCGGCGGGGATCTCACGGAAGGTCTTGCCGACCTCGACGGCAATGCGGATGCGCACGAGCTCCTCGAATCCGGCAACGTCGGCAACCAAGTCGGCGTACAGGTCGTCGGAGTTCAGGGTGGACCAGAACTGGGTGTACTGGGCGGACTCGAGGAGGGTGGAGAGGCGTGCGAGCTTCTGGATCGACTCGACGAAGTCGGAGGTCTGGGCGGCGGCTTGGGCCTCGGCGTCGGAGGACTGGAAGGGCTGGGTGTGGGCGGGGAGCAGAGCAAGGCAGAGGGAGAAGGCAGGAGAGGGGAAGACGGTCAGGGCCTTGACGAGGATGTTGGTGACGGTCTCCGGCTGGAGGAGGTGAGGGTTGAACTGGTAGCTGGTTGGAGGCGTGAAGGGGTTAGCACATGTCACGACGAGGCGTGTGCGATGACCAGAAGGTTGGCATGGATGGTTATTTCAGGAGAATTGCAAGACTCGACATTCCCCAATTGTAGGGTGTCAGGTAATAGGAAACGTGATAATGATAAGAATTCTTCATCATATAAAACCAATTCGGTTCCCCCGCGTCGGAGCTTTCTTTTCGGCTGATTGTTTTGGGCTGGAATGAATAGGCGCAAGCACTCACAGTTTCAGCAGGGCCAGGTTGGCGTAGCAGTCGAAGGTGCGATCCTCGCACTGCTGGGCGACATAGTCCTGGAAGACGGTGGTGGTCTCGGGGTTGTAGCGGTCCAGACCGTTGAGGATGACATCGATGTTGGCCGGGCGGGTCTCGCACTTGTCGAAGGTGACACCCATCTTGACGGAAGAATTGATGACGAGTCGGGGAAGAGGGGAAGGTGAGGGTGGAGGAGGAGGAGGAGAGGAAGGGAGGGGAAAGAGCAGCGGAATGGAGTCGATGTCACTTGGCCGGCGGCTTTTGGTGGGATTTTTCGATTGTGTCGCTGTGCGGCTGCCCGGCCATCGGATCCCCAACTCGGTTAGTTTGTCCGGAGCGCCTGAGGCATCACATCATGCATCCATTCGTTCATCCATTCCATCCAATGTTACTATATCATTCAGCCGACCGGTCGAAACTATCTGAATCCCAGACAATGTGGCTGATTGTCTCATCATATGATGTAGGGAAGCACAGTCCCCGGCCCCTGAGGAGGAATCTCCAACTCCGGGTCGTATCACTCGGGCCATGTAGGGATAGGCCGTGGTAGGGAATCCCCCGGTGGATTTGGCCCGTGGTAGGTATAGCCCGGGTAGGGGTTCGCCGTATATAAGAAGACAACCAGGCTGTGGTGTGGGTGCCATGCAATCATTGGCATGCATAGAATCTTCTCTCTATTCCCTCAAGCCGGCATTTACATATCCAGGGCTTGACAAACCATACTCGGCCTAACGACCCTCGGATACAATCCCACACACGATGGATGTCGTGCTCGATATCCTCGACACCCTTGCCTTTGATCGGGTATATGCCTCGATCCTGCCAGGGAACAGTACCCCCGAGCTTGACACCACGCTCCTCAATCAACATGTCGGCCGTTATTATCCTCTCCAACCTTCTCAATGGGCGGATGCCAGCAGTTGGAAGCGAGATCATCTTTCAAGACAAGCGACCTCCCTATTGTTTATCACATGGTAGGTCATGGAACCATTCTGGACAAGCGCTCCAGCTGACAGCTTATGATTAGGTTCTTCGGTATGGCCATATACTTCATCGGCAGCACCATCTTTTACCACACATGGTGGGACAAGTCCCTCCTCAAACACCCACGATTCCTAAAGAACCAAGTTCGTCTGGAGATAGAGCAAGCCCTCTTCTCTATCCCCATTATGGCGATTCTCACGGTTCCCTTCTTCCTGGCCGAGCTCCGCGGTTGGTCCAAGCTGTACGACCTCCCTGACGAAGCTCCCTTTCCGGCGTACAACTGGCTCCAGTATCTATTCTTCCTGGCATTCACCGACACGGGGATCTACTGGATTCATAGATATGAGCATCACCCCTTGGTGTATCGCTGGTTGCACAAGCGGCATCACAAGTGGCTGGTGCCGACGCCTTTTGCGAGCTTCGCCTTCAATCCGTTTGATGGATGGGCACAGAGTCTCCCGTATCACATTTTCCCAATGCTGTTTCCATTGCAGAAGGGTGCATATCTGGGGTTGTTCGTCTTCGTGACATTGTGGACGGTTCTGATCCGTAAGTGTTTGACTTGCTATTGCAGATTTCCTCTAATAGCGTATAGACGACGCCGACTGCCTGTCTCATTCGGCCATTATCAATGGCCCCGAATGTCATACCTTGCACCATCTCTTCTTCAACTATAATTACGGGCAGTTCACAACTTTCTGGGATCGAGTTGGGGGCACTTATCGGAAAGCCCGCGGGGATGAGTTCAAGATGGTCAAGAGTCAATAGGTGAGGTCGGTTGGGGCCATTTGTAAGATAATCATGACGATAAAGTGTAAACTGTACATATTTTTAGGATAACAGTAATTATGCCCTACGGGGGGCGTCAATATTCCGGATGAAGTCGTTCAAGTTCTCCAGATCATCGGTTGCAGTGTTTTCCAGATACCGAAGGTTCACCTCTCGCCCACTGGCGCGGTCAAGCGTAGCAGTCAGGAGCCACCAGAGTTCTTCGGCATGTTTGGGATACCCCAAGTGGTGCAATCTCTCCTTTTCCACGATGCTGGAGAGGGAATTCCAGATGCTTCGCCAATTCTCGACGGCACGTTTCATTGGGTTCGTGGATACCCATCCAAACAAGCCCGTCCGTGCTTGAAACGCAAGAGAGTGCATTGCTATCCGCTTAGCTTGATGAATTTGGGTAAAATCAGAGAGTAAAACATACCATACATCAGGATCAACAGATGCTCGCCTACTAGTGAGCGACTCCATTGAACCAAGTCTTCAGAGGCGTTCTCGTCGAGCAGGCGTGTGATGAATACCCTCAAAGAAGGAAGCGGACGCTCCGTGGTATGAGAAGCGATCTCGTTGAAAGAGGACGCGTTCTCGGCTTCAAATAATGCGGATCTCCAAGGGAACTCACAGTCCATTTCGAAAATTGACAGTGTGGGATGATTGTTGAAACAAACCGTGAGGAACCCGTCCGCAAGAAAGGCCCAACAAGCGACTCTGATCTCGATGAGAAATGTTCGTGCCTCACCAGATGGAACATACCTGATACAGACTTCCTCTGCTACTGCCGCTTTCCACGTTTCATCATCATATAATTCGGATGTTACGCTTCTCTTGGACTGGAAGATCCCCAAGGACCGTATTGTGGAGATGACACAGGGATGTCTGATTATTCGAATGCGTCGTCTTGTGCCTGTTTCGCCTTGTCCGAACTGAAGCATCTCGATAACTAGAGCTCCCTGGATTATTTCCAAAGACGGTACCAGGTTAGGACCGGCCGGGTAGGGTGTCGTCGATAGATTGGCTAGTTGGCGAAAGATATACTCTTCGGCTATGTCAAGTACCTTGCTTGCAAAGGTTGGTCCATCTTGCGAGGTAGTATACATTGCTCCTGCTAAAAATATCGAAAGGAGGAGTGGATTCGAAATTTTCCCGGGATCAAATGTCGGAAAATGTACGATTGGGAGATGCCAATGAAGGGACTGGAAGTAAGCTGAGATAAAGACGGAAAGGTTGGCTATGGTAAAGAGCGAGGCCAGTTCTGCCACATCAAGTTGGCTCGCGTTGGCTAATTCCATTGAGTTCGATGTTCCGACCAAGTTGATCATGATGTCGCTAAGTTTGTTGGAGATTGTCGAGGATAATGTACTTTCAGGTAGGAATTCCATAGAGAGTTGTCCACTCGGCACGGACAGAGGCTGAACAAACAGGTCGGGAACTGAAAAGCCCGGCATATAATCTGATATCGAGTCGATAGGCAAGAACGGCTCCTGGAAAAATAGCGGGTCAAGATTCCTCCTAGCAGAGCGCTTCGCCGTCTCTGCAATTGCGAGCTTGTCCTGCTTAATGGAAGGATCAGAGAAGTGTGCAAGGAAGAAGAACGGTTCATCTCTCCGCGACAGTGATGTAGAGGGTGAACCAGGTGTCGAGCAGTCCGTGGAAGGGGTTGATCGATCCCCAAAGGAACACTGCTTCCCGAGGGACTGGCAACGAGAGCATGGCGAGTCTCTGTCACACGCGGCTTTTGCTGAGAAGCATTCATCACAGGACTGCTTTTTCCGCCCCGGTTTAGCTGCTGCTGGAGGAGGCTGATTGTGCTTTCTGGCACATGTTTTACTATGTCTTCGTGCAACTTCTCTGCAGATACGTGAGCTTCCAGTATTTTAAGAATGAAGCGAGGTGGCATACCTTTTCAAGAAGGATTTATTGCAAAAGGGGCAACTTGAATAGGAGGCACCGGTATCTGTAGCTGTCAGCCAAGTTCTCTTGAAAGGGTGGCTCAAGATCCTGACGTGTCACCTCATGCCGGTGCAAATGACTCTTTCTTTGGTAGGTTTTGTTGCACTGAGAGCATTGAAACATGATGCTATAGCCATCCTGTCTGATGGGCAAGATGGAGGGATGGAGAGATGACGAGGATCGTTCGACTCGAGGCTCCGAGTGCTCCGACCCTGCCGCTTAGTAATCTTCAAGAGCCCTACCTATGTATGAACCTCTCTCACTCGATGTTGTTTCTTTTCGGGTGAGTTGGGTGATTTGAGTGTGTGTTTGTCATTGATGCCCGAAATTTTCGACGTAGCTTCTGTTTGTTGACAGGACAAACACCCCTCAACGTGCGTCATGCTCCTCAATCAATAGCCTCTGGACTTCCGTGTGACGATTGCGCCTTTCCATTGTTGTGTCGAGGAGTATCTCTAATCTGTAAAGCTTATCACTTAGTCTGAGTATAATCTCATTTTCCTTTGCGTGGTGAGTCTGGGTTGAGCAGCGAGGGGTATAGTGGAGGAACCCGGGAACTAGAACGTCCGAAGAATCAAACATGAGAGAAAGAAAACCAGGAAAAAGAACACATCACGTGTGTGCGGGGGTTCATAAACTATCCAACTATAATCAACATTCCTTGCACGCTATGCGACGTGTCGTGGAATAATCCGGCCAGGGATGAGCTGCAGGCGACTCCGCATTGATGATCTTCCCCCGCGGGGAAGAGTCCAAAACCCCAGGCTCCAGTCCACCTGGGGATTTTCGCTGTCCCTCTCATCCCTGATCTTGTTTGACTCACCATTTCACTGAGGCTGGTTATTATGAGACTCTTCACGATGTGCGCTGGCAATCGGCTGGTGCCCTTGTTATTAACGTTATCCAGGGTCATCTCGGCGCAGGTGGACTATTCTCAGTATGTGAATGCTTTTATGGGATCGGAAGGCCCGAATCCAGGCCAAGGGTATGGAGGGGGCGATATCTTCGTAGGTGGTGCTCGGCCCTTTGGAGTAGCAAAAGTGGGAATCGATACCACAGCTGCAAACTGGAGTCTCGCGGTTCTGAATGGAGGCTGGACGCCGGATGGGAATGTCACCGCAGTCAGTAGGTGCTTCTCATCTGTGTACAGCTTCTTGTCTCACCTCGTTCTAGGTATGATGCACGAAAGCGGAACCGGCGGCGCCCCCAAGTACGGCCTGATTCCCCAGATGCCTCTTACCTCTGTCGGGTCCCCGGTGAATCTACTCGATAACCTCACTTATAGCCAGCCCAGAGTATGACCCACACCTTTGAATGTTATATGTGCATACTCATGAGTAATAGGTCGGTAATGACTCAGCCAGCGTGGGCTACTTCAAAACCTCACTTCAGAATGGTGTGCAAATCGAACTGTCAGCCAGTCGACATGCCGGGATCATTCAGTATTCCTTCCCTGAAGGAGAAAAGCATGTTCTGGTCGATATTTCCCACGTACGGGTGCCATGATGAAGTACTGGATTAGAGCTGACTCGTGCAAGTATCTGCCCGGATCACCCGGCGATTCCAACGGCCAGTTCTATGTCGGCGGAGAGATCCAAATCGAAGATAGTGGGAAAGCATACACCGGGTATGGAACGTATGTTGGTGGCTGGAATAATGGTCTGTCTCTCTCCCAGCGGCGTGAGCGATGCTGATAGAACTATTCAATAGGCGCCCCCTTTACAGTCTACTTCTACGGCGAGTTCTCTACGGCACCAGAGACAGCTCGTACCTTTACAGGCACCAATACAGATCCAATGCCGCGCTATCAGAACCTGGCAAATGGAGGCATCTCTCAACCAACATATGGCAATGTCTCTGGTAAAGCAACCTCGGGGCCTATGAATGACCGCATTGGGGCGCTTTTCAGCTGGGACACGGGCTCAGCTACCCAGATCAGTTCTCGGGTGGGAATATCTTTCATATCCACCGAAAAGGCTCGCTCGTACATCACATCTGAAATCCCTTCCTGGACACTTAACGACACCGTGCAGTCTGCTGTTGACGAATGGAACCAAGATGTCTTTAGTAAGACTCAGGTATCTCTCGACAGCACAGCGAACATGACCCGTGTGCGATTGCTATATAGCTCTCTCTACTTTATCCACTTGATGCCATCCGATCGGACGGGTGAAAATCCGCTTTGGCAATCTGACGAGCCTTTCTGGGATGACTTCTATACACTCTGTTAGTATACTCTTGCATATTGGAGAGTGACATTGACCGTGCCTAGGGGATATATTCCGCTGCACAGTCAGTTTCTATCACATCTACCAGCCCACTTACTACGAGTCCATGATCCGAGGACTGATTGACATATGGAGGTGGGTAAATACAAAACACGTGGAGTAGACGCTAACGTGCCACAGGCATCAAGGCTTCCTCCCAGATGGCCGCTCCGGAAACTGGAATGGACTGGTTCAAGGTGGTTCCAATGCGGACAACGTGCTCGCAGATGCCTATGTGAAGGGTCTGCGAGGTGCGATCAATTGGACGGATGGCTATGCCTCAATGAAAACAAATGCAGAAGTTGTTCCTTATAACACGTGGGATGCTACTGACCTTTCTGCAAGTACAAAGGAAGGTCGTGGTGCCTTGGATGACTGGTTAGAACTTGGATACGTCTCACAGGATCGAAACACGCGCTGCATTTCTAGGACTGTGGAGTACAGTCTCAATGACTTTGCTGTGAGCCAGGTCGCCGCCGGAGAGAAGCCTAGCGACCAGGAAAAATACCTCAATCGGTCTGCTGGTTGGCAGTATATATGGAACGCAGACGTTCAGAGCCTGAATTTTACCGGCTTTCTGGCGCCGAAATTTGCAAATGGCTCGTTCAACAATAGCGGGTATGATCCTCGTTACTGTTATGAGTGCGAATGGCTCGCATATACGTATGAGGGTGTTCCCTGGGGTAAGTCAATCACGGATGCAGGTATAGCTGGTTTGACAAGTCCATTAGAGTACTCGTTCGTGATACCGCATGACATGGAGGCGTTGATAGATTTCATGGGTGGAGCAGACACTTTCGAGTCCCGACTGGACCTTCTAGTAAGTACAAGTCTGCCTGAATGTGACATACTAACAACTCAGTTCGAACCAAATATGTCCGTTCAGAACCTCGGAGCGAACGGTGCTGGCATCACAACGATCATCAACATCGGGTAAGCATTACCACGATGATGCGCCATGAGGCTAATCATTGCAAGGAACGAACCCGATTTTGCAACTCCATATCTATACAACTACATCAACAAGCAAGCCAAAAGCGTCGAAAAATCCCGGAATCTAGGGTATCAGTAGTAAGTGGTCCAACCCGGTGAACTTTACCTGCTAAGAAGATAGCTTCCGCGATGAGCCCTACGGGGTCCCAGGGAATAGCGATGCGGGGGCAATGAACTCGTGGCTGTTGTGGCAGATGTTGGGAATCTATCCCGTTGTCACGCAACCAGTGTACCTCCTCGTCTCGCCCTGGTTCCCGGATCTCAACATGACCATCAGTGGAAATCAGACGCTGCGTATCACTGCGAGCGGAATGGACGAGGGTTACTATGTACAAAGTGTGAGGATCAATGGGCAAGCCTGGACCAAGAATTGGTTTGAACATGACGATGTCATGACCCAGGGCGGCACAATCGAGTTTGTCCTCGGCCCGAACATGACGGCCTGGGATACTGGCAGTGTGCCGCCATCCCCGGGACATCGGAGGATATGATTCCTGATGCCGAGTTATCTACGGTTGGACTGCTATTTGGTATAGACGGGTAGCTCAGGTACACCCGATCCGGTAGCTCACAATCTGCCATGTTGGATATTAGAGTGTGAAACCATAAATATCACCTACCTAGCATCTTCATAATAAGTCGACTCCTCATCTTCTGTGCCACCAAAACCACATCCGATCAAGTCCTCACTCATTGTGAAAATCCTTACACCCACCAAATACCCCAATAAAGGTAGGAATCATTCCATCCAATTCCTGATATTCAATCATATGCCAATCGGCGATTATTTCCGCGCGGCCCATCCACAGGGCACAGCCTAAGCACGACTACAAAAGCATGGAACACACCAATGACAAACCCCTTCACAGGAAGTAAGCACCAACCCACCAAAGCCAATTCGACTCCCATCGTCTGTCATTGGCAGCATCCCATCTCAAGAACCAGATCCCGCCAGGAGAGATGGAGATCGCTGCTCCATCCGGCCCGCGGGAAAAGACGTGTGATTGACGTCAACGGGAAGCCATTCCCTCCACCAAGGAAGATAACCATGCGATATTATATTTCGGGGATAGATATATGATGGGGGCGTTCTCCTTTAGTATTTTATTCCCATCGCCCCAGCTCCAATAGCCATACCCTCAACCCTTCCACATCGCAGCCATGGTAAGTATACCCCTCATCCACGGATGAATCTCAAGCGGGACCCACCAAACCAACCACCCACCCGAACCTATCTAACACGTAGTACCCCCAGGCACCACTTTCCCCTACTACCCACCTCCTCTACACCCGCGCCGACACCAACTGCCCCAACACAATCTCCGGAGGCGGCATCGCCGGCATCGTGTTAGGAACAATAGCCGGCACATTATTAATTCTATGGCTATTCCGACTCTGCGCGGTGGATGCAGGCGGGGATTCAGATTACGGGGATACGAATCTGGCCACCACGACGCGGACGAGACGGCGCAGACGACGAAGTCCGACGTTTTATTATGTGGAGAAGCCGAGGGGGGAGGTTAGGAGGCCGGCGAAGGTTTATTTGAGTTGATGGGGGTTTATGGGTTGGGTGGGTGGGATGGGTGGATATAATGATATGATGAGATGATATGCATGAGTATGAGGTTATGTGTATGGAAGAACTAATATTTATTGGAGGGAAACTCTGAAGAGTTATAAATCAGATTTGTACATGTCGGGGTGGTGATGAGATCTCATTGTCATTCACAAACCTACACATTGAAGCCTTTAGTGAGAAAAGGGAAGTAGTACGGAGTAGGCGCGTCGGAATTTACAGCAGGCCTATTACCAATACCTTATTGCAATCATGGCCGTTATTTTGCGTAGACATAAATCGTTGCTTTTCATTGCTTGGCTCGCTTTATTCGTGTGGATTTTTGCAAAGAGCCGTCTGTCTATACTAAGCTTACTTTCTGTCGCATGGTCTGTAATTACATCCGGTTATGGAAAAGTCAAATCCTGTGTATTAAAAGATACAGGCTAGTTACAGCACGTTATACTCCAGATTACCTTCTTCAAATGTGAGTAGTTTAAATGTTAAGGGGCAGGTGGATATATCTTATTTAGATTTATAGATAGGCTTTAATTATTTGTACTACTTAACCTGACAGCTCGATACTAACTATCTAGTCAATTCACTTCTGAAAATCTGGTGGACCTGTTCTACTAGTCCAGTCCCCGTCTAGCGCCAGGCAGGTTATCAGGTTTTGAAACATTGCTCTTGCACTACATCAGTCCGGTGGCTAGCGGTGTATCTATGTAAGAATGATGCTGAGCTATCGGTGCACAGATCTTTGTGACTACTACACAGGTAACTGACGGATAGCTCATTATCCTATTATTCTGACATTATGAGTTTGCAGCACCTCCATTCAATTTGGGATTCTTCCTTCTTTCTTAGGTCGATGATGGTCCGCGAGTGTTCGGGAGGTCATGATCTCAAGTTGTCTTGTGGAAGGTCTTGTATTGGGATTTGTGCATACAGTTTTTTGAGTTTGATGTGACTATCATTTCAAATCAATTATCCTCTTGGCGAGCAGAATGCATAGACTATACAAATCTTCCTTCATTTGGTTCAGGTAGTTGGCCGAAAGATGTTCGATTCGAAATACTTCCCCTGCATAATTTATTGTTGATGCATCAATATGATTCTGCTCCAGCCTCAAGCCATATCAATGATGTAGGAGTCATAAGAGACCAATTAATCCTACCCCGCTGTCACTCCCGGATAAATATTCCCCCTTGAAAGCACAACAGCTGATTGGACAGAATGCATCCGTCAATAATGGCCTCATTTATACGTCTTACTTTCATCTTGTAGATTATCAGGTGATATCAAAACATTGCATATCCGAGTCTAAAAGTAACAAGCTAATACATACACCCAGGTACTAACCTCCCGTCACCAACCACCTATCCTCATCCTAACTAACAACCCAGCATCATACACGACATCTCACACCTATTCAACGATCGATCACCTCGGCAATAACATGTCCAACCCCAAACACCCTCCCAAAGCAAACCTCCTCACCCTCCCCCCCGAACTTCGCACCCCCATCTACACCCACCTCCTCACCCTCCCCCACCCCCTCCACATCTTCCAAGACCCCGAGCTCTTCGCCCCCGCCAAACCCCCCGCATGGCTGGCCTTGATCTACACCAATCGCCAGATCTCCATCGAAGCTCGCGCAATCCTCTACGGCGCGCATCAGTTTATCTTCGAGGAGATTGAGACCGCGCGGCGGTTACCGAGTCTCGTGGAAGCGTTCCTGGGGTGTATTGGGCCCGTGAATGCGGGATATCTGTCCCATGTGAGCATCAATTTTCCGGCTACTGAGCGGGTGGATGGTCTGTTAGGGAAAGTTAGGATTCGGGAGGATGGACTACGGAGGTTAGATCTGCTGAGGGGGTTGTGTACGGGGTTGAAGACGTTGGAGGTGGTGGTTTATGGTCGGGAGGTGAGCGGGTTGCTTGGGGAGGATCAGATGGAGGATCGCTTTGTTAGAGAGGTGTGGGTGGATGTTGATAGGCGGGTGAGAGGGATTGGTTCGTTGAGGAAGAAGATGGTTAGGGTTTGTGGGGGAGTGATTGACCCTTCCGTACGGGGGTTTTTGGAAGGGTTGGGATGGGTGGTTTTGATGGGTAACTTATAGATGTCTCTGAGATTGGAGGTTGATTTACATAGATCTGTACTTCGGGTTCTAATGCTGGCAGTAGTAATGCAGTCGCCAAGCCGGACCAGCTCGCTCAGCTACTATGAATATCTCTCCTCGTGTACTCCATTCATCAACCTCGGGTAGTGGTAGGAACCACAGCTCGGCAGTCCATGTCAGTCACCCAGTGGAGAGGAATGCTTGGCGACTCTGAAACACCGCACCACCTGCATTTTGTAGCGGTGTACTGTCTCATGCTGAATGCATTCCTGCCCCGATTTGCATGTCTGCATCCCATGCTGATCTTCATTTCTTTCGAGTCTACTGTGTTGGGGCTGCGAACGCTGCAAGTGTTGGTTCCCCTGACGGGCGCAAATTCGCCGCCAACACAGCACCGGCCTGGTGCTGGGGCCAGGACTGGACCCCCAGCCGGTCCCGCTATTAGTTCCATGGCTGGGTCGAGTCCCTGGGATTTGGACGGGCCAAGACCCTTGGCTGGTGCCTACAGCCTAGGACAGCTGCAGAAGCAAGGTGACACTGCTTGCTGTGTGCTGCATACCATGCGTGTCCCATGTGTGTCCAGATGTGAGGAAGATTCCCAGGTGGCAATTCCTACCATCCCTCGTACTCAACTGGGGAGAAATCCAACGCTCCCTGAGCTGCTCAGCTGACACAGCTTATCGCAGCTTGGCGGGTACAAGCGACCCTTTCCCGGAGTGGCTAGTGTCAGGGTCAGGGACCCGGCTAGTGGCCGAATCCGAGTGGATCGACAGCACCCTAGTCTGTATGCAGGTTAGTGTCCCCCTAGTCGGGCGATTTCCTGTTTCAAAGTGCCCCTGAATGGTTAGGGCCGAACTAGTGACGTCCAATCCTGCAGCGGCAAAGCGAGACATCCAGTCCGGGTTTAAAAATAAGAATTCGGCGGATGGGGGACGAAAAAAGGGAACGCTGCATACAATCATGGGGTTAATTAAAGGAAAACGTCGCCCTCTACTGAGCCGTCTTCCTTCTTTCTCCCACATCCCTTCTTCGGGTGGGCTTCATTCATTCCTCGTGCGACTATCGCACTGCCATTCTTTTGATTCGTCATTAACTGTCACTCTTTGGCTTGTCCCTATTCGACTAGCAGCTATCTGAGAACGGCGTTGACCCGCAGTTGACTTGCTCTTTTGATCCTTTTGATCCTCGAACCCGGGGCCTGATCAGGATGTCGCTCTTTTATGCCCTGGCCCTTCTGGCCAACCTCTGTCTGGTGACCGCGCAGACCTTCACCAACTGCAATCCCATGAACAAAACCTGTCCCGCCGACCAAGCCTTAGGCACCAACCACACCTGGTATTTCAACAGCACCCTCGATGACACCATTTGGAATGTCACCAATGGCGAAATCGCCTACACCGATGAAGGCATCAACTTCACCATCGCCAAGAAGATGCAGTCGCCCACCATGCAATCGAACTTCTACATCTTTTTCGGCATCGTCGAATCCCACGTCAAGATGGCCAAGGGGGGCGGGATCGTCAGCAGTGTGGTGATCCAGTCGGATGATCTGGACGAGATTGACTGGGAGTGGGTGGGATACAACACGAGCGAGGTGCAATCCAACTACTTCGGCAAGGGCAACGACACGTCCTTTGGCCGGGGTGGCTTTCATTACGTACCCAACGCCGACACCGAATTCCACAACTACACCACCTACTGGACGAGTGACAAACTGGAATGGTGGATCGATCAGCAATTGGTCCGCACCCTCAACTACGCCGATGCCGTGGGGGGCAAGAACTTTCCCCAAACCCCCAGCAACATCCGCTTCGGCATCTGGCCCGCCGGCGATCCCAGTCAGCCTCTGGGCACCATCGAGTGGGCGGGTGGTGAAGTCGACTACGACGCGGGTCCCTACAACATGGTGGTCGAAAAAGTCCGCGTCCATGACTTTCACACGGGCAAGGAGTATGAATACACGGACCACTCCGGTTCCTGGGAGAGCATCAAAGTCGTTTCGTATGTTTCCAACCCTAAATCCCAGCGTATCCATCTACTAACTCAACCAGGGGCAACTCCACCACCGTAAAAGAGCTCAACAAAACCCCCCCGAAATCCCTCTCCCAGAAATGGAACGAGCTCCCATCCGGCGCGAAAATCGGCATCGGCTGTGCCATTGCCGCCGTCGGAGCCAGTGCCCTCGCCGGATTCATCTTCTTCTGCCTGCGACAGCGCAAGACGGGCCGTCTCGAGCACGCCCTAGACGACGCCAAGTGGAACACGGAACGCACCGAGATGAACAACTACCAGTCCGAGTGGAAGCAAAGCGAATGGCGACACAAAGGATATCAACCGGTCCAATAGCCCGAGACACCCCCACCTTGTGTCCATGATGAAAACGAATTTTCAACCCAAACCCGACCCCGTGGATTGCACTGATGCAGACCGTGCCAGCTTGCTGGCCAAGGTCGCGCGGGCTGCTGGAACTTTTGAGCTGTTACCTCTGTCTATATCATGCCTGCTGTCATCCAGGGATTGCTTGTTCTTGTATATATTTGAATCACGAATACATTTGGCCATATCTCTATCATCTCTGTCCACTTTCAGCTGCGTGGGTTCAATTTCCAATTGACACCGCAATGGGATAGTATTCACCCAGGAATAGGACTATCCTATCTTATCTTCCAAGACACCTTCCTTTATGACATAGCGGCTCGCTCTGACATTTCAATGCCGATGAAATACCAGTAAAAGGCTGATCGCAGTTAAAGCCGGTGCCGTCTCTTACTATCTCTTTCACTACCTTCCCACACAATGAGACAGTCCCTTGAAGCAACCTCTCCTTGACTTCAACCATCTATCTATTTAGTATTTATGCATCTGTCTATCTATCTATCTACCTATCTATAGTCGGATGTTAAGACAAGACACTCATGACCGGTACTGAGCAAAAGGGAATCGAGAATAGAAAAAAAAAAGGAACATGGACGTTGCTAGCGGGGATATTTTGGCATCGCGATACCCGTCTTGATTGTCGAGTTTGTTGGTAGGGTGGGGATTGTGTAGCCGAGCTAGTTTTAATAGTATTATCTTCAATGCTATTCTTACTTGGGCTAGTATCTTATTCTCTCATTATATAGATGTGTTGTACAAGGGTATTGTATATAAGGTGGCTTACGCCCCATTGATGATCTCATTGGCGATCTTCTCCGCCAGCATATCTGTGACTGTTAGAATAGATCATCATCTTGTGGAAGGAGAACACTCACAAACTGTCGATTGAGGATGTCCAGGGGGCAAGAACGGAAACGCAGAGGCGTCCACGACCCGCACACCCCGGACTCCATAGACACGAGCCTGGCTATCCACCACCGCCATCTCGTCATCAGACGTGCCCATCTTGCAGGTGCAAGAGGCATGCCACAGGGTCATCACATTGTCCTTGATCCACTGCAGGATCTGCTCGTCGGACTGCACCTGAACACCCGGGAAGTATTCCTGGCCAATGATGACCGGCGCCATCGCCTGACTCTGAAAGGCCGCGCGGACGCGCTTGAACATGGCAATGGCAACTTCCTGGTCCGCCTGAGTGTCCAGCCAGTTGGGGTTGATGACGGGCAGATCGGAGGTATCGGCAGAGCGCAGGGTGATGTTGCCTCGGGAGGTAGGGGTGATGAGCACCGCGAGCATTGACGCATATTGATAGCCGTCTTTGGGCTGAGTGGTGAGCAGGTTGGACAGGTTGCCAATGTACCCGGCTCCGGAGATATACTGCACCTGGTTAGCGCGATCTATAACCTGATGTACTGTTCATACCTCCGCTTCGGGCCAGTCACTGGGAAAAGTGGCCAGCTGCTTCGTAGTCTGGCTGCTGAATGCTGACCGCAGGCTCGCCGGAATCTTCTCCCAGGCCAAGTAATCGGCGATTGGGTTGGTAAGTGGTCCTGTGCGCATCGCAACCATGTTGAGGAACTGTCCAATGATGCCCAGGAGATCCGTGGCGATGGCAGTGAAGGTCTGCACATTGACCCGGTACGACGGCGCAAAGAACGGGTGATCCCACATGTTCTGACCGACGCCAGGAAGGTTGGAGATGATGCTGATACCGTGCTCTTCAAGTTGGTCTTGCGGACCAATTCCAGACACCATGAGCAGCTGGGGAGATTGAAAGACACCGGCAGAGACGATGACTTCCCGGTTCGCTTTGATGGTGTAGATGTTGCCCATGGGGCCCTTGACCTGCACACCGGTGGCCTGCTTCTGGTTGTTGAAGAGGATCTTCTTCGCCAGCGTGTTGGAATACGTAGTCAGGGTGGAGGGCTTGTTGGCTAGGAACGACGCCTCGGAACTACTCCGCAACTCGCTGCTGGGGTCGATGGTTGACGCGCAGAACTGGCCACCCATCAGCGAGCCTAGGTTGAAGTCTTCTGCCTCCTTAATTCCGATTTCCTTCATACCAAGGTCCATCCACGTCGAAAAGGGCATCGCGTAGTTCGCGTAGGACACTTTCAGCGGACCGCCAGTAGATTCATACGCACTGGCATCGTAGGAAGCGGACGCATTCTTGGCCCGAACTTGGGTGTTTGGGGGCGTGAACTTGACACTGTTCTTGTAGTATGGGAGCACCTGATCGAAGGCATAGCTGCTATCGTTGACGGCATTGGCCCATTGCTCCATGGACTCGATGGTAGGCCTGTTTCATTAGCAACGTCACACCTTAGTAGGTGAAGACATACCGTTGGTAAATCATAAAGTTCATTGCAGAGCTACCACCCCAGCACTTCCCTCGGGCATAGTGAATGGACCGGCCATTCGCGCCCGGCACATCTTCAGCCACGAATCCCCAGTCATGAGCAGCCGATGTTTTAGGATCGGATCCGACTGGGAGCACGTCCGCCGCGGGCACCTCGGCCACCGACTCGAGCTCATACGATCCGCCAGCCTCGATCACAGCGACCTTGAAATTCTTCTGCGCCAGTCGAGTGGCAATGGTATTTCCGCCAGTGCCACCACCCACTACCACATAATCGAAATCGGGATTGGAGTCAAATAGGCCACGTTCGTGGTTTGAAAGAGTGTCGGCAATGGTCCCGGTGACCATGCACTGCAAAGCGAGCGACAGAAGAACACGACGTATCATCTAGACGGTCAGACGGATTTCATCAAACTTGAACAGGACTTACAATGAGCGTATGGAAAGAATGACTTGTGACGCAAAAGAATGACGCGCCTCGCGATGGCAGACATCGCTCACCCGGACTCAGGGGTTATATATGCCACATACTTTCACCCCATGGCCGACCACGGAGCTCCCTGCGATGGGACTAGGTTTCAGATGCTCGACCCCTATCATGATTGATGCTCAAAACCATGATGAGCGACACGGACGTAGAGTTCGTGGTGCTAGTATGGGGCAGGGTGAAACGGCCATGGGAGGAAGTGGGGATTACCGGTCGGAGATGGGCGAGTTTAAGGCATGGCGGCCTCAATAATCGGGCGGCGGCGCAAATTTGGGTCGCCCACATGGCTGCCCCAGCAATAAATAGAACACAGACCCGTTGGTCGAAGTTAATGTTGGTTGCTTTGAGGGACAAAGTATTTGGTGCATTGTTTGTGATGACTGGTGACTCCCGCACGTTAGGGCTTCAAACGGCCAGCATGCGTACCGCCTGCGCTGGCCATTATCTGGTGGCCTGCCTGTCTTCTGAGATGAGGATCGTCCACGATCCCATGTCCAGCGGATACTGTACTCATGTCTAGATATAGGGTAGATTACAGGGCACAACCCGACTGAACAAATATTTGGACATGATCCTACTCCGTGGAGCTTGCAGAACAATTCGCGCATTCAGGTCATAATCTTGATGCTGTCTGGATAGCAGTACCATGAGTATCGAGACTCAGTTAAATGATCATCATTCGGTTAGCACTGTAGTTCGTTCAGCTAAGATACCGGGTGAGAAGCAATATCGTAGTCAATCGGAATCTTGGTGCGGGCTCTGCAGCTCTATTTATGCATAAGCCATGGTGTGAGATTCCACTCTTATCTCACATCTTCCACTGTTCAGGCTAAAAGACCTTGAGTGAAGTGAGGCTATCCCCGGATTGCCTTAGAGGGGCGGCTGCCAATCCCGACCTGCACGGATTTCCCAATGCGGAAAGGGTCGCGAGAACGCCCCCCCAAGCCATCGGCCCCTTGGTTTCAGTCCATCACTCGACCCTCATTATCTGGACACCCCAGCCTCGACTTTTGATAATCCCCGTGCATTCGGATCTCATTTCCCCAAGGATGAGATCAGCCGCAGCCGATCGATGACCAGAGGTACACAGAATCCGACATCCAGACTGGTTGCGAATAACTACAGCCACAGATAACAACAGGTAAAGTACTACACATGCATAGCAGACCCGGTCATCTCGGCTTACACGAGCCGAAAAGCAACCAGCAGATAAGATGCCTTCCATCAGCTCATCAGCTCACAGCGTGGCAACGAGCCCTAGTCAATAGACATATGCTATACCAGTCGTCTGAAGCAAGCACCCATCCCAACATCGACACCATCCGAGGCACACTTCATCCCAACAAGTCTGCCATCATGTGTCAGGGTCTTCTGTTGGGTCAGGCACTCCCCCGCCATCCAACCAACGAGAGTCTGCTTTTCGGGGGATCTGCAAAGCCGCGGCGATTCCCCTCGTTAAGCGGCCTGACGAACCACAAATCCCAACCCGATCAGAAACCCCGACACCACATGAACTACGGCGTCTGAATCACATGCAGCGAACCCAAGTGTCTGCTTCTCCGAGCGCCTCCCGCCCATGCAGCCCTATATAGCCATACCCATCCCTCCCTCCCCACGGGGCATCATCAACCACAACCATCCACCATGAGCGGTACACACCCCAACCCCAAAGACTCCATGAAGTCCACCTGGCGCCGGCAGGACCGGTCCCAGTGGAGTATCTCTCACTGGTTCTTCGAGATCCTCGGCGTCCATCCTACCGACCTCAATAAACCCATCCCCGTCCACCCCAAAACCGACAAAATCCCCTACATGGGCCAATGGTCCCAACACCGCTGGGTCCTCTACCACGCCTTCATACCCTTAGCCCTCCACCAAGCCTACGTCACCTATACCGGGCAGAACCTCGGCCCCATCGCCGCCGTCTTCTTCTACTCCTTCGCCTTCAAGCTCATCGCCATCCACGAGTTACACGTCATGCGCCGCATGGGCCACATCATCGGCTTCCTCGACGGCGATCAACACGAACGAGACGGTGTGCCAGACGTTGGCGTCTCCAAAGTCGTTCGCTCCCTCATGTCCACCTCCACCTTCCGCCCCATCATGACCGTCTTCCTCAGCTACCGCACCGCGCAGACCCCCGCAGGAATGAGCTGGGCCTGGCTGCCCCTCGAAATCGGTCTGTACGGAATTATCCTCGACTTCTGGTTCTACTGGTACCATCGCTTGATGCACGACGTGGGCAGTCTCTGGAAATACCACCGCACGCATCACCTCACCAAACACCCCAACCCTCTTTTGACCCTCTACGCCGACACCGAGCAAGAAATCTTCGACATCGCCGGCATCCCCCTCCTCACATACATCAGCCTCCGCCTCATGGGTCTCCCGATGGGATTCTACGAATGGTGGATCTGTCACCAATATGTCATGTTCGCCGAGCTAGCAGGACACAGTGGACTCCGGATGCATGCTTCTCCGCCATCGACACTGAACTGGTTATTGAAGTTGTTCAGTGCGGAATTGGTCGTCGAAGACCACGATTTGCATCATCGGAAGGGGTGGAAGAAGAGTCATAACTATGGAAAGCAGACTCGTCTCTGGGATCGGATTTTCGGCACCTGTCGCGAGAGAATTGAGAGTGTGCCGGATAATGTGGATTATGAAAATCAGCTGGTGATGCCTGTTTTTTAGGCTGGGATGCGGAGGAGGTGATTGTTGTATCGGGGTTTGGTTGTCTTTGTTAGTATTGATTGGTTGCTGGAGTAGGGCGTGTATACTATGTATGTAATTAACGAGATGGGTATAGGTCAGGGAGTAATCAATAGGAATAAGCTTTGTTCTGGTTAACAATACACTGTATCATGTTTACATCTTCAAAAGTCGAGTATAAGCAAAGTAAGTCAGGCTTGCACAGAATAATCGTAATCATTATGCCAATAATAACCTGCATTAGAACCAGGGATTATGACGCCCCGCATTTCGCAGATGACTGATGGCTGATGATCGCCGATCAGCCACCTTCGAGTATCTTCTAGATATTACTACTACCTACGTAGTGTGTTAGAACTAATGCACTAAACAAGAACCCCAGCCATTCCAACACGGACTGATAGAATTAGCCACTTGACGGTATTGGATCCGCCCATCGTGAACGCAAACAAAGCACCACCACTCAGTAGCAGCTCCACCTCCACCCCCAAATTGGAGAAGGCGGGTCAAGAAAGTATACGGAGTACTCCGTAGCACGGGGTATGATAGGGGGGGGTCCCCGGGTCACAGTTCATAGCGCATATGGATCATATCGTATCTAGCGGTCAAGGCTCACGCGACGCAGCCATCCGCTCCGGTCGATCGATCCATCACCGGCTCGGACGGCAACGGCAACCCTTATCTGCGCGTGTCAGAGATACTGGAGTGACCTATGACCACTGACCAGATCGAAGAGCCCACCTAGCGGAAATCCCGGGACCCGCTTGAAGGATGATGGATGTGTTTCGGTTATGCGTCGTGGAGTCTACATATTTTGTTCATTTGAAGTGGTTGTTGCCGGGTGACAGGTTACAGGATCCTGCGCTTGGTGTCGGGTCAGCTGTCAGACATCCCCGGAGTCCACTATCTTCGGTCTCGGCCTGTTCGGCGTCCGCATGTCGTATTGACTGTTGATGTCTGACTGATTCCTAATTCCGAGGCTGTTCCGTGGTGCAGCTGCTTAAATTAGAACGAACTGCGTGGCTGACTATTTGATATGCATGACGGTGTTGATACTAGTCACGCGAGACAGCTTCCGACATGGAGCCACGGAACTGGTTTCGGAATTTGGAATCGGTCAGACATCAATACGGTCACCGTGCGGACCTGGACAAGCCGAGACTCAGATAGTGCGACGGGGGAATTGGATAGTGTCCCACTAGAAATCGGTGCCTGGCGCAGGTCTTGGCCAGATATCCAGACAGACTAGCGGGCAAGAGATTAGCCTAGAAGTCTGGGTCCAACAGACAAGGATACTTCTAGCAATAGTAGCACTGCAGCAGCATGAAGTTAAGCAGATATCGACAAGATGGCCATTGCCCTTCACGGTGAACAGTCCCCTGAATACTCCGTACGCAGTGCAAAGATAAACAGGGGCATCAGCTGGTTAGGCGACGGACCATTGGGCCGTCAGCCTAGTGGCGGATAGTCGCAAATTTTGCAGGGAAATTGCCTGCATGACTAATGCCTCGTGTCTATGACGTCATGGCGGAGTCAATCCCGGCCTTGGCCCCGAGGCTCTGCAGTCGGCAGCCTGAGGCAACAATCAGACTACCTCGACAACGACAGCAATATTAGGAGAATCAACAAGATCCCTTTTGATAGCACTCATAGCCAAACCTCGATGGCTATCACATTATCATCACAGCTGCAGTGTGCACCTACACCGTCGGATACGTCGATCAACTCGGCAATCGGCATGAGGAATGGCAGCCGTTCGCGGTGGGTCTCCCGAGTGCAGGACGGATAAATCGGATGCTGGCCTGGGGCCACCCTGGTGGAGGCAAGCTGCTGTTTTCGTTTATTATCCAGCCTAGACCCCCATCGATGTGGTTCCTGTCCCTTTCGGTCGCTGCGCAAACAAAAATTGTTGTCCCTGGCCCTACCAGACCAGACTTCCCCTGTCGACCATCATGAACCGCGTCGACGAGGGACTCGAGCTGGCTGAGACCGATGCTCGGTCTCATGCTCTTGAGAAGGAGGAGGGCCCTGGACGGCCCTCCTCGTCAGGGACCACTGGATCGACCGGTTACAGCAGTTCCATCGATGAATACAATCCTCAGCTGCACACCCTCCAGTCGCGAACCACCGAGGTCGACCTCGAGCGCCATCGCACGAGTACCTCCCATGCCCTGAGCCGGATCGAAACTCAACGCCTTCAACATGCGATGACCGTGGGTGAGAGTGTCAAGTCGCGCGCCTCCCGCGCACCATTGCCTCGCATGGGTGCCAACAAGGAGTACCCGCCGCCTCTACCGGATCGTGAGGATTATGTCGTCGAGTTCGACGGACCAGAAGACCCCCTATATCCCCAGAATTGGGCGTTATCGACCAAGTACGTCTTTGCTTTGGAAGAAAACGGTGGCAGTTACTGACTTTTCGCTAGGTTGTACATCAGCGCCATGCTGGCCTTCACCAGTATCTGCAGTACCTTCGATTCGGCCATCTTCAGCTCCTCGACCACCAATGTTGCAAGGGTGTTCGGTGTCGGCATCGAAGTGGCCACGCTCTCCAGTTCGCTGTATATTTGTGGTTATGCATCCGGTCCGTTAGTCTGGGCGCCCCTGTCCGAGCTCAAGGGCCGTAAGCCCCCTATCGTCGTGGCCATGTTGGGATTCGGAATCTTCAACACCGCCGTCGCTGTCGCCAAGGATCTGCAGACGATCATGATCTGTCGCTTCTTCTGCGGTGTTTTCGGCAGTTGTCCGCTGGCTGTTGTGGCGGCTATCTTCTCCGATATCTACAACAACCGCACTCGTGGTGTCGCCATTGCCATGTTCGCTAGCACTGTGTTCCTGGGACCGCTCCTGGCACCGTTTATCGGAGGTTTCATCAACTCGTCGTACCTGGGCTGGCGCTGGACTGCATATATTCCCGCATTCATGGGTTATGCTGCATTCGTGATGAACACATTTTTCCTGAAGGAATCCTATCCGCCAGTCATTCTGGTCTCCAAGGCCGCGGAGCTGCGCCGTCGCACCAAGAACTGGGGTATACACGCGAAACAGGAGGAAATCGAAGTCGACTTGCGAGAGTTGGTGGTCAACAACTTCTCCCGCCCCATTCGGTTGCTGATCGGAGAGCCGTTGATCCTCGCGGTGACCATCTATCTCAGCTTCATCTATGGCTTGCTGTACTGCTTCCTCACGGCATACACTCTCGTCTTCCAGGGTGTGTACGGCATGTCCGCGGGTATCGGTGGGCTGACTTTGTTTGGCATGGTCGTCGGACTGGTCATTGCGGCGACGTACATCGTGCTCGACAGCCGGGGATACAACAAGAAGCTGGAAAAGAACGGCGGTATTCCCGTGCCGGAGTGGCGTCTTCCCCCTGTGATCGTCGGCGGTGCTCTCTTCGCTGCCGGTCTATTCTGGTTCGGCTGGACCGGTCACACGAAGAGCATCCCATGGATTGTCCCCACGCTGAGTGGACTGTTCACTGGGTTCGGCCTGTTGATCATCTTCATCCAGTTGTTCAACTATCTGATCGACACGTACCTGATGTTGTAAGTTTCCGGTTCCTATCCTAGTTCATCACTCAGTGCTAACGGATCTAGTGCCGCATCCGCCATCGCGGCCAACACCTTCTGCCGTTCCCTAGTGGCCGCCAGCTTCCCCCTCTTCTCGCGTCAGATGTTCGACAACATGGGTATCCAATGGGCCGCTACGCTGCTGGGATGCGTGGCCGCTGTATTGGTCCCTATCCCCGTTTGTTTCTGGTTTTTTGGAAAGAGTCTGAGAAAGCGAAGCAAGTTCGCCCCTTTCTATGAAAAGGTGGCCGAATCGCACGCCGCTGATGACGGAGTTGAGGAGGAGAACGGAATTCTGGAGGCTAATCGCTCATAAAAGTGTTTATATAGTGGTGAAAGAGATGACGTTATACCCCGTATGTAATAATGATAATGTTGATTGTCGGAGTGTTATGTACCACCAGAAGCTAGACTGTTGTTTATGTTGAGTGTCGTTGAATCAGTCTCCTGCAAGGGTCGGGTTTCTGACGTGTCACCTATTCCGCTTAATGGATATAAATACGGCACCCGCTTTATGTAATCAAGGTGCTGTAGTGTAGTGGTCATCATGAAACGTTGTGGTTTTCCGCAGCGCCGTTTCGACCTGGGTTCGATTCCCAGCAGCGCCAAAATTGGCGTTTGTGCTTGATTACATTTTTGCTTTTACTCCTTTATTTCAACCAGTCAGGCTGTTCCCTTTCATTTCTTTCCCCATTGGGTCCGGATCGTGTGTACTAGTTGCGATCGGAGGAACCTGGTGGAGATAAGCTTCTTTGATAAGATGAGATACTGTGTGTAATCTCGTCCTTGACAGTAAGAATCGAAATAAGAAATGATCGGCTCATTGAACCCAATGACTTTTGTTATAGGCTGGGACGCTCCTGGGGAATTGAATAGCTTAGGTATGCTTCTAGAGTCTCCTGTTGGTGAAGAGGGCGAGGTCCCTGCTGCCGCTGGGTTAGAAATCTGGGCCACTAGGCCCGGGATGCGGATTGCTTATGGGCTGCTCAACAGGGTCTTTCACCTGCATGCAGTGGCGTCATGTGATGGCTGGAGGCCAGGTTATAGCCATTGTGGGTGTAGGATAAACTATCTCTCGGTTTATAGTTTGTTGGTATGAATCAAGTGCCCTACTCTAATTTGAACTCTCCATTGTAGCTATCACTGTGAAAGTACTTGATCCCATGGGGAGAGATATATATTTCTACCCTACAGCTCCACTATGATGTCCGTAAATATACAGTAGCCACCTCGAAAAATTTACCTCAAATAGCAAGTCTCTGGAATTTAATTTGCCTTTCCGATTGACTTACTAGTCCACACCAAAAGCTTTCTCCAAATAGCCGACCCATTGCATAGGAAATCATGTATTCCCTGACCCAGCAAACCTGGACAAAAGAGTGTGCGCTGGGTATATACCAAATTGCTCGGGTTAGCTTCAACAACGGCCGGGTGGCCTAATGGTAAGGCATTAGTTTCCGGTACTAGGGATTGCGTGTTCGAGTCACGCCTCGGTCGATATCTTTTTGATTTTTTTTTTGGTGAGTGTGGTGGTAGAGTGGAGCTGCAGGGCGGGGAAACGAGCTAGCCTATGAGGTTAGCGGGCGTGACGGCCCTGACCCCGGCTGCTTACTATCTTTACTTTTGATGCAGGCTACAACCATGTACTTGCTCCATTATCTCTGTGCAGTAACGACCGTCAGCCACACCCAAATCCAGGACTGGAAACCATGGCAAGGTCAGGCAAGCTAGGAGTAGCCGACTCTATCACTTAGAAAACCGATTGGGGGATCGGATAGCGAGCCCCCCTACATGAGTTGATCTACATGTTGCCAACGCTCATCGCTTCCGCCAGACCAAGGGCTCTTAAAGAGAGAGATAATCTCGGTACTGCGGACTGGGCTTCTAGATAGATCCACGGTCTAGAATGATTCATGTACGGTGTCTTGAGATGCTTGGCAGGCGTATCTAGAAGGAGCTTGACGAAGGCCTTTGTGAATGTGGCTTTTTTTTGGGACATGCTTGAGGTGACGAAGCCCCCTAGAAAGCCTGAACGTGCAACAATCCAGGAGGAAGACATGCGTGAAGGTGTGAAGGACACCAAGGTCTGAAACACGGAGACATTCTGCAGCGAAGTCAAATAAGCTGTTGAGGTGCCTGGTTGGCTTGTAGGCGAGGATCACGTATTCTGATCACGTTGGCCACTACCAAGGCGCTCTTCTTCTTCTTTCCGGCTGTAGTCTAGATAGCGAATATAACTAATATCTTCAACTCCCTGAGCTATAGCTTATAACAGATTATAAGCCCAGGCATATATACTTTGACATTAATTTTATATTATTTTTCATCATTTTAAGTATTTTTTTTAATCATTTATACGTATAGTATATCCTAGAGGACCCCTCAGTATAATAATTCCTATTATATATTAAATAACTATGATTACTCCTGAAGATTACTAATCTTACTACTTATTACTATTTTATAAATCTATAAACCATATAATTCCTACTTACTAAGGCCCGGTACAGTTTAATAGTATTATTTAACTAGTTAAATTAAGAATTAGGTCCACGCTGGTCCCGTAGAAATAGCTATTAAAAAAGAATTAGTATTATTTATATATATTACTAAAGATAATATAATAATAATTATTCTAATTATATAAGTAGATTATATATTAATAAAGCTGCTAGAAAGTCTTGATAGTATTCTAGAATTATTAAAAAAATATATTAATTACATAACCTGGACCTTCAGGATTAATTAATTATTAAAAAATATAAAATTATAAGATCTAATTAATAAGAATCTTATTAAATCTGTATAAATAAGTGAAAAATATACTCTTTAATATATTATTTTAATTAATCTTTAAATATAATTTATTAACCAACTATCAAAAGATGTTCTGTAGAAGTTTATAGCCTTAAATAATATTAAAAATTATATAGATAAAGCTTTTAAAATTATTTACTAGATTATTTTAGACTACGGCTATATTCTTTATTAGATAATATTTATAGATTTTATATAGAAGAAATAATCTGATTTCTTTATAATATTATAATTTATTAATAAATTTAAAATAGTATATACAGTAATTAAGTAGCTAGATTATATCTTAATACTATATTACTTTCTACTTTTTTTATTTTAGTAAGTTAAATTAGATTTTTTAAATTAGACTACTAATGTAAAATTTAACCTATCTAATAATATAGTTAAAATATTTATAAAATTATAATTTTTTAATTACTACAGGAATGCTACAGAAAAAAAAATAAATTAAATTAAATAAATATAATAGTATTTATTATAAAATTTAAAATTTTTATTTAATCTATTACATTAGATACTTCTAAAAGAAAAGAATCTGGTTAAAAGAAGTATATCTTCCTAAGAAAAAAAATATTAATAAAGAAATACTTAATTAAAATAAGAGACTAAATACCCGGGTATATTAATAATATATATATCTATTATAGAAACTATAGTTATATTATTTTTAAATATTAGTATCTCACTTTTAATATTTAATTAGTAAATTAAATTTCTTTTTATAATAATATTTAATTCTATATCTTTAAAAAGAAGTTAAAATTATTAAAATTAGTAATACTGGTAAAGGAGACTACGTCTTTAAAAATATTAGAATTAGTAATTAAAGTCTATATAATCTTTAATATAAAGTTAAATATTAATTTTAATAATAATATTTTTAGTATAAATTTCAGCAGTATAGCAATCTAGCTATTTAATAATTTATTATTATATTAGATTTATAATATTAATAGCTTTTAATATTTTATTTTAGACTATACTACGCTTACTAATTTTTATAAATTAAAATTATAAGATTATTATATATATAGTATCTTAGACAGGGAAATAATAATTATTAAAATAATAAATTATATAACTATTTTTATTAAAATAAATAGTAATATTATAATATTAAATATTATAATATATTATTAATTTTTCTTATTTTATAGATTACTATCTGTGTAACAGCTCTAATTAAATTTTAAAATTTATAAAATTAATAAAGATTATACCCTACAGAAGATTTAAAATAATAAAATTATTAATTATATAAAAGTTATAAAAAATATATCCTTTATTATATTAACAGATTCTGGGATTGCTATAACTATTATAAATCTTTTTCTATTATATTATTAATATAGTTATATAAGATTTTAATATATTACTTTAACCACATATTCTCATTAAATTAAAGTTAAATATTATAATAATATATATTACGAAGCATGCTATTTTAATAAAACTAAATAATTAATCTCATGGATTCTTATTCCAAAGACTAAAGATCCTATAGAACTCTAGTATATAGATATCTAGAAAGTAAGCCTTGTTAGCTATAAAAATTATAATTACTTTTTAATTATAATTAATAATACTATTTATTTAATTTATATTATTTTATTAAAACACAAGAGCAATACTTTAATAAAACTTATAAAAATAAACTCTAAATATAAGAATATAGTTAGTTATTATATAGCAGCGTGATATTTTAATAATAATAAAAAATTTAACTACTTTAAAAAATAGGCCACCTATAAAAATTATAGAATTTATATAATTTTATCACTATCTTATACTTCTAAAACTAATAATTTTTTAGAAAGATATAGCGGCCTAATTAATTAAATAAATAAAATTATAATAATTAATTCTAGATTACTAGGACATCTCTAGCCCTATACTATTTAAATAATTATATAGATTTTAAATTATTTAATACCAGCTAAAAGTAATATTAAGAAGACCTTTATATACTAATACTAGTTATTTTATAATTTTCTAAATCTAGATACTTTATTTAATTTTTTATATATCTTTAAATACTGTTTGTATGTCTATATTCCTACTAAGAATTGTATTATATCTAGAAAAATAAAATTATAAACTATAATTAATTATCTTATCAGCTTTAATAGAGATAATAATTATATATATTATATTTAGATGCCTGAATCTAATAAGATTAAATATTCCTAAAATATTACTTTTCATGAAAATAAAATATATAAAAATAACTATAAAAATTTTATTAAAACTATTATTAGATTTAATTTTAGTAGTTTAATTACTCCAGAATTAGAAGAATCTGCGAGATTTAATAATACTTTTCTATATTAAAAATTATTAAATAATATAAAATTTTTTATTTCTATTAATTAAGTTACTGATAATATTATTACTGGTAAAGTAATAATAATTTCTATTTCTATAGAATTTATTAAGAAAAAGATCCTATACTTAATTAAAAATTCTTATGAATATAAATCTATCTTTATTAAATATAAGAAATAAAATTTTTAATTAAATATAATCTTTATTCTAGAAAAACTTACAATTCTAAGATAATTAAAATATACTACTAAAAATAAGACACTCTAATAGTACGGCTATAAATAATTTATTATTATTAATTATAAAGCTACTTTACTAAGACTTAAGTACTATGAGATTATAGTTTTTTTTATCTATACTAAAATAATAAAGTCCCTCTTAATACTATACTAGAAATAGGTGATAGATATACAGATTAATAAAATTAAAAAAATAGAAATATATAATATTGTAAAAAAGTTAGCAAATATTTAAATAATTTTAAAAAAATAAATATTTAATTTTAAGATTAATACTAAGGGTTTTATCATCTAATTTTATATATAATAGATTATATATAATAACCATTAAATATTTAGTAAAGATTATAATAAATCTTTTATATCTATAGTAAGTAAAATAGTTTTTAAACTATTTCTTACTACTATAATAATTAAGAATTTTATTTAAAAATAGTAGAATATTATCTCCACCTATCTACATATATAAATTAAAGATAGGTAAATATTTATAAAATAATTAATTAAATATTATAAAAATCCGGAGGACCACGTCTGCGAATTAAAATAAATATTATATAATTTTTATTAAATTATATTATTTTAATATTATATATTTACTAATAAATTACTCAAAATAAGCTTCGAGACTATGCTAGAGAACCCTTATATTTATAAAAATAATAATATTTTATTTATTATATATATTAATAATTTAATTACCGTAGGCCCCAGTAAGAATAATCTCATAATAATTAAATAATATTTAAATTAAGTATTTAATTTAAAAAATTTAAGTAAGTTTAAGATATTTCTTAACTATAATATCTCGCGTAACTATAAAAAAAAATTAATATTACTATCTTAGTTTATATATATAAAAGAGTTTTTAATTATAATAAGTATAAAAAATTATTTATATATTTATTTTTTAATAACTCCGGCCTATAGCAAGGCTAATTAGACTAATATAATTTATAAAAATATTAATACTACTGAATATTAATAACTTATTAGATATTTAAATTAATTAATTATTAAATTATACTTTAATTTACACTAAATTATCTTCTATTTATAATATTATATATACTTTTCTACGCTCGCCGATTCCAAAACAATAAAATTAATATATTATTATATAAAGAAATTATCTAATCTTAATATCATACTTATTATAAATTATATAAAGAAGATTGAGATTTACATAAATACAGTCTATATAAATTATAAAAATAATAAATCTATTAAAGATTATATTATATTCTACATTAGCAGCTTAATCTTATAGACTTTAAGTAAATAAGGTATTATGATATTCTTATTTACTATTACTAAATATTACGCGTATGATTTAACTATAAAAAAGATTCTATATATCAAGAAACTAATTTTTATATTTAATTTAAAAATATTAAATAATAATAAGATATCCGTGTTTAGTAACACAGCTAATTTATTAAGAATATTAAACTATAATATTTATATAAGATCTATAAAATAGCTAGATAATTATTTTCTATTTATCGCGGATCTTATTAAAAAAAATTTAATTAAGATAATCTACATATCCAGAGCAGCTAATCCTATAAATAGTTTTACTAAGTTATTAGATCCGGAGGCATTCATCACTTTTAAAGATCTACTAGAAATAAAATGGTATTTTATAACTAAGGGATTAGGAACTACCGTAATAGGTAAGAATACTTAATATAATAATAATAATTTCTTATTTAGGTATTTACTTTAGCTTTATATTTAATCTAATACGGACCCTTTCTCACCTAGAGAACTATATTAAGGTGTCTGGTTAGCTTATAAGTAAGGATTATATGTTCTGATCATGTTAGCTACTACTAAGGCGCTCTTCTTCTTCTTTCCAGCCGTAGCCTAGATAGCGAATACAACCAACATCTTCAACTCCCTGAGCTGTAGCTCACAACATAAGCTATACTTGCGCGCGAAGATTAGATTAGCTCGGTCGATCTATAGATTTGGGAGATGAGGTATCCTCATTACCTGGGATAGGATATATTAGTATCTAGTATTAGCCATTAATATATCCTACTAAGTTAGAAGTTCTTTCATTACATTATGTTCCTTAGTGTCTAAGATGTGGCAAACTATTATATATACGCATGTGCTTCTCCGCTTCGTGGCAATCGATGGTATCACCTCGTTTTGCTGCATTACCATACCATAGGTATATGTACCATTATTTCAAAACCATACTCATGAACAACGGTCCATTGGCCAAATGGTAAGGCATCGGACTCCTAATCCGGAGATTGTGGGTTCGAGCCCCATGTGGATCGCTTTGTATTTTTCTTTTTTTACCCTCACCACCGGTGCCTTTTTGAGAGGCGTCCCGGGCATATCAGTTAACGATAGTACGGAAATTTGTTTTTATTTTCATCTCTCCCTGAAACGACAAAATTATGACGTTATTTCGCCCACTCACCACTCTGCGGCTTGGTTTGATCATGGGATTTGCACATCCTATCATCTAGTAGTACTTCCAACATCTATAGTCATGCTTTTTCGAGGATGAATTTCAACATTAGGCCAACAGTAGCACTCGATTCCATTAATGAATATCTTTCTCCATGCTTAGCCAAGTCCTGCCTCCCGAGCGCATCCAGGGACTCCCGGCACCACTAGGTGATTGCGACCAAAGCAACCCGTCCCCATAACAAGCTCCTTCAGCGGTTGATTGATAAAGCTCGAGCCCCCTTTAAAATATTCCTCGCTGAAAAGAAGCACCTGAGTTTCCAACCCTGGAGAGTGTCTACACCATGGAAGACGTAGGCCTGGAAGGACATTGTATGTCATCGATTGCAGCCTCCAAACCAATCCCTCTGCTCACTCCGGAGGCTATCAGGCAAATACAAGTTGAGGATCTGCCGATATTCGCCGAAAATCGTCAAAGTCTTCATTCCAGGGATAGGGATAAAGAGGGCAAGCTGGTATACTGTGAATGATGTCTGTTGACCTCTGTAGACAAGCCCATACATGAACAAGGTCTTTTGTGAGGTGTCAAGAACTGAACCCATCAATCATAAATTATAGGAGACTAGACTCCCGATTGCCTGATACGGTATCTGCAATACTTGTCTAAAGCCGGAGCACAATCTTCCCAACCTGTTTCCCCTGCCACACATACTCGACAGCCTCCTCGGCTTGCTCAAATGGGAAGACCTTGTCAATAAGATCATGAAGCGGCATTTCAGAAGCTGACAGAGCGGCACAAAAGTCTTCCATATCATGCTTTGAACCCGCGTTGATGCCCCTATACACATTAGCTCCTGGCCAGAACAACCTGACGATGCTCACCTGAGGTTGATTCTCCGGTCAATAAGAGTAGGAATCAGCTCACGCAGGTCTGCGGGATTCTGCTTCGAAAGATAGCCAACCTGGCTGACAACCCCACCTCGTCGAGTGCATCTCAGACTCTTGACCAGGGAGCCCGTTCCGCCGTTTTCCACGATGATGTCGACCCCCACACCATCGGTAAGCTTAAGCACCTCCTGATCCCATTCAGGGATCTGAGAATAGTTAACAGTCAAGATTGGCGGACTTGGATACTTCATCTTCATTTGATGAAGCTTCTCATCGCTCGACGATGTCAGAATCACCCGTAGACCAGCAGCTCGTGCAAGCTTGAGAGCAAACACACTCACACCCCCCGTCCCTTGCCTTCATCAGCACCAAACTCCCCACAAAGACAGGAATACACACCTTGAATAAGCACCGTCTGTCCAATACGCATCCCCTTCAACGCCGACCATGCCGTCACCCCAGCACACGGAATCATGGCGGCATCCACCCAATCCAGGTACTCAGGGAGCTTACACAGAACTCGCTCATCAAATACGATATGATCAGCCATCACTCCGTCTTCGTCTGCAGCCAACCACGAACGCTTGGTCTCTCGCCCGGAGATGTTCTCTGTGTCCGTGATGGGTGCGGCTCGGTCCCCAACCGTCAAAGTTGTCACCTTGTCTCCGATGGCGATTACCTCGCCTGCTGCATCATTGCACAGAATGCCGTGTGGGATAACAGGCCAGGGATTTCCCCCGTTTGCTATGTTGGCGTCGCGATAGTTGAGAGCGACTGCGTGAATCCTCAGCAGGACGGCGGTTGGTGAGAGGGGTAGTGGGAGGGCTTCTGTAATCAGCTGCAGCTTGGGTGTGCCTATAGTATGGTCATCAGTGCGGCGAAAGGCACGACGGTGCGTGACTTTTGAGTTCGACATGTTCTTTTGGACTGTTGACGTGGAATTTCTTTGTATCAAATGTCTGGTGAGTGTTGGTTTCCCCTCGATAACGCAGGACTGGGTCTAAGCAACTATTTCCCTTGCCTCAAGTAGCCTGTTGGCTGGAATGGACATACGCCCTTTAAAATAGCATCTCTCCTGGTCGTTCCTGAAGATCATCGGGTAGGGAACCCGACAGTATGAGCGGGGTGTTGTCGACATCCCGACATCCCGACAGACGTCATTCCGGATATAAATCCGGAACCGTACATTCACAGTCAACTTCTCCCAGATAGCAAGATAAAATATCAAAGCATGGGTTATTTCTACTGTTTGACCACCGAGAAGTATGAAACACTTGTTGTCGTCATTTTACTGCCACTAGAGTAGGTATTGGTCTCCGTTACTCCGTAGACCGAAAAGATTGGAACATGGACAGCATCTAGTATCCAAGTAGTCGCAAGTCCTTGAGGGCGCGAGTGCGTCCTGACATGTTTGCAAAGTTGTAGGTTGCAATCTCCAAACTGCTACGTCGATAGAAAGCAGCCGGAAGTTTGAGGGGATGCGCAAGTCGGCCCTACCGTATAGATCCGAATCAATATACGGAGTACACCAATCACAAGCTTAAACGGTAACGGCTTCTCCAGGGGCAGCATCCATGGGCAGGGCACCGTAAAAGAGAACAAAAAGACATGGTCCATGTTCTGGAAAAAATCGACCTTGATGGGGCTCGAACCCACAATCTCCGGATTAGGAGTCCGGTGCCTTACCATTTGGCCACAAGGCCGTAATTTCGAACGGACTTTGCTTAACAATTGGATTAGAGGGGTACCTTGATACCTAAATAAGCCTAGGACAAGAAGAGGGGAAAGACCAACCAAGAGCTATCCGTGGCTGGTTTTTAACATGTTTAACATGGCTGTATCAAGCCTTATGGCCACCAGCTCCTAACCGATAAATACAAAGGGGATGGAATTCCTACGGTCGCGTGACCGCGGGTCCGTAAGCTCCAAGCTAAGGACTGTAGTCATGAACTTGGGCCGCCCCTCAGCGCAGTCAGACTACATCTCAAGCACAGGGTCTGCGGCTACTGTCGCTTATACCATCGTGCTGAGGGGGGACAATCCTATTATTTTAGTTTCATCGATTATTTTTTCAAACGCATAAGATCTAGTCATCCCAGCCACCTTCCCGGCTCAGGGATACGTGTCTGAACTATGGCTCACCAAGCTCACAATATCTGCTGGAACATTCTAGCCAACAATCTCATCCATCGATCACCAGCATACCCGGACGCTGATCTGGCCTCAAATCTGTACTTTCGGTTCAAGCCCGCGCAGGGGAAGGAGGTCGGCTACTTTGCCGAGTCTTTTGCTCGGAACATCGCAGAACACACCAAATGCGAGCGACAGAAGTATCCAGCCAAGTTCGATCCAATTCAACCGGATGAGGTGCTCCTAGATGATCGGACTGCGGAAAGGATCCGGCCGATGGCATACAAATGGTGTAAAGCCTACCGGGGATGGTCGATTGCAAGGAGGGTCGACAAGACCGCTGGACTGTGTCCCCATCGCGACGACGACGGTTTCTTTGCCTGTGGATGCCCTTTGCCCTTCTCGGAACGAAAGGGCTCAGCCTTTCTCCGCCGCTATCAAAGCAATCACTGCTATCAATTCTTCGATGTCAATGGCGCGGCCTTTTACAATTTGCAGGTGGTCAACGCGCTCTTGGTCCTGGGCGAGATGGAGACGGTCCTGCGTATCTGCAGCCTTGAGAACGACCTGGCAAGGTGGATGGAGATGTACGAATGTTACTGTGTGGTATGCCCTCGATGAGCAGCAGCGCCCCC